TGGGCATTGACACTTTTGAGAGAGGCGACCACTTCCTCTGCCTTTGCAGCGCGCTTGATAGCCTGCAACACCATGAAATCCACAATCTCAGTCTGCTCCCATGATCAAATCAGAAATCTTGTCACTGTGCCTGTATAGCATCCACCATCTGTTTGGGCAGTGAAAAAGGTGATTTTGGCAGTGAACACCTACCTGCGAGTGAGCTCTCTCTGCCCCCAACAATTCCGCTTCCACGGTGACATAATTCATCCTCAGCTGCCTAACTTGCGCTGCCAGCTCACTCTCCTTCTGAGCGGCCACATCCCGGGTGTCCTGCAGCTGCTTCTGCAGCTCGAGCACAGCCGCCAGATTCTGCGCTGCGTCCGGCGCGTTGGGCTTGGGATGAGCTTTCTCTGCCTGCATGCAAAGTTGGCTTTGTGACTATCTTCCAGTCATTGACAATGCCCCCTTTTATTGGACTCTCCTGGAGCAAATGAGCTGCATTCTGTGACAAAAAAGACTGGCCATCCATCACAACAACTGATTTAACATGAGATATCTTCAGGTTGAGATGCATGATTTTTAGCAGCCTGGATGCGTTGTGTCCTTAAACAAACGGAGTCCCTATGTGGGACACACCAGAAATCAATCGCCTGTGAAATTTTGCCACACCTGGGCATGTTGCAGGCAGTTCTCCAGGTGTGTGATGTGAGCCTTGAGGTCTTTGACATCCTGCTGCAGTGCCTTGTGCTGCATATCTGCATCCTCGAGATTTTTCTGCAACAAGCAATCAGCTTCAATACCCGCCACTACAAAAGAGACTCAGCCAAGATCTCTGCTCTGCAGCATGGATTGATTTTGCATGTCATCACTGTGACTGCCTGCATGAGGCGCATGTGGCATATATGACTGGAGGGATACTTGGGAGGAAGGAATTGGGAAGCACTCAGCAAAATAAATTGAAAGCAACTGTGATGTGCAAGTGTTCACCTGGTAGCCCTTGATGAGGTTCTCCTGTTCATCCATATCGCGCTTGATCTGGTCCAGCTCCTGACTGCTCAGCTGCACTGTGTCTGTGTCCCGCTGCGCTACCTTCTGCTGAGGTGTCATGGGCTGCACCTGAACCTGCATGACAACATCACATCTCATGTCATCCCTCCCGATAACTGGACACTGCATTTGTTCCTGGCCACACTGCAAAGCCAGAAAGGTTGTCGAGTCGCCTTGCCTTCAAACAGTCACTTTCATACAGGGTCATATCACGAGAGCACACGCTTGCAAGCTCCTTGGTCATGCCTTCTGTGCAGGCTGGTTGGCATGCGCACAGTCAGACCTGCATATACTACAAGAGATATCTGGCAAAAATGGATAATGGGTGTTGGACAGGGCGTCTGCACCTGTGATTTCAGCTGAGCAATCTCTTTCCTGGCCGCCCTGAGTTTGCCCTCCAGCTGCTCGCGCAGGGCCTTCTTCTCCTTGTCTGCTTCGCGCTGCTGCTCTGCCAATTTTGACTGCCCCTCCTGCCTCGCAGCCGCCTCAGCCTGCCACATGCGCACGCATATTGTTACTGTTTGCATGCATGACTGCGCATGCGGGAGGTTGACTGGACCTTGCATCCCCCGACCCATGCCGCCTCAGCCTGCCGCATGCTTACTGTAAATTCTTTGGCATGCATGACCCTGCAGTGGCATGGTTGACCGGCCTTTTCTAGCCCCTGTCATCCCTGGACTCATTGAGAACAACCGAGGCCTATGCTATCGTATTTATCTCAACCCTGAAGAAGCACCACGGCTGTCTTGCCACAGAGGCCCACTTTCAAAGGCACCATCTATTCCGGCGACCACAAGCAAGGCAATGAAAGCCACAAAATCTAATGTATGTGGTTCACATACAAAACAGCTATTCAATCAGTAGTGCGTGGGGAAGTTGCAACATGCAAACCTGAGCCTTGGAGCGCATGGCTTCCAGCTTCGCTTGCAGGTCTGCCTCCCTGTTGGCGGCTGCGCGCAGCTGCGAGCGCGAGTCTGCCCCGACACCCAGTGTGGCAACCTGCAGACACAAACATTTCTACACTCGCTCCCAGTGTACATCCATCTTTGTGTGCTTGATACCTCAGCACAATGCTAGCCTGGTCCACAACGTCTCTGGGTGTTTCTCTCAGTTTCCTTCCAGCTTCCCATGAGGCTATGTAAAATCCTCACATAAACAGCCCACGACGCTGTGCCACAAGCAAAGGACACTTCATGCATGGCAGTTGATCATCTACACAGCCATGGCCAATCCTGAGGACCCCTTCCATCGTCAACTGCAGCCCTTCCAAAGCCAATCAGCGTGACCAGGTAGGATGTTTGAGGCCCAGGGCCGTCAAATTATGCTTCACAGCAGACTTTACCTGGTTCTCCAGAGTGAGGCACTGCAGCTGCAGGCCCTCATAGGACTGGCTGGTGGTGAGCGCCGGGCCGCGCATGCGTGGCTTGGATGGCCGCGGCGAGGCAGGGAACCCCCTGGGAGACGCGTTGCTGCGTCCCTGGTAGCTCGTTGTTGTGCGTCGGCCGCCCGCCCTCGCCCATGCACCTGTGCGCCACTGGTGATTTCAATGCAGGGGTTGCACATGCGCAGCCGTGACTGTCACATGACATCAGCAAGTGATGTAAGCACCCATGCACCTGTGCATCCCTGATCACCTACATGCGGCTACTGCACATGTGCAGCTGTGATGAACACATGAAGGAAATGAGTCACATGAGCAAGGCTCCATTTCTTTGAAAGAGAATTAAATCTAGCTAGTCCCGGTGGGAAGTAGTGCACTGTGCTGGCACGTTTGATAAACAAGGTTTCTGATCGGGACGTCATTCATACCTCTCGTGTCAGGAAATGGATTGGTGCAAGCCGGCGAGGAAGCCGGCCGCTGCAGTGTCTTGGAAGGCCCTTCAGGAGGGCCATCCTCCTCGGAAAACGGCTGGCTGCGGAAGGAGGGAACCCGGCTGACAGACTGACGCAGTTTCTGCAGTTTCGACCTGCGCCTGCTGTCAGCTGCTGTGGCCACCTCTGCCTGTGGTGTGGCCTCAGAAGCAGCGCCCATGACCTCTCCTGTGCTGCTGGCCTCTGGGGTGTCCTGCCAGAGGCTGCTCTGCACGATCGCTGCATTGCGCACGACGGTGTGGCCGAATGGCATGCCTCCGCTGGTGGTTGGGCAGCTGCCGGAAGCTGCCTTTGCCTGCTCCACCGGCGTCTGCAGCAGGTCGGGTGCGCTGGTTCCAGAGACAGCGCTGCTGAGGGCTAAAGAAATGGCATCACCGCTGTCTGCATGCGTAATATCCACTGGTGCAGGACGTGGCTGCGCTGCCGTCTCATCGGGGACCGGCTCTTCAGGTGCCCTCAGGCTGCCAGCAGGCTTGTTGCATCCTTCGTGGACAGATTCATCCTCAAAAGAAGACATGCGTTGGGCCATGATGGGCTGGTCATGCATGTCTTGATTGCCATGCTCTGAGCTGGTGAAGGAGTGCTTGGGCTGCTCCTGCATCTCCTGGCTGTCCCTCAGCAGCAATTCAGAGATCGAGTGGACTGACTCCAGGGCTGAAGACAGGCAGCGGCTGGCAGAGGTCAGGCTGTTGCTGCTGCTGTGCACTGGCGAGAGGGATGACCCTCGGCTGTGCCTTGAGCTGGGCACAGGTGACTCACTGCGCTGCAGCACTGGCAGATCTCCCATTGGCAGTGGGCTGCAGAGGTCAGATCTGCCCAGCAAATCTGGCGTGGAAATCTGCCACAACATTAAATTCTGAGCCTACCAGAAACTTCTTCTTGCGCGCAGATTTCGTACTCTGACATGCATCGACAAGCAAACAGTCTGCTGGGTCAGCTATACAAAGCAATGTTGCAGATTCTATTGTGAAACGAACCTCATGTCCTGTGTTCATCTGGAGGGCCCATGCAGGTCCATCCTTGCCAGGGTCTGCAGTGTCTGACATATCTGCATCTGCAGGTGCAGCCCGCGGGGACAGCGCGTCGTTTCTGACCCACTGTGGCGTGGTCTGGCTTGCAAAGCTCTTGGCGGGGGTGGCATCTTCCTTTGTAGCGGAGAAGAGCTGCATTGCACCATGTCAGGTGAAAGCCATGACAATGGAGGACTGGTGACAAGCCACAAATTGAATGGAATGCAGCATGTGGATAGCAGCAAAGTTTTGCTTGTGTTTCACACTGCATATCTACGTGGCAGGCAATATTCGTTACCTGATTGTTTGAAAAGGTCATGAACTCCTGAACACCCGTCATTGAAGGGGGCCCCTCTTGATTGCTGCAGAGGAGTAGAGCGACATCAGGACAATAATAATAATTCAATATATAAAGCTTGACTTCGGTCATAGCGTCACCGCCTTAGATGTGGCCTTGCTTGGGCAGGCAGTATAGTAACTTAGACCTGCCATCAAGCAGCAGATTTTTCATCGGGCGAGTGACGGCTCCATCGCATCGCACCAACGCACCTGATTTCGCCCATTGGAAAGTCTGCGCGGTGGTTCAACGCGGCTGGACGGATGGATCACCGTTGTCTGACCACTTGTTTTCTCTCAGCATAAACCGAGACCTGTTGAGCTCACTGTCTTTCGTATGCGTGATTCAAAATGTTTGATAGTATCAAGAGCTCAGCAGATCATCCATGCATCCACCTAGGAGCTGTAGCTTGGACAGATGACTTTCAGGTGCTTTCCAGTAAACAAGATGGACTGCTGCAAACGCCTATGCAAAACCCCGAACGACCCCGATCACGTACTCTGCTCCTTTCGCTTTTTCCACGAGATCCATGTAACTTCTTTGCACGACCACAACCCAATTCGTTTGGGAGACACCGGCCAGGACCTCTCTGCAAGAAACCCTATGATATGTCAAATGAAAACCCTTGGAAAATCCCTCATACTCATAACCCCAGAATGACGTACGATTGAGGCATCGTGGAGAAGTCACGCCTTCCGCCGGTCGTGGAACCCCAGACGCACTAAAGCGCTTCCACCGTGGAAAGGGAGGGAGCATTTGGCTTGGAGAGATCAGATCAACGTTGGATTAAGATCTGTGTTTGTCAAGAGCTATCCTCTTTACTTTCCGGCCGCCTGCGCAGTGTCTGTTGGTTTCCTGGTACTTGGGCATCGATTCGATAGAGCCGAGACTAACAACTGCTCCTGCGCCTTACCCGAGAGCAATTCTGGTGCTGGTGGTGTCCCCCGCCCTAGGAGAGGTGTTCGCTCACATCTGCAGTTGCTCAAGTCCCACACAGGACTTTTGTCAAGCTATCGCAAGGGCGACTACATCGCCAAGGGAAATAGTGATCCTGCCGCCAGGTGCATCAGTGGCTTCAGCTGATCACCAGCGTCGCCATCATGCTCGCGCATCGCCTTCCATGCCTCGCACATCGTATTGTCTCGCTGCTCGCGCCGGCCTGGAGGCCAATGTCTGTGGTGTGCTCCTCCTGGCTCTTTTATTAAAATCTTGGCTTTATCTGCTGTACTGCGCCAAGTTATGTTGTTATTCCACATTCGTGGCACCTCATGTATTGTTTTCAGTAGGTTGCACCTACTTGTCTATTTCGCAAGGCTTTCGTCGGCGGTGTACCGCGCCCCTGCAGTACATCGCCAGCCTGTTTCCACCATGAATGACATCGTTTGGGCTTGGATGACCCACCTCCTGGGCTCACGTTTTCACAAGCAACTTTTAACGTAGTAGTCGCGCACCAGTGGCCTCAGGAGCTGCGAGTGGCTTGAATGTCACTTATCCACATCTCATGCCTTTCCAAATGTGCTCCACAGGAGGCGGTGTCATTTGCAAACGCCAACCCAGCCGCCTCATTCCCATCAATACTGTCAACTCCGACATCAACAAGCATTGATACCACTCTGCCAGCCTCTTCTGCAGAGGCAGCCGCCCAAACAGAGGCGCTTGTCCAGGAACTTACAAAGGTATCTTATTGTTTTCAAGGCCATTTTTTGTCCTCCTACCCTTGTTCCCTGCCTACCTTTGGCACCACATAGGCGTTTCACGTACCCGGGATCGGCTCTGCCTTGTGCTTTGCAAAATTATGCATTTTACATGGCATCCCTGTCTAGCCAAATTTAGCAGCTCTAATGGACTTCACTTTCTGGCTTGCGCAGGAAGCAGTTTTGGAGTCACTACCAGAGCCAGCACCGCTCCCCGTGCCAGAGCAATTCCGCAAGCCGGACAGATCTGCCGAGATGCCTGCATGGATGACCTCCCAGGCACCTATCATCAGGTGTGGTTGCTGTGCATACAGCTCATTACCTGTGCTCTAGTCGTCTCAGCACTGACACCAGCCCGTGATGTGGACACAGCTGCAACAATGCTGCTCCTGGATGCTTGCAAGGCTTCCTGGAGACGCGTATTAATCACAATCTGTTGTCTCCCCTTTGCCGATCTTCCGTTACTTTGTCGTGCATGGCTGCTGTGATTGTTGTTCCAAGCTCTGGGCCCTCACATGGATATCTTTTGGCGAGGGCAGTGGCGATTGGGTGCTGCAATTGTCAGCATTTGATCTCTCGCCTGAGTTCACATTTCAATTCAAAACCGGCAGGCAGCCGCTGGCGGGCCTGCGCATGGAGGACCCTTCGCTGCCGCTGCCGCGATTCTCCCCGACCAAGCGCAAGATGCGTCCCGACCCCATCGAGGTCATGGCCGGTATCGAGCGAGTCAAGGTGCCCTTACTGCTCCCCATTTGCGGTCTTCAACATTTAGCTTGCTCCCTTTCTGGGCACCACCCAGAAGCCCTGACCGGCAAGCCTTGGTCTGATTGATCAGACTTGCAAGGGCTGGTCCCTCCTCCCTCACTAGGCCGCACTTGCAATCCTGGATTTGCCCGGGCACTTTGTCACGTGAGCAGGCGCTGTGCTTCTCACGACGCTTGGGAGTGGTGCTCTTCACTGACTCGATTGCCAACCCTAATTCCCATACATTTCTGGGCAAAGGCTGATGTTACATGTCCTCCTTCTCGTACTGCGTGCGTTTTGAGCTGCTAAATACCTGATCAAGGGGCCAGAATCTACTTAGAGATGGAGCATTGGGCGCTTGGCGGCTCACGGTGGACTTGCTCTATACCTGCAGGCGGAGGCGAACGCGCGATTTGACGAGTCGGTGGAGATCGCGTTCAACCTGGGTACGGACCCTCGGCGGGGGGACCAGCAGGTGCGGGGGGCCGTAACGGTCCCCTACGGAACCGGCAAATCCGTGCGCATTGGCGTCTTCGCCGAGGACGAAGCCGCCGAGCTGGCGCGCTTGGCAGGTGACACTTCGGCCCCATCATGTGTGAGGGTCCACCCAGTTCTCAGGGCGCCTGTTCTTGGCTTTGTTTGCTCATTTTTTGTAAAAAGTTAGCCTGCTCCAGCTGCTTTCTGCGCTTGCCATTTGCAACGGCAGCAGGGGTTCGCGGCGTGTCATGAGCTGCGCATGGTTCTCTGCTGTGCTGCATTCGACCCAACCAGAGGTGTTTGCGCTGGCCAGTGAGCATCTCTTGGCGATTGGTCCTGTGGCCAGACGCCGTGTATTTTTGCATCCAACGGTATTTTACGCTAAAACATGTGCGGCGCACATGCGCGCAGGTGCGGAGGTGGTGGGAGGGGAGGATCTGGTCGCGAAGATCCAGGCGGAGGGCGGCGGCAGCAGTATCCCCTTTGACAAATGCATCGCAACGCCCGACATGATGCCCAAGCTCGCCCGTATCGCTCGCATCCTCGGCCCGCGCGGCCTCATGCCCAACCCCAAACTCGGCACCCTTGTGTCCCCCGGCGCCATCAAGGACACCATCGAGACCATGAAGGCCGGCCGCGTTGAGTACAGGTCAGAGGGCCTCCACTTGCTGATGTGGCAACCTGAAGCGCAGCTCAATGTAAAGTGCTGATTTTGGTGTGCGAGCCACTTGGTGCCAGCAGCACCTGTGTCTAGTTTGGCTCGCCTTTGTGTCTCCAGCAGGAAGACGTGGTAATCTGCGTTTTCCTGTGGGATGTGAGGAGACTCCAATCTAGGCACAAGTATTGCACTGGATGCGTCTTTAGCTGCTGGGAGACAAAGTGGTGTGTCCATGGGCCGTCTTGTCCCTGCAAGCGATACTTCTATCAACGTGACCATTGAAAGCTTCTGCGTGCACTTGTGCTCATTGTCTTACTTTATGGAAAGAGTCCTTCATAGACCAGGCAGTCAAGCTGCCATAACTGTTTTTGATTTTACTGCGTTTGGTGCAACAAGCGCCCTCTGAGCTAAAGGTGCAGTCGGAATATGCCCTGACTAGGTCTGCTGTGGCTGCAGGGCTGACAGGACGGGCGTGCTGCATGCTGCGTTCGGCAAGTGCTCCTTCCCCAAGGACCACCTGTACGCCAACCTGGGCGCTCTCACTGCAGCTGTACTGGCCGCCCGTCCCAAGGGCATCAAGGGCGGAGGTACGCGCACTCAACCCCCCTTCATCATGATGCGTTTGCCCTGAGGCCCGTGTTGAACGGCAGGCTCTTCGTGCACATCTTCACGTAGAGATCTCCCGAAAAGTTGCCCATACCGGCATTCAGGTATTGAGTGGATGCCTTCTGTCAGGGCTCATGAGCTGGAAGGTTTGTAGGCAATTTTGTGTTTCGGGCTTGCTTGAGCCTAGGTTGTGACCAGTCTGATGTACTCAGTGGCAATGCAGCTGACTAAGGAACAACGCGTATTTATTTGGGTCTCAGCAATTGTGTGGGTCTTAAGCCGCACAGTCCCTGCGAGTGTGTGATTGAGACGTGCCTGGCTTTTTGCGCAGGCATGACTGGGTACGTCTTGAAGGCGACGCTGTCATCCACGATGGGCCGCGCAGTGCCAGTCACGCTGCCCTCCCTGCAGCAGGCCATCTCAGCCCACCAATCCAAGCGCTGATCAGGCCCCTTCCTGTGCACAGTGCTGCCTCCATTGAACGCAGCTCCGGTGCGTGTGTTCTCAACTCTTCCATGTCCGTTGGCGTGTGCTAGGAGAGCACGCGGCAACAGGTCCATCTTGAAGGAGCTGTGAGATGCTGAAGGATGCATGTCAAGCTCTAGGGCTTGGGCAGCATTGCTCGCCGAGCGGTGCCAGAATTGGCTCCGGACACAGCCTGGCATCTGCAGTAGGTGCAGCTTGCTAGGACAGATGCAACTCCAGAGCACTGATTCGGGAGCATGCAGCTGCTGTGCTTGGGAGAGCACTGCTGTCACGAGTGGCCTGATGTATAGGCCAGAGAGGCAAAATCGGTCAGCAGTGGTCCTTTCTGGATCTGAAACCCAGACATCGGGGCCCAAATGTGACAATTGCTCCCCATGCGGTGCCATGACTGGCTTTTGGACACAGCCTGGTGTCTGCAGTAGGTGCAGCTTTGGAGGGCTGATGCAGCTTCAGAGCATTTTTTCGGAGCATGCAGTTTTTGTGATATTTGAGCATTGCTCCCCGTGCCAGCATTGGCTTGGGACACAGCCTCGCATTTGCAGTCGGTGCAGCTTTGGTGCTTGGTGAACTTTGCTGAGATGCAGTGCCAGCATGGACTCGTGACGGCCTGGCATTTGGGGTGCAAATAGCTCTCCCCGTTGTGGAAAGAAAGGCCATGGAGAGAGTTGCTTGATCACCAAGCCACCTTCCCCAAGTGCCGGCTCTTGAGCAATCTTTCTGTTTCATACGCAGACGCAGACGTGTAGAAGAGTAGGGTGAGGCCCAACTCAATAGGTACATATAAGATTGAAGCAGCCCTCGGGGTCACAGCCACTGCAGGCAGATGGGGGTGTAGGGCGCCGCCGTCGGCAGTCTAGGAACTATTTTTGAAAGGCATGTGCATCATTCCGCTTATGGAGGGGCATGAATGCCAAGGGTTCAGGTGGCTTCAGAATATTGCTGGGGGCGTCTCGTCACTCAATGTAATTTGCTGAATCAGGCGCTTATCTTCTCATCAGGCGCTAGCTCTTCTCTGTGGGAGGGGATTTTGTCAGCTCTGCTGATCAGGCTCCGTTAGCCTTGGGTCTGGATTTTCCAACATGCCAATAATGAATTGTCTGAGAGGCTGTCCTCCTCGGTGTCCTGTCAAGTGAGATTTTGCTTTGTGTCCTGCGGAGACAATTCCTCTGCATAAATCAGTGACCCCAGTTTGTCAGTGGGAGGTGCAGATCAGACACTCAGGCAAGCATAATACTCGGAAGGGAAATGCGTTATTGCAGCCACGAAGTCTCCATTGAGCCATGAGAGGGTCTTGATGTGGGCCTTATTGAGCTGCTAAGAATTGCCAATAAATTCCAAGTACGTGATTTTACCGCTTTTGAGCTTTCGCAGCACAATGACTGCATTTCGATTTAACGTGCTCTGCAGCTTGTCACCAGCAAAGCAGATTTGAACCCTGAAAGACGGCTAGATCATGTGCCTTAAGAAAAAGAGTGTTCAGTAAATTCAGGGTGCGGGGTTGGGTTGTTATAAGAGAGGGTTAAAAGTGCTTGAGGGTTGCAAACTAGGGGAATCAAGGCTGTTCATGATTATAACGCCAGACAAATCTGCACCGTGCTTGTTGAGGGCCCAGGTTTAACCAGCCATCAACTTTGCAAAGAAAAGCAGGTGAGCCATGCATGGCATGAAAAAAGCTCCAAAACCAAGGTATTAGCGTTCCGTAGCTGGAATTCCCAATATTATTGGACCTCAGGAGCTGCCACCCAGCGGGGCAGCTGGGCAGCAAGCAGCCATCCAGTGCAACGCACCTGCATGAAGTACAACAGCAGAATGGAGCACCAAAGATAATTATATGTACTATACGTCGAACAGGCGCCTCTGCTGCGGCATGCATGATATGCAGCAACTTCTCCAAGGTCAATTTCTCGTGTAGCTTGCCATGGCTTCAGATGTGAAGAACATTCACACATGGCATGCAGACAAAAGTTCGAGCAAATAGTCTTGGCACTGATGGACCAACAAAATGTGAGTCTAGACCTTCTCAAGATCTTTTGCCCGTTCATGATTACCTCGGTCCGTAGATGCCCGCAAGCTCGAGTCCAAACTATCGCGGTACAGATCCACAAATTAACAGACATCACAATGGCGTTCACCATGAAGTCCGTCGCTCCTTCCACCAGGTTCTTGAGTCCGAGGCCCGTCGCTTTGACAGCCAGATCGAGCAGGGGCCTAGTCGGCAGATCGCAGCTGGTGATCGAGGCTAAGACCGTCTGGCAGCTCGCACCAAAGTCTGGCAAGACTTTGGAGGCGCTCAACCTCACAGATGACATCAACACACAGAAAAGCTTCGTATCCGTGGGGGACAAAAAACACCAGGATGCAGAGCAGGTGCTCGCCCTACCTCGCATCCTTTTGTACACGTTCAAGATAGGATACCACCATGCCTTGCAGTACTGCTTGCTGCCACAAAGGCAACATATGAATTTTGTTATCAATTCACACGTGAGTTGAACTGACAATGGCATTGTAGAGCGCATCGGACCCTAGAACTATGCGTACCGCATGTCATGTATTGCAATATCTTCTGACATGGTTCCAATGTGTAATTGCATCAGATTTTCAGCGATGAGCAAGGAGTCTACGTCAAATTCGAGTCCAAGGGTGCTAGCGCCTCCGATGATTCTCAAGCGAACCTTTACCTCACGGTGAGACATTTCCTGATGCACAGCACTTGTTGTGCCTGGACCTCAAACCGCAGCGATGGCTTACTTGCATTCTGCACTTATGGTCAGGTATTTTTGCATCAACACAGGCGGCTGGCCTGCTCAATGCAGTGCGAAGACCCTGTTCTGCACTGCGCAACGACATCCTATCCTTTGTCAAAAATACAATACAAAAGAGTGGTGCTGTGCTATTGCAGGACCTGGGCAGTGAGACGTCTGTGACAGTGGATGGCAAGGAGGTAAGCAAGGACCAGGAGGTCAAGCTTAGAGTCGGTAGCGAGATCAGCTTTGGCTCCAGCACTGTGTACAAGGTGAGGACTCCACAGGCACGCCGAGAGCACTGTGTAAATTCCGCGGCTACTGATATCTGGCAGACTTGCTTTCCAATAGTGTGGGACAGGCGCATGCCTTGTATGTCCTCGCTTGCTGGACCAGCCAATCTCTGGCCCACGTCAAGCCTCTTGTAGTTGTTTATTTTTAGAGCGATGACTCGGTGGTCAACTTGGGATTGCTGTCTATGCATGCTGCGATCACTAGAGAGCTCAAATTTTAATGTGGCTGCTGAGCAGGTGCTTCGCGACGAAAGGGCTCATGCTTGAAGAGGAAACTTCAGGCAGCATCCTTGAGTTCATCCAAGCAGTTCATAGTGTAGGCATTCATGAGGGTTTGATAAGTTCTGAGGAGAGTGAGCTATTGCTTTTTAGAGGTGTGTAGTACTGGACACAGTGTACACCATGCATGTGCAGTACAACTGTCCAGATGAATAGCTGCTGCATCTGCATGTCCTTTTGCTGTAACTGATTGCCGATCATGGCAACTTGCAGTCTATTGATATTAGCAACTTGACTTACACACTCCTAAGAATTGTAAGGGAATCTGACAAGCCAGGCTAGAACGACAGTTGCCCGCTGCTCATGAGTGATCATTTGATGCAGCGGCATGGCCGGCACTAGTGTCGGCCTTAGTGGTGGAGCATCGACCGCATTAAACTATTACAAGCTACTCTGGACCTGAGTCTAACATGCATCAAGAGTGTAGCGGTACAGTGTACTGAAACTTAAAAATCTGGAATGCCAAGATCAAGTTATTCCAAACACATTGAGGCCTGCGAGTAAGACAACTAAGCCAGCCTCTCCACCACAACAAAATGTGTATTCCGTTAGCTAACTAATACACCGCTAGCACGCTCAACAAGCACAACATGCCTTCATAAGAGCCGTTTACATGTGTGCTCTCTGAGCACAAAGTTTGCTAAGCGCGAACAAAAAGTGCACCATGCTATTATATTCACCTTGGAGTTCAACGGTCCAGAGGATCACGAGTCTTGACACAGTGGTGGTCTGACTGCATTCCTGTACCTCACAACGTTATATTGTCATTAATTAGTGACAGCCACATTGCGTACTGCAAGCGAGTCTGCATAACACTTCTTTGACCTGCATCGTTTGATAGTGCGTCTGCCATACATGTTATACACGTGGTGCAGTTGAAACTCAACCTGCCATGCATGGGAGATGTAAACCTCCCATCCTATATCAAGAGAAGGGAAATTTCGAGACATGAAGGCACTGCGGGCGCCAAAAGAGGAGAAAGGGCTGCCTTGCGGTGTACATAGAGTGCATTGGACAAAATAGACATCCTATATGTGCGCTGTGCGCTTCGGTCAACAAGATCGTAGGAGAATCTTGAGTGCTTGAAGAGCATCGCTCAGCCTGAATCAGGCAAAGGTCCACTGCTGGGTGCCTGCTGCGTTGGCTGCCAGGTGTGCTGCGACATGTCTGTTGTGGTGCACGAGCTCCCATCTGTCCATCCAGGGACCGCTGATGGTTGTGTCCAACTCCTTGTCAGCTGCGCATCAGACACCCATGCATCAAAATGATGGCAAGATGCTCTCCCAGGGTCGCTGCAAGACATGGTAAAGCACTGATGGTGACACAACTGCCGAATTCCTATGAAGACCGCCGCTTCCTGGCAATGTCAGCAGTCTGATGCTCAGCGTCACGCAGAAAATTAGAACGTAGCAGAGCAACGTGACATGGGGGAACCACGACAAGCAGGATCGATGGTTATCATGGTTCCAGAGAGGTCGTGTTGCTCTGCTACTCTCCCACTGCTTGTCTGACGTTGAGCGTAAAAGAAAGAAGCCATTCCTCTGGCTCTCGGATACATGCGTGCTGCAGGGATTTATACGCCCTTGAAAAGATGAGCCTCATATGGGTACCAACTTCCGTGCAGCCTCTTCGTCGGATGACAGGCAATGCCAGTATGCAGAGCAACAACAAGAAACACAATCCTGAAGCTCTTGCATTCTGGCAAGCAAGACTCAACCACATCATTACACAGCTCCTGGTGGCTCCACTGCCACTGCTAATTCCCTCACTGCCTCTCTTTATCACCACGGCACATAACATGGTGCATAATTGACTGTTGCATGTTTGGGGAGAGGAGGCGCTTCTGCTTTCCCACAGTCCTGGGACAGTCCGCTGAAAAGCAAATGAGGCCTCACCTTGCGCCACGTCAGCGGCAGCGGTGACCTCAGCAATCTTGTCAGCGCTGATGGCGGCCTTCTGCATGGGCGTCCTGTCTTGGCTGCCCCAGTCCGTCCAGTCGGGGGCGTACCCTGGCTCGCCTGATTTGGCCATTGTTATGCAGTCCTTCAGCCCGTAGAAGCCGTTGGGCAGGCCTGGCCGCTGCCAACGCAGATCCAGAGACCACCTGATCTGGTCGCTCATGTTGTCCAGAGACCTGCGCACAAGGCAAGACATTTGAAGTCTTCACTTGATTGACTGGAGAAAGCTCTCTCACGTTGTCTAGAGACCTGACCATGAGGCAACACATGAAGACTTGGTTTCAGATGATCTGACGGTGATAATTCAGCATGTTGTCGAGAGACCTGCTCAAGAGACAGGAGGCAACATACACTGACTTAAATTCAAATTATTGGCCATATAACTCTCTACAATATAGAAGCCTGCGCAAGAGGCAGAAGGCAACACTGGCATGCTCAAAATTCAAATGGTTGACCATGGGATCCCCATCGACATTGCTGGGCAACAGCAGAGAGCAGAGCAAACAGGAGCACGGCTGATTGATATCTGCAACAAAAGCTGGCAGATCGCTGCATGGCGCGCTTCCTATTTGCGTGTACAGAGCGCCAGGCAGAACACCTGCCACTTCGCAATGCAAATATTCTACCTCTGCTCTGAGTCTTGGGCATGCCAAGCAGGCACATATGGCCTGAAGGGTAAGGCTGAAAGCATAGCATGATATCTTGACCGCTGCAGGACCACAATCACATAATTGCTTGGTTTATGTTTGTCAAAAGGCCCCTCACCGGTGGGGGATGAGGTTGTTGAGGAAGAGGACGCTGCCGAAGGGCACCTCGCATGTGACCACGTCAGCCGCCATGTCAACGCCCAGCTCGCGCTCAGCATCCTCCTCATCCATCTGCACATACCTGCGAACAGTCACCAGCTCAATATGAATTGCAAATCTCAAATTCAAGTCTCAAGACACGGTACGATTACCCTCAATTGTTGCCCTCGGGTCGCTCATGCGCACATACCTTCGCAGCTTCAGCAGAGACCAAAAGATGCAGAAAGGGGAAACAGAGCATGAATCGTTATTGTGTTTATGGAGATGGATGCGATGGGCAGCACTGCAAGCCAAGCAATTTTGACAGCTCCTTAGTGCTGCATGAAGTGCATGCAGCAATGCAGTAACAAAGAAATTGCCTGGCTTGCAAAGAGGAAAAGGCAACTAACACTGTAAGAACCCAGCTGTGCCGTGCATGCAAATAGATCCATAAAAGCAGATCGGCCAAGGGAACAATGACAGCATAACGGCCCACGAGCTCTCAGAGGACAGGGATTCAGACTGGACATTCTGTGGGCGTGCATTTGCATCTAATTGGCGACAAAAGGGGCCACAAATGGCAAACTGTATGCCTTGCAGGAGTAGGAAGTGGTCAAAGTGGGTCACAACTTTCAGATGACATAAATGCAGCTTCACGCGTTACTCGGTTTTGTGGTTGTCTGTCTTGTCTGCAGCATAAGTGTCTGCCGTTCTGAAGAGGCATTGTTTCTCACCAGGTGCCGCCGACGCAGCAGCTGTGCTTCACGGTCTTGCCGGCGCGGTGCCCCCCGCGGATGACCTGCATGCATCCGTTGCGCGGCGTTGCTGTCAGCATGGGGATCCAGGCTGTCACCTGCAATACCTCCCAGCTCTCCGGGTGCAGGTACCCGTTGTCCTGCAGCATTCAAAAATACATTCAAATCCAAATTCTGAGGCTTTTTTCTGTACTCAAATACATAATACATCTGCAGAGCGATCACACAATGCGATCATCGTCCAAGTGCAGAATGGACTCCTGTTCATTGTATCTAGCTGGGAATTGCATGCTTGGTGGCTACCACAGGAGGCAGTATGGCTGTAGGATTGCTTCCTGTAAGGTTCCTTGTCATCTGCTAAGTTGTGGTACAGGGTTTCAAGCCTGCTTCCATGCAGAGCAGCCAACCATAAGCATGTAAGCGTGCAGGAATACAGGCACGTCAAAGAAGGACTCAGTGCCACGCATCTGGGTGAGGCTATTGGTTGTGCAGAGACAAAAGGTCAGCAGGTATGATGCAGGCTAATCCTAGAAAACTCACTGCCATGCATCTGGGCGAGGCAGTTGCTTTGTGCAGACAAAAGGACATCGGAGGTGGTGAGAGGAGCTTGCCTGGTGCCAAGGAACAGTCGCCTGCTCCTGCTGAGGTGTCTTGGCGCGCAGATTCCAGACAGGGTGTCCCGCCACATCCCCTGCATTATAGCGGAACCTAGGACATCACTGGGGTCCCTGTAAATAAGTAATTTAGTCTGCGAGGAGGTGATCGCATCCTGTCAACGTCCCATGAAGAACTTCCATGGGAAATTTGTGGGGTTTACATTAGGGCATCACTGGGGTTCATGTACATCTATGCATCTGAAGATGTAGTCTGCATTGGTCGTCCAGATTGGATAAAGAACGTCTATAAGCAGGTGGTGTATTTGACACAAGAAGGGGTTATCACAGAGGGATGGAGCGCAAGCAAAGCAAGGAGCAAATTGAGGGGTTCACATTGACATGTTAATTAAGCCTAGGCAGTCTGCAGTATGCTGTCTGCAGACAATCTACAATTAAGAAGGGAATGTGAAGGTGAACAGGCGCGAAGGGGGTCCTGACCTCCGAGGAACTGCTTGGCAGCGCTCATAAGGGCAGGAGAGCTCCACAGGGTGGCGATCTCTGGGGGCAGAATGCCCTGCTTGTGCACGAGCACGCTGGCGCTGGGAAACTGCGCCTCCAGCTTTGTCAGACGCGTGAAGAAGTCTGCGTCCTCGCAGAGGTCCTGGATCTTGCCCGCCTTGTGGAGCAGCTCCGCCACCTTGTCCACGGATCTGCTCGCACAAGCACGCACTCTTCAGGCGTTGATGGACAGGACGCAGGAAAAAAATATTTAATTCCTATGCAATGCCATCATATCTGGAGCATGCAAGGACCCCTGCTGCAAGAATAGCAGATGGAGCAGTCCGTGCCAAAGAGGGGGATGCTGGCACGAGCAAGGCAGGATGACGAACAAGGGCACCTGTTGATAGCATTCTTGACTGCATCGAGTTGCTCCTTGGACAGAAGGTCCTTCTTGACGACGAATCCCTCATCCCAGTACTGCTGCAGCTCCTCCTCTGTGAGGACACCCTCCGTGAACGGGCGCCTCCAGGACTTCATGACGCGACTGTCTTCGGCAAGCAAGGCACCTTTGCACATGGTGCTCCCGGAGGGTAGCAACGCCTAGTACTCCAGTAGGATTACAAACTGTACAACCTACTATGCCCTTAGCGGGATTGGTCAAAGAAACCAAATGATAGAGGTATGAGGTGATTGTAAGTAGGTCTGCAAGGACTTGATGACCAGGTAATCGTCGCACGAGACGAACCAAAAAATGGAAGGAAAGATCGACTGCGCAGGGGTCCACTTTAGGACTCTTGTTATGCGAGGTGCTCAAGACTGGGTTAGGTTGTTTCTCCTACTTCAACTTGATCAGTAAAGCGCACGGGTTGATCCTTATAAGGAGTTTGCTCTTCCTAGCACACGCTGTAAACTGACATGTCAGTCCACGTCAGCCTCCTGCCGGTCGGTTCAAAATGTTCATGTTTCAGGCATTTGAGATTGTGGGTGGGTGAGGGAGCGTACAGATATCATGCATCTTGCAAGGCATGCTTCAGCAATTGCAAAATGTGGCATCATGCATGATGCATGCAGCATGGCCCTGCCAGTGCGCAACACCGTGTTGACACAGTGACTCAGTCAGCTGTTGCGCACAGCATCAGTGACTTTGGTCTGAAACTCCTAACGAAGATTTACATGCTGTGACTCAATCACCTGTTGCGCACAGCATCAGTGACTTTGGTCTAAAACTCCTAATGAAGATTTACATGCTGTCTCAGAACTCTGCAGCAGGCCTTCCCAAGTCATGCACATGCCTGCATGCTTTGCAGGGCGCTACCACCGAACAGCGTTAAGATAAATAAAGTTGAGCCCACAGATCAACCTACCTTCGCACTGATTCAATCTAGCACTCAATGCAACCCCTGGATATTGTACACAATTCTCTGCAGGCAGCACACCTGCCATGAGCAAAATCCACCACATGACCCCACCAGGGTCAAGCTCAGAAAAACAAGCTAGAAACGATGCTGACAGTCAACTTTGAGCAACTGCACGGGCAGCTGATCTCGCCAAGAGCCTGCAACCCGTCCAACTATGATGCAACAAATGATCAAATCTCTAGATGCTAATAGCGTCTCGTGGTGTTTCCTAATCACTCTCAACAATCATATCAATGGGGGCTTGCCCCCACTTTAGCAGGTAATCATTCTGATCACACTGCCACTCAGTAGGTCCTCATCCTTTTGAATGCAAAGATGCAGTCCTCAGCAGATGCACCAAAGATGGTGGCACCCGGAACTACTGCCCGGCCATTCTGGCACCACAGCAGTGCCAACACAACGCTTGGAGGGAGCCAAGGAATTTCTGGCACAAGGTCATCGGATGACCTGTGCAAGAAAGTACTAGGCCCACGCTCTGCCAAAACACAGGACACAGGAGTCTGCAGCTCAAGACGCCTTGCGCGCATTCTCAGGGGTGTTGTCCTTAGGTGCCTTTGGGTCATTTGGAGCAAACTCCCCCGGGCGCGCATTGTGAGACATGCCCTCGCTGTCGGTCACATGCGGATCCCCCAGCCTGCCTGAGGGGCCCCCGGCGGGGGTTGCAGAGCTTGACTTGTCCTGCATTGCCACAAATAGAAGTCAAGGACAGCACATCCAGCGGTGAATGCTGTCACAACACAAGATTCATGCACTGCATGTGCCCAAATGACGATTGATTCTTGTGCTGAGCAAGTGCAGACCAGCTGTGGCAGGAGCATCTGCTGGCACTCCCATGACAAAGGCAAAAAATACCGACATCGCTAGGCAGTCTTCACATGTTCTAGATCAATGCCAGCAAGTCCGAGCCACAAGATATCCCTTCCAAGAAGCTCACCTCGCTGCTGTCTGCTGAGCTGCTGTCTGCTGAGCCTGATTGCTCCAGCTCTTCCCTAGTTGGAGAATCGTGCCCCTGCATGTTATCAAACCATATTAGGCAGGCATATTAGAATGCTCCTAGGTTGATGGTTCACTGACAGCCAACTTCCTCTTCATTGCCTGGCAGCACTCGTGCTTACACAGAAGATTGTTCTGTCAATGACGATGTTACTGCAGGGTGTCAAAAAATCCCAATTCCATTGGTCAATCAATATCAAGTCCTTCAAGCGCACGATTCTAAGGGCTTACGAGAAGCAGCAGCCGATAAGGCAGCCGAGGCCCACCTTGGACACATTACCACTTCCCTGTCGGTCCAGGGAGCCCTTTGGAGGCACGCGGTTGGGATCCAGTGCCTGCCCTGGCACCGCATCTGGCGTGCTGCCCTCCCGTGTGGGCTCATCCGAAGAGCTCACACTGTAGCTGGCCGCCTTTGTCTGGGTTGGCAGACTGACAGATCCAAGATAGTTGCTGCGATACCTGGCAGCGATTGAGACGGGGTTGTACTCCAAGTTCTCCGCGATCGGCTGCAGTGTCGACCGGAAAAACCGCCTACACATCGAAGGTACAAGAGAACGTCAAACCTCTATCTACAATCCGCAAGGACACATCATTGGCCGGTAACAAGTGAATCAACCTATGCAATCTGGGCACCTATCGATCGCCATCCCAGACAGCGTTGCAGCATACGAGGCTTCAGACGTGGTCAGGGGTTTCAAATCACGTGAGATGCCAAGTCTTATTGTACACCAGCAAGCCGAACCAAGCCCGATCGGGCTGCTTTTGCCATAGGATGACACTAAAAGAGACATCGTGCGCGATCTGAAGGCATCGCCGCCATCAGCAGCATTCGGTCCTCACACACTTCCTCGGCAGTCCCCACTCGAAATCCGATGCCATAAGGTTGAGCTATAAACCCTGTTGAGATGTCGCTCACCTTCCGTGAGCAATTCCACTCCTCATCGTTGCTCAGGTTCGAGATCGCTCGAGCGAAAACTCCAAACACAATAAGCCTTAACGAGAGTCTTCTGCCAACCTCGCCACCTGTCGCTGGGCAATCCTCAAAATCCTGGCTCGCACGCTGTGCTTTCAGTCTGTATTGAATGTCGCAAATGCCCGATGCCACGGTGGCGATCAAGACGGTTGATGGCTGGAAATTGAATGTCAAGCCAGCCTGTCGTGCGCGCCTAAGATTAAGCTTTCGGAGTCTGACTACCGCTGCCCAAGCAGTTGCGATGGAATGGGGACCCTTGATGGCGACATCTGGCAGCATGGGCGCCTATATAGGCACCGTTCACCTCACCCTATTATTGCGCAACTTCTTCATCAGCACGAAGCTCATTTATGCAGGAAATCTGATATCGGATCGCGCCACGTCTGCTAACGCTGTGCTTTTGGGCAGAGCGGAGTGCATGGCCATGATGCATGCATTGTTCCCGGACGTTCACGAATCATGGGGCGCACAGGCTCTTTAGCTGCAGCTGCATCTAGCTACATCTAGCACATGAAGCACAGCTGCAGCATCTTCCAGTCCACGATGATCGTGGACTGGAAGATTTGACAGCTTGCGGCCCGGATCAAGCCAAGGCTGAAAAGTCACGCTGCGCAGCACGACCAATGGTCTGCACATGCATCACCGGTACCACAATCATAATTGATTCTGCTGCTGCCATGGCACCAGCATCAACTGAGCAACTTTGATATACTGAGCAACCGCAGCGCAGCGGCTGCGCAGTGTCACGTTGGACATGGATGCCCGTCATAACGCAAATTTAATCACGAAACCTGCATGCACTGCCTGCCTATCAGTGAACTTTGGCGGTTGAGAAGGCACATGCGATCAAGAAGTGCTGATTGTCCGTGACCTTGAGGACCTCCTACAAGGCACTATGGGCCAGGCTGCTTGCATCCCCACCAACAAATATGCATATCAGGCAGCCTGCCAGTGCGCATGACGGTCAATGGTAGGACCTGCCACTGGCAGGCACTGCCGAGGTGACCTACAGTGCACTCAATGATTGGATCAATCACGTGCTCTGTGGCATCACACAAGCACTTTCTTGAAGCTCAATTGGGCTGTTGCACTGCAATCGGCAAGCGGCTCTCCAGTCCCTCCAGGCTGGTACTCCAAATCCGATGCGGAGTTCGCACCTCAGCCTGAGGCCGCATGAAGGATTACCCATGTTTAACAGTGGGGCTATCCTGCGGCATCACGATGGGCATCTAATAGTACATTCTAAACCCAGCTTCTACTGCAAGAACAGCTGTCTCTTCATGCAGGGTGGAAGCTGTGAGAAGCCATCGTTACTAATTTTTGTCACGTGCGCTTCCCCAAATTTCCATTGGCTCTTAACAGAGCGTCATTGCTCCTATGTAGCGTGTGAAAACATCGTCATAAGCAATCGAAGTACTATGTGCGTCAGCAATGGCTGTGATAAATGGAATGGGGGACTCCAAGACCGATGGCTTGGTTCGTCGTCTCTGGGCTTCGTTCTACAAATTAGCAGAGGCCCTGAAGTGGAAAGATGCGCTCCGTGCAGCAGTTGGAGTCGGCATGTTTGCGATTGCAGCTGTTGTGCTCGACTCTCAGGATAGGTTGGGAAAAGGTCACGGAGAGTTTCACCAATGGGCTCAGGGGTGCCTGGTGCGTTGATCCATTCATGTCTCGCAATTCTCGAGGCAAATTTTGCTTAGAATTGCAAAATTCCATTGCATACCTCTGGCGTGCACTACGAGTCGTCAGGTTACCCATAGCACAGGCAAACCCTCACTTGCAGATGTAGCTGGAGGCAATGTGCAGTGGTTATGCACATTTTGAATCAACAAGGCTGTGCACTCCTGACAATCTGATGCACACCACGCAGTGGGGGGCCATCACTATCGTCACAGTCAACAGTCCAGTAATGGGCAAGATTGCCAAGGTGAGTTTCGAGAGGTGTTTGGGCACTCTGGTTGGGGGCTGGCTCGGATGCGCATGCTTCATGGTGACGCGTCATCCGGCATGGACAGCTGTCATCAGCTTCCTCGTTGCTCTCGCCTCCTCCATGCTGGCGGTCAAGCTGAAGCTGGACTACTCCTGCAAGCTGCTCAGCATCACCTTTATCGTTGGTGCGCGTAGTGTCTCCTGCCTATATCAGTGCTCACGGTTGGTTGGTCTTGCTTGACATCTGGCGAGTCCAACAAGGGGTAGGATTATGGCAGCTTTCACCTGCAGCTTGTCTGCAGGACGCACCTTGCCTCTTGGCAGGACACTTGCCTCTTGTATTAAAAATAAATTTTTGCTTGTTCTGATGCCTTCCCATTTTTCTGCAGTGCTGTGGACACCTGAGAGCAAGGAGCAGGCGGTGCTCGTGGCAGCATCGCGAGTCAGCTGCATCGTGCTGTCAGTGCTGATCATGGCCCTATTGGCGATGCTGATCTACCCCCAGATTGCCTCAGAACAGGTGGCCCTCTTTTTCCCCTCTCTTCCTCTCCTAATTTTGTAGGTGCCCATTCCCTGTCCTTCTTATCTCTTGTTAAGAGTGTCATATGAGGCTTCCACTTTATGTGTGCACTTTGTAAGCGGCCTTGCCAGTATTGAGGTGTCAAGCCGGACTGCAGATTTACCATAGACCAGTAGATTGCATTGGTTGTGTGCCTTTGGGAGTGTCCATGTAAGTATCAACATGTCAGACCAGGCTCGAGACCCTTCTAGACACTGAAAGTTGGTGTTATGGGTGTATGCAGGTGCTTGGTTCGCTAAACAAAGCAATGGAATCGATGGCAATTTTGAACAGGATCGTGTGGGAGGAGGTTATGCACAAGTGCAGAGAGGAGTCGTTTCGCATCACAACGAGCTTTAGACTGAGTATGGTCACAGCAGACAGGGCAGCCCAGGGCAGGACACAATCTCACGCCGCTCTGCAAAATGTACAAACGAGCGATAACGTGGAGCGAGAACATGCGCAAAAGCAGGATCAGCAGAAAGCCTACCGTCAGGATGCACAGAAGGCACAGTCGCAACAGACTGAGTCAGAAAAGTCAGCTACTGCACTGGGGGCAGCTTCCCAGCACTCGGAAGCTGGGCCTCCGGAAGGCGGCATAATTTTTGTAGATGAGGGCAGCTGCCAAGCAGCTGCAGCAGGCGTCCCTACGAGTCCCTTGGGTTATGTGGCAACATCTCGGAGGGAGAGCCTTACAGCAGAGGATGATCTGCCGAGAAGTTGCAATGGGGGCACTGCAAATGAGCGGCACGGAGGGCCTGATTGCTCTTCCAGCAGAGGGGAAAAGGTGGCGGCCGAAGATGGGCGCCAAAGCCCTTCAGGGGAGAGGCAGCACACAGACAGCGGCGCAAGCAGGCCCTCTGTGACAACTCCATTCTCTCCAGGTACGTTGATGACCGCTGGCAAGGCAGAGTCTGTCCTCGCCAACCCATGGGCCGATGATGCACCCAAATTGCTCACCCTTGCCATAAGCACAGCCGATTAGGATGTCACAATGTTGCCACATTACCTGGTGAGTATCGGAAAGCGCATCGTGAAAGGCAGGAGTTGGGAAAGAAATGGCAGAACATGTGCTTGTTGTATATGCAGGTGCCAGTGCAGCGGCAGGCAGCAATGCGAGTTGGCCGCAGAATTGGCGGTCCATGGGTGCATGGCTGCCAGTGTGCTGCGCGAGGCCGCGGGGGAGGGGGGATAATAAACCAGGGGACACAAGCGACGAGGCGGCAGCCAAGCAGCAGCTGGATGAAGAGGAAAAGGTGAGTCATGCGCAGGGTCCAGGGGTTTGTTAAGGCTCTGCAAAATGCAGGCATTGTGCAGGGGAGCCTAGAATGGCGATGGTCATGTGCACAAGCTGCATGTCCTCGACCAGATTTGCAACAAGGTGCCAAAAGCTCAGGATACACTTTAGGAATCAGACGCTGTGTTGCTTGTGGCGCAGGCGGCTGCGGATCAAGTGGCGCTGCAGCTGGGGTTCAAGGGGTATGCAGAATTGGAGAGGGAAGAACCCTTCTTCGACGCCAGCACAGCCGTTCGCAACCAGCAGGTTCGGCCCAAATCTACATTCGCGTCTACTCCAGCAACAAATTGCTTCATGCCTCCTTGGTTGTGTGGTTGCATGCACGGATTTTTTTGCAAAAGTGCGATAAACTTTCATTTGATGACTGTGTGGCTATCATAGCTCTTGCCAATATCTGCATCCTTATGCCTATCTGTAGCTGCTCTTCCCGTGCAGTCTCAAAGAGGGCAGATGAGTATAGGAGAGGCTCTCTTGCATGGCTCTCTAGAGATTTGATGGGTGCTATAACGTGTTCCTGGCTGGCGGGGGGCGGGGGGCGGGGGGCGTACTGAGAACCGTGCCCGCGGTTGATTGGGTCTTGCTTGGATCTGGCGAGTCCAACAAGGGGCTAGGACTGTGGCAGCCAGATAGTGCAGCTTGTCTGCAGCACGCACCTTGCCTCTTGGCAGGAAAGGCGTCTAATAATGATGAGTATAATGATGTGTTTTGTGCTGGGGTTGCGTAACAGGCGGCGGCTGAGGAGCAGCTGACGACGGCACTGAGCGAGATGTATGTAGGCACGTGGGCCGGCAGAAGGTGGTTTGTGCCAACCGTCTTCTACCAGAACGAGGCGCACAACAAGCAGGGATGGCACATGCCCGAGAAGGTGCGCAGATATATTCTTGTTAGTAATATTTTCTGAAATAGGCATTAAGGGTTTAGTGACACTAAACGCTAAACAACAAAACAGGTGTTGGGCCAAGAAGGCAAACTTGTAGACAATTTTATAGCCCAAATAATACTCTAATGAGAAGGCGTGCAAGAAAAAGCTCTACGCAACTACATTCGAGCGACTGGCCCTGATGGGTAGATATTTAAAAGGGTTGTTGGGTGACCACAAGCTGCAATGATGCATTCATGTCACCACTGCTCCATAAGGCTTCCTGTAAAAGGATGTCCACTGGGCTTGGGTTGTTGGGCATTTGTTATAGATTGGTGTCGGGGGAACGGCTATCAGGGGGATACAGCTGTCTTTCGTGTAATTCTGAGGCTATTCCTACAGGGGTTCCGTTATGGTGTGCAACAATCTTGAGGTACACACCCCACTTGATCCACAATCTGAAAGGGTGTTTACACATGCGCGCAGCTGATGTTACGGCTGGCGATGCGCATGCGGAGGGTTGTGCGCGTGCTCAACATGCTGCATGCCACCTTCAGGGAGGGCTTCCAGGTCAGCTTCCTCGTCACTGCCACCCTGTCTACAGCGCAGTTCCCTGTCAGACACTGCAAAGCACAAGCCAGGAAGGATTGGTTACTTGAGCGTCTGCCAGGATTGAGCAAAAATGCCTGCGGATGGATATCAGGAGTGTCTGCCATGTGTTTCAAAGTCCAGGAAGATGTTCTAAACGAAGGAGTCACACTGAAATGCAATCCAATAACGCGAGCTGAGCTGTGCGCCTAAATGGTATCAGCAGAGCGGCAGAGAAAGCGTTCTTGGCCATGACATACTGAGGCGCTTTTTGTGTTGCCATGCGCAGAAGGAGGTCCTAGAGGAATTGGAGCATAACTTCCCCCTGGATCTGCTGGTGGAGCTGTCAGAAGCTGCCATGGCCACACTGCAGGTTTAAAGTCTCCAGCCTTACTTGGCCTCATAACTGCTGCATGCGATCCAAGTTTTGTGCAGTCCACGCTACAGGCAAAATAATTCACCTGTGCTCTCTGACATCTCCCTTTCTCCACTGGGGGTGGTCGGGAGGTGGTAAGCATGAATGCCATATCCACCGATGCATGCATTCGTGTACTCTCATGCCACATACCATGTCTGTGGCATTCATCCCACCAGGTGGCATGTCAGATTGTGTATATAAATGCCACAAGCACACAAGCATTCCTCTGATCAAAGCAACACTGGGCATGGTGATTGTGTGGCATGCGGGATCTTGCAACTTGCTTGATGGTATGATGCAGGCATTGAGCTCGTTTGAGAGGTTGTGACGCATCAGCCAAGCTTTGCACTCTCTATGAGGTGATGAGGCAAGTGAGACACACCAAGACTTGGACATTTCGAGGTTGACGACTAAAATTTGAACCCATGCAGGCTTTTGTGGACGCGTTTCCGAAGCCCGATCGCCCGGTGACGGCAGAAATGTCAGATATGCGTCTGAGGAAGCTGAGGGAAGTCGCCAATGTTCTGCTCGCCCTCGCGCAGACCTCGCGCCAGCACAAGGTGCGAATTTGGGTAGCCTCCGCAGTTGGAGCCAACGCGCTCTTCTGATGTAGCGCCTGAGTCACAGGTCCTCTCATTTATACTTAGATAGATAGTTCGGCAGCAATAGTACGAGATAATTTGAGGTCAGGCTGCGGCAAAAGTCTAGTGTGCATAGCAAAGGAGAGGCTCAAGTTTGAGCATTTACATGCACATCTTTAGCACATGACCTGAGCATGAGCTGTGCTGGTACAGGTGGACTTAATAGCATTGGGAGAGGAGGTCAGAAAGGCGGTCACGGCCAAAGGCTGCGGCGAAGAAGAGCTGCTGCGGCGGCTGCGGTGGGTGATTACTAAGACCGGCGGCGGCCTTAGTCATGCGGTGGGCGCTGACGAGGCGGTCAGTCAGCCCGGTGTCATGTTCCCCAACACCGATGCCGGCTGGCTCGCCACGGTGCGCACGTGGCGTTCCCTCCACCTACCCTTGACTTCAAACTGTTTTTTTATCAAATGTCAACTCTGATACACATTAATCTAAGCCTGCAAACCACCACACACCGTGAATTTTGCTCCCTGCTGTACCTGGAGTGAGGGCCTGACCCAGCAGCAGGATTCTAAGTAAGGAGGTTGTCTTGAGCGGATGCACAGTCCAAGGCTTTCGGTGGGGAGGATGCTATGTTGAGTACTGCTGACAGCTGGCCCTATGGGCAAGCCAGGTTCTATGAAATTTGGGATAATTTTTCGTACAAAGAGTTCTTTTCACCTGACAGTCTTAGTGCCGTTCCCTTCAACAGATGGATTTGCTCCTGCCAGCTGACATCGGCAGAACTATATTAGGGAGTGACTCCACTTTTAGCCAAGCACACAACAGTCTGCTCACAACACAGTGTCCCACCGAAGCATCCCGAACTGCCAACAAGGAGAAATTCTTATCTGCAAATGCAAAAGAGAATATGCATGCGCAGGCTCGGTGGTACAGCTTCCACTTCCTAGTGCACCAATTGGTGGAAGCCTTGGATCGGCTGAGGGTGACTCTGAACCTGATGCTGCCTCGCTTGCCTGGCGCTCACATCCAGCCGAGCTCACACAACAAAGGTGGGCTTCTCTCCAAAAGATATCCTTGCTGCCATTGGAAAGAGTCGCAGTTTGTGTGGTCCTGTAAACTTTCCACATCATTGCGCTGCTGAAGTGGTGCGGTGTCGGCCTGCCAGACCAGGCGCACCTGGTGAAAAACGCCATTGGATTAGTGTGGTCAATCAAGCTTTGTTGCTAGATGCGCGTTTGTGCAGTGATGCAGTGGATAATCTTCGTGTGGCAAACGTGTCTTAGAGAGTTGTGTGCTGGGTGTAAGGTAGGGACGGGCCCTTGTCACTTGCCAAGTGATACTTTTACATTTACACGGTTTACATCTACAAGATTACAAAAAAATCCAGAGTGTACAATTTCCCACCTCTCTCGCGAGTCTCCGACGCTCACTGTCTCTAAGTGCATTCCGGCTGCGTTTTGTACTGATATTTCGATTGCAAGAGCAGGACTGACGGCCCAGTTGCATGCACTCAAAAATGCATTGTGTGTCAGCCTACAAGACACCCTTATGGTTGCACCCCTCAATCAGCTTGTGTGCTTTGAGATGGCACACACACATTGCAGCCTAATCAGACACCTGCAGTCAATATGGTGCCGACATGCATACAAGTTTTAGACAGCACTGCTCTCAGAACTGATGTTGAGTTCTTTTTGTGACGTTGGATTGTCCACTGTTCTGCTCCTGCAGGTGACATGAGGCCGACACCCAGTGAGACAGCGGAGCACAGCGCTGCGCATGCACAACGCAGCAGAGTTCAGGTGGTCCTGGAGGGCTGATTGCGCGCCACAGACTGATATTATTAGTATTGCTGTAGTTACTACACGCTTTTCCTGCCAAGAGGCGAGGTGCGTCTTGCAGACAAGGTGCACTTGAAACAGAACACTGGACCACCGCACACGACTCTCTTGACCGTCTATCAACCTTTCCAATTTGGCTTTATTCCAAATCCGACCCAATTTCATTCAGCATTTCAGTCTGCGCCATGCAGGCCTCGAGGACCTCCGTGTACTACTTGTTCCAATTGTGACCATTTGTTTGAAATGACTTTGCAGATGGTTCTCTGACTCACCCTGTCATCACAGCTCATTGCAAAAAAATTCCGCTCTGTGAGTGCAACCCAGATTTGTTAGCAGCATATCAGTCTGGCCCTGGCTGGCGGGGGCCAGTAAAGTTACTGGGCACAGTACTGCGCAGGCATGCCCCACTAGTGTCCTCGATTAAAATGTCTTGGCTTGGATCTGGCGAGTCCGTCAAGGGGTAGGAGTGCAGCGATTGACAGTGCAAGCAGGCTATCAGAGCAGCAGCTTTGTTGCGCCGAGTGGTGGACATGAGCGGGTAGCAACTTGAGACCTGTTGAGGTGCATGTGATGTACTTGGGATGATATTTATGATGGAAGATACTTCAGTAATGTCAACTCTTCATGGTGGGCGATCAGGGTTCACAGAAACTGTGCTACAGCAAGACTTGCAATCCCAAAGCAAGAGGGATGCATTTTCAAACAGAAGGTCGGTGATAGATGGATAATTGATTCTACGTGTCAAATTAATCTCAAAATCAGAGACTTTTCCGCATGGTAGGAATGGAGGGAATGGAAGGAGGAGCCAGAAATGGAGGACTGGCCTTGGAGTCTTTCAGCAGCTATTACCCGCCTAAGGAAGACGGCTGTTGATGCAAGCATTTTACTGACATACCGCTTATCATGCCCTCGGCATTGATTCTGCAATTGTCTGGAATGATGACAGCTTGGCAAGGCTCTTTCTTCGTTCACGACCACACATTATATTGTACAACCAATCAGCTGTAGCTACGGGCCCAAAATTCGCGGTATCTCCTATTATGAGTGTCTTTTTGCTTTTCTGTGGCACGTTTCCTCGCCTTGCTGCATCCCATCATGATGTGATGCTCCACTAAGCTATCTGCATCCAATACCTGCTGACTGTGTACAAGCAACATGATTATTACGGACGTTTTGCATGGCCCTGTGGAGGGTAGAGTGATTGACCCGGATAGGAGGGGTGCACCCCAGGGGCAGCCCCCTGGCTGCTGGCTGCTTGCACTGGAACCCCTGTGCGCACACAACGAAACTGCTTTGCCCAAAATCGGCCCAGAATCGGCCCAGCCCTTCGCCCAAAATCGGAAGCTTGCTGCATCAGTCTTGCTCACAGGCATGCATGTACATCACGTGCTTCCAGCAGGCTGCAGGCATGCATGCACATCATGAGCTTCCAGCAGGACAGAGTGTTCCACAACAGACTCATTGCATGCTAAGGCAGCACACCACAAGCACCGTCGGCACGATTTGGCTTCAATGCCTTCGAAAGCTGGTATTACGTAATGGTTACTGGAGGCCAAACAAACCTTGTGCCATGCTGGGCGCCAAAGGAACCTGCTGGCTGCCGTAGCTCCCGTAAGGGTTGCCAAAGGTCGGAGCAGGCCCGTATCCCCCGTAGCCGGACGGCAGCGGCGGCCCGTAGCCACCGGGTGCCCCGTAGCCAGCCGGCGGTGGCGGCCCGTAACCTCCGGGGGCGACATAACCGGGCTGCGCAGGTGCAGAAGGGCCGCTGCCAGAGAACGGCTGCTGGTGAGCTCCGTAGCCCGGGGGTGGCGCGCCGTAGGTAGGGTTTGCCGGCGGGGGATGTGATGCGGGGGCCGTGAAACCCTGGGGAGCGCTGGAGGAAGTGTGAGGGAAGCTGGTGGGCCGCGCGTACTTTGTCTTAGTCGCCTGCAGCGCATGAAGGTCGGACCTCTGTGAAAGTACATTCCTTCCAAAACTCCTTCAAACTACTTGAAAAATAAAGGAAGCTGTCAGCGATTTTAAATCACAGTTCTGGCCGATTTGCTGTCCCTTGCAGACAAGAAGTATGCTATGCAGCCCTTCGCGCTTTGACTCAAAAGGCTCATCCGAGGCTTGCGCGCATGACGAGAGTGCAAGGAAGGGAGAGCAGCAGCATCTGTGTCAAGAGCAGAGGGACAAGTGCCTTCCATCCATTTGAAATGAGCTGCCCAGACCTACATAAACGACTAGTGTGCACAAGAAGTGCAAGCAGCAGCATCTGTCTGGCGCGCAGTGGGACAATGTGCACACCTGGAATATTGACCCCAGCTTCTTGAGTCCCTTCGCGCGCGCCCTCAGCACTGACGCAGGCACCATGGAATCCCGCAGCACCTGCCACACATGACTCATCAGCTCCCATTTTGAATTTAAATGTAACTGCAGCTTGTCATGCAGCGATCAATGGCGGCTGCAGAGACTGAGCTGTATGAAGATTTGAAAGCAAGAGGCGGCAGTCAGAACCTGGTGCACCACAGCTTTCACCGTGGCCTCTATGTCGATCACATTAATGTGCCAGAAGCTGTCCAGCACCTGCGCAAGTGAGGCACACACATGTGCTCAGCGCTCTTCAAACATGACGAAGCACTGAAGACGCAGTCGGGATGCTTGATATATTCTCTGCTCTGCCTCAAAAGCCGCACACGAATCTCCTTGGCAGAGCGCAGTTATCCAGGTCTTGATAAAGCAGGCCCAGCACACTCACATGCTCAACATTTACATCCCACCTGTAACCATTATGACAACACACCAAGAGACAAGTAGGGAGGAAGCAAGCGGAGAGCCATGCCTTGTTCATGTGGACCTGGAAGTATGCGCCCACGGCCTCTTCGCTGAGCGCCCCGCCAGCCAGATCCTTCTGCGCCTGCTTCTGCACCTGCCACATGACAAAGCAGTGCCCACAGTTTGATATGCGCATTGGAGAAAGCATCTGGGTGCAGACAGGTAGCTGCGGAGGACTCCCCTGCACACTATCAACGGCATAAACCCATAGATTTTCCGCATGACATCATTATCCGCATGCCAACAGCTTGCGGAGCACGATTCCTGACCAGCATGAGCTAGCCTTCTGCATCAGAGAAGACGATGAGGGTTCTGGGCTTGCATCAGGCCTGGCAGCACGATGGATATCTTCTTGGAGACTCCAAATACATCACACCCTGAGCCATCAATCCTAAGGCTCACCCTACGAACGCCTTGCATACGACATTGCTAATGTTGAAGCAGCAACGACAGAACATACATCACTACGTGTGCCGACACATTCTTTTGATTTGAAGTAGGCTTCAAGATCGCGACTGCTTGTAGGTTGGCTTAGGGGATATACAGAAAGCACTGCCCTGTTCACCTGCATGAGATCGATGGCGCCCTTGGCAGCGTTCCACTGGCTCTTGACTGCATGCCCCTGCCCGCGTAGCCACTCTGTTGCGCCCAGAAGGTTGCCCACTGGGCCCCCCCCTTTCCCCAGCTCCTTTGCTGCCTCCCGTTGGTACACATACCTGGGCCAATCAACCCAAATTTCCTTCTCATCAGAACCTGAAACCAATCAGTTCAGAGTTCTGAACTCAGATGATTTTCGCCTCATCCGAATTGAACCCCATCCAAAGTTCATCTGATACTGATCGGAGGAGATCTTGGGTGCTGATCGGAGGAGATCTTCATGTGAAAATACCAATGACGTCCTGCACGGACATTGCACGCGGGCTGCCCAACCCACTGCTGGACCTGGCATCCAAGAATGCCACAGTGAATGTCTGCAACCAGGTTGTGGCGATGCGAGAACTGTGCTCACCCGATGGTGTGCAGCATGGCTTCGCCAAAGGCAGCTTCTGCCAGCCGCTGCGCCTCTCGAGTGTGAGTCTGCGTGAAGCCGGCCGCGTCGCCCGCCACGAACGGCTCCAGCCGCTGCCGTAGCGTGCCCGCCAGCTGGCCCACCCGCGCCTGAACAGGCGCGCCCCCAGATGACTCATCATTGCATCATAAATACAAGCCGGTATGTCTTGCTGTCTGAGCACCTGCGAATCACCTTGAGGGCGTATCTGTCTTTCTAATTACTCCTTTCCTCTGAATTACTCACGTTCATCTGCAACTTCCGTTCACAGCAGTGGTGTCTCAGTTACACCGGCAGCAGCAGCAGAAACATCAAGTGCCACGGTTGATAACAGGGAGCCCGTTGGGTAAGAATTGATGCTGCATGCATCATGTTGTCGACCAAACTCATGCAAATATCATTTTCTGTATGCATCTCTCCATCTACAGCGTTGTGTAGAGCTATGACATTGCTTGCTGCCGCCTGGATTGGAGATGGGTTTGATTGCAGTCAGTGACACTGTTTGTCGAGTGCCGATTGGAGCTGCTATGAGGCAAGCATGAAAGTGGTGCTGACCTGTTGGATGGGCTCCAGCCTGGCCCTGACCTCCTTCTGGGACATCTCTCGGCCCTCGTTCTCAATTGCAATCGTGGCAATGGTGGCCATCTGCAGCTGCCCCACATACTCCTCGAACATGTCACTGCGCAGCCACACGTGAAATAAGTTGAAAATACCCTCTAGAGGCAATCACAAGTACCAAGTAAGCTCGCTAGACCACATGGGAAGAACACAAAGTACAGAGTTTGCCAGCTCCAAATCATCTGTAGGCTACCTAGCAAGCTCCCCTGAGCACAAGACAGGAACAGCACGTGCACAGGCTGATGCGCTGGTCTTGGGAGAACCACTCATCTACTATTTGTGGAGACCCGTCTGTCTCGTAATCGACGCAAGGACTCATGCAGCATCACAATGCACAGCCAGTAATATGCAGAGCATGTGCATGGGCAACTAGAGGTCTCACAACTTGAGGAGCTGACCTGCCAAAGAGCATGGCGAAGACGGCTGCAGGGTCCATCATCGCCTCTCCCTGCACGGCTGTCTTGCCCATCCTGTCATACCTGCAGAACAGCAATAAGAAACATGTACCCTGTCCTTCAGGCTACGGGGGCTGCCTGTCTTCGTTGAGCAGCCTGCCACCGCGTGCAGGATACTGACATCCCCAAGGGGCGAGCGAGCACTTGCATTGCGCTGCCTGGGGAAGATAATCATAGTGAAGTAGCCCCACCTCTCACGCTGCGTTGGGTCGCTCAGCACCTGGTAAGCTGCGCTCAGGTCCTCAAACTGGCGTGTTGCATTTGGATTGTTTGGATTCTTGTCAGGATGCACCTACAAGGAAGAGCATTTCGTCAAAATCAGGATTGATCCACGAGCCAGGTCACCTTTTCGGACTCTAGTCAGCATCGGCCTAGGACAATGCAGAAGACCACCTCGGTGAACACTTGAGAATTGTAATTAATTCTGGATGTCTCACCGTGCGTGCACGGAGGTAGTACGCCTTCCTGATGGCCGCTGGACTGGCATCAGGAGCGACGCCGAGGACCTCGTAGTATTCCGTTTCCTTCACCATCAATCACGACCACAAACTCCCTAGAATATTTCAATGTGCTTCTGACGATAATAAGCCTATGCACAAGCTCTTTGCCAAGAGGAAAGCGCTTTAGTCAGCTGTACAAGGTTTGTTAAAACCTTGGAGTCTCTAGGTACGCCTTGCGCCAGCTTCTCTTGCAGCTTTACTGCTCTTTAGACGAATTACATATCATTAAGAAGACATCAATAATGCTTTGGAGTCCCCTTTCGCACATGGCAGGATCGAGGTGAAGGAGGTCGGCAGCTCCCCGCAGCTTCCGCCCGCAGAGGTTCGTTGGCGTTCCTGTCCACCTGCGATTTCATCGAGAGCGGGAGATGCGATACTACACTTTACCCTGACCACCTCAGTCCTTCATGGCCCGACCAAAACCATGAACTAAACTCGATTGAGCGGGTAAAAAGAAAATTGCCCTGATGTGGTCAGAAATGGGCGTGTCCAACACATTCACCTGTGAAAGTCAGAAGATAGAGGCACCCATGATGTCAAGATGCTGGGCCAATGCTCTCTAAGCTGATCGGTACAGAGATTAGACTTGCACAAGACGTATTGCCGCAATTTCTTAACGGGATGAGCGACTAAATTTCATTGAAACGTATGTACTTAGATGCTCAGATCCTGATACTCACTTCGCCTTTTGTATTCCTACTATTGCTTTGGAACCGCATCAAAGCGTGCTTTCACGTAGTTTGAGCGTCGATCAGCAATTGCAAGGTCAAATGTCGAAATTGCTGTCGATAAGAAGTAGCAAAATCTGCCGTGGGTGCAGGGGTGCAAGCAGTCCAATAATCATGCAGGCCCGCAGATTTTCATGAGCCAGCATGAATGGCCGAGCGAGCAGGTTGGAAAGGCAGGCCTCAGCACGCCTGCATGGAGGCATCTCCTGGAGCAAGCTGCTGATTGCTGCAGCTGTCCTTACTGCCGTCTGCATCATCTTCCTGAACTCCAACCGCATCCCTCACCTGGATCTGAATGGTGATCACCCATTTCAACTATGCAATGATGGACACATCCCATCTAGAGTGCACCCAGTAGCTTCCTTGTCGGTCTGGCACACCCGTCGGGCCTCTTGGTGGAACCTCCAGTTGAACTGTTGGCTGCATGTGAAACCTACTTCATGTCATTCAAACGGCAATTGTCTGACATGACAGAGGTCTACACTGCTCGAATAAATGACTTCCTTCGTGAAATGTCTGGGGTTATAACGCAGGGGGTTCGAGAATGCGGCTTCGTGTGAAGCAGGGTTTGTCCTACACAGAAACCCTGCCGGGGGCGGAACAAAATCCTGAAAATCCCTGGTACCCATCCACAGATTACTTCCCCGTTGCCAGCTCAGCTGACAGCCGCGCGGAAGCTTCCTCCCAGGAAGCTCTCTCCGGGGAAGCTGCCGGGAACGCCCGCAACTACGAGCTGTGGCAGCAACGGGACGACTTCCTTCCCTCGACAGAAGTTGACAGCGCGCAGGAGGGAACACAGCTGCAGACAGGCCAAGTAGTGAAAGCTGACATGGCGATGACTGCTGCTGACTGGGCGCAGCAGCGGCAGCTGGAGAAGATGAGCAGTGACTCCAACAGCTTTAGGGGGGTTGACACCTCTGCGCAGCAGGAGCCCATCGGCCAGATTGGCATGCAGGATCCAAACAGCTTTGGTAAGAGTGCTAGCATCACCGACAAAAAGACTGGAGGAGATCTGGCAGACGGCGCCACAGATGACCAACTTACAGGTGCTGAGTCAGCTTTTCTCTTTCTAAAAAACTGCCTGCTGTTTCTTGTAAAATGAGTCTGTGTCCTGCATACTGCGCACGTTGTAAAGCTGAAATGGTGCAGCTTTGCGCATGCACAAGGCAGTCAGAATCCACATGCGCGGCCAGTGCAGAATAATTCTGCATGACAGATTTAATGTATGGTTTTGCTGGTGTGGGTAAATATAGGGGATCGGCGGCAGGGGGGTGAGGCAGAGGGGATTGCGGCGAGTGGAGAGGGTTTAGAGGGGGAGCAGGGGTCTGGGGAGCAGGGTTCAGGGGAGGGAAGCGAAGAGGAGAAGGACACGTGGATGGTGAAGATCTACAAGGAGATGGAGCAGAAGAGCAAGGAGGAGGTCAAAGACCCCGCGTTAGAGAACGGCTCGCGGATATTCGAATTGGACGAATCAGACCCGGTCGTGCAGCGCCTGATGGGGCTGGTGAGACAGGTGCGAACAGGTGTATTTTGATTATTATCATCATCTTTTCTACCAAAACTATCATCAAGGGCTTTTCCAACCAAAAGGCAAGGTATGTCCTGCAGACAAGCTGCAGTTAAAGGCTACCAAGATTGTACCCCTTGATGGACTTGCCGGATCCAAGCAAGACCCAATCAACCGCTGGCACGTTGCTCAATATATATACCGCCGCCCACCAGCTGGGGCTTCAGCTGGGGTGGGGTGTATGTTGAAGGGAATTGTCAGGGTTGCCTGTGCATGCTTGCTGCTTGGTTAAAGAAAAATGGAGTTGATCTCGATGAGGAAATTTGCGAGTGCATACTTGCCTGCTCTTGTGCCGAAACTGGTGCGGCGTGGCTCTGGATTGCCGCAACAATGAGTAATATCTGCTGGAACACTTTTCCTGTTTCATCCATGGGCAGCTTGCATAAACGGAGGCTATAGTCAGGATAAAAATGTTCAATGTGGAGATTTCGGTTGCTAAGAAACGGGTGTTCGGTGTGCCAGCTGGACCCTTCAATAGCAGAGAGTGGCAACGATGAGCGGCACCCAGGCTCTGGTCAGCATACAGGTAATTGACACCTGGCACAATACTTTCGGCCCCTGCAATCCCTTTCGTGCTGCTCTGTCCTTTCAATAACTATTCTCGCCCCAATAATTCAGTCCGACAACATCTTTGGGGTCAAAATTGCAGCTTGACAATATTGGCTGAGCCAATTTGGCTTCTTCACGATACCACGCCAGATTCCTGTGCCTGCTAAAAATAAGTTTAAACCTGTGATTATTTTCTGGTCATTGTCTTGCAGGGGCCTCTCAGCTGCGGCTGGTGGGTCTATACAAGGATGCTGGAAAGGCAGAGCCGCACAGGAATGCCAAGCTGGACACTTGGAAGGAGGACTTGGCTGCTAAGACGGAGAGGCTGGAAGAGGCTAAGAAGGTGACTCACGCTCATGCCTTTCCCATAACTGGTTAGTTGCAATGTCTTGCAATACGCAACTTTGCAAAGACGGAGTGGAGCGTAAGACCAGGGTCAGTATAAGCGAGCAAATTTGTCCGTATGATCCTGTCATATTAACATTGGTGCCCACGGTTACTACAGTCCTGCATAGATCTGGCAAGCCCAACAAGGGGTAGAAATTTGGCAGCCTTCACTTGCAGCTTGTCTGTATACGCACCTTGCGGCAAGAGCTTGTAAATCAACGAATGAGTGAGTTCGACTTTACATGCATGCACAGTTCTTAAGAGCACAAGGCTGAAGGAATGCGAATCGTGTCTTGCAGGAAGAGCGGGCTCGGCTGCAACAGGAGCAAGCAGCGCTGTACCCTGACATCCCTGTGGTCACTGGTGTCTTGGATCAGCCCAACTCCGCAGCTGACATCGACAAGGTAGTGAGAACACTCAATGAAGTTGTCAGACACATCATTGTGCCCCTTTGCCTCTCTGACCAACATTGTTGATGATGCTTCATTGCATGTGCTGGGCACCTTGACGGGATGACTCCTCAAAACTGGTTGAGGGCTCACTGGATCCTGCATGGCTGCCGATATCACTATTTCCTTTGCTATTGTTATCACACGCTGTCCTTGCCAGAGGCAAGGTGCATCTGCAGACAAGCTGCAGGTAAAGGCTACAACAAATGGCCCCCCTTGATAGGCTCGCCAAAATTAGTGCGAGACCTCATCAACCGCGGGCTGCCAATACAGGAGGGGGAAAACCGGCCGGCAAGGTTGGATGATCTCTTGGAGGGGGATGAATTGGAGCAGCGTCTGCGCGAGGAAGGAAGGCTGGATGACTTACTAAAAGACCCGGAGCTCATCCCGGACTGGACCACCCAGTTTTCTGCGCAGCAGAATGCTGCTTTATAGTATTGCAATTGTATATGACCTGAAGGGAGCATTGATGGTGAAAAGTTGCTGCCAGGAAAGTAGATTGTAAAAGCGCTCGAGTTGCCAACCAATGTATGGTAAATCCGACGAGTCAGAGTAGCTACCTGTAGGACGCACATGCATGCATTTGTTTTGGCCTTGGGAAGAGCCCACAGTTGGTTTGCTATTGATTGATATCCTCAAGGGCTAATCGCACCAAGAATTCTGTGTAAGGGAGCTTGTGGAGGGGTCTGACAAGGCGTGAATGTTGGCATGTTTGACTGAGGAATAAAATTCAAGATTGGCCATCAGAAGTGACGTGGCAGAGACTCTTTTGCCCTGCTGTCGGCCTCCGTGTGCGCGCCAAAGCGCGTGCACCACATGGGACTGGCGCTTAGCAATCTTTTTGTTGGGCTTAAACTTGCAATACACACCAGCCGCAAGGATCTATCTGGCGGATTGTCCGGCTTCACAGCGTGCCCAGTCATCCCGAAATCGAGGACTTGATCTTCAGCTACTAATGCATACGAGTGCGTCTCTCCGAGCCCATCATTATGTTGAATTTCTAGACGTATATATTACATTACAAAATGTATGGCATCGGACAGTCCATCTCGAATTTGCCGGGAATATCGCCGCATTGGCCCCTTCCGATGGGATGAGCAAGAATGCCTGATACTGCATCAATGGGAGGGCCAAGGTGATACAAGGCATTTTCATCATCTTTTACACTTAACGATCTTGCTCAGCACCTTAATCAGTATCGAAAGGCCATTACCTTGATGGGCTAAAAAGCTTATGAAGCAAGATTGGGTTGGTCATCGTGACCCGACGTGTGAGACGTCTTGCTTGGCTTCTTGAGAAACACCTCGCAACAAGAACTTTGCCACTTACGCATTTGCTCGTATTCTTTTCATGCAGTCCTCCACAGGACGGCTGTGCTTGAGTAGGGACCATGAACAATAGGAGCCTCCCAAATTCTTGCGATTGAGCATGCACCTGTTCGTGATCCTTAAAGCATAGGAAACTTTCCTGCTCATCGCAAGAGGCTTGTACAATATCTCCAGAAGGACCTGTCCCTCTGGCCATCTTGAGCAGCTGGGGCGATGCTGCTTTGCATTCCAGCCTGAGCTGCCAGACAAACGCTTACCCACCCTGGCACCTAGAGCAGACCTGTCAGCCATACTTCAACCTGACAACACGCAGCAAACCTGGCGTTTAGCGATGCCAGTCCAGAGATTCTTTGACGTGCTGTTGACGCACAGCTTGCTTGCATATTTTCTGTACTTTGCAGCAACAGAAGATTCCCTGTGCAGGGAAACGATAATGGCGCCGCCGAAGCTGGGGCAGCCTTTGGGCAGGCCCCAAATGGGGCTGCTGGGCCGGGGCACCCCCGGCGCGCGGTTGCTGCGGCGGCCGCGGCCGGAGCGCGGGAGGGAACTCCTGCCGAGCCCGCTGACTCTGCTGTGTCTGTGCTTAGCGGCCGGCTTTGCCTTCCTGCTCCTGGGCAGCTCGCGCATGGACAGTCTCATCTCGCGCTCCAACCGAGGTGCCTCCAGCGCTCCTTGCTTTGCTGTGCACTGCACATGCAACGCGCATGCAACGAAATCACTGTGCAGAACATTTTGAAGAGCCATGACAGAAAGTGCCCTCATACTCGCAGTGCACGGAAGGGCTGACAGGTTGTGGAGCATCAAAGGGCAGTCTGCTCGTTTCCCTTTTGCTCTTCAACTTGCTTTCAGTCAGGCATAAAAGCTTTCGTTTGAATCAAGTGTGTGTAGTGAATGAAAGAAGTGTGGTGAGTGCCCATTGCAGCAAAAAAAGTTTTACTCGCAATTTAGGTTAGAGGTCCGTGACAAGTGCCCATAAGCTATGCACAAACTCGCAGGCGGCCGTCGCATGACGGTGCGCATGGGCTCGGAGCGACACATCAGCGGTGACTCAGCGGTTATGCCGCTGCCGGACGCGGTTCCGGAGGACCTCGTGGACGCCGCGGCGATTCTGGGCCGCGGGACGAGGTACAGGGGCAGCGCTAAATTGGAGTCAGTTGCCACCGAGGGGGGGCACCTGGGGGGACTCGCCCTACCCAAAATGGAGCCTGGCGGCGGGCACGCCTCCGCAGATGCTGCAAAATCAGGCGTTAATAAAGGTGACGCTTTCTGGGTTTGATTGATGGTCTCCTAGAGCCGCAGCCGTCATCATTTGTCACATGCTTCAGTGCCAGAAGATAGCTAGTTCAGCATGTGCGGCGGTGCTTTTCTTTCCCGAGAGCTGGCTTCCATGCGGAGACCTCATTGTTTTTCTGAAAGCCCCCATGTAGCTCGGCTTTGCAGGGATTCTTATCTGCCGTGCCATCAAGGGTGTATTTTATCTCAGCCAAAAATTTCAAATTCAAAATGTTGAAATTGGGGTTGTTGTGGTCTGCCTGCAGCTTTTGGAGAGGCGGGGCTGAGGGCGTTGGAGAGGGAAGGATTGGACAGCTTTGTGGATCAGCAGAGGGTGACTGACGATGACTCGCAGCCGGACCTTCGCGCACTCGGCAGCGGCGGCGGCGGCGGCGGCGCTGCGGCGCTGCTCGGGAAGCTTCCCGAGCAGCTTCCTGTCAACATGCAGCTCAGCGGAGCGCAGCGCGCCGGGTCCGACCCGGCGGCTGCCGCGGCCGCCGTCGCAAACGGTGAGCAAATGTCTTCAGACCAACCGATAAGCACCCCTCATATGCTACAGGAATGTGTGTTGAGGCTGCATGCTGCTCAATGGAATCTCAAATTGTGAGTGACCAACAACAGCAGTAGCCACCGCTGCCGCTGCAGCCCGCGAGTGGCAAGGGAAAGATACATAATTGTCATCCTGATCTTTCTTTACCGAGAACTTGCCGAGGGACCCCATATCCTTTGATTGAACAGTACCGCAGACCAGTAATGTGCCTCAGAGCATGGCACCAAAAACACGATCGAGGTAGCATCAGTCCATTTCAGCAGAGCAGTGCACTTGACCTTTCTAATATTATTGTTAGATTGCGCGCTTTTCCTGCCAGAAGCAAGTTGCGTCCTGCAGACAAGCTGCAGTCAAAGGCTGCCATAATCCTACCCCCTTTGCTGGACTCACCAGGTCAAAGCAAGACCCAATCATTTGTGGGCACGGTGCTCAGTATTTGTACCGCCCCCCGCCAGCCGGGGCTAGCGATTTTTGATGTATACCTTTTGTAACAACTTGCCCAACCTTGCAGGGGCGGGCAAGGGCAACAAAGCCACGTCAGCGCAGGAGGTTTTGGCCCAGGGGCTGAGGGAGTCGAACCGAAAGCGGGCACACCAACAACTGGACAGGCACGCCGTGCAGATTCAGGTTTCCAAGAGCCTGGTCGATCTGCCGGTGGACACTCGGGATAGCCTGCTGTCAAGTGCGCCTCTTCCCCTGTCTCTGCGTTGTCTGTCTGCCAATTTTATGTACTGCAACAACAACCCCTGCGTCTTGCCGACAGCCCCCTGGGGCTTCAGACTTGTGATCCTCTGCCGTTCAGTGACCCAGATGACCTCTAGGTGGGAAAGCCTACTTCAGCATGTGTAGGGGCTAATTGTGGCCCAAGCTTCAGGCTTTGGATGAACAGAGAACATGCTGAGCAAGGTCGAAAGTGTGATATATAAATAGTGTGTCCTGCAAGAAAAGAAGTTGCTCTGCTGCAGGCATGGGCGTGAGCAAGGACGGCAAGGGCAGCGAGAAGCCGCCGGCGATGACTCACAACGACTCAGCGGGTGACTCACCCTGCAGCCGTCTCCGTCCTGACCTTGAGTTTTTCATCTCAAATCGATCATCTTGAAGTTTAACGAATGCAGATTTTGGGTTCAATTTTAGGGAAGAGTTCTCTAAAGCAAAGCTGGACTCTTGTGCACAAGCTCTAGCCAGTTTTATATCACTCTCTCTACTTAAATATTATGAGCTATAGCACGCTTTCAGGTGATATGATGGTGGTTGATTTTTTACGCAGGGGCCGACGCAACTGTCTCCGCGGCGGCCGGCGGCGCCGTCAGCGCTGACTCAGCGGCTTACTCATCTGCGGACTCAGCGCTACCAGGGCAAGGCACAGCTGCAGCTGTTGCTATCAGCGGCACCGCAGCTGAGGCGGAAAATGAAGAGGAGGAGGAATGGGATTTCGACAGGAAGGCTCAGGCGCTACAGGCGGAGTTGTTCGACCTCAAGGGGCTCATTCCTGGAGCGCTGAGGCCTCTCAAGGACCGGCCGCGCCAGAAGAGGAAGGTGAGTAAAACTAATATATACATATTTCTTATATGCACAGGGTTGGAAGTTCAGGAGAAACCCTAAATCTTGATAAAGTAATAGTGATGACAAGGACAGATCACAAAGAGTGTCTGGCAGACTTCTTGTCGGCATGTGTTCAAGACGGGGAGGAGCAAGGAAAGGGATGCAACGTTGAAGCAGCCTTGAGAAACAAACTACACAAGCCATTCAGACTGACAGGGATGTTGGGGGACATACGCATGCACTGCCAAAGCATGATGCTCTTCAGGATGGACCAGACAGGGAACCGAAAGTGCAAATACTGCGATGCATTGCTACCGGCGGTGAATTTTGTTGAAAGCAATCAAATGTTCATGCAGGGGCTGTCAGGGGTGAGCAAGGCTATGAGCAGCCGGGGAATGCCGGCGAGCGGCGAGTGCCAAATGCTGCTGGCAAAGGCCATCGAGGGTGACAAAGAGAGGGAGGTGGGCAGCCCGTCTGCCCGTGGCATGTATTCCACGGCACATGATTGACATTGCAAGCCTCAAGACACCTGTGAACAAATCCACCCTTGCAGGGGCGGGCCATGACCTGTTTGATGTGGGGTGATAATCGGCACGTGTCATGCCAAAATCTAGACTCGGAGATGTGTACCCTTGTTGGGGCAGGGGAATAATGGCCCTTCTTAGATGCATAGCTATCACATCTGGCCTTCTGTATCAAGATGGACTCTAGTTTGGATTACCTACTGCAGCATTCCTGGTAGGTCTGTGCAAAAGGCAAGCGGGGCTCGGGCGATCTAGAGTTCCTCTGGTTATTAGGTCATCAGATGACCTCTTTATAGGGAACTTAATCAGAGACACATGAGAAGTTTGTGATATGAAGCTGGGCAGAGACAGACTGCCCACAAGGCCAATGAGCCTCAGGTGGCTCCCAAAAGGTCTCTAAAATGCAACACTAATAATAATCACATGGGGGTAAAATGTGGTGGAAAGGGACGGGCTGAGTGGAGGATGCTTGGTGAATGCAGGTGAGGCAGAGGGAGGAGCACCTGAAGTCGCTGCCGAATATCTGGGACCCGGAAACCGAGAAGAAGGCGCGGGAACCAGAAAAGTTCCGGACGCGTGCCGATCATGCTGGCAAGCCGACGGAGTTCCCTCCTGGGACCGAGGGCATGCTGGGCCGCCAGTACACAGAGGTGCCGCCAAAATTTACTCCCAAGTGTTTATATGTCATGCTGGGCGCTGACTCTGAATCCAGAGTCAGGCATCAAATCAGCCTCAAGTCGGCGGGGAACATGTAGCGTGACTGACTGCCTGATTGACTAATGTGCCCTTTCTTAAATCGCAGCACTTCTCTCCTCGCCTGTCATGCCAGATCGTTGCAAAGGCACTGTTGGCACCAGCACGTTTGCATGGGAGGGTGTCTAAATGAGACCTTGTTTTCCGTACTTTTACTGGAATTCTAGGACCAATGAAGCATAATCAGCCCGGCGGGTGCAGGACTCCTGTGTCGCCCAGGGAAATTGCGCTTGCAGACGCAATTTCCCCGGTGCTGAAATGTATGCATGCATGCATGTGTCTGAATCCTCACAGCCTGATTTATGAAGTCTGAACTGCCACAGACCTGCTGCCAAGCAGGCAGGCATAAGATAAATTAAGAACCGTTAGTGTTTTGTTAAGCGGGACATTGTGCTTTGTGGTCACGGCACTCAGCGTTCCCTTGTCCCCGCCAGCCGAATTGGTGACTTACAGTATTTCACCACCCATTTTGCAGGACAGGGAGCGCGCGCGAAAAAACATGCTGCTGACGTACGATCTGTTCAATGCCACCTGGCACGCGCGGCTGAGCATGGCAGAAGTTGCGCAGCTGTGGCTAAACGTTGTTTCTCCCGAGGCCGCTGTAACAATCCGGGCCTTCCTTGCAGACGCCCAAACCCAGGCACGCTTGGCAGCTTATAGATGTCAATCTTTCTGCTCTTTTGAGCCTGTATTTGTATGTTCGGGGGGCATGGGTTGCAAAAAATTCGTAAGCCGACCTGCCATCAGCGCCTGGTCATACAAAAATGTGTAATTATGCAGTCGGCACGCCTAGGGGACCATATTTGCCAAATTGCTCGCTGATGTTCTTTTTTAGTTTTGCTGCATGCATCTGTCCTGCTCTTGTTGGGCAGCTGTGGCTTCTTCTTTTGTTGCAAACCCTCGCTTTGTCAAAGGAACCAACATTCAGGGCACCAAGCCTCCTTTACGCTGCCTGCAGAAATGTTTGTGCCTCGTGAGTCGGCAGGTATATCATTTGAAGCCATGACAAGTACGATTTTGAAATTACAAAGCTGGAATGCCTCTTCAGGCGGATGCGTCGCAGAGCCTGGAGGATCACAGGAGCGAGGGAGGGATCGCGGCGCTAGACAAGGCGCCGCCGGCCGCCGCCGGGGCGGCCAATCCCGAGTCCGTCACGGCGCAGGCGCGGTGAGTCACCCGATGTGTCATGGATTGAGGGTTTAGTCACCCACTGACTAACCCCCATGCTGGCATGCGCATCCTGCATTGCCGCCCCAAATCACCTGCGAGTCATCCTTGACTCATGCCATGCTGGCACATCTTTCTGCTTCACGGCCAATCGTGACTTGTGAGGCTGCATGCAGCCAAGGTCCCCAAGAGGGCCTTGGACACCACGGCTGCCTAACACTCCATGCAACTTGATTGACGCAGACCAATATTTTCATTTCTGGTAATCCCACCAGCAATCCAAATAATGGATGCCACTTAGGCCGCTCGAGGGCATGCTGCACGCCACTCAACCCACCGAAATGGCATTTAAATAGTAATTCAAATTTTCCATGTGGGGAGCAGGGCGTTGGAGGGAATGCTGCAGGCGCTGTGCGGGGGTGATGAGGAGTGCATGCTTGAAGTCTGGCGCTCGTGCAAGGAACAACCCAAGTGTGTTGAAAGCCTGTACAACGAGCGCATGGCAGAAGAGAAGGAGAAGGCTGCTGCTGCAGGCGCCAACAAAGCCCAGGTCCTTGTTCGCTTGATATTGCTGCTATTAGTATTTTATTACGACACACCTTTCCTGCCAATAGCCAAGGTGCAGTTTAAGGCCGCCACAATGCTACCCAGTGATGGACTCGCCAGATCCAGACAAGACCCAATCAACTGCCGGAACGGTGCTTAGTATTTATACCGGCCCCCACCAGCCGGGGCCGGGGCCAAAGTGTAATCCCCTGGACCTTTAGGCGCCAGCTTGACCTGCTGCACATGAACACACCTGGTAGGAAGGGCGGGATGCAAAGACAGGCCTGGCTCGGTCGCGGGGGCACTCAGTGTTTTAAGGGTTCAAAATTGTACATTGAGGGGATTTCACACGTGCGCAGGGGGCGGCTGGCGGGGCCGGGCAGCCCGGGGAGGGCAGCGGCGGGCAGCCCAGCGAGGCGGCAGCGGCTGCCAAGCTGCAGGAGGCGTGCGGCGGCCGTGCAGAGTGCATACAGCAGGTCCGCCTAACACATTCTTGTGCTTCGCTCGATGTGCCCCCCATGTTAAAGAAATACAATTACATCATGGTGCGCGCTCTAAATACGGTATGACCCTGGTAAGGTTCCTGGTGAGGGCTGAAGGAGCCAAGTGGGACACTTATTCACATCACCAATTTCTTATAGGTCTTCTGAACCTCCTTCATCTTCAGTCCTGAATTCATTCTTGTGTCTTACTCTGGACGCCAAGGCCTCTCAACTGAATCCAAAGCCGGGGCACCCTGACATGTGATGTGCAAAGCTGGAATACTTGAAGCCAGTTCCATTGCATGCAGAGAACACAGTGGATTACGACATTTACCCTGTTTCTGCGTTCCCTGGCCCCTTACAAAGGTGTTGTCAAGGTTATTCCCCTCTGGCTGCAGGTGCGCCTGATGTGCGGCAGCCAGCCGGCATGTGTCGTGGGCGTCGCCAAGCAAGTCCTGAAATCGGTGCGCTCACCCTTCTGCGCCGCACTAACTCCCCTTTAGGTTTCTGCAAGCTGTGAACCTTGATGTGTATCAGTCAACCAGGTCTGCGTCCTCAAAATACTGCTGTGCGTCCTCAAATATAAGAATGCATGTGAAACAAAGATGCAAAATTGATGGAAGGCATTTGATACGCCCCCATGCCTTGCGCACGCCCATAAGACACGTGTGATGAGTGCATTAGCATGCCGCGATGTAGAGAGCGCCCGCTTCCTTACTCGGTCAGTATGTGACTTCTTGGTTCCGCCGAACCATGCAAACTTCTGTTCTCAGTGGTGATGCTGTAACAACACAGGCCAAACAAACAATGGGAGCCTATAGTGCGCAAACTATTGGCAATTGAGGGAATGGTTGAGGCAATCCTGCCGATATATCGCCAAACGGGGACAACTGATTTGCATATTCTCTAATCCTCTATCAGCGAGACCCGCGAGCTGATCCTTTGGTGGTATCCCCAGCATCAGGGGACTTGACATTGGTTTGCACATGTGCAGAGCAAGGACAAGAGCGGGGATTCCAAGGGTAAAAAGGTGGGCGCTGCGGCCGGCGGCGCAGTTGCCGCTGCACTCGATCTGCTTCCCCTGGAAAAGGCCAACAAGGCGGCCAACGCCAGCCAAAAGATGGGCGCCGTGGCAGGTGAGTGGCTGTTTCTTAGGCCATTAGGCCACTCTTAGGCCAGAACCATTTGGGTGTAAGGTCATCTGAGAAGTGTTGAGCGCCTCCATGGCCGAGCCAAACTGTGTTTGCATCCCTGCCTCTCCTAGCATCTGCCTTCCTGTGTAGCACATCGTGCTTGCACCTGATGACACAATGAAAAACAAATGTCCTGCTGCCAAGTGCTTGTCAAGACAGCTCATGCATGGACGCAAGCCAAGTGGCCCGCTGTCTTACCCCTTCGACTGGACACCTACAGCATGCGCCTTTGCAGTGTGTGCCTGGCAGCCGCGGCTTGGCAGCATAATGCCTAGCCTGACGAAGAGATTTTAAGGTTAAGGCATAACTTGAACTCAATCTCAAAATTACCGTGGTTTGCTGTGGGCACAGGCGCGTCGGCGAGCCTGCAGGCGGCGCACGCTGAGGCGGCCAGCTCGGAGCAAAAGACCGCGCAGGGAACGCAGCTGCAGACCAGCGCAGCCAGCGCTGACAGGTCCTGACTCATCCTTCTTACCGAATACATGGGTGTCAGGGGGAGCATGTTTGGTAAACATGCTTTCAGATGCTTAAGAAACACTCTTGGTGGGGAGACAGGTGGAGTGTGCCCCATTAATCCTTGAAGGATAAGCTTGCAATCTCTGTCCTTCTTCCAGCCTGACTGGGATCCACCACCACCGTCGACAGCATCAGAGCAAGAATGGCTTTCCAAATTGTCACATCTTCACCCAGCCATCCCAAAAGAAATCCACGACTGGCATCAGGTGTCTCGGAGTAATAGTTTGCCGCATCATGTGAGCGTGCTGACGTGGCAGCATGGCGGCATGTGCGCGCAGGTGGGCGCAGGAGCTCATGTCGCGCATGTGCCAGGGCCGCCAGGCGTGCGTGGAGGATGTCTGGCGACTGTGCAAGGGCCGCTACGACTGCATCAAGACCTCCTGGGCCGCACACGCTGCGCAGACCGCGCAGTCCGGCGGCAAGCTCGCCACGTCATCCGCCACATCAGCTGCCGCCGCCACCGCGCGATGACTCATGGTGACCAAGATCTGTCACTGCCACCTTAGCCGCCGCCGCCACCGCGTGATGACTCATGGTGGCCGTTCCAACCGCGTCTTGACTCACGGCGATTCAGCTCCATCGCCACATCATCCGCCACCTCAGCCACAGCACAAGGAATGATGATGATTGAGGCGGCTTACGTCAATCCGCCACCTCAGCTGCCGTCATCACTGCATGATGACTCATGGTGAACAAGATAATTAATACAGTCATCCGGCGCCTCAGCCATGGCGTATGAGAGACCTTGACAGAGCTGCTCTGCCCAGTCAAATGACACCTTCCAAATCTGGGCTATTGCGTCACCTTTTCTACGCGGAGAAATGGGAACAGCAAGCCCATAGATCATCTTAACATTCTGCATGTCCCGGGGCTGCATTCACTGCAGAAGTGCTTTTGTGTCAGAGTCAGCTTGCAACCTATGTCTGCCACCTCAATTTGACAGAGGGTGACCACTATTGATGTGGCTCGTAGCTGTCAAGAGGTCATTGCAGGCAGGGAGTACAAGTGCTCATCTCGAGCTGAGAGCGCTCTTCAGTCTGATGCTAAAAATTGCGCCGCTGCACTCGTGTTTGAGATTGCCCACCTGTCGCCGAGCTGATAAAAAATGAATGCGAGTTCTCAAGAAAATCAAGTAGAGCTTTTGGGCAGGAGTCTCTCAAGAAGTCTTCGCTTCCAATCTGCATGCATGCCTTGGGCCTAATGCTGTTGGAAGGGGGTTGCCGTAGCCAGTCCATTAGACCATAGAACTGTTGAGACTATCGAGATCAAGGAGTTGTAAAGTGTGTGTAGCTCAGATCAGGAGTCCCATGCGCAGCTCAGGGGCAAGGGGGCGCGCACAAGCAAGTCAGGACCATTCGGGGCTCAAGGCAAAAATGAATGTCGGCTTTTGTGATTCATACCCCTGACAACATCACCCTTGCATCAAAACTGCCCGAGTCGCCTATTCAAGACCTTGATAAACGCATTAGCTTTCTCCAATTCTATTGGTGTATCTCACTTCAGGGCTGTTTCTGATGCTGTCAGCTTGGCACATTGGCTTGCAATATCCCTTCACACATGGATTAGGTAGAATGTGAGTTGCAAGGAATATAGCAGTATTTACCAAGGGCCCAGTTGCTCGCACACTGAACTCTTCTTTAGCCGCAGACATCTAATTTTCTAGAGAACTTCATGTGCTGTATTGCTCTTAGCCTAGTGGGATCGGTGTTGGTGGTGTTGGCCTGTGAGTCTGTTGGTAGTGTTTTGTTGCGTGCTAATGGTACGCTGTCTCCTTGGGTGGATCCTATTTCACTTGCACCAAAGGAATCATGCCTTAGGTGCAAGTGAGGATGGGGAGGATGAGGAGGAATCATTCCTTCAACCAAGACCACAAATGCAGTACCATGAGACTGATGAGACATCTCGTGACTGCCATCCACTAGGTTTACTTGTAATTTTTCGTAGTCATGGATTGTAGCGTATTAGAGAGGGATGCCATTGCTTGATGTCAGCATCATTTGGCACAAACTTTGCAGTTGTGATCATCTCAGCTTGATTGCCATTTGGCACTTTGGTGCTGAAATTTTTTGGCAGTTAGTGTTTGAATGCTTGCAGTGCAATCAATTAGTCCACCTTGCCCAGGCCCTGGGGGTGAATGTGTCATCATAGCACCTGTAACACGTACGCGTAGGTCACCACGGTGGCCTTTGTCCACAACTCTATCTAGAATGCGCGCCACTCGTTGAACACTTCAACCTGCAACTACAAGCTTGCAATTGCCACTTGAAGCGGCACACACTGTACAGTGGCACACACATGGCATGCATGATCTCATGGAATGGTCAAATGATCATGACTACAGTCTCTGCACGAGCTTTGTCATGCAGACTCTAGAATAGGCATTCCGAGTGCTATGCAAGAGAGAAAGAGAGAGGGAACGCACTAGAGGGAAAGTTCAGGTTGAGGAAAGGTAGGGAAGTATCATTGAGAGATCCCTTTGCTAATGTCTTCTCGTCAGCGGGTGGCAGCTTCCGAGAATGTCCCCGCCTACACGTGGCGACGAGCAAGGGGTGCACCTGTCGAGATTACGTGTGAATGATGCGAAGCTAGTTAGCTCTTGCTCGGTTGAGATCCATTCCAGTCCTTCACAATCCGCCCAGCAAGACCAAGACCCAAGTCAATACATCATCGAAGAAGCAAGAGAGGACCTATCGTTTGGCTGAGGTGAGGCTCACGGCTTCTCGTCGCAGCTCTCGAGTGCTCATGGGGTTATGCTTCGTCACGTTAACCTTACCCAGTGCAGTGTCGTGTTGCTTACTGCTGTGTCGCAATGGACCTTGTGAGGTTTGATGCTTTGTGGGTTCAGCATCGGTTCGATGTAGCTTGCTGGCGTGAGCAGTATGAAGACGAGAGAACGGCCACGGAATGTGAAATATCTGCTGAGCACAGTCCTGTGTTCTCGCAGATAACCTTGAGCAAAATATCTGGGACGAAGATAATGGCGAGGTTGCTCACAGCTACGGCTGTGCTCCTAGCAGCACTTGTATGCACAACAGGTGAGCCGATGCTGGTGTCAGCTTTCCGGCCTTTTCCCTCCGAAACTGTCTGGAAGCGCTTCCTCACACATCGTGGGGGAGGACGTGCTTGCGAATGCCTTCTGGCCATGATGAGACCCTTGCGGTGATGGTCATTGCACCGCGCGTGCTGTCTGTGTTCGCGAATTATTACGTTTATGACGGCTGCATTCACGCTTGAGTAAAGCCTGTATGGTGTCCGTCATGGCATCTGTTGCGAGCTTCCGCGTGGCCTCATATGTTCAGCTCATGGGGTTTCTCATGCTTCTGCCAATAGATATGAGAGTGTATGAAGTAAAAGCGAGAGCTGACTTTGTACCGGCATGCAACAGGCGCACGCCTGCCCCTGGCAGCCATGGCGCCCGCACCAATGGCAGAGGGAATGGAGGGAATGAAGGGCCCGGAGGCGGACCTGACTTTCATCCTGTCCGCTGACACAGTACGTCTCCAGCTTATCCCGGACGCAGCTTCCACGATCGAACTTGTGCACGTTATGTATCTTCGCCTTCGGGATCTTCAATGGCTCATTCTAGTCGTCCTTTTCTGTGTGCAGGCCAGCTTCACGCCAGATGGAAACCTGGTGCTGACAAGTCCCGCGCAGACGACGGCATTCACAGCGAAGAAGGGCCAATCGGGCATCTACCCGACCTCCTATTTCACAAGCGTGGCCCCCGGCTCCAAGTTCCTGTCTGCGGACGGCAAGTGGCTGGACATGCCTCAGGCAGCCCTCTACGGCGCCTCTGCCCAGGGCAACAACCAGTCTGTTGTGCTGCTGACTCTGGGAAGCCCCACCTACAACGCTGAGGCAAAGGTGTGCTCTCATTCTGCTCCTCACCTCTTAATATCCACACTCTTAGACTCGTTACTGACATCCTTGATGTGAGGCAGTCACTCGTTCTTTGTCGATGTCTGCATGCAAAGCGGCAGGATGTTTTGGTTGTGATGTGCATAGTACTGCTAGGCCTGTGGTGTTTGCTGTGTATCATGGGCCGATACCACCACTGCCAAATCAATTGTGTATGGTCTTGGCCAGGATTCCAAGCAGAGCAGCCAGGAATGAATTGCGCTCTTGACATGCCTGCTTGAACTGTGCGCATGCGTCCTGTGTACTGACATCAATATTATTCCTGCGCGCAGACTCTGACCTTCCCCTACCAGTTCCTGGCACCGGCTGATGCCAGCGTCAAGTACCACAGCGGCTCAGTGGAACATGTTGTGAAGGATGTTCAGTCTGGCAACAACATGAATGTGATCGGCCAGATCATGCCGGGCATGACCATGAATGGCGCCGCGCTGTTCATTGACAGCAACACGATGGCGCTTCAGCCCAAGGCTGAGACCAAGACCTGGTGGTGAGTATCTGCCACGCTCAAAAGTCACTTTTACTCCCTTACCTAGCCTGTGTTTGCTCAGATGACAAAATGCAGCTGCCTGCTCTCCTGCTCGTGTGTTGCTCGCATGAGCAGAAGTCAGGACCCATGTTGCAAAGTTGCACTAACGTCGTCTGGGCTGCGAGGCCATTTCAATTTACCAGCTTGTGTGCATTTGAGGCTGGGTACTCAAAAGCTGCTGGGTACTCAAAAGAGTTGAGAACGTAAAATGCTGCTAATGTCAGTACTGAGGAATTTTGTGGGACATTAACGTTGAGAAATTTTGGCAGGAAACCTTGAATGCTGACATGCTGTGTGATTGGTGAACTGCAGGTTCCCCTGGTGGGGCGGTTATGGCAACGGCGGCTGCTACAACTGCGGATACAAGTGAGCCCCCCTCTACCTATTGCATGCAAATATTTCAGCTTGTTTTTGCCAAGAAGAAACAACAGCTGGCATGCATGACCTGGAATCCTGTCCTGTGTGCACTCTTTGATTTGGGTTCTGAGCAAAGTCATCTGGAAAAATTGTCTGGGGGCTAATGTGGGCCTGTCTGTTGTTGCAGCAACGGTTACGGTTACAACAACGGTTACAACAACGGCTACTACAACAATGGCGGCGGTTACTACAACAATAACAAGTGAGTCAACCTGCCAGCTGGCCGCTAAATTCTTGACTGCTGCTTCTGTCTGCTACTCTTGCCTGCTGGATACACTAACTTGCACGGTGGCTGCTCTCCATTTAGGCTGTTTGGGGCAGATTTATACAAGTCGAAATTTTTTTGTTTTAAATGACTTTTCCATAGCTTAAAAGCCTTTGCTTCGAAATGATGCTGACATGTGCCATTTTTTGTTGCTTGCAGCAACAACAACAACGGCTGGGGAGGAAACAACAATAACAACAACAACAACGGCCGCCACTGAGTGATTTGAAGCACATATGAGGGGTCCGAGCGGATTTCATTGGTGTTTTTAAAGCTGATTTAGATTTAGTGACATGCAACGAATGTGCCAACAGAACGGACCAGATTCTCAAGAGTAGTTTTTTGGGGTGTAATAAATCAAGACATCTTGCCCATCGCATGCAGATTGGCATCATGAAAGCAATGATGTATAGGACAGCATAGGACATGTGGTACTTCCGAATGTAGGCAATTTTGGACAATTGTAAGCCAGCCTCTTGATATGTCCTCAGCCACCGCATCATGGCAGATTACTTTGAGGTACTGCCAGGATATCAACAGTGCTCCCTTGCACCGCTCTTAACATAGAGTGGCAGATCCTGACTGCCAGCTGACCTGAGCTATGGGTGGTCTCAGGCGCTGCGTCAAATGCATGCACCTCAAACACATATCTTACATACCGCACCACGTACTGGCGGGGAAAAATGCTGTTTGGGCAGTCACATGGCATCTGACTGATGGCATCATCATCATCATCATCGCGTTTCTCAGTAAGGCATGCAGACATGCGTGCTGTACGCAGGCAAGCTGCATTTAATTTGCCTGCACTCACTTCATAGAGCCGCATTAATGCTGCAATATTGAAGCGTCCAGGAGAGAGCTGGTGGCAATGGTGATGCGTTATATAACACTGATGTAGCACTCAGAATAGGTGCATGCTCCTACAGGGGTGCAACTCACCACGGGTGGCGGTACATACACTGAGTACCGTGCCCACGGATGGTTGGGTCTTGCTTGTTTCCGGCGAACTTATTATGGGGTAGGGTTTGGCAGCTTTTTCATGCATATGCAGCTTGTCTGCAGACGCACCGTGCCTCTGGTAATAAATTATAATGAGTGCAACTCACCTGCAGAATGCTGGAAAAGGAAGGAGGGAACTCCGTTTTCAGGGAAAATAGCCTCTCAAATTTGGACCTTTTCATGACGTCAGGGCATGTGATCCTGACCTCACTATCACATGCATCTGAAAGGTGAAACTTTCCTGAACAACGCTCCATCAGGGCTACTGATCATGCGCGTGCGTTGCATGTTAATGTGAAATGAACGGCAGGAGCGCGCTGGCGCACGATGACTCGGCCCACGGGCCGGCTTCAGAGCCTCTGCTGCACAGCCAGCATTCCAAAGATGAGGACGAAGAGCCGAAGCGGCTGTCGCTGCGCTCGCTCAGATCGGTCCACGATTATTTTGCTAAGAAGAAGACAACGCCTGATTATATGTTATTCCTCGCCCTTGTGTTCGGCGTGTCCTCTGGCATCGTCGCCTTCGTCTACGACACTTACTTCGAGGCGATCCTCAAGCTTGTCTGGGAGGTGACGCACCAGCAATTCATATACCTGTTGCAGCAGCTGTATTTCGCCAATTGTACGCAATGTTCTCAACACGGGAAGCAGTGTCCGGCTTCTATGAATAAACCCTCATCTCTGTTGCACCCCAACATTTGAGCTCATGCGTATCTTTCATGGTCTTGCTGGGCGCCGGCTCTGTGTAAATATTTATTACTGAACTCGATGGGGACCGTTTCGCCTCTCTGCAAGGGCAGTTCAAGCCTGTAGGGCTCAGTGCCTAGGGCTGCATCTGGGCAGCAGTTGTGGAGGAAGTAGCGAGAGTAAGCAAATATGCTAGCGTCAAAATACAAACCTAGTTTGACAAGTCACTCTAAGGGATCGTGACACCCCTACTCAGAACAGGAAGTGCAGGGCAAGGACCTTTATTACATGTGGAACTCTTTGGCGCAAAATCACTCTTAATCTAGTTCTTCTTCTGTCTGCCGCAGGTGATGCCACACCAGGTGGTGACACCTCTGGTCAACCATCTGAACACCAACGTGTCCTGGTTCCCATCACTTGACAAGGTGAGCAAATGTACACCTTTCCTCTTAGTTTTTGGCGCGTATTTTCTTCTCTTCAGCATGACCGCTATGTCTCACACAACTCCAAAACTTCAGCTTTTGTACCATGAAGCCCGGCAGCCGTGCTTCATGTGTTTTGTGGAGTGCCTCCTGAATTGTCACGGGCAAGGTTGCTTTATAGCCTGGTGCAAACGCAAATTTAAATTCTCTCTAAAATCTCGAGAGGTACACATGGGCGACTAGAACAGTACATGGGGATGCTCGCTTTGCCTGAAGGACAGAAAAAGCACTTTATACGCTGCAGCATGACTGCTGACGTCAGCGCTGGTGTGGCACGCAGGTGGCATGGGTGTACACCCTGGCGATAGCGACGCTTATGGGAACTTTAGTCGGGGTGACTCAGCGCTTTCTGGGATCTCCCGGGGACCTCCCAGAGGTGGTCCACCAGATTCACACCAGCGGCAGGATCGCCATCTCACAGGCGCCCTCCATGTTTGTCTGCTCAGCCTTCAGCATCGCTGCAGGTGAGTTATAGTTTCATTCTTCTTCTTTTATTTTTGAAGGACGAGAGATAAAGACACAAAGGCAGTACGAGCGCAAGAGACATGAGGAAGGCGTGCCTCGCAAGTGAGCGTCATGCAACACCAATACAACGATCTCCCGGCTCACAGAATGACCACGTTGCATACATGCAAGTATTGCTGGAGTCCTTCTTGTGTTCTCCAATCGTGGAAACCTGAGAATGGTCTCACTGGCCTCCTCTGCCCATGGCCCGTCCAATGATTGTTGGGTCTTGCTTGGATCTTGCTTGGATCAAAGGGGAATATGGCAGCCTTCCCCTGTAGCTTGTCTGCGCAATACTTCGCAGCTATCGCAAACATACGATATTGTCTGATCGATTAATTTCATGATGCTTGCATGCAGTCGGCAGCCTGGGGAAGCTCAAGAGGGGGCCCTGAACAGAATCTGCTGAACATGTGCCAGTGACTCGCTCCATGACTAGGGGGATGACTCGTCAGATTACTGATGCATTGACTAATGCGCGCAGGCGGCAGTCTGGGCCCGGAGGCTGCGCTGCTGGCTTTGTGCGGATCGACGACGAGCTATCTGGCGCGAAAGGTGTTTGGCGCCCGGGGACAGCACCTGCGAAACTGTGCCCTCATGGGAATGACCGCCGGCCTCGCTGCATTCTTTGGCGTGGCACTCGGAGGTTCGTCACCCCTCTTCCCACGATCGCTGCAGCAAGGCCTGTAGTGTGCCGCAGAGGTGTAGAACTGCAGACCCTGTGATTGCCGCTGCAGAGAATGGGGGTGGGGTGACTGGCATACATTCCATTCTAGCAGTATTACCCAGCAACTAGCATACCAGAGTATCAGTGGCCCCGCCCAAGCGACAACCAAACAACAGGCATCCCCTGATCACAGCACCCGTCTTTTGCAAGCTGAGCCCTGCATGATGTGAGCCATGTCTTGGCTCATACTGGGTTAATTCCCAAAGACCCACCTCTCCTCGTGCCCCTCAGCTGCTAACTAAACTATATCGCGTGCAGGCTCGCTGTTCTCACTGGAGGTTCTGCACCGCACCGGCCTGCAGTTCTACGAGGTGGCAACTTATGCAGTGGCGACTGGAGTCATCTGTCTGGCTGTGTTCCGGGGCTTGAAGCGGGAGTCGTTCGGCGCAGTTTGGGAGTTCGAACTGCCGTTCCTGGAGGTTGACTCGCGCCACATCATCCTGGGTGAGTCATCGTTCTTGTCATGCTTATGTGATCGTCAAATCAAAAGCCAGAGGCCACAGGGCGCCTGCAGCCGTGTCATCCTTAAGTAAGTGACACCGCACCCTTAGTAAGCAGATACTTCACAGCTTCACCAGCAACTAGGTACGTGGCGATGGTGGTAGGTCAGGCATATGCGTCACTCTTCACCACCCTCCTTCCACTTCATGTGTCCACTTGTTTATAGGGCCCCAAGGGTCTTTGAATGGGTCAGGCGCATGCCTGGAACTCTGTGTGGTGGGCAGGCATAGCCAGGGACAGGGTACAACATCTGCAGCCTGTTATTGCAGCTGTGTTGTGCAGATCACAAGTTTTCCTTTGGCCGGAGTATGTGCTGCCAGCGCTGGTAGCCCAAGGAATATCGGCGGCTGCATGCCCGTTTGGGTGTTGGCACATTCTAATTAATGATGCCCAAGTTGCTGCTGCATCCCTCAGAAAACTGCTGCCTGAGCTTCTTGACGAAAGATGCACGCTCTCTGAATTTAAATTTGAAATTGCTTATGGTGCTTTTCGGTCACAGGCGCACTGATGGGCGTGGTGGCTGCTGGGCTGGCGCTCTGTTTCATGCATCTGCACTGGGGGCTCAAGAAACTCTGGCTGCGGATGGGCCTGCATGTGAGCGCTCCCTTCTCAATCCCTGTCTGTGCGCAGCCATGTATCACTGCTGCCTGTGCGCAAGCAGAAGCTCTTTCTGCCCCTCTGGAAGCATTCCTAAGAGGTCAAACTCGTTGCTCAGGCGAGCGTGCATCTAAGCTGTCAGTGGTGCCTATCTAACTTGTGTGTTCAAAGCCCAAAGCTGTCGGGCTGATTGTTATTATTATCATCATCATTATTATTATTATTATTATTATTATTATTATTATTATTATTATTATTATTATTATTATTATTATTATTATTATTATTATTATTATCAAACGCTTTTCCTGCAAGAAGCAAGGTGCGTCTGCAGACAAGCTGCAGTAAAGGCTGCCAAAGGCTGCCAAAGGCTGCCAAAGGCTATCAACCCGTGGGCACGGTGCTCAGTATTTGTACCGCCCCCCCCTCCCGCCAGCCGGGGCATACTGATTGTGCTAGGCTATTGCTACAGGACACTCTTTTTGGTTGACAGAGCGGTCACATTTATCTGACGTCAAGAGATGTTCAAAACATGCTCTCAAGCAGCTCCTGAAATCACCACTTCGTTTGTAATGCTTGATCACTTTCCCCGTGGTATTTCTGTTACAATGTCACGTTCAAGCTCTGAGTTAATCAATTTATACTTTCTGTAATGCTCACAGCATGTTTCATTGTGATTGTAGGAGCACCATGCGCCGATAAAGTGCGGTGTCATCGGCGGGTTACTTATCGGCATAATCGGCGTGCTGCTGCCGCCGACCATGTTCTGGGGCGAGTTCGAGATTAATTCCCTGGCCAACCCTTCGCGCCCCCTGGCCCACATCTGGCCCCAGGGGGGGATATGGGGCACCGGGCTGTTTATGGGCGGCCACTACGGGCCTGGAACATATGTGCTGATCGGCTTTGTCAAGCTTCTTGCCATCAGCATTACTGTCCTGTCAGGTGAGCAGTTCCTGCCCTGCCCTGAGCAGTGTTGCACCTAGGGTATTGTAGACCGTTTGCAGACGCTGATTTTAGCTTTGTGCATGATAGTGTGTATCCTCAAGTCACACTACTGAGCTGACCAATTGTGTTTTGTGTGAGCTCTGCATAAAAAAGCTGTCATCCGGCCCTAGATCCCAACCATGCAAGGCTTACTCTGCAAAATTCTCTGACTGGTGGTTTTCATTTCACGTTTTTTGGAGTCAAAGTGGAGTCAAAAGCTGGTAGAATGGACAAACCTTCCAAGGTTGCCGTGCAATCTGAGTCCAATGTGTGTTTGCATGCATGCAGGTTTCCGCGGCGGCTTCATTTTCCCGACCTTCTTCGCGGGGACGGCTTTCGGCCACGCAATTTTCCGGGGCATCACTTCGATTCCCCATATCACCCCTTTCATCGGCGGCGCGCCCCCCATCCTGTTCTGCATGACCGTAGCTGTCGGTGCGCCTCCCCTGACAAAATATTATTATCATATTGCACCCTTGTCAACCAAAATCCAATTAACCTGCTGCAAAACCCTTGGAGCGGTTGGAGCGAGAGAAATGCCTCCATAATTTTGTGGACTTTGAGGCATCTAGATGGTTTCCTGACATTGTCCTTCTGCCGATGCCACCTTGTGAAATTGCCCATGGTTGCAGGGATAGGAGCATTCATATTTTTTCCAGAATCCACTTCCCTAAGCAACCTCGTCCCAAGTACCTGCCATCTCAGCGAAATAAAGACATGCAGGCTGTCAGCAGATGGACTCGGCTTGCATCCATGCACGGCTAGAGACCTGAATTACTCCAGGATTGACCTCTTTTACCCCAAGGAATGTGAATCACGTGAAGGCGACCAGAAAAGCGACTTAATTCGCATGCATGCAGGACTGGAGACGTCGATTACTCGGACGCCGCTGGCAAGCACGCACATTCTTTCGATTCTGGCGGGGAGCTCACAAATTACGGTGCCCTGTCTTGCGTCAGCATTAGTCGCTCTTTACATAACGCTCGGATTCCCCTTCATCATGAGCCAGAGAGACCGCCATGACATGGCCCTCAAGGTGTGCCTCTTCCCTTCTGCTCTATTCTCTCAACTGCCTCTTATGAAATTCGCTGGCTCGCCAATCCATTACCCTGTTAAACATGGCTGGTTCCCTTTGTGGAAAGCTGCAGAACACTTGACTGGCTCGTGAATCATAGTTGATGCTCACACTGCTGTGCAGCCGCCAAGTGGGCGGCCTATGGCTAGGCAATGTGACTTTTTCCTCTGTTAAACGTGTTCTTTCGCAGCCATTATAGGGGACTCTTGTTGGTGTGCTGCACAAAGTTCTCCGCTGCCACTTGGGGGATTCCCGTGATGAGGATTTTTCAAAATTCAAATTTTGCCATGCGCAGGAGCTGGAGGAATCCGAGGACGACCAGGGCAACATAATCTTGATAGAGCGCCTGAGCGGCGGCGGCATTGTGCACATAAACGGCGCCGAACGCGCCGCGCGCGTGAACGAAATCCGCGCGAATCCCTCGGGTTCGATGGACGTCCGCCTTCACATCGACAGCCAGGCGGCCTACGCCGAAGACGAGGAGGTCGGCGCGATTGGCGTGTGAGCGTTAGTCATTGTTTGTCATCACTGCATGAGGGTGAGTCATCGCGCCAAACAGGCGCCGGGTGATTTCGTCCCCCGAGCCAGACGAGGTATTCGGCGTGGGGATCTGACAGAAAGAAGCCCAACTCTGCAACTCTGCTCAGCTGAAATCGAGGTGTGGTCCTGTAGTTGTCAACAAGATTATATGTATCTCCACCCTCTTAATGCCCTTGGCGGTTTCTGGGTGCGCGAGGAGTCTGGAGAGCCTGTTCGGGCAGCTCCTGCGCGCCCTATGTATGACTTACGAATTCGAATTTAGCCATTATTCACGATTGCATGTACGGGTTGTTGTGATGTATCTGTCAAGATCTGTCCCCTCACTGGTCAAGACATTGCATTACCCCTTTGATGGGCAGCATCTGGCGGCAGGTGCACATGCATGAGTGTTGCAAGCTTGGCAGCATGCTGCGCTGTGGATTCTGGGAGTGCAGTAGTATGCTTTTGAACATGTGTCCTCCTGTGAATGTGGGAACATGGGATCTATGTCTAACATTAGATATAGACCCCCCTGATGTGAAGGTGTGATGTCAGGTCTGTGTGGGTCTCTAGACATCGTGGTACGGTTGAACAGCTGCTATTTTTCTTAGTCTGCGGATTTCTGTCCTTGGGATTTGATGTCAAAGAGCAGCACACAGTTTCCGCTGTTATGGACATGTTAGGCATATTGGCGCTGGTAGGCATCTGCAGGTAATTCTGTGGACAGTTGTTTATCTTGGTGGGAACTCTTGTGTGGGGAATGGGAATTATCGTGTTGTCATATGTTGCTCAGCGCAGTCTGAACAGAGAAATGCCTGCCAAGTCACTACTAAATATTTTTTGCAGTGTTTATTTGAGCTTGACCTACATTTACGAGAAAAGACCCCATCTGTCCTTCTAGCATGATTTTTGCCACTGGCGCAACAAACTTAAATATGGGTGTCGACTTACCGGAGTACCAACCTGCTCTTGATGTAAACATATCCGGCATGCAATGATAGACTCAGTGAATACAGGCCTTAGCTTGCAATCACTTACTGCAGTTGGGTATACTACGTAGGCAAACATCTCTGCATTGCGGTTGGAGTGGGCTCTGGTGCATGCATATGCATGGGCATTGACAGAAAGCATTGCAATTAGAATCGCTCTCTCGTAGTCTGACGTTTGCAGCATATATGCACAGGAATTGCAAAGATTGGAGCTCGCTGAGCCTGCACTGCAGACCAGGGACACTTGCCCGCCAGTTAACGTCTACCGAAACTGAGCCGGAAGTTCTGCAAACCGGGGGTGACAGGTGGATCACGGCTATTTAGGGCGGGCTCGACTTCATCTCAAAGTCATAAAGATAGGAGGAGCAAACGTTTTGTGGAAGAATACACAGCCTGGAAACTTCCAAGACAGGTGATTTTGATTGCAAACTGGTTCTATATCACGCTTGGAGGTGGTTTGAGTGCGGACAATCCTTCCGAACAATTCGCGTGGCACCTTGCTAGATACAGCCGCTCTTTGGGTCAGATTGCTTGCGGCTTATAGACAGCAAACTCTAAAATATCTTGGACTGCACTGTCACTGGTGGTTGGAGAGTTGACAGGCCAGCAGACGGCCCTGCACAGCGTCTTCTTGTTTCCGCGATTGAGACGTTCTACCTGTCGCAGGTCGTCACACATCCAAGTCTAGGCAACACTCTCACTTCAATGGCACGTCTTCACTTTGCCGCACTGCTTGTGGCGGCAGCGCTGGTGGTCGCATCCGGTGCGTCCTTCTTGGAATGTGAAGTTATGGGCCCTAGACCTGTGTTTGCTCGAAGGGAGCCCGGCAAGAGCCTGATGGCCACAAGTAGATGCCAGAAATACTCCCCCAATAATCTCCCTGACGCTGAGGCTTCTGTGTGAACGCAGGCGACCTTCACAGATGACAAGACACTGACCCTGTCTGGTCTGACCGAAAGCGCACAGAGCTTTGTCGTGGGCGGCAAGACTGCAATTTACCCGATTGCAGCATTCACCGGTTCGCAGTTTGTGAATGCGGCTGGCGAGTGGCTCGGCAACCCCCAGGCAGTCTTCTATGGAGTCAACGCCCAGGTAAGGAAGTTTCTCTAGCTGAAGTATTCCTGCTCTTTCCTCCTCTCCCCTGCCATCATGCATGCTCTTTTCTCCCCTCTCATAGTATCATCCAGGTAATTGCCTTCAATGTAAGGCGTCTGTGCTTGTCTGTTCTTTACAAAGTAAGCGCGCAGCTCAGTACCATGTGCCGTGCAAATATGTACATTTTGGATTGTGTGAGGCTCTTTCATTTCATTAGTGCAAAGGACGAGAAGTTCCTCCAAATCAACACAGGGTACCTCACATGATTGTATTTTTGTGCCTGCAGGGCAACCTGACCAAAGTTGTCCTGGCGCTGTCATCCCCCAAGGTCTCTGCCCCCGCTGCCGGTGTCACCAAAAATAACAACAACAACAACAACAATGGCGGCACGATCACAAACAACAACAACAACAACAACGGCCAGGTGCGCTTTCCCTCAGCACCCCTGCAAATCCTCCTGTCAGGGGTACTAAAGACTACCCCCTGCAGTCTTCAGTACATCCTGCTCCTACAGCCTCTTTGCCGTGTGTGCACAATTTTACAGCCGGTTTCGACCGTAAAACGGCTTTGCAATGTTTTGGAGTGATTCGGAGACGCTGGTGCGTGTCAGTCCATCATGACGCAACCAGCCCTTCTTGCTTCCCAACTTTTGTTGCGGCTCTGTCAGTCAGTACTGAGTGGCCCTATTCGGTGCGAGTACTCCATGTGACAGGTCACCAAGAGTTGCATTTTAAGCACCCCTAATCAGAGAGTTCAATATTACCTGAGAGACGCCTGAAATTCTACATGCGCATGCATGTGCAGATTGCAGCCGTTCCAGAAAAGCTCAAACCTCACTGGAATCCCACCTGCAAAAGTTGCATTTTGCAATTTCAAGAAACTCAAATAAATAAGTAATATTCAATCTGCATGCATATGCAGACGCTGTCTTTCACCGTGGCGGCTGTGCCGGCCGACGCGGCCAAGGTCAAGATGACCGGCGGCGCTGTCTCGGCAAAGATTGCTGAAGCCGTGACTGGGGCCGGCGATCTGGCGACGACCATTACTCCCGCTGCGCAGTTCACGAACGTTGTTCTGTTCATCGACAGCAACCAGTCAGCCGTGCAGAAGACTGCTGAGACCAAGTGGAGCTGGGGCAACAACAACGGCGGTTACGGAGCCGGGAATAACAGTGCGCCCCAGCTTTGTCAATTTCTGCCATGCTGTTTTTGGTTTGTCCTCTCTATCCAGTCATCTCCTCCTCTGTGGCATTCTGGAGATGTTGTCATCCGGCTATTCTGATTGTGTTGCTTGTGGATTTTGTAGACAACAACAACAATTACAACAACAACAATTACAACAACAACAACAACAACGGCGGCTGGGGAGCAAACAACAGTGCGTATCCTACCCTTCTGTGTATCTGCGATTGAAGTTGAAAGTTGTGCAACTTGCCAGCCTTTCTTTTGAGTGCTCAGAATGCTTGTGATCGATGCTCTGAATTTTTTTATGCCTGTGCAAAGGCAGAGCTTGAACTGCACTTATTGACTTTTTTCTTTTGTGCTGCAGACAACAACAATAACAACAACAACAACGGCCGCCACTAAAATGAAGGACGCATAGAGAGCATCCCATTGCAAAATACATCAAGGTGTTCCTTAGTCGCGCTGTGGCATCTCCTTGGCTCTTCAGTGACACTAAGTCACCAGTACAGAGTTTGGCCTTGTAATGCCATCATGATGTTTACACATGCTTTTACTGTGCATGTTCTAGATGTTTCTAGAAGGCCTCTGGAATGTTCTAGATGGACTTCCAGTAGTTCTAGAAGGAAATAGCATTGCCATCAGCCGCTGGCTTCCTGTGTATTTTTAATGCTATGTGAGCTTATTCATTGAACCTGTAGAAGGACATAAGCCCAAGAGAGGCAGGCCTCAAGGTCATATGGCATATGCGTTCCCGCACAAGAAGCAAAGGAGCATACAATTGAATTGAATTCGAAACAGCCTCTGGCTGGATTTTGGGAGTGCTGTGCACACGCAAGAACGAATGAGCTCAAGTATTTGACCACATCAAGTCAAAATGAACCATCAAGATCATAGTTCCTGCTGCTGTTGTTCTGCATTGCTAGCAGATGAACAAGCCATGGAATGAAGAATAAGAACGAACAGCTCATGCTCAAGAAGGAAGTCAAATACATGTCTGTCGGCCTGCTGCTCTTGTGTTGACATGGATCTGTGTAAGATGACAATTAAGTGAAATGAACTTATTGCATCCTTGATGTACACACTCCTGATCCGATGCATCAAATCTGAGATGCCTTGGCCTGGTGTGCCAACCGGTTTGCACGGTTCCATTGCACAGTGCTTCTTCTATGTCAAAATCAGCTTTGCAGACTTGGAACACCTCCACTGATGCTCATGCATGTATCTTACATGCCCGGCTCCTACTCAAACCGGCGCTCTTGATATGCATAGGAGTAAGGCTCTGATGCATGCATATGCATGGGCTTTGACGAGTCCATTGCAATACAAACCACTCTCTCGTGGTCTAGCGTTTGCAGCATATATGCACAGGAATTGCAAAGATTAGAGCTCGCTGAGCCTGCACTGCAGACCAGGGACACTTGCCCGCCAGTTAGCGTCTACCGAAGCTGAGCCGGAAGTTGTCGACACGCCCGCTTGCCTGGCCGACAGATTGGTGGGTGCCACGCGGCGATCACCCGACAACGTCAGCCGTTTGACGAGGCCCTCTTCAAACCGGGCGTGACAGGTGGATCACGGCTATATAGGGCGGGCTCGACCTCAGCTCCATCGCAAACATAGGAGGAGCCAACGGTTCGTGGAAGGAAATACAGCTTGGTAATATTAACACAGGTGATTTTGATTGCACACTAGTTCTATATTACGCTTGGAGGTGGTTTGAGTGCGGACAACCCCTTCCGAACATTCCGCGTGGCACCTAACTAGTTACAGCCGCTCTTTGGGTCCGGTTGCTTGCGGCTTGTAGACTGCAAAATATTGAATATATTGGATTGCACTGTGACTGGTGGATGTAGAGTTGACCGGCCAGCAGAGGGCCCTGCACTGCGTCATTTTGTTTCCGCGATTCATTCGTTCCACCTGTCGCAGGTCGTCACACATCCAAGTCTAGGCAACACTCTCATTCAATGGCACGTCTTCACTTTGCTGCACTGCTTGTGGCGGCAGCGCTGGTGGTCGCATCCGGTGCGTCCTTTTTGCAGTGTGCACGTGTGGGCCCTAGACCTGTGTTTGTTCGAAGGGAGCCGGGCAAGAGCCTAGTGACCACACTTTCGATGCCCGATAACTCTGAAACTGAAGGGGTCTCATTTGGTGACTAGAGGCCAGCAAGATCTTGCTTCACGGCTTCATTGTTCTCAGTGTCCAGCAGTCGCACCGCTAGCGATGGCCGAGTGCCACTAGTTCGCACAGCAGATTGTCGGTCTATAGAGACTGTTCCGATCACCCAATATTTTTGATAGGATGCATCTTTTATCGGTGGCGATCGTTCAGTTGTCGTCATCCCGTCCCTTGTCCTGACGTCTGGCCCATGTGCAGGCACTCGCGTGCCACTGCAGGCCGCCGCGCCCGCTCCTGCTGCTTCAAACGGCGCTGACGTCCTCTTTACGATGGAGGCTCAGCAGGTACTCGCACTTTACCCTTCACACCATTCGCCCAATACCTTTAAGCTCCTCTCTGCTGGACCCGTGTCGCCCAGTCGCACTCTTGTGCTCGCTTGATTTGAGATTTCTTTGCTCATGCCTCTGCCTCAAGCACTTCTTCTGTGGGCCCTGTTGCCCACTAAATTCACTGCAGCTTCCGGGCAGGATCCTTTCAAAGGGAGCAGTCAGTAAAGCATGTCCCAGAAATGCATGCAGCAGCGCTGCATAGCATCATACTCCCCCAATAATCTCCCTTACGCTGTGGATTCTGTTTGAACGCAGGCGACCTTCACAGATGACAAGACACTGACCCTGTCTGGTTTGACCGGAAGCGCACAGAGCTTTGCCGTGGGCGGCAAGACTGCAGTCTACCCGATTGCAGCATTCACCGGCTCGCAGTTTGTAAACGCGGCTGGCGAGTGGCTCGGCAACCCCCAGGCAGTCTTCTATGGTGTCAACGCCCAGGTAAGGAAGTTTCTTTAGCTGAATTATTCCTGCTCTTTCCTCCTCTCCCCTGCCATCATGCATGCTCTTTTCTCCCTCTCATGGTATCATGCAGGTAATTGCCTTCAATGTGGGGCGTCTCTGCTTGTCTGTTCTTTACAATGTAAGAGCGGAGCTCAGTCCCATGTGTCATGCCAATCTGTACATTTCGCTCGTGTGAGGCTCTAAATTCATAAGTGCAAGGAGTGAGAACTTCTCCTCTCTAAGTCTACACAGGGTACCTCACATGGCATTGTGTTTTTGTGCCTGCAGGGTAACCTGACCACAGTTGTCCTGGCGCTGTCATCCCCCAAGGTCTCTGCCCCTGCCGCCGGAGTCACCAACAACAACAACAACAACAACAATGGCGGCACAATTACAAACAACAACAACAACGGCGAGGTGCGCTTTCCATCAGCACCCCTGCAAATTTACCTGCCAGGGGGCACTAAAGACTACCCCCTGCAGTCTTCAGTACCCCCTGCTCCTGCAGCCTCTTTGCCGTGTGTGCACAGCCTGACAGCCAGTTTTGACCCTGAATTGGCTTCGCAATGTTTTGGAGTGATATGGAGACGCTGGTGCGTGTCAGTCCATCATGACACAACCAGCCCTTTTTGCTTCCCAACTGTTGTTGCGGCTCTGTTAGTCAGTACTGAGTGGCCCTAGTCGGTGCGAGTTACTCCATGTGACAGGTCACCAAGAGTTGTATTAGTATTACCCCTAATCAGAGAGGTCAAGAGTACCTGTGAGACGCCTGAAGTTCTACATGCGCATGCATGCGCAGATTGCAGCCGTTCCAGAAAAGCTCAAACCTCACTGAAATTCCATGAGAATTTTGCGATTCAAATAATTCAGATAACTAACATTCAAATTGCATGCATGTGCAGACGCTGTCCTTCACCGTGGCGGCTGTGCCGGCCGACGCGGCCAAGGTCAAGTTGCCCGGCGGCGCTGTCTCGGCAAAGATCGCCGAAGCCGCGGCTGGGGCCGGCGATCTGGCGACGACCATTACTCCCGCTGCGCAGTTCACGAACGTTGTTCTGTTCATCGACAGCAATGAGGCGGCCGTGCAGAAGACCGCTGAGACCAAGTGGGGCTGGGGCGGTGCGCGTTCCCTCCCTCTGCGTGCCCTCGATCACCATGTCTCATCGCCACAATGACTCATCATCTCTGCTGTGTCTGAATGAGGCCGCCTCATCCACGGGCCCCATTGGCCGTTTCTACAAGTGGTTCATTGTTGCTACCTTTGAAAGCATGCTTTGCTGATGGAGGTCTTTGTGGACCTGCGAACAAAGCCTGTTTTTACTTGGTTGTCGTGTCTGTTGCTCCTGCGCTGGCACCCGTTGGCAATCACAGCGTGTGAGTGGTCAATGTTGGACCGTGCTGGGAATCTGTGCGTATTTTTACAGCGGTCAAGGCTGCTTCTCTTTTAAGGCGGATTACGTTTGTTAAAGAATTGTTTGATTTGCATGCAGGCTGGTTCCCTAACTACTACAACAACGGCTACAACGGCGGCTGGACCTCAAACAACAACAGTGCGCTACCCCCTTCCACCTCCCTTGTATTATAACTTACCTGGTAAATAATACGGTACATCGGGGAACCTATGGGAAGAGGATTAGCCTCGCCTCATCGTCTGCTGACAACACGTCTCAAAAGCTGGGAGGAATTTTAGAGACAGACGTGCATAACTGACGATCCTGAATGCTTTGTGCGCTCTACCCTACACTTTCATTGCAACATACTTTCTGCTGGTACGTAGTTCAGAGGGCAGCTGGCATAGGCTAGGGCGACCCTTAGTGCCTGCTGACATGTCTCCAAAGCTGCGTGAGATTTTAGAGACAGATGTGCTTGACTTGATTCGGTAAACAATGCCATTGAGCTGACTGGTGTGTGCCCCCTGCTGCAGACAACAACAACAACAACAATGGCGGCTGGGGAGCAGTGAACAACAACAGTGCGTTTCCAGCCCTTCTTTTCCTGTGCAGCTGTTCCTTTTTTTGCTTTTGCTGCATGCATCTGTCCGTCTATTCTTGCGCAGCTGTGGCTTCTTGTGTTGTGGCATGCATCTATTCTACTCTTGCTGTGCAGCTGTAGTTTCTAAGAGGTTGCTTGCATCTGTCAATCTGTGAGAGGTCGTGGCATCTTTTTCTGTAGCATGTGTTTGTCCTGCTCAGCGGTTCACATTTTCCTCTGAGATTGACTGAGACAAACAATGTTTTGTGCTTTGTTCAGACAACAACAACAACAATGGCGGCGGGGGAGCAAACAACAACAACAATAACAACAACAACGGCGGCTACGGAGCCGTGAACAACAGTGCGCCACTCTTTTGTCATTTTCTGCCATGCTTTTTTTTTGTTCATTCTATCCAATCATCTCCTCCTCTGTGGCATTCTGAAAATGTTGTCATGCGGCTATTCTGAATGTGTTTGCTTGTGGGTTTTGCAGACAACAACAATAACAACAACGGCGGCTGGGGAGCAAACAACAGTGCGTTTCCTACCCTTCTGTGGATCTACAATCGAATTTGAAACTTGTGCAATCTGCCAGCCTTTCTCTTGAGTGCTCAAATGCTTTGTGATTGATGCTCTGGTTCTTTTTATGCCTGTGCGAAGGCAGGCTCAACTGCACTTTATGAATTTTTCTTTTGTGCTGCAGACAACAACAACAACAACAACGGCCGCCACTAGAGTGGAGGACGCATATAGAGCATTCCATAGCGAAAGACACGAGCGTGTTCCTTAGTCGCGCAACTCAGCTGCAGCGGTTGGGCGAACAAGTAGCAAAGGAGCGTACAATTTGAATAAGACTTCAAAACAGCCTCTGGCTGGATTTTGGGAGTGCTGTGCACACGCAATAACGAATGAGCTCTATTGACCACATCGAGTCAAAATGAACAATCAAGATTATATTTCATGCTGCTGTTGTTCTGCAAATGCTAGCAAATAAACAAGCCTGGAATGAAAAACAAGAATGAACAGCTCATGCTCAAGATATGAAGTCAAGAATATGTCTGTCGGCCTGCTGCTCTTGTGTTGACATGGATTTGTGTACGATGACATCCCAGTGAATCTGCTTATTGCATCCTTGATGTACACTCCTGATCCGATGTATCAAATTTGAGATTGCCTTGGCCTGGTGTGCCAACCGGATTGTGCGGTGCCATTGCAAAGTGCTTCTTCTTTGTCACAACCAGCCTTGCAGACTTGTGAAATCTTCATTTATGCTCATGCCTGTATCTTTCATGCCCCACTCCTACTCAAACCGGCGATTTTTATATGTTTGTTCTTGAAATGATGGCATCTATGCACGGTGTACTGAAGACTGCATTGTGGCATGCAATTTATTGCAATTAATCCACCAATTCAGCCACTTCCTCACTGACGCACCTCTGTTCAATACACGTTTCCTGATTGGCAACCCTGCTGATTTCAAATTCCTTGTTCCTCAATTCTGGCATGTTGCAAAATCAAACCCTCACTGCTATCAGGCAGGATGATACATCTCAGGCTCCTCCGCTCTTCAGTTCTGGCACATCTCAAGTTTTCAAATTTTCAAAAACAAAATAAAAACTAAAACCTACATCAGGCGGAAGGGTGCTGCATCGCCTGGCGATTCATGTCAATGAAGAGAGTCACATCTGTCAGCTCCATCCCTGGGGCTGCCGTCTGCAGTGTGCGCACAGCACAAGTCAAACTCTGCCAGACTCACAGTCCAAATCAAGGCATCTGTTCTGGCAGCCACTCTCTGCAATTGGCTTGCCAATACACCTCGCCAATGGAGATTGCAGGGAAAGCATGCACATGAACTTAGTTGAAAATTCCTTTGATGGGTTTTAAGCTCCAACAAGTGCTGCACCCATGTCAGCGCTACTGGAATTGTATTAAACTTCTTCTCTGTACCATCAATCATCAAATATATTTGTCAACTTACTTCCCCAATGTAGTCGATCCAATTGCCTGGCAGGCACCCATGAGTATTCTCATTAGTCGCACCTGGATGGGTGGCTCCCCCATGAAAACGTCACCTGACATAGTCCACTGCACCCTCTAGCATGCAGCCATGACTAATGGCCCATTGATCACATTAGTCGTACCTGGATAAATGGCACGCAGATACAGATGCTACCTGGGATAGCAAGTCAAGCCTCTAGCATGCGATAATTAGTAATCCCGTTAGTCACACCTGGATGAGTGGCGCGCCCATGCCGGCACCTGCCTGCTGCACGCGCTCCGAGACGGCTCCACCGGGGAACTTGACATCGACCGGGCTCACTTGCAGCGTCGCCACAGTATACGACAGCGTCTGCATGCACACAGAAAATTCAAATTAAGATTCAATACTTGAAATTGGACTCTTTCTCCTATCTTCTAGCGCTCGCTCTGCCTTGGTGTTCGCATTCCCCTTCCTTTAATATGCACCCATTTAAAATGACACTATAGATTCTGGCCCCGGCTGGCGGGGGGTGATATAAATACTGAGCACCGTGCCCACGGTTGACTGGGTCTTGCTTGGATTGGATCTGGCGAGTCCAACAAGGGGTAGTGTTATAGCACCCTTCAACTGCTGCTTGTCTCTTGGCAGAAAAAGCACCTGTTCGGTCTCGTTGTACAGGGGCCGTGAGAGGATGAGCAGAGCATCCGCTGGGTGGCCGCCCGTTGTCCCCTTCATGAGCGCATCAGGCTGATTCAGCCAGCGACCTTCGCTGTCCACATATGGCGCACCTGAATAATGAAATAATGAATAGTGAATTTGATCTGCCAATACTATGTGATGTTTGATTCTTTAGCAGCACTGTTGAATGTGACCCGCCAACACCACCTCCTCTTGAGTGGAGAGCCTCTTTTGCTTCTTGTGGACGGTTTCTGACAGATGTTTCAGCCCTTCCAGGCATTTTGGGCATTCCCACATAAAAAGGCAAGACATGCTTTTATGATGAAGGAATACACACCTGGAGCGGTGGAAACAAATTGTGCAATTGGAGAAGAGCCCGCTCTGCCGCCGGCCTCAAAGCTGGCGACAGTGTGCGCCGGGCGGCTCAGGACAAGAGTGCTTGCGGTGGTAAATGTGGCCTGCGCAGCAGAGAACTATTATCATGACAATTTTGAGACCGAACAAGCTCAAATCTCTGATTGGCGTGGACATCTCAAAGAGCGCAGACGAGTTATATTAGCCTAAAGCTGAAGGAAAGGTTTCTGAGGCGCTAATCGCAAGACGGGTGGCAAAGGTGGAGAGGACCTGTAGTCATGCACTCATTTGCTTGGAAGTGTTGGACGGATTCAGCAGAATCCATGAGGGACCTAGCAAAGTAAGCTCAACAGCAGAGCTAAATGGCAATTTGTGGGAGCTGCCAAAAGCTCATAGACTTATGGGGCAAAATGCCTTCACAGGCGCAGTCTCCTGCGCAGGTGGCAAGACGACGGGGATGAGTTCACCTTGTCTGCTACGAGGACGAACAGCAGGTCCGCCTCTCCCGGACCTGTGTAGCCCTGTTGCTGTGTTGCGGGACCTGGAGCAGGGCTGGGCATGATGGAAGCGCCGGCAGGTGCCATGGCGGATCCTGGAGCAAGGGCTGGGGCAGTCGCGGGAGGTAGGGGTTGGCGAGCGCCTGCGCAAAAGGCAAGCAGAGTGTGATAGCGTCTCATTTTCTAGACGCACGGCACCCACGCTTCAGAAATGACGATCAGCTCCGGAACTGGTTCAGCATACCGCTTGCGGTAGCGATGAGAAATGCTGCGAATACCAACGCTTTGTATCTAGTTAGCGCCATGGCTGAGTCTGAATCCCCCTGCTCAGCGTAAGCCTGAATCCGAAAGATCTGGCAGATTATCGCTGCAAGCGATGTGTCCGCAGCACGTTTCCACACGTATGGTGGACACCGGTAACACCTCAATCAAAGTGTCAATCCTCTACAGGTTTCAATTGTCTACAGGTTTCAATCCGAAGAATGCTTTATTAGAGATGGAGACTTTTGTGGAATGGTGTTCACCAGCTGCTGCTTTGGAGTTCGTCTGAAGCTGGAGCGGCAGTTGCAGACAGCACAGGGCGTTCCCTGCAAGATTCGTCATAGAAGGACCTCAGATCAATTTGCATGCCCGGCAGAGGTTGATTTGCAGTGACATGCGCTGAGCGTATAGTCCTAGCGTTTATGCATTGCACTCCTATTTTCCTGCAGAGCGCATGCAATATGTATCGCTAAAATTAAAAACATATGTTAACACGTTGGTACCAACGGTCACCAACGAAAAACGGTTTTGGTGCCAGCTGGTAGGGCGCATGTGTTTCAGGGCAGTCCAATCATTCGAGCCTTCCTCAGTGCAAGTTGCACTGATTGCAGGATGGAGTTCCATGCACTTTAGTTCGGATCGAGTGTAGTCATTGGCGACCAGCAATGTGCTCTGCATGCATCAGCTGACGCATGCAGGCTGCGGCTGATGAGCATGCATGCGTCTGTATTGCCAGTATCCTGATTTCAGCTTTTTACATTCTTCCGGAACAATTGAGTCAAGCTTACACTACTGTGATACGTGGGCTCCACTCTCTCAATACCCAAACAGACTGGTGCTTCAGACAGTTAACTACGTTGGCCATCTCATGAGCACTATGAAATATCGAACAAAATAGTGACGACTGATCAATGGAAAAAACAATGTAAATGTCAGTTGGCTTCAATAACGTACACACTTGATCACCGGTCACACCGGGGACAGTGTCAAATTGCAGCACAAAATCAAGCTTCCGCAGCTCGAATGCAAAGGGGGTGTCTTGACATCAATTGTGCTTGGCGCTCGGCACGCACATTGTTATACTGCAAACCATGCTTGAAGTAAAAATGTGTCCAAAATGACGGGGTGCCAACGCTGCTCTTATGATTCTGAGCCCAGGATGGCTGCAGTGAGATGATGGTCATTTCTACTTCAGGCAGTGCTAGCAAAAAAAATCCAGCAGTGCCGGGGCAAAGCGGTTCTGCATCGCTAGACATCCCCTTTCTGAAATGGATCTTTGAAAGTCCCTCTCGAGTGACTCACAGAGACCTGGCAGGCCAAAAAATCCTTCTCCCCGCCTGCCGTGCCCTCCAAAGAGCATGCAATGTTGATCTCTTTGTGGCTCCCCGGGAGGATAGAAGCATGTCTATTGATCGCGTGAGACTCTGCTCTGCTGTCCTCTTGTCCGCTGTCCCTTCCATAGATTGCGTGAGACTCCTGATCTTCCGACCTCTTGTCTGCTGGGAAGCTGGGTGTCAGAGTTTGCGCATGGGAGCCTAGCGGCCAGTGGGGGCAGGAGATCCACTCCCGGTCCCATAATTGACACTGCTATCCGAGCCTGAGAAAGTAGTTGCACTAGATCTCAGCTCCTGAACTTGCATTCAGGTATCACATGGAAATCATCATGTCATAGATAAGCAAGCTTGCAGTAAGCTTGGTTGCTTGCACGATAAGTGCAGCCAACAATTTACTTGCACACACAAATTTCCTGCTCGGCTTGCTCTAATAACAGAGTGGGGGGACGCTTATCAATGGTACTGCAGAGAGGGTGCACTGTGAGGAGGAATTCAGGAATTGAGGCAGCGCGATGACAAATGAGCTGACTCACCTCCCCAGCCGAATTTGAGCGCAGCCGGCTTTTGCAGGCCAGCATGATTCTGATCGATGAAGAGCCCCGCATCCTCCATAACCATACCAGGGATCACCACCTGCAGATGATACCACACAATCAACCATTCACACTCTTCTCACTGCCCCCAGAATCTGAGCCAATGCATGGCTTACATCAGGGTCCGGCTGACATATCATGTTCTAGTAGCCCCACACGTCTCCTGCTTCGCCTCTGACTGGTGGAGGAAAGCCCGAGATACAAAAGGTTGGAAGGCTGTCGTAGAGACGCTGCTGCAAAGCTGATAAGGCATGTAACAATAGCAACAATGCCCACTTGGCATCAGGGTAGGATTAAATATGTTCCAGGTGTGCCAGAATTTTGGAAGGAAAAAAATCAAATTCCGTACCTGGATCAGCGGCGCTCCAACCCCCGCGTCGTACTGCTCTATGCGCCGCGAGACAACGCCGTCTGACAGCTTGGCCGAGGCCGGCCGCGGCGGCAGCACGCCCACTGTGAAGCTCAGCGTCTGCAGCAAAGCACATCGTGTCAAGACTTGTCCGTGCTTTTGCTTTTTGCCCAGGGCTGGCAGATGGTGGGCAAGGATGTCGCACCAGCTGTGTCACAGCCTCATGGTGTCTCCAATTCACCCTCACTTCAGCCCTCAACAGCCAAAACGCCAACACAATGTTCCCTACACTCCCCAGACAGAGAGGCCAGATACTACCCCAATAAGCGCGTACACACACCACAGCGCGCTGCAAATGTTATGTGTGCCGTGAGGCTGCAATGAGGGTACAGATAGAAGCGCGAGGATCGGCGCAGCTCAGCCGCGTGGTCTTGCATCGGCTGTGCCAGCAAGCTGGAAGCATTGCAGCCTGCCACGTCAAAAATGAACAGAGTGTAAAAAAGCTTGAGAGTTGACAAACCTCAACCACACCGTCAAGCACCAGCTGTGACAGCGAATGTTGCAGTATGCCATATCACAGTAATGACAACAAAATAGCTCAAGGATGGCTCACCTCTGCTGCACGGTCGTAGACCGGCTGTGAAAGCAGCAACAGCACGTCGCTGCGGCTGCCGTTGATCGCCCCCTGCAGCAGCGCGTCTGGCTGGCCCAGCCACCGGCCCTGGCCGTCCACGAAGCGAGCGCCCGGGGCGGCCGACGCGAAATTGGCAACCGGCTCCCCGGCTGAGCGGCCGCCCGCCTGGAAGCTGGCGACTGTGCGCGCCGGCCGCTGCAGCACCAGCGTGCCCGGCGATGTGAAGACGGCCTGCCCGGAAAACACAAAGCTTGTGTGAGAATCTGATTTGGAAAGATCTTGGTGGATGGTGAGGCAGGTAGCCTGCTTCTGTCACTGCTGTGATGGCGTGCCAAGATTACCAAGATGTTTGATTGCTGGGTAATGCTGCTGTCAGCTCTAGCCTTCATAGCCGGGGCAGTCCTCAAACTGCCAAGGGCGTGGCTTACAGTTGGTCCTGCCAAAGTCTCTGCCCTTTACAAACATGTGCCGGACCCATCTCTCCCTTGCCAGACACGTGTTTACCCCGATCGTTCTGTCAGAGGCCTGGAGGGCACCTTTTCTGCTGACAGGAAGAAGGTCACATCCGCTCCATCCACAGCGGTGCTCTTGCCTTCAGCAAGAGCAGGGCTTGGCGCCAATGCACTTTGCAAGGTCGCGCGAGATGCTGCGCATGTGACACGGGTCAACGTTAGTCTGGCATTCCAGGCCTTGCCACCTAGCTTCAATTGAATACATTTTTTCCCAACGCAACCAGCCCTCAGTCTCTGCACTCTCTAAGACAGCATATAAATGTCGCAAAATATGACAGCTGCTCATATTTTTGTACTGTACAAAGAATCTGTCATGCACGAAGGGAAAAATCACCACTTGCTGTCGCGAGAAGCAGGAAAGTGCACAGAACACCGGCAATACCGATGCGCGCCATTGCAACTGTGTCCCTTGATATTTATTCTCTCTCTAAAATTCACAAGTGAAGGCTACGAAAGCTGTGTGCCCAGCCTAGAGCTATGTTTTGAGCTATGTCACCGACACCCCATGCACTGCGCGCTTCAAGCTACTCTGAAAGCGCAATCCGGCAGAGGCTCCATGATTGCGATTGCGTACGCGGAGCGCCTCTCAGAGGGCAGGATCGTTGGTGGAAAACCCGACTCGTTGTCATTTGCGTGCCATTCCAGCATCTGCTGAAGAAGCTGAGCGCGAAGCCAGATGGCACGCCTCAAGCTCGGCGGTGACATCAGCACATTACTAACCTCATTCCTGAGTTCACAGGCACGATGATCTTTCAGTTTTGCAACTGTTGAGCAACTCCGAAGCCTCATTGATCCCAGGGCATGCGATCCGTACACAGACATGAGGGTGGAAGCAACGGTCTTGTGAGCACCAATTCTGCTCGTCGACAAGTGTGGGGGAAACACTCAGGTCAGCAAGATAGGGGCAGGAGACTTTTCTACGTCTTCTAGCTTATCAATCATTGTCACAGAGACGTGCAAAAAGGTGAGCTATACATGTGCTGTGCAGGGACCATCTATGAGATACTTCCCACCTCGAACTTGTCGTTATGTCCTAGCTTTGGGTGATTGATACTTGGAACAGTTCTGCATGCTGGTCCAAAGTATATGCGCAGGTTAAGCCTTGAGTTGCAATATTTTGTCATGGGATTCATCCGATTGGCAAAATATTCATGCACGACTCTGGCATTGGTGAACGCGCTTTGTGCCAGTGACTAGGCTATGCAAGAAAGGCAACCATAACATTTGGGAATTGTTCATTTGCTTATATTTGAGCAACTTTGGCTTCTTTGTAAAGGTTCAAGCTGCAGTACACCTGACTGCGTCCAGTAAGACGTTAGACATTAGGCTCTAAGATGACCACCTCTTTCTGATCTGTATGGAGGGGCCTCCTGCGCTGCGACGCTTCTCTAGCAACTTTGCGTCTGAGAATTGTTCTTTTCTGCCTTGCAGATCCAGAGGGTGGCATCCTCGACCGAGGTGATTCAAGCTGTTGATTTGCAGCCTTGAAACTCTCCGTTGCGGGAGAGGCTGAAAGAAGAGCTGATCAGCAGCCCAGTGTACGTCGAGCAGCATTATACGCGTCCATCAAGCCATCCAGGATGCACCAGTAAGAAGATACAGACATTTAGCGCAGCACTGCTCGTCTGACTCAGTCATCCAGAGGAGGGATCAGTAGGACGAAGTAAGGCGGTTGACAAATATATCACCTGAGGACAGAGGTCCCATTGTCAGCAGAGAGGAGGGGAGGGAATGCCCTCGCACAGACGCAGTTCAGAGTCTGGCCAGGCGGCCAGCATGGAGCCTGCAGGCAACCATGTGAGCAGCAGCCCTGCCGCTGCCGACAAGCGCAGATCCATCCCTCTGCCCAATCTGGAGACAGCCAGCAGGTGCAGTGCTGTGCACACTCTCTCCCTGCACACATTAATATTGCTCTGGAGGATATCACAAACTCTGGGGCTTCCACACTGCGACATGAACTCCACCTCAAACTTTTCAAGGTTCCAAATATGGAATGGTTGTGGCGTATTTGGGCATGGTGTATGCCATGTTGTCTATCGGTGTGCTTGGCATGCACGGCATCAATAGCGCTTACATGTCACTGACATCAAACCCTTGCTTTGGAGGCTTCTCAGAAAGGAGACTAATTCTGCAGGGAAGGCACATGGAGGATAATCATGTGCATTACTCTTTGTTTCTAAGGAGAAAAGGAAAAGGAGAGCTTCTGTCTTGTTCTGTGCATGGTAGGGACGACAAAACATGAACAATGAGGTTTGGTGATGCATTTTGCAGGTTGAAGACGTACGTGGGAAATGCGATCAACACGGCGTCGGCTGCGCCGGCGTGGCTGGCGGCCAAGGCGGTGCCGGTGGCGGCTGACGGCGCCGGTCTGCTCAGGAACGCCGCTGCAGACAGGGTGGCCCTCTTCCGGCGAGGGTGCGCGCCGCGTGTCTCCCCTTTTTCTCAATTCCCAACCCCTGCGCATGTCAACATTGGAGTGCACAAAGACACAGTGACAGGCGAGGGGGCGGGGCCACGCCTGTATCATCCCACCCTGCTGGCTTATATTGTCCTGTACGTTGTGAATGGAATTAAGCTGTATTCTCAGCCCGCGTGTCCTGGAACTTGATTCTGTTTTGGGCGTTTCTTGGGGGTCGCTGGACAGCAGTCAGGATGGGGATTTGGTGTACACAGAAGACATGCCGCATGTGTACAGCTAGTGACCCACTCTGTTGTGCATGATCCAGGGCACAGTATGACGAGCTGGAGGAGGAAGAGGACGAAGCAATGAAGCGGCGGACCATGGCGCTCAGCAGCGCCGACGCACCGCCGCAGCCGTCCGGCAGAGCCGCCTCCGCCTCACAACAGGTACATGCTTTGCTGCCATGACCTGTTAAGAGCATGAGTGGTAGCCGTGCAGTGGCTCCTTCTGCAGCCCTGCAGTTGTTGCAAGTGCTAATGGCAGGCACATGATCCATCTGCCATGCCATGGTCATTCGTGTGTGGGATGTGTGGTGTCTGTTGCCTGCAATTTCCTCCTGCTTAAGGAGCTGAATCACCCCACACGCAGCGTCTTTGTTATGATCCATCTTTCTTTATTGACGCGGTGTCATACAAATCCTGGAGCTGACTACCATGGCTAGCTCACTCCAGCGGTTCAGGTAAGATACTAGTGGGCGTGACAAACCCTTCCTGACGTTCGGGGTCGCTGATAATCCAGGGGCAGGAGGGAGGGGGCGACGCGTCGAGCGAGCCGAGCCCTACCGGCCGCTCGGCCAATGGCTGCCAATTGGCGCGCAGCTCCGTGCACGACGAGCCGGCCATGATACTCTTCGATGAAGACGATGACCCGCCAGTCCTTGTGCGGCAGTCCACTCGTGGGGCCCTTGCAGGTATATCCAGAGGGCCTCTTGATTTACTGGTTATTCTGCCCATGTCCTGACTGTCAATCCTTTAAGGGCTGAGTGCCCCCATGACCGAGCTTTGCATCCTGCCTTTCCTACCAGGTGCTACCATGTTTGTTAAGCAGGTCAAGCTGGCACCTGTGAGTCCAATGGATTAGATTTATCCATGAGCTTACCGAGTAGATTCCCCCCGGAGTCTGCCATGCATGCGGTGATGGGTATGGCATGCTTGCACATCTGTGGTCCGGATGCGCACCCTGAACTTTGAGGGCAAATGTTTGGCAAATGCTTGAGCGCAGGACACAGATTGTTGCACGAGATAGGCAGATTATATTGTATGCTGAGCTGTCCACAAAATGAACGGAGCCATTTCTGCTTTGTTGGGCCTGCAACTGGAACTTGTGATCAGCCAGGAGGGTGTTTCTGATCGTGTGACTATGCATGCTGACAGGACAAGAAGCAGCTGCTAGACCGAGCTCTGCTGCATCCTCCGTGTCAGCAGCCTCAGACCTGCTCTCGGAGGGGTGGCCCTCGGCCAACGGTGCCTTCAGGTGTGTAGCTTGGCCTGCCCGTCTCCTCAATCAATGCATGTACAGCATGCTGACCTGCTCCCTCCTTAACATCATCAAATTTTGGGAAGCTGGCGGATGATCATTGTGTGCAGACTGACAGCTGCACGGCACATACAGTACTTCACGATCTGCCGCTGCATACTCACTTCTAATCGAGTTTGTTTCATACAGGATGCTGGCTGCTGGTTGGAAATGTGTGCCTTTTCTTTCACAGCCAGACAGTGTGCTTCAGTACGGTGCTGTTGCAGTTGGATATGTGTCCATTCGCTTCTCACCCACCTAGAACGCTTCACAGGGCGCCACCCATGAGCGCAGCGCCCGTCGCGGCAGCGCAGTCGCCGGGGCCAAAGCCCCGGCCGGCCGCCGCGGCCGCGGCGCAGCCGTCGCCGGACGCGATTGGCCGCCGGAGCCCGTACGCTCCGCTGCGGCCGTCGCCGAAGGCGGCCAAGGTGCTGAAAACGCCGCAGCTGTCATTTGTTTCGGACGACTCTGCCATGGAGGTTCCCCTCAGCCGCCGCAGCGCTGGAGGCGGCAGCAGCGCCAGCCCGCTTGTGCAGCCGCAGGTTTGTGACACATGTGCATCTCTGATAACTGCTCAGGAGGTCACTATAAGCACCGCTGATGGCTCATGGCATTGCGCGGCTCCAACGCAAGCAGGATGTGGGAAGTTGGGGCAACTTGGGACCTGCTCACTGTGCGCTCCTGCATTGCGCATGCATTCACATTGGCTTTGGGGCAAGCATGCACTGGTGAAATGGGGAGCTGTAGCAGTCTTAAGACGGGCATTTGATAAGTGCTGATGTCATGGGGTGTCTGAAACAGGCCGAGGAGGTGAGTCACCACTTGCAGGGTACGGAGCAGCCGGCCTTGCGCAACAACTCGCAGCAGTCGCTCATAAGAAACCGAACGCCCCCGCCCGCCCCGCGACCCTCCCGGCCGCCGCCGCCCCCGCCGATTGACCCCGACCTGCTCTCGGTATGCCGCCCACTTCTCTTGAGTGGCATCAAGGCGCAGAATGCATATAATCATGTTGACATCCTTTACATGTACTTTGTTCTTGGCCCTGGATGCACCGGATCTATGCCTCCTTGCCTTTACTGCCCTGCGAATGATGCACAAGTTTTTTGCTAGGTCAAAATGACGTTGTACGCCGACATTTTGATTGATCTACACAACAGTAGCACATGTAAAAGCTCAGTTGCCTGCTTCGCCAGTGTTATTTGTCTCCTGTCTGCGGCACGCATCTGCATTCCTCATTTCATGCTTCTTCTGTTTTACACGCAGGCGCTCACAGACAGCAGGGGGAGCATGCAGATGGTGTCACGCCAGTCGAGCGCATCTTCAAGCGTTCCAGAGAGGGGCGCGCTGCGACGAACAGAAGACAGCGAGGTTGGATTGAACGATAACGGCGGCGGCGGGTCGTGGGATATCTTTGAGCCGCGCGCGGCCGAAAGTGCGGCTGCGGCTGCTGCCGGGCCCCTGTCAGAAGGCCTCAACGGCGGCACGATGGGGCTGGCTGCGCTCAAGCAAATGACAGGTGGGTTGCAGCTGTATGCTCACTGCTCTACGGAACAGGGTGTGTCTTCAGGCAGATGCGCTCATGCCTAAATAACGATGGTTGCGCTGTTGCCGTTCGTTTTCCCAGAAGGCGTGCAGAAGCGCGTTACCACAGATCCTGCTAGCGGTTGTCTGTGCAAAAGCTTGCCAAGAGACTTCTACTCAATTGGCCTGGACACATCCTTGCAACTGCCTGCATGTTTGGCCTGCTCTGTTCCTTGGGCATCCTTACAGCTTGTTTTGCCATGCTCACTCCCCCAACCATTCCAATTGGTGTCAGCTGGTGAAGAAAACGCAAGGATGCGGGATTTGGAAGAGATCTGTAGAAGTGCTGCTGGAAAACCCCTAGCGTTGAAGGCTGGAACAGCGTGGATCAATGATAAGCTACCATTGATAACAATAAGATTAGTAATAGTAATGCTTCCGATGATGACCCGCGCTTGCGCATGCGCAGGCCGGCAGCTGCTGCAGACGCTGGAGGTGGGCGCCCCGGTACGCAAGAAGTGGGTGACACGGCTGTCAGCCGCGGAGGCCGCCGCAGCCGCCAAGACGACGCGCCATGTTCGGTGCTTCGTTCGCGGCGGCAAGGTCTGCCTGCGCTACCTGCACCAGGTGCGCGGCGAATGCTTTCCCATGCTATGATGCCACGATCTCATCTCACCGAACTTTCTCCCCCTAATTCCTGGCATATGTGTGTGCTAACGAAACGGTCTACTCGAGATGACTCACTGAGCACTACTGTGCCTCTGGTTGAGGCGATTGCGAGCATCTTCTCTGCTCTCATGTCAAGAGATGCAAGAACCTTTCTTGCTCTAGTTTGACAACTCCTCGTCATGTGAGCCGGCCGACGCGCTGTGCTTACCAGTGCTTCTTTCCTGGGCATGTGTCTCAGGGAGAAGCTCAAGCAAACAGGCCTGGCACGATGCATAAAGATCGCACTCAAGAGCACAAGCCATTAGCCATGATGCATGCATGTTGTATGTGTGCAGGGGGTTAAGGGGCTATTGGACCGAGGGGAGGTGTCGGCGACGGTGCAGCGAGTGGAGGTTCCAGGTGGCAATTGGGCGCCTGGAGCCAGCATCACCATATACACCTCCAGGTACTTTTATGCCATGCTCTAATCCGCAATTCCGGTGTATTGAATGTATGTCTATTGCACTGTTTGATGCAAATGCAGAAGAGCTGTTGATGACAAAATGTACTGGATCAACCTGAGCTTGGCTCTCCCTGTATCACCTCTCAGCTGGTCTCAAGCAAGCAGATTGACTCTCTGCAATCCCAGGTCACCTGCTGCACTGCGCAAGGGATGGGCATTACTTGAATAATGTCCCATCCTGAGGCAGACATCACATTTATGCTTGGTTTCTGGCAGCTCGTGGGCAGCTCGTGATGCATTTGTGCATCATGCATCTGATCCTTCCAGACGTAACATCGTCCTGAATCCTGCAGGGGCACACTGTTGTTGGAGCCGCTGGGCCCCGGCGCATACTCGCAGTGGGTGCTCGGTCTCAATGCAGCGCTCGTGGCCTGCCAGACCCGCCGCAAGGATTATGTTTACGCCTGCCCGGCACACACCATCCCCCGCAACTCAATGTTTGTTGTCGCCGATGCCGCCGCGCCGGCCGCCGCGCCAGCTCCCCGGTGACAAGGGGCGTTCCACTTCGTTGCCGGTGCCTGATTTGGCGACCGGAGGATTCGATGCCTAAACTAGCACGGCCCCCTGCCGGTGCCTGATCTGGCTAAGACATGTCCTGGTGCCTGTTTTGGTGCGCATGCCGACCAGAGATGGGGCGCGCCCTGCAGCTGCGGGTCTGATATAGCCCGGCAATTTTTAGCATCGGGGTTTTCGCAGAGTGACTTGGTGGACAGAAGACCACTGTAGCCATGGGCACAGCCCGGGCAAATTGGAGTATGGCTTTTAAATTTTGCTGCAGTACATATCAGAGGCAGGCTCGATGCATTGTTGAAGCTTGTGCGACACATGACTTTGTCGCAGAGAATGACTGAATACTGTCAGGATCCGTGCTTGTGCAGCTCCTATAATTCTGTTTTGTGGTTGGCTGTAATGAAATGTGGCTGCCCGAATGCAGCAAGTGGCCCCGCAAGGCACACTGTAAACACCCTGCACAGCAAAATATCCCGAGATATCCTGAGGGCAGCTCTCTCCATTTATGGGGCAGAATCTGTTGATTGGGTGACCTGTTTCAAAGTTGGTTGCACTGTCGGAATGAGCTTCAAGCTCCTTGTGCGAACGTGTGTTTCGCTGCGTGTTTTGTGCATGGGAGAAATCGAGTGCCTCTGAATGCCTTTTGATCACATCACCACGGGCCTAGGCCTACACTTCAATGATCAAGTGACTTCATATGCGTCGCTGACATTTTGTGAAAAGTTTGTGCTCCAAAATCCTCTGAGGAGCAAAAGCTGCTCATTCTTTGAGACTGGTGAACCCAATTATGAACCACTGGCTTGGAGGATGTCGCTGTGTGAAAGCGCACACAGTGGCATAGGGACAAAACTTGGTGAGAGTAATCCATAAAATTGACACAGCATCCCATGGCATGTAATCAATGCTGTGAATTCTCTCACAGTGCCTCGAGGAAAGCTGCAAAAGTCATCAGAATCACAGAGCTCAAATCACACGTAAGGTGCTTGCCCGGAGATGTCACTGGCACTGCAACACACCGCGAGGCAGCCCTTTTCTATCTCCTCCACGCTGGCACTGCCTCTTATGTCTTGTCATCTCTCTTCCCCTCAATAGCATACAGCTTTACATCCTCATCTCCAGTGCGCCTTCGGCCGGCCAGTGCATGCCCATGACAAATTAGCAATTTACCAATCTAATATTGTTATACCAAGGATACACTTCATGATCACCACTGTAAGGGCATGGCTTCACAACGCCGCAAGCATCGCACGCATGGCAGCGACTTGATAAGGGTGTATCACATGGTGGCAATAGTTCAAGACTTTGCTTTCTAATCTCAATACGTATTATATACAGTAAGTGTACTTGGAAAACCGACATGTGGTCGTGTCCAATGCCAATCTTGACATCTGATTGATGAAATAGGCATGTGCCGTACCATGATCATTTATCTTTTTGCCGATGTTCTTCAGAAATGCCCCTAAGCTGTCACCCTGGGATGTCACAGGCATCATCCCAGGCCCTCATCAGGGGACCGGTATTCAACAACAGAAGCCGGAGCTGCATGACATGACCTCAGAACATCAGAGCCGCTACACCGTCTAATTTTCGCGAGTTGCTCCCAGCTCAGCGTCTTCAGCGACACAGCAACATTATATTATATGATTCAGCTGAATGTGCTGCTGCAGTTGCCAGCTGCCAAAGTGTTGCTGTATGGGAAAAGGCAAGTCAGGGGGAGCTGCAGTCTCTATGCGCATGAGGATCAAACCGATTGTGCGCTCACCAGGATCTCTCACAATTTTTAACGCAACGATCCTTCGCAGCCGGGGAGAGTCGCCATCGTCTTTTATTGATCGGAAGTAATGGTCACTTGCATGTACTCTCGTTCGAGTTCAAGCGATACCATGAAGCACATGGAGGACCGGAACTATTTTCTGCAAGCAATCATTTGATCCTCTCCAAGAGCACATCATGTATTGCAAATCACGTCTGAGACGCACAGCGGACAGAAAGGTCACTCAAGTTCGTGTGAGGTTTGGTCCTTGAAGGACACAACTCGTCAGATTTTTATCCCTGCAGCCCTGTAGCTGACTTGATTGATCTTGAGATGAGTCAAAATGGGTCTTTAAAGTATAACGAGGTGCCACAATGACAGTGTCTCCAATCAGATTGATCGACCACAGCTATTTATAGAACCCTAGCAGGGCTATCTATAAGACCCCTGATGCAAGGGAGCTGCACTGTTGGTGCTGTGTCAGCGTTATAGACCCTTGCAGTTTCTGCGCGCTTTGCATCAATAGTTGAGGCAATATCTTGCAAAATCTGAGGAAGGCATCAAGTCTGAGCTATCTTGTGTATTGCTATTAACTACTGTATTATAGTCTGTAAATTTATACCCTGCTGTGTATCTAAAGTCTCAATTTTGAAGGCAGGAGTCCATCAAGAGCCCTTGACGCGTTTTGACAGGATGAAGGCCGCAGGCGCTGTGTGTTGTGGCGGCTCTGTCAGTCTCGCCTCCTTAGGAAGCATCACTGTGAGAAGACAGGTTGTCAGCGCATCCAAGCGCCAGCGTTTGATACGATGCTCCGAAACAACCAACCCACAGTCCAGTCCCTTGCAGAAGCCTGCAGAATTTAAAAGAGGCTTGCTCGTTCCCCAGAAGTTGTTGGGAACGGGCAAAGCATGCTTGGTGAGATCCGCATTTCGTGGGTGGTTCCTTCTCTCTAAACCCTGGTTCACCTCTTCAGGAAGAGGTTGATTGCTTGGCCTTTGAGGAAACGCGATTTCCCTCAATACGTCATCATCATTCTTGTGTATTCTCTGCGTCCAAGTGTTCCGAGAGAAGCAGTCGATTTTAGTATGTCAACGGGTGCTACTTCAATTATTGACATCTTGACTTGCCACACGCAAAGCTTTTTGTTCGTCTATGTCCTCACCTGTAGTGCGGCATGCGCAGGCAAGCCAGAAGGACCACACAGTGTACACGCTGCGCTTCAGCACCGGCTTTGGCAGGGGCTGTGGTCTTGATGTTCCAGGCGCTGGCGTGCAGGTGAGAGATTGTTCTGCTCCTCTAAGTGCGTGTATGGCTTGTACTCAAGACCTCAAAATTCTTGTGCTTCGTTACTTCGGAGACCTCCAAATTTAGACCGTCTATAAAGAGATTCGTGCAATCAGAGCCCTGCATTTTGAGCGGGGCTGTAGCCTTTGCACAGCAGAAAGTCTGACACTGGTGGCAACTGTGGTGGCCCTGCAATGAGCAGCACGACTTCACCTCTGTGTCACTGGCATTCTGGAGCATTAGTAGTGACTAACTTTGTCTACTGTCTTGTCCAGGTCTGCCTTATTGGAGAGGACGGCCAAGCTTTGCTGCACCGCATCTCCCCTCTCAACGACCCACTCGCAGCTGAGCAAGACGCCCTGGCCATCTGCAAGGTCTGCCTCCTGCCCAGCCCACCCAGCACCCGTCAAACTTGCCTGTCAACCTTTCCATCACCCCTTAAGCCTTCTCTTCATCTCACTGTGATCTTCGTCTCAAGCTCTTGCACACAGGAGATTCTGTGCTTTTGATGGCCCAAGGAAAGCGTCTGATGGAGCTCAGAGTTTAGCAACACTGGATACTGCTGCATAACTTGCTGAAGGATCTCCCAAAGGATTGGATGATCCTGTCCCATAGTGCGTTTTGCCGCATTTGGATTTTCTACAATTCTTACGGTCTCCTGAACCAATCCAATTCTGCGGTTTGAGCATTCTTCCCTCAGAAGCTTTTGCTGTAGCCAATAGTGCTCTGCTCCGGCTCATGCTTTGCCTGTCCAGGCATTGAAGACCAGAATGGTACTCCGGCCCTTACATATTTGGTTCCCCTTGCACTGAATCAGACTGATCTTTCTTCTGATGCAATGTTGGTATGCCTGCCCCTGGCTTCAGACAGATTTGTTTCCTGATGCCCTTTTGGATACCCTCATTCTGGGTTCAGACTAACACTCTATCCTTGATCTACTTTCATTCTTGACAAGTCTGGTCCCAACGAGTGTGTGCCTGCTGCCAAAGGTGGTGGACAAGGAGGCTGGCGCTGACTGCAAGCGCGTGCTCAAGGCGGCCTCCACCAGCCGCGCGCGCTCCGCCGCCCTCAAGCAGCGATTCCAGGGGGGGGCCGTTGACGAGGTCTCCTTCCTCGGTGCGGCTGCGGTCACCTTCACCTTCTACCAGATTGTATTGCAGATGTCATGGATATCAACTACCTGTCTCCTGATCACTTTCTCTTGGAGTATTGGTGTTCTGCCTCTTTGGTGATATCAACACACTGCTGCTTCTCTCAATCACAGAGTTGTCTGCCGATCTTCGCATCAGAATTGCGCCTTCTGGTTTGAAGAAGCGCTGCCGCTCCAATTCCTGCCAGTCAGTGTGCCTGCTTTTACATCCAACATTCCAGGGGGGTCCTATATCTAATCTGTTAAATGAAGAACCTCCTGAATTCTTGTCCAGGGGATGTTGCCATTGTGATTGAGATGTTTGGCATTGTGCAGGGCCGGAGCTGGGCCCGATTGCCTCGCTGATGGTGGCGCCTGAAGAGGGGTCCTGGAGAGTGGATGAGGTGGGGAATCCGCCTCTCGAGTGCAAGATTGTGTACGTATGCACTGATCAACTTGCATGCATATGGTCTCAACCTGCACGGGCTGCAAGGTATTCTGCTGTGATTTTTCCAGGAGCTCATGACCAGATATTGGATCTATACGGATGTTTTGCACTCATACCCATAAAAAGCTGCGTTCCCATGAATCGTCAGCGATTGCAGGTCCCCACAGACCGTAGAATTCGTCATCAAGCTCCTGAGAGGTTGGAGAATTTGGTGTGAGTGGGCCAGTGGCTTTGACAGGTGGAGAACATGCAAGGAACGAGTGATTAACGGTGAGCAATGATACGGTCCTGAGGACTGGAATTTAGTAATAATGGTTTTGAGAAAAGGACTGGGCTTGCCTTTTACCAGGTGACGGTGTGCTCGTCGCGGACGCGCCACACCGACCGGTTTGTGTGCCGTGAGGCGCTGGGCTACGGCGGCGTTCCTGCCGGCTTCCTGGCGCCCGTACCCGCCGACTCTGTAGTCTATGGCAGCGGCGAGAGCGCCGTCATCCTCTCAAGGGTGCGCGCATGCCACCATGTTGGGGGGCATTTTTGTATCTACTCGCTGTATGTGTCCACAGGAGGCGCACATGCAGGTGTGGGATGTGGTTGACTTCAGGGCTCTTTGTTTTAAATTGCACTTTTGCTTGCCACACCAGATTGAAGAGGCATGTACAATTCCACCATTCCACGTATTGGCGCATCTCCTGCGAGCAAGTTTCAAAGCACATTGTGGCAGATGCTGTTGCAACATTCCACCATTCCTTCCTGTCACTTTTACAACCTCTGCACAGATACTGCGCAGTCCCCCGGATTGCATGGCTATGAAGGGTTCCAAGAGTCAGCCCTCTACTGGAAGCCGAACCCTCAGAGGTATAATGGCTGCTGGTGATGATGGCTGGGGAGTTGTACTGCGGCACACAAAGCAACTAGTGACGACGCAAGGACATCACACAAGACCCTACACTCAAATCCCCTGGTGTCTGATCCCTGCCGGGGGCATGCATGCGCAGGAGCAGGCTGCGATGCTGCACGCGGCAGGCATGCTGGATTATTCTTCGCTCAAGGACCGAATCTTGGTCACAACAGCGGCGCTGGTGGCGGCCGGCTCTTCCCTCTGCTACAGCATGGGAGGCTGGCCGGCCACCGAGCCCTTCCTGGCTGGAGGCGCTGTGGGGCTGGCGTACCAGTCCATGCTGCAGGCCAACGTCGACTCTCTACCCGGCAGCGGCGCCTACTCAACCCGGGTGCGCATATGGCCTGCCTATCACAATGAAATCTTCTTTCCCATTGCTGATGGCTGGACGCGGACCCTCAGTACGCTTGTGTTTCGTGCGGCACGAGAGGGGAGGAGTCGGAGACAGACGCTCATTTGCCGTGTTCAAGGCAGACATTAGGTAGAAACGTAAAGTTTTGGCACGTTCGCACTTGAATAGCTTGGTTCTTTTTGTTTACAATTGTAAGCGTGGTGCCGTTTTTGAAACTTGGCCTACTTATTTGCCACCTTGCCTTCACAACCAGGACCTCTGCCATTATGTGCAAGTCTGGTTTGTATTTAGCCCTCCTGAGAGGCTGAAGAGGAGTGATGCGCTAGGCGGATCATCGCTGTGCCGTCTCGATTAAGTGGCTTTGGAAAAGGGGTGCTGCATATGCTGAGTCGTGGTGTGCCGTACCCTATGACCCTGGACGGAGGGGTATTGATGGTGTTAGAGAAAATACCAAATGTAATCTGTGTGCGCAGGTGATACTGCCGGGCCCGGCTCAGACGCTGCAGCGCATAATGGGCAGCAGCACGGTGCGCCTGATGGCGGTGGCCGGCCTCTCACTGGGCGCTGTCTGGGGCCTCAAGGCCTCCAGCGGTGGCAGCAGCGACGATGTCCTTGCCCTGCAGCAGATCCTCGAGGTGGGAATGCCCGCTTTAGCTCCAGTCTTGTAAGTCTTTCAGTCTGCTCAAATCGACTGGAACTCCCAGACAGACTGACAGAGTGTCAAGGGAAACGGCACCAGCAGGAGGGACAGTTAGGATGCGCACATGTAGTACAGAGATAAGGGGCAATTCCTTCTTACCTGAGCATGCTCTACTTAAAACTCCAGGGGGACAATTCTCCAAGAAAATTTGCATCAAGCAGATTTGCTACCTTCATCATGTTGGTGAAGCAGCCAGGGGTCCTAGGCCGGAGCCCGGCCTGCGAATGGGTCAAAGACTTTTCTTATTAGATTTGATAGCGCGATGACTACGGTGCACAGTCTATACAGTTTAACTGATCGCCTTTTGGGCGTGGGTTGTAGGTGCGCCAAGTGCTGACTGGGCTGATGGGCTTCATGATGTACAAGCTGGCGCTCGTGGGCTGCTCCGCCGTCCCCACTCCGCCACATCAGCACGCCACCGAGGAGGAACGCCTCATCTGACGCGCGCCACAGCAACCAGCCACATCAGCACGCAACTGGAGGAGGCAACGCCGCGCTCCGCTCGCCATGCCACATCAGCACGGGTATAAACGAAAGACTCTTCTTGTGCCTTATAAACGACAAGGCCTATCTGGTTGCTGCCAGCAGTATCTGCAAAGATGTGCATCTTACAAGGAAGCAGGAGGCAATGTGCTGCCCACCCAGGCAGCGGCTGGTCTTCCCAGAGTCAAGTCTTGGCAAGGATACATGTAAACTGGTGCTGTTTCAAGCAAGGAGTCAGTACGACTGTGCAACAGCGCCCAGGCGTCAGTGTTGCTCCTTTTTCTTTCTTGGCCTGTAGTAGCAAATAGAGAAATCTTCTTGTATTTGAATCCCAGTCCCGACATGATGGATGGGAGGGTACCAATGCTGTACAAGTTATGAGATGGTGTAGCAGAGAAAGGCTTGTCTCAACCAGGCAGCCTGTACCATCAAAGATTGGTAGACAGCAAGACGAGCAGAACAACTTTTGAGGACATGGCATGATCGGTAGGCATCACAGTGAGCAACACGGCGATGATGCTGACACATTTTGCATTCAAGTTGAAGCTTCAGTTGGATTTGGCAGAGCAGATATCATTTGGTAGATAGAAACCACGCCTGTACAATATGCACAACATGTATTGCAATCAGCACTTTTATGACCTTTGGGAAGAACTGGTGAGCAACTTCCCTGCAGCAGAGCAGCTACCTTGCCTGTGCTTGTGGCATCTAGGCACATTGAAGAACTTCTCAAGGGCTCAAGCGTCGATGGGAGTTGATGCTTCGTATGGTGGCAGATCCTTGAGGTATCTGTCACAGCGACACAGGACAGCGCATTACTTCAAGTGTGGTGAGCACACCAGGCATAGCAGGGCTTGGATGTTCTGGTGAAGGCAGAAATTTGGAGGTGCAGTACATAAAAGGGTGTCAGATGCACACATGCAATTAGACAGCCGCTGCTTTTGAGCGGCATTGCTTGGTTTGGAGGGTTGCCATCTGCATTCACTGCTTGCCACAGTGTGTATCCATTTTTCTCTTCATATTTGAACGGACGCCAATAGGCCCTTTACTCTGCAGCTGGCTTTGTTCAGATGTACATCCATGTATTGGCAGTATATTTCTTTCCTGCATGTCAGGCGCTCGGTGTGCCAGAGAAGCAGAAAAAAAGTTGGGAGGCAATGGAAATCCTTTTGGTTTTGAGGTTTGAACTGTGTAGGTCAAGAATTCACAAACGGCATAGGCCGTAATCATGATACACTGTCTGGCATGGCCCATGTTGTGGGATTTGGATGGTTCTCCATGCGTACTGCTCGATTTGTGTTCTGTAATTTGAACAGTGTTATCGATATCTGGGTGCTCATTACAGTTGTAATTTTGCTGGAGACCTTCAGGCCTTCATCTCCCGTCTTGGGATGTCTGCTAAATTCATAAAAAAAATGATATCCCCTGTTCTACCATGAAAGTTGAAATACCCGTAGTCTCTCCCCTACTCTTCAGGATTCAGCGCAAATACGGACACGCGAAGAATACTTGCCACGGCAAGACCCGCATTTGTGCCATTCGACTAGAAAGATACTGCTCCCCCCAAAAAAGAGCAAATCATTGGTGCTCCGTCCCTCCGCATAGCATGCTAGGACACCTGCCGCGAGTGTTCAACCCTGGTATAAGACAATTCAGGACCTGCAATTTGATGAGAAGTGGGCGAGCTTGAAGGCTCATCCTGCTGGCTTCCCCTGCCACAGAGCTCTGCTGGCTTTTCAGCACAGTCTGGAGGCTAAAGGGGACCTCCAAAATTGCACAACCTTCGCACCGGCTCGTGCTCATAGGTTGGAACGAATGTGGAAACGCAAGCAGTTTAAGTATCTTCAGACAGGAAATCGCAGAAACCATACAGACCAGTTTCAGGAAGCATGCCGAGATGAAATCATGAACTCCTCCTGGCCTACGTGCTCAAGAATAGCATCAAATTGGCTGCATTGAAACAAATTCTAGAATACGTGCTACTTCACAAGGACGTGCTCCTTGGGCAAATTCCGAGCCTGACTCGCTACAACCTTCAGAGCTCCCAGGACCTCCCCAATCGCCTGTTGCAGCAAAGACACCACACAATCAGCAAGACAGCCTTGGTGCCTTATTGATAGACACTCATGGCCCTGCAACTTTAAGCATACCTTGTATTCTGACAACAGAGCATCCCAGAACAAATGCTCTTCACAGCTGCACCAGACAACAGCCTGGAACTGGGGCGCTATAACATGAAATTTACCATCAGCCAGAGAGCCGACCCCCTTCTAAAACGCTTCATCTTTTCAAGGTCATCCAGGACTGCGTTGCTTTATTTACTGATCAGGGCAGTGCTCACCTGGAAAAAAGTGGGCGAGTGGTACTTGATGCCCAGCTTGGCGCACATGGGGCGCACATAGGCAGAGGCTGCCCTCAGGTGGTGCCGCGGCAGGTCAGGGTACAAGTGGTGCTCTATCTGGTACTGCAGGCCCCCATGAAACCAGTCCATCCACTCCGGACAGCTCACATTGTTAGTGGCCGCCATCTGTTGACACAGCACTGGAGACATGTCAGTCACAGGCACTTGAAAAAGTGCTCATTGCAAGCTGCCCTGTATGTCTTGCATGCACTCTTGCCCTCAACTGCACACAGGCACTCCATGCTTTCTAGAAACTTTCTACAAAGGCAGGGTATGAGCTGGTATGCAGGCCACAGTGAATGTCCAAGGAAAGCTAGGTCACGCTCTGTCTTGTTGCTGGTGGTCAAGAGGAAGCAGACAGCAGATGCTTCTGGCTATGAAACAATACATCAAATGCTATCGGCCTGGAGCTTGAGTCTCTGTTCCTGGACAGGTGAACTTGCCTGGGTGGTGGTCCAGTCATTGCCATAGTTCTCCAGAGCACTGCCGTTCTCGACTGGCCGGCTCCAGTGATTGAGGGTGGTCTGCAGGCAACAGCCCAAGGCTTCCTTATTGTACATGCCATAGTGGGTCGTCTATGCCGGCCCTGCAGGGCTCAGAAAATGACATGCATGTGACCCCAATGCTGAAAAATCAGGCAGGTAAGAAGATGCCTGCGCACCTGCAGGTTGATGATGCCAAAGCATGCATGCGAAATGACAAAGAAGAGGATGCGCTCGGTCCATGTTGGCAGGCAGAAGCAGAGGGCAAGGTACCTGCAAACATGCATGAAACACTGAGAATTCTGCAAATGCACCCAGACCAACTGCAGCACATCTCAGGTTGCCTGCAAATGGGCCTGTGAAGCAATACGGTCTACCACAAGAGCAGATTCTTATTGGAGGCAGGATTTGCACCATGTAAAGAACCCCAGGAATGCTGCCACTTCGAATGGCTTGTAGATGGCTGGCCTGCCCTTGGCCAGCAGGTGGAATGTGCTCATGGCATAGAAGCCTGTACAGCAAAATGAGAAAAGCTTAGCTCTGCAGACACCCTGACATTTGAATACCAGCATGCAGAGCCGAACCGAGCATGCATGACTTCCTTGCGGCTGCATGTCATGTCAAAAAGATGTCATGCATGGTGCAGCAGGAAGCTAGACGACAGGGGACGAGCAAAGCGCTGATGCATGCCAGGCAAGAAGAGCTCACCAAAGCGGGCAACGAGCATCATGGGAAGGAAGGTGTAATGCTGCACACTGATCATCATCTTGGTCACGGCGTTGTCAAACACCATCGTGGCCTGGTAGAATGTGGAACGGAGATTCCTGAAGAACTGGTTTGACAGCGCAAAGAAGGGCAGGTGCTGCAACCACACGCAAAGTCTCAGTAATGTGCATGACTTGAAATGCATTAATGCTGTGTAACCATTGCGACTTTAATAGCATGCCAGAGGACTTTCCTGATGAGCAGCAAGCATAGGCAGGTCTGGTGAGAAGCAGAAAGAGCACGCACCTGAATGTCAGGATCATGTTCGCTGGAGTTGGGGGTGACGTGGTGAGTGTTGTGATTGTACTTCCACCACTGCACGCTGGCTCCTAGGAAGAGCGTGATACCAATGCCGATCATGGAATCTAGGCTGCGTGTCCTCAGAATCTGATTGTGGCCCACATCATGGCCCACCAGCGCCAGCTGCATATCAACCAAACATCTAGTTAAGACATGCAGCCTCTGACTTATACGCTAACGTACAGCTGCTGGCCATTCATCACCCATGAGCAGCGATTTTGTCACAGTGTTGTGACTCAGCTGTTATTGTCCCACTTTCTCGAAGGTAGGGTACCCCGAGCAAGTAGACCTATGAAAACCTTAGAGAGAGAACGATTGAGAAGACATTCAATGAGCTGAGCGGGCTCACCTGCTGCCAGAAGAGGGACAGTAAAAGAGCGCCTGGCACCACCCATCTCTCCTTCACGCAGAGCAGGACAGCAATGAAGGCCACCGCCAGGCCAGCTGCCAGAACGACGTAGTTCCAGTAGTTGACCCTGAAAAGTCCAGCTGCTTCCATTTTGCTCCGCACTTGAATTAGCTGCTGAGCTGCGTCAGTACGTGGCTTCTCCCTGGCTGATTCCATGAAGCCCACGCCATACTTCAGCATCGTCAGCCTGGCTGACGTGGGATGCTTGAATGCCTGAAACGCTTCAGACGCGTCTGTGCCTGCATTGACCAACTCAAGCTTTGAGTATTACCGTAAAGTTTGGGCCTGTTGGGGTTTCGCACTTGTTCGTCATCAGGGTAGGCAGGCTCGTGCAGCAAATTGTTCCGGTGGGCAGACATGTTGATAACCTGCAACATGTTGCAATATAAGCGCGCTTCCAGGGTGCAGGTGCTGATACTCTGTGAGGTCATACGCCCTGCCGTTGACAGCCACCCACAGATCCTCAGCAGTTGCGTGCAGCTTCAACTCCTTCCATGTTACCGGTCTCCCGGTCGCGGCGGGAATGCACATTCGATAGAAGGAGTCCTCCTCACGACCTGGACATGCAAAGAGATGGAGTGCTGCTCGATTGCTGCTTTGATTCCTTTTACTGCTGAACGCGATATTTCAATATTAGGGTTTTTGAGCGGCTGTAATATTTTCCTTCTTATCAAGGGTTAACCCTGATCGAGTGTCTCTCTGGGAGAGCCTCTCCTCGAAGGCAGTTTACTGCTGTAATGCTGTGAATCGTTGACCGTGATCATGCAGATGTGCTGGGGCTAGTGCGAAGCCCAGCTTGGTGAATTGAACGGCGGATGTCTCTTAAGAGAAGCTCAGAGAGAAGTGAGGACTCTCAGGCCAAGAAGCTCAGAATGCAGGATGGTAGCGCAGCGAACGGTGTCAGCAAGGCTGGTGATGGCCTCGTCATTGATGAAGATTTGCACAGTAGACAGCTCGCTGTATACGGCCGGGAGTCCATGCGGCGTATGGCCGCTTCCAATGTCCTGATCGTCGGTGCTCTGGGACTTGGAGTGGAAGTAGGTGAGGATCGACGCCAACATATTTACCAGCAGCAGATGCTGCCTTGCTCTGTAGCACATGCGATCACATCGCGATAGCGATTGCTAAGCACAGAGCTAAGGAGAGAAAGTTTGTGCTGAATATATATTACGCAAGGGCTGCTTTCATGACCAGCCTGATGTGAAGCTCAACTGCGCATTCGAGAATTTGTTCATATCCTCATGGCATGCGCTTAGGATGTCGCAGGCTCTAAATATCTGCAGTAGCTTCTAGTTGTGTCCACCGATCTGGCTGTGTTGAAGCACCTGCCCTATTGACGGACCAGCTCATTGTTAAAACGAGGATGTATTCTTGTTTTTCAGTGTAATTGTGCAATGGTGTCTTTCTGCATTGCTCCTTGTACCTGACGTGGTTGCCTGTATTGTTGTTGCAGCCAAGAACGTGATTCTTGCTGGGGTGAAGAGCGTCACCATTCACGACGCAGCAGACACTGGGATCCAGGATCTTTCAGCGCAGTTCTATTTGAGCAAGGCTGATGTTGGCAAGAACAGGTGAGTTATCCTTGATCTGATCCGTGTTGCAGCCCTTTCTGCAAGCACTATCAGGGTCCGAAGTCATGCTCAATCTAAATCCAGATGCCATCCCCTCAGGAGCAAAGTTTCTAATCACGGATGTTTGCAGGGCGGAGGCGTGCAGGGACAAGCTGCAGGAACTGAACACAGCAGTGGCTGTCAGTGCCTCATCAACAGAGCTCAAGGAGGACTTCCTCTCTCAGTTCCAGGTGCACATCATGCTGGCATGTCATCACGTGGCATTTTTCAATGCCCAATGCGCTCACATTATGCTCTGCATGAAGGTAGAATGGAGCTCTGTGTGCAGAAACCAACATGACATGCTCTGTGCAGGTTGTGGTGGCGACAGGCATGCCTCTGAAAGAGGCCCAGGCACTCAATGACTTCTGCCACAGGAATAACATTGCCTTCATCCGGGCAGACATCAGAGGGGTGTTTGCCAGCGTCTTCACAGACTTTGGACCTGCCTTCAAAGTGGTGGATGTGGATGGTGCGCGCTCAAGGCATCTTGCATGACTGGCCAGCTGTTGCATGCACATCTGAGAGCATCAATGATAAGCACATGCAGGGTGGCTAACAGCAAATATGAGCTGAGGCATGCTTCCTCGTCATGTTAGCCCTGCATGCACATGCTGATGCTAAAAATGCTCAGCCTGATCATGCAATGTTCGTTACACAGGTGAGGACCCAGCATCCGGCATCATTGCTGGCATCACAACCAATCCTGGCGGCTCAACGCTGGTCACATGTGTGGAGGATGAGCGGTTGGAGTTCCAGGTATGCATGTGTCCTTGGTAAAGCTTGGGTAGCCATGCGCATGTTTTGAAATTGCATGCAGTAGTGCTTCACGGGATGAAGTCAGAACTGCATGTTCTGAAGGGGCTGGTGTCGCAGGATGGCATGCAAGTGACATTCTCGGAGGTCATTGGCATGGAGGATCTGAACGATGGCAAGCCTCGCAAGGTTAAGAACTGCAAGGTGTGTTCTTCACTGCATCCCAGCAGTGCCGGTACATGCCATCATATACTTTCCTCAGGGAAATGCACTGCATTTGTCACATGCACCGCTGCAGTTCAGCCTTCTATTTTTTCAGAAAGCATGCATGTCCATGCGCTGGCTCTACTGCCTTTATAGTATGGACCTGCAGATGCTTAGAACTGCTCAATTGGTCATATTTTCTGTTCTCATTACCCATATGGAACTCTCCAGGCCCATTCATTTGAGCTGGAGGAGGACACGAGCACCTACGCCCCCTACGTCCGTGGAGGCATTGTGACGCAGCACAAGGCCACAAAGACGCTGTCCTTCAAGAGTCTGCAGGAGGCTCTGGCCACGCCCGGCGAGTTCCTGTTCTCAGATTTTTCCAAGCTGGAGCGCCCGGCCCTGCTTCACCTGGGCTTCCAGGCCCTTGATGCCTTCCAGGTGGGACTGCCATCATTTTGCCATGTCTTTCTGAATGTCGCCTCCAGAAATCTTGTTTTGGTCTGGGAACAAGCACATGCTAATGCTATGCATGAAGTGCATCATGCGTGCCAAAGATGTGGGCATGCATGTCTTGTTTCTGCGGGGGGGGCTCATGTAAGCGCCGGTTTGCTGTGGTTTGCTGCAGGCTGAGACTGGAAGGTTGCCGGCCCCACACAGCGAGGAGGACGCCATTCGGTTCGTCTCCATTGCACAGAAGGTCAACGAGACTGCTGCAGACAAGGCCGAGATTGATGAGGCCGTCCTCAAGGCAATCTCCTACACAGCGTCGGGCGAGCTGTCCCCCATGGCTGCATTCTTTGGCGGCGTGGTTGGCCAGGAGGTACCCATCAACTTCTTTTCTGCTTCCTAGCATATGGCAACATGGCAATGGCGCCCAATGTTCTATACCTTGGCTGTGTCTCCCTCAGTGCATGATTGGTGCAAAGTGCTGCAAGTGAGGATTAATTTTTTCCAATGCAGGTGATGAAGGCGGTGTCTGGCAAGTTCCACCCCATCTTCCAGTGGTTCTACTTTGACAGCATGGAGTCGCTGCCAGAGAACCTGCCACTCAGCGCTGATGAGGTCGACCTGCAGGTAATGTGCTTTGCCCTTTCCATCAACTTTCATCCCGGTGCATCAAATGATTGCCAGCAGCTATTGCGAACTGCATCTGTGTCAAACTTGCATGCTCACCCCGCGCAGAAGAGGGCGTGAGAAGCCGCATGCTTGCAGCATGCATGGGACTTTGAGTTACAACCATTGCTTGCTGCCAACAACATTGGAAACTCCATGCAGCTGGCATGCATGGGATATTGCCGTCATGTTCTGACAGCACACTGAGAGGCAGGGGTGATGTCAATGCAGGGGAGCCGATACGATGGGCAGATTGCGGTGTTTGGCAGGACGGTGCAGCAGAAGCTGGAGCAGCTGCGCACCTTCCTGGTGGGCGCCGGCGCTCTCGGCTGCGAATTCATCAAGAACTTTGCCATGATGGGCGTCGCCACTGACAACGCCGGCCTCATCACGCTGACCGATGATGACACCATTGAGAAGAGCAACCTCAGCCGCCAATTTCTCTTCCGCGACTGGAACATCGGCAGGTGCGCTTGACTCATACTGGCCAAGCCTATACAGCTTCCTTTTGGTCTCCTCTGAGTTTTGTGCAGCGCATGCTCCCTTTTGCCCATTTGCCCTTCCTGCGCATGAATGGCAAGACTGGCGAAAGTCTCATGAGCGTGCATCCCAGCTGACACATTCCCTTGTTCTGGCCTGCAGCGCCAAGTCCACAGTGGCGTCGGCGGCGGCGCAGGACATCAATCCTGCGCTGAAGGTGCGCGCGCTGCAGAACCGGGTCTCCCCCGACTCCGAGAACGTCTTTGACGACACCTTCTGGGCCAATCTGGACGTGGTGGTCAACGCTCTGGACAATGTGAACGCGCGCCTGTATGTGGACTCGCGCTGCGTGTACTTCTGCAAGCCCCTGCTGGAGAGCGGCACGCTTGGGCCCAAGTGCAACACCCAGATGGTCATCCCGCGCATGACCGAAAACTACGGTGGGTTGTGGGTTTCTTGCTGGACTTGGCATCTTTTGGACACCCTTGTCACTCCCTGCATGCCAGCGCCAAAAGGAAATTCTTCTCGACCTGTTTTCATGCTTGTTGTGCGAGTGTTTAACGCAGCCAGTAAGTGGCAGGTAGACAGGAGTCCATGAAGAAGACTGGCATTTGGAGATGATCAAGTCGGAATATGAGCATGCATGTGGAGACATTAATGTCGTTATTGTGAGCATGCATGTAGGGGTGATAAATCATGACGTTGAGCATGCATGCCCTGCCTGATCAGGTGCATCAAGGGATCCACCAGAGAAGCAGGCGCCCATGTGTACGCTGCACTCCTTCCCTCACAACATTGACCACTGCCTCACCTACGCGCGCTCCGAGTTTGAGGGCATGCTGGAGAAGAACCCCACAGAAGCCAACGCCTTCCTCAGCGACCCCGCCAAATACCTCTCTGCTGTACGACAGGTGGGCAAAATCCCATGCTCATGGGTTTTACTGCATGCACGCCTGCAGACTTTTGCTTTTTGCACTGCAGCCTTGTGCGTGTGATGTTGTGACAAAGATACGACACAGAAATAAAACACATAATCATTCACTTGTCATGGCTAGGTCAAGCTCTCACCATGGCAGAACAGGCAGTGTCTTGACGTGATGCTGATTGGCTAGACTGAGGCCTGACAGAACACTTGTGAATTTTTCCTTGAAAGTGTGCACCTGACATGTCAAGCTTACTAAGGATGAGTGCGCGCAGGCAAGTGACTCAGCGGCGAGGGAGCAGCTAGAGAAGGTGGTGGAGGTGCTGGAGACTGAGCGATGTGTCACCTTTGACGACTGCATTGCCTGGGCCCGACACAACTTCCAGGTTTGCTGCCTGACTAGTTGCCTGGGAAACTCCCTTACCATATATGCTTCATCTACCACCAGCACATTGTTGGGTCCCGGACATTTCAGAGAAGCCGCAGACAGCTCAAGCTACAGGGAACAAAGCGTCCTTTCTTGGCTTTGCCGAGCAATGCATGACACTTGTGGCATTTGCACGGTGACACTGATCGGCAACATTTGGTAAGGATACTGTGTTGCACATCACCGGACGGATCTGCGTCTCAACCCAGGCATGGACAAGGGTTCTGGCCTCAGAGGAGCCTTTCATTTAATATCTTATCCAGAATATTTAAGTGAAGACCTTGTTGACCAACAGCATCAATGCTCTGAAGACCGATTTTTTTTTTGCTTGCAGCGCCAATTCCACGACCGCATCGCGCAGCTGGTGTACACCTTCCCGGACGACGCAGTCACCTCCACCGGTACCCTCTTCTGGAGCGCCCCCAAGCGCTTCCCCTGCGTCGTCGACTTTGATGCGGCCGACCCGGCACATGCGTCCTATGCGCAGGCCGCCGCCATTCTGCGGGCCGAGGTCTACGGCATCGCGCTGCCGCCCTGGGCCCACAGCGCCGAGAAGGCACGGCACTCTTTTTTGGACAGAGGACGCCGATTTGTAGGATCTCAGTGCATGACAAGATTCCTTACGTATTGAGGGTGTCAGGGAAAATTGTTGATAATTTATATAGTCCTAAAGGCTATGTTGTTGCTGTGAACCTTACATTTGTCCGCAGTTTGCAGCAGGCTGAGTTAGCAGGAGGTCTTTTGTGTATCCTTTGCAGGACTCTCATGTTGCATGGGTGGCTGACCAGTGAGGCTATCTATGCTGGATGAGAGGGGGGCTTTTTGCCTGGTGGCATATGTGATGAGGGACCTCTTGTGTCTGCGCAGGTGGCGCAGGCAGCGGCAAATGTGCACGAGCCGGAGTTTGTGCCGAAGCAGGGCGTGCAGATCGAGACCGACCCCAAGGCCAGCTCTGTCAGCAAGGCCACCTCCATGGGCGACGACGAGGGCGCCATCAATGCTCTCATTGAGAAACTGGAGGTGAGCTCAGAGCCGGGCATGCAGCGCAGGCGATCGCATGCACTGCCACTCCTGAAGTCCAGCTTGTAATGACAAAAGAAAGGGGACTTTGTACCTACCTGCCAAAATTGCACATGTTGCTGGCATGCGGAAAGGTGGTTACTTGCATGAATCCGATCTTTGCTTGTCTAACTCGCGGCTAACAATGAGTAGCATGGCTGACCTTAGCTTTGAGTTGTGTGTGACCGTACATGCGACTTCACAGGAAGCTGCAAAGAAGCTGCCGTCCGGCTACCGGCTGAACCCGGTCACCTTTGAGAAGGATGATGACACCAACTACCACATGGACCTGATCGCCAGCCTGGCAAACATGCGCGCGCGAAACTACTCCATCCCTGAGGTGGACAAGCTCAGGGCCAAGCTGATCGCCGGCAAGATCATCCCTGCCATCGCCACCGCTACCGCGCTCGCAACAGGTGCTGCACCCCAGTCCTCCACAGATGATTCTTGACCCTTCGGCTGTTGCAGCGTTGCACCTGCAGGCGGTCTCATGTTGGCCCAGTTTTAGATCATCTTGTACCAGCCCTCATATTGCTCTGCAGTGCATGTGCTGTTGTAAATCAAGGCTTGACAGCTGCACACTCCTGCAAGTTGATGTGGGTATTCCACCTCAGATTGCAAGATTGACTCATCGGTCACGAGGCCAGGTGACTCTCATCTAGCACGGATCATCTTATCTCATGGACTGCTCAATTTTTTTTGTGGGCCTGGTACAGGCCTGGTGTGCTTGGAGCTGTACAAGGTGGTGCAGGACGCGCCGCTGGAGAAGTACCGCAACACCTTTGCCAACCTCGCGCTGCCCCTGTTCGCCATGTCAGAGCCCGTCGCCTCCAAGGTCCGCACCTTTCGTGCCACGCAGGGGATCTGCCCCGACAGCTGTGCACACCAGGACTCCAAGAGAAAGTGCTTTATTGCTTTGTGAAGACTGATCCTTTGGCTCGGCACTTGTGGTCATTTGAGCGATCATAACCGCTGATCCTCAGGCAGGACCATTTGGTGAAAAGTGATAATGAGCCACCATAAGTTCACGAATTCGAATTTGAATTCCTTCATGCGCAGACGGTGAAGTTCCAGGAGATGGAGTGGAGCCTGTGGGACCGGTGGGTGCTGGAGGGAGACCTCACCGTGCAGCAAGTGATCGACTGGTTCAAGGTCAGCCCACGCGACAAATCTTGCGTGTTGTTCCCCTAGCTACTGCAACTTTCACCTGTCCTGCTGGTGCACACCCTGTCATTGTACTTGTAACGTTGGGGGGCAACACAGAATAGGTCATGTGCGTCTGTACTCTTAGCAATGCCCTTGTAGCGCTGACTGTAGCAGGGTTCAGGTGCCCGCAGACACCTGTTTGGAAGGCCCGCCGATGTGTGTGACTGCAAATACAATAGTGTTTGCAGTCTGTAGTTTTAATATTATAATTCATACGAGCTAGATTGGTTTGGTCTACATGCTGGCCCTGCCAAAAGAGGCAAGGTGCATCTGGCATCAGGCAAGCTGCAGGTGAACACACAGTCTTTACAAGGCATCAGTGGCTGATCCATTCTGTGTGGCGCCCATGCAGAAGCGTGGTCTGGAGGCGTACAGCATCTCTTGCGGCCAGAGCCTGCTGTACAACAACATCTTCCCTAAGCACAAGGAGCGCCTAGGCAAGCCTATGAGCGAGCTTGTGCGCACCGTCGCCAAGATGGAAGTCCCCGCCAAGCGCAACCATTTCGATGTGGTCGTTGCCTGTGAAGACGACGAGGGAGAGGACTTGGATGTCCCCTTGGTGTCCATCAAGTTCCGGTGAGGAGCTCGGCGTGTGTTTCCTCCCTGGGTAGCAGCAGCGCGCATGTTATCTCCCTGGGAATCGGCAGGACGCAGGGTCTGGGGGTTTTTCATACCATTGGAAGCAGCAATGCAGAGGGCCTGGCGTGAGCTCTCCCTTGGAAGCAGAAGCGTGGAGGCCTGCTCAGGAGATGAATTATGCATGGGCTGCTCTGGTGTTGTGTCCACAGGCAGCAGTTTCAGAGTCCAAGAGCAGTCAAGCGCATATTTGTTGCCGGCAGTGCGTTGCGTGGAGAGTCTGCAGAGCTTGGCAAAGAGCTGCAGGCAGTCAATGCGCAAAGGGAGAGGTCATCTGCTGGCCCTGAAGAAGTGGAATGAGATGCCCGCATGCCATGTATTCGTTCCTGCCGTGCATGTGCATGGTGTTCAGAATGCGCTGTGGCAGTTGTTCTCGTGACTTGATTCTCTGGATGCAGGGGAGTGTGCAAGTGAATTGTTCCAGTATCAGGGACTCTCATGCTATCAAGCTCTATGTGCGACACGGATTGCACAAGTGTTTCTTTTTCGCTTGCAATTGCACTCTCACTTTATTATTTTTTTGGTGTGCATATGCACTAGCCTCTCTAGTAGTCCGGTGCATGTGTGGCGTCCATATGCATAGATTCAGCTGGATCTGCTTGCATGGCATAGAGCTCTTGGCATGCATGCGCTACATATCGCTGCAATAACTTGTCTGAAAATTTTAAAGCTCAGCGGTGTAATTATTCGCACTCATGCTGAAGGTCTCGAAAGTCTAACAAGCGGTAGAAGAGAGGTGCAAGAACATACAAGAGAAGATACATAAGATACAAGCGAAGCTTTGTGAGTGCACAACAGTGCGAGAGGGAACTCTTGGGATTGTAGACCAAGCCCGATGACCAAACTGGACAGCTGCATCATAATCATCGAGGATGCTATCTATGGGCGGAAACCTCATGTGATCAAGGCGCAGCATAAACCACCTACGCTTCGACAACATTGTTTGAGGATTTTGATGGCATGTGGTGGCCCAAATCCTTGAAAGACGCCGTTTGCCCAGTCAGCGATGCACACATTGTTGTAAAAACTTGTTGATGGGTTTGTTATCTATGGTTCAAATGACATAGATTATCGTTTCTCAACTGATCGAACGATTCCAGCCATCTCAGCACGCCGCTCCGATCTTCCCGCGTCTGTAGGTAGTCTGGCTAGATGAGGCTCTAGTATTGAAAATTTGACGACCCTGGTGGTTCAGAGTGATCTGCACTCTAATGGATGGGGATTTTCATTCATACTGTGCCAAAGCAATTCGTTGATGTGCAGGGTGGAATCATGCAGCAGACAGTGGCTGGCCATGCGATGGATCTGCTGGCAAATGAGATCAGGACATCACTACCGCCAATAACACTTCGAGTGACGAACGTGGTTGGGTATATAATCCTCATAGCCGTTAACATTGCGGCCTCGACCGGTCTTCTGGGCCCGACAAACGCAGAAGTCAGCGCCAGACATCCCACTCCCCTCACACCAGCCGGGTGGGCACTGCATCGCATCATGATCTTCGTTTCCCTTTTCGTCAGCAAAGTGTCCTCTACAAAACGAAGCCCTCATCACATGCTCATGTGCCAATGCACCTGGCTAGTATCCAGCTTGCTTCACACGCTTAAGGCTCTGTGCCTTGGCGATTGGGAGTTCAAATGGTGAGGGGTTGATTTTTCAAGAGTTTTCTGGGGTCCTGCAGGTGGGCTTTCAGCATATGGGGTATCATTTTCGCCCTGCAAGGGCTGGGCGTCGTGTATCAGGCCATGCCCCAAGGATACACCCCGGACGGTTGGAAGCAGCGCATTGTCAACAGCGTGGGTGAGAGTCCTTGCGCTGCTTCAACAGTTTTCTTTCCTGCACAGCTTGCTTTTCTTACAATGAACTCATTGTTGAGCAGCCTGTCATGAGACCCCCAGTCAGAGTATTGCATGCAGTTGGCTTCAAGCCAAATGCCAGCCCTGTGCCTCACGCATTGCTTGGGCATGCTACAGTGTAGTCTCCGTGACGGTATTGCCTGAGCAATGCAAATAGGACCTGCCACCAGGAGCTAATACAAGCTGGCTCCATGCAGAAAAATCTTGTGTTTCTGAGCAGGACAAGAACATTACACTTGCACCAGAAAACTGACACTTGCTGCTCATGCAGGGTACGGGTGGCAGATTGGATGGTGCTTTGAGGTGGCATGGCAGGTGGCCTTCACAGTGGACGCCCCAGCCTCGCCCTGGATCTGCATGTTTCTGTTGCTGGGGGCCTTCCTGGGATTTGCCATCACACTCCTCAGCCTCTTCAGGTACCTTCCTGGCCTGCATGCTGTGACATAGGACTTTCGTGCAGGCAACAGGCGGAAGGCAATCTGTGGCGTCCTGCCTTGCAACTGATCAATTCTGAAATTATACGGCAGAAAGTGCATGACAGACAAGGCAGTGCGAGCGCCAAAAAGGGAGAAATGGCTGCGGTGTGCATGCAGTCCTTGGGACAAACAGTACACCTCTGGCCCAGGAGCAGAGCAGCAGATTGCCATGCGCTACTGCACAGGCCAAAGAACATCATGCCGCAGGCATGTCTAGCATGTGTTGCCTTAGTCGACTTTATTCTTGGGCCTCTGTGCACCGATTCTGATCAAGGCATCTGATCAGGCAAGGGTTTACAGATAGAAAGTTTATTATGCATTCATGGCTGGAGGACAATGACGCCGCAGGCATGTCTAGCATGCGCCTCTTTATCCCCACCCCAAGCATCATCAAAGCATCAGATTATTGCCTGACGTTCTTTTCATACTGCTGTGTAGGCTGAAGGACACCTGCGGCAGTCTCTCGAGCGTGCTCCTGTACTTTGCATTCTTCCTGCCCACGACGCTCAACACCGCCTGGCTGAGCGTGGCCACCGGTGTTGGCATCCTCATTGTGCCCGAGTCGTATGACTGGGACGAACGCCATGTGGAAGCCTTTGCAGTCGTTCTCATCTGCCTCGTCACCGCCCTCGGTAAGGCACTTTGGCACACCCTTTAGCTGCCCTGAGAGCCAATCCAGGACAGTCATTTCTTGCAGGCGGTAGAGGGCGTTTACTTTAGCTGCACTGAGAGCCACATAAGATAGATCCTGTATCCCAGAGCACAGGTGAATCGGGGAGAACATGCTCAATGCAGGCTCATCGCTGCACAATGTGCTGGCAGGGAGACTTGTTTGTTCAGGCACTCCCTCGCTTGGCCTGCCTCTGCTGTACAGCCGAGCCCCTTCCAGATTGTCCCTATGCCGCTCGATATACTGTATAGACTTGCACGAGTTCAGAATCGCTACAAAACAAGGGCTGTCAGAGAGATCTTCTCATGGGGACTTTGAGGGCCTGCTTGTCACCATGCAAATTTGACCGTGCATATGTGATTTTCAATGACCCTGCTGCAGGTGCTGTGGTGATGCAGATGGAGCGTGACACGGCCTATGGGCTGACCTTGGTGTGGGCGCTGGTGGCTGTCTATGGCGCGCAGAGCAGCCGGGCCGTCAGGTGCGCATCTGCTGACCTCATAAGGCATGCAGTGTGATCTTTGGCTTAGTTGCTGAGTCAGGTTCAATACGGCAAAGATAGGGGGATAGCAGAGGTCTGATGGGCTGCTTAAGCAGTCAGATGGGATGCCCCCCATTCTTTTTCATGTCTGAGGCTGGCTCCTGTTCCGTTCTTGAGTTAGGGAAGTGGCTTCTGTGTCAATTTTACTCATCAGCGGTCCGCGCTTCTAGCATGGGTCTGTGCCTTCGCTGCAGGATCACAGCGCTTGTGTGCGTGGCGGTAAACACGCTGCTCTCGATGTTCAGCCTGCTTCGGCGCAAGCATCCGGCCGGCGGCCGCGGCGGCGGCGGCTCGGCCGAAGCCGGCGAGCCGCTTCGGCAGCAGTCGTCGTCTTTCAAGCGGAAGACTGATTCTGACCAGAGCATCTGATCATGCAAAAGGGGTAATAAGGTCTAATGTTCTTTGTTCCTTGGATCAGTCTTGCGTCCAGATCAGGCTACATTCCTGACGGGGCGCTCACACCACTGCAGCAGCCCAAGGGGCTAGTGATGAAAGACCTCTGTTTTGACTCCTTATTCCAATCCCCCACAGCTCTTGTTCAGCCAGGACTGCTGCGGCTTGCTTTGAACAAGAGAAGAAATTGCTGCAATTCAATTTGGAGGTGAGGAAGTACACGGTGCAACAGCTGATTAACTACCGCTATTGAAACAGCAGCCGGGACGAAGTTGAGTGTGTCTTTGCAGCGCTCAGTCTCCTCCATGGACTCATTCTTGTCAGTGCCGTTTCGTCAGTGTTGATCATGGAATTGAGAACCAGTGGAGAAGGGTTGTTGGTGAGTGTGAGTGGTGAGTTGTTAGGCATGCTGGAGTGCTCCAGAGCACTGCAGATTGTTTGTTTATTGATGAACTTCACGGCAAAAGCAGTTTTCTTGTTACAGGGATGTCCCGCAGTGTAGACAATGTATGATTAATATGCATGTTACAGCAATTTGATGATTCTTCAATATGACAAGGTTGTATGCATGAGACGAATAAATTTGTACCGCATTACGATGAATACCGCATTGTTTTGAGAAATATTCAATCAGTTTACACCAAAGCTTCTCATCTGCCTGGTCCTTTACAGATGAATTTATCTTCCATATGCTGGCCCCGGCTGGCGGGGGGGCGGTACACATACTGAGCACCGCGACCACGGTTGATTGGGTCTTGCTTGGATCTGGCGAGTCCAACAAGGGTAGGATTTTGGCAGCCTTCAACTGCAGCTTGTCTGCAGGACGCACCTTGCCTCTTGCAATTGGCAGAAAAAGCATGTAGTAATAATAATATATAAAAATAGTGCTGCAAAATACTTTGATGGTCGTGTCACTTCAGAAGAAGCGCACTCTAGTGCAAAACCTTTGTGAGATGTCATCGCATGCCCTGGATTGCTCGACAGCAGGGTCTTGTTTATAAGGTTGATTACGCATTCAATGCATTAAGTTGATGTCGACATGACTTTAGCCCTAGCTAACGCTGATCATGATGTACATGATCAATTCATTGTTTGGAAGCCCCAAGGCAGCAGTGACAGCTGGCTGGTGCTGCATACTTAGTCCAGATACATCTGAAAATCTTGAGGCCGAATTTTGCATACGGTAGCCATCACCTGTGTCCTGTGGAAGCTGCTAGAAGCTATTTAGGCAGGGTATAAGCAACAGCATTACTTTTTTGAAGGACACCTTGTCCCGATCAATCCGTGTTACCGGCGATCCGTCATAAAGATATCGCCCAAAGCCGAAAGACTTGCTGTTCTCTTGTGAGAACAACAGTCAGCGCAGAGTAGCTCACATCCAAAAGATCTTGTCAGGAGTTTCACCAACAACTTCATCTGTCTCGACTGGCTTCTTGTCATGAACCAGCAGAATATGCAGCCACCTCTTCTTGGTGAGTAAATACTTCTAAATGTGGTGCCAGTAATCCCCAGAGGATTATCTGAATTGTTGCCTTTGGTGCCTTATCACTGAATATATCTTTGCGATCTAGAAGGTGTGTCTCTGTGGTGTGACTTGATGCTCTATAATAGATGCTTGTATGATTCTCACAGAGCGAAAAGGGCTACCTTTATTAACAAACACATATCATGATGGTATATATATCAGCGAATTGCTACTGTGTAAGCATGCCAGAAGTAAGTACTTGGAGTCTACAGGACCCAGACATGTCGCAATCGTCTTGGTTGTTCCAGTGCATTTTTCCGGTAGTAATTTTCTGTGGGTCGCTGCTGTCCAGGCCGAGTTGCACCCCACAGATGTCTCCCTGTACTACAACGGCTAGGCAATGCAGCATCCTCTTCACAAGCTGTGCCTGTAGCCACGGCCACGACGCAGCGCAGACTGACGTCTCTGCACAGCCCAGTCGCAAGCTGCAGCTACCAGACAGCACGAAGCACCCAGTGCAGAAGTGCCTTGCTGTCCAGGAACACAGGCATTGCTGGCCCCAATGCTGGCGCCAGCAACTTCAGCAGCCGTAGCCTTGCTCGTTTTTCGAATGCCCTCAGTGAAAGCGTGTTTCCCAGCCAGACATCAACACCAAGTCCTCTACATCAAAGGCAAGCCCAGATCGACATCTTGCATTGTGCTTTCCACCTGTCCTTTGTTTAATTCGCGAGCTGTAGCAGAAACCAGTCTGGCTCACAGCCTTGGGGACTCGCTATCAGATTGAATGTTGTTACGCAGGCAACAGCGCGGCTTTGCGGTTGTGGCAGCAGCGAGCGGGGGCGGCAAGAGAATCACGCAGAATGAGTTCACTGACAAGGCCTGGCAGGCCATCATCGCTGCACCAGAGATTGCCAAACAGGCAAGAGACTAGATTAGCTTTTCCCTTCAATGCATGCCTGAAGTGACCAGTTGACCAGTGCCTATCTGGGTGCAGTACGGCAGTAGATGGTGCCCAGCACAGCAATCCAGCACAGCAAGAGCTTGGGTCCTTCTGGAATATTGGATACTGCAACGTGCTTGATGTTTAGATACATGTCAAAATAGCAAGGATAATTACATCGCGATTACTATTTTCTCGATTCCAGTGGTTTGCATTGTGCTGACCGGTGTTGTCCGAGCATGGAGAGCAGCCTCTTGTGACACATGTTTCAAGAGCCAGGATGATGGAAGTGTGCATGTGTTGTTCCCAATATCTATGCTTTGCATTGGCTGATTTGCATTGTCCTTACACATGCAGAGCAGCCACCAGATTGTGGAGACGGAGCATCTCATGAAGGCCCTGTTGGAGCAGCCAAATGGCATGGCGAGGAGAATCCTGGCCAAGGCAGGCTCCAATCCCACAGATCTCCTGGACAAGACTGACGGCTACATCCGCCAGCAGCCTCGCATCAGCGGCGACTCGCAGCAGGTGATTATTCTCCCTGCCTCCTTGGCCTCATGAACAAAGTCTCAAGCACTGAGGAGGCCTTGCGGAGGAGCTGCTCATTTCAACGTGCACTGCAGAGGAGCTACTCCTCTGAATATGCGCTGCAGATGAGCTGTTCTTCTCAAGCCTCACTGCAGGGAATGATATCAGAGGGCTCCTCTGGGAAGGTATATATGAAGCTGTGGCTGCAGGAAGCGTGTGCAGTCCTTAAACAAATTGTTCAGTTGCTGTGTATGGGCATACATGCAAGACATTCACACAGCACAGGCCCAGGCAGTTGCCACCTGCGCCGGCATGGCAGCACATGTGCTTAGTCATCGTGGTGCATGCCTGACTCACTTGAGATCCTGAGGAGGAGGCAGCCACAACAGAAATGTGAGACATTTGCTTATGGTACAGCTTCACACTGTGCCACATGTGTCAGCAAGCAACGCAAGCATTTAGTCATCGCATTGCATGAATGATGCAATGTACCGCGCAGGTGCTGGGGCGCAACCTGGAGGGGACGATAACGCGCGCGCAGGACATCCAGAAGGACTGGAAGGACGAGTTCACCAGCGTGGAGCACCTGGTGCTGGGCCTGCAGGACGACCCGCGCTTTGGCCGCGACCTGTTCAAGAAGGAGGGGCTGGACGCCAAGAAGCTGTCCGAGGCCGTCAAGCAGATCCGCGGCTCCAACCGCGTCACCGACCAGGCGCGCATTCACTTTTTTGCAGCTTTTTTGTGCCCTTGCCCAAGTCTTTAAGCATATCCGTGGCTCCAACCGCGTCTGACCAGGGGCTGCATCCTGGCATTGTTATTCCCTCCTGCTGTTGTAGACCTCTAATTGTCTGTTGGAGGTACGCTTGAAGATTGGGCGTCTCGCTGATTGGGACAGGTCCCCATCAATCAGCTGTTCCCTGTGAATTATGTTCTTTAAAGTAGCAAGTGCTGCCTTCTTTGCTTAAACTGGAAGTGCCCATAGTTCACCAGTGCGTGCGTTGCATGCTCAGGCGTTTATTGCATACATCGCCTCTTCAGCAGCCAGCCACATGTGATGTCCTCTTTATACTGCTAATGCATGCATGCCTTTTCACCGTGGACACGCGCAACGCTACATTAGATTCCTAAAATATCATGTCGCCTGTTCAGGACCCGGAGGGCAAGTACGAGGCGCTGTCCAAGTACGCGCGCGATCTGACGGCGGCCGCGCGCGACGGCAAACTGGATCCGGTGATCGGCCGGGACGACGAGATCCGGCGCGCCATACAGATCCTGTCGCGACGAACTAAGAACAACCCCGTGCTCATTGGCGAGCCCGGCGTCGGCAAGACGGCCGTCGCCGAAGGTGTGCTGCACCAATTTTGAGTCTACAAGCGTGCATTCTATGAGCTTAAAGGTTCATTCCCTTTGGCTATGGGATCCTCGTGGCTGCTGGGTTTGGCGGCCTGAGAGGCTCACTTGTTGGTGTTGGTAGCATGCACTGCGGCAGACATTGGACCCCTTTCATGGTCTTGCCACAGCAGGCTCAAATGCATGTGCATGCAGTCTCCGCTGCAGGCACTTGCTCATTCTGTGTCCTTCGTTGCACATGACCTGTGCACGGCCTGCTGCCCAACTGCCTGAGTGACATGGCCCTCCAGCTATTGTCCCTCTCCCAAGAGAGCACGGCTCGAATGCATGGTGTGTACAGCATGCATGGCTGGCAATACACCTGCATCTCTTCCTGTATCCCAAGGGAGCATTATTGATCATTGTGCATGACGCGCAGGGCTGGCGCAGCGCATTGTCACCGGGGACGTTCCATCGTCGCTGCAAGACCGGCTGCTGATGGCGCTGGATCTGGGGGCGCTGATCGCGGGCGCCAAGTACCGCGGCGAGTTTGAGGACCGGCTCAAGGCCGTCATCAAGGAGGTCACCGACTCCAACGGCAAGATCATCCTCTTCATCGACGAGATCCACACCGTTGTCGGCGCGGGGGCCACCAGCGTGAGTCACAAAATCAGTTGCTTGCTCAGGCTGTTGGCCTTTGGCAGGAACCTCACAAAGCCTGCCCCGTACTCAGTTTCCGAACCTCGATTCCTTGACTGTCATGGAAGCTGGCTCAGTACTCTTGCTCTAGGCCAGTGCTGGTGAGCCATGTACGTGACTGCTAAGGCGCTTTGCATTCAAAACTAGGCTTAACCTTGTATTCCCACCCCTGCTTGCAGGCCGGGGTGGCTTTGTCTGCATCTGATATGCAGCTCAGCAAGCTGATGAAGTCGGACCTATCACTTCGCCCCTCCCTGGACAGCAATAGCATGCGCAAGCATGAATCTGTCTCTCACTACTAGTACTGTAACAGGGGCAGCTCACATGATGCATGCGGTGCAGGGCGCGATGGACGCCAGCAACCTGCTGAAACCAATGCTGGGCCGCGGCGAGCTGCGCTGCATCGGCGCGACGACCCTCGACGAGTACAGGAAGTACATCGAGAAGGACCCCGCCCTCGAGCGCCGCTTCCAGCAGGTGCAACAGCAGCTCGATCATCCTCTATTGCCTTGCAATTGCACGGGAGCTCAATCCTCTTGAGTTTGTACTGCCCACCGTCTCAAATAGGACAACACCTTGGCCCTGGCCTCGTCTCCCACTGCAGGTAATACATATGTCAGTGAGTGATTAAGTAATTGAGTTCAGGAAGGGATCTGCCCTAGGACATGCAAACCTAAATCACTCATTATAAGGACACCCTTTTTATAGAAGTCCTCCCAGGGACTCTGAAAGAACCTGATAGATGATTTAGAGAATCCTTTTTAGTCATATCTCAGGGGCACACTAGCGTTTCTGTTGGCTGCTTAGGGATCTTTGGTGACAGACTGCTGTGTCGATTTGCTGTGAGCACCTGTGATAGAATGAAGCTCATGGCGTTGTTTGTTGGTGTGACAGGTGTATGTGGACCAGCCCTCGGTCGTGGCCACCATTGCCATCCTGCGCGGCCTCCGCGAAAGGTGCGTGCACCACGAAGTCACTTAGCTTGTGTTCGGGGGTCAGGGAGGGGGTCCCATGCTCCAGCCACTGGCCTGAAGCATGATATTCTCAAGAGTTCCTTTGAGAAATTTTCAGCTTGTGGTGCGGCAGGACACCTGTTGATCTGCTGTTGTCTGCCCAATGTTTGGGAATACTGTCATTGCCATCTCCAGGACTGCTGCTTGTTGCCGCAGCTGCTGTCACAAACATAAGCATTTTGCATGATGCAACGCGTCTTGGGTAGGCAATGACAGTGTTTGGTCCATTCTCTGGCAATATTTAATAGTGGAGACTTCCCTGTTGAAATTGCAGGCTAGTACAGAGGCAGTGTCTCAACAAGATCCCATGAACCTGACAAGCATTGTCTGTAGCGCAGTTTGGCTGCCATTGTAAGAAAAGGGATTTTAACGGGGGGTGTCCCCTGGAAAAGACACATCATACCAGGCACACGGTGCACCATGTCATGGGTGGAAGCCACAGTGCCGGCTTTAAAGACAGGATTCTGTGTCTTGTAGTTGTGATTACAATCTCGTTACCCGATCAGGTCCAGCGCGGGACCCCATGAGAGATCATTCATTAGTTCACACACCTTGAAGTTGGATTTTGCATCCATTGCCTGATCAGGTACGAGCTGCACCATGGCGTGCGAATCAGCGACAGCACAGGTCCTCGCGGGAGGTTGGCTGGGGTTTAGAATGTAAATTTAAATTTCAAGATGTGGTATCTGATCAGGTACGAGCTGCACCACGGCGTGCGCATCAGCGACAGCGCGCTCGTGGACGCGGCGGTGCTGGCCGACCGATACATCGCCGACCGATTCCTGCCGGACAAGGCGATCGACCTCGTGGACGAAGCCGCCGCCAAGCTCAAGATGGAGATCACAAGCAAGCCGCTGCACCTGGACGAGATTGACCGCAAGATCCTACAGCTCGAGATGGAGCGCCTCTCGCTCGCCAAGGTGCGGGAATTACTTTCTGTGAGTTTTTGGGTGGTGTACCGGCCAGGTCTGTGCCGTGCATTGATCAAAGAGCTGTGAATTGTCAAGTGTCTCAAGATGAGAGGCATTCAATAGTTCGCTGCTTTCTGCGCCATGCATGGTGCAAGAGTTCTGCCACGGAGTGCCTGTCGAGCGAGGTGCTTTTGGGCAGTGCTGGCTGTGAGTTTATTGCTGAGTGCAACGGCCAGGTCTGTGTTGTGCATGGGGACGAGCGCGTGGAATGCTAGGTGTCTTTAGGAGAGAGGCTATCAATATTTCAGCGGGCACATCGCTTCAAACTGGCCTGATGCACCGTGCACCCTTACAACTCACACGCGGCATGTTGGTACTGTGCTGGTCTTCGCTGACGTACGGGCATGCAGAGCATAGCATAGAATCGACACTATCACTAGCAAAATGCATACTTGGGAGGGTACAAGAGGGCCTGCCAGTCTCAGTCCCTGGGCACAATTGCAGCAGATCTTTGATGCTTATGGCGTAGAGACCAGAAATCCAGAGACATGTCTCCAAAGCAGTTGATGCGGGGTACAGTTCGGTGGTGGTCCCCTTGGTCACCTATGGGACAACGCTCCTGATGCAGCAGCAAATATAGGTGCCACCATGTGCAGCGATAAATCATAGTAATATGAGTGATGTGCATGCATGCGAGCAGGCGGCAAAGGCAGACAAGACGGCAGCAATGCGGCTGTCGGGGCTGGACCAGCAGCTGACGCAGCTCAAGGCGGAGCAGGCCGAGCTGACCAAGCAGTGGGAGAAGGAGCAGCAGGAGATGCAGCGCCTGCAGTCCATCAAGAACGAGGTGCGCGTTCACACCAGACAAGCTTTTCTGAACTTTTCCTGGAAATGTGTGGCCCACTACGTAGACTCTACGTCGTAAAGTATGTGCATGTGGACGCTTCGGTTTGAAGCTTGAAATTCTTCATCTGCAGCTGGGCACTATGTTGCGAGAAGAAAGTCTTGCATACTTTGTCAGCGCATCTTGGCATGCAAGGCTTACTTTTGCGGCAAAGTGCTCATCCGCGTGAGCATATTCTGAAATATGGAGCCATGCATTCGGAAGGATGTTCTTGACATGCAATACACTGCAGCATATTGGCGCTGATGACATGATGTCAAAAACTGGACTAACACGAATGCTTGCCCCTTAGTCCCCCATCTTGTGAGGCCGACACTTTAGGAGGGATGGCTCATTCTCAGCGGTTCTATTGTGTGGCCTGCGCACAGATCGAGCGCGTGAACTTGGAGGTTCAGGCGGCCGAGCGCGACTACGATCTGAACCGCGCGGCGGAGCTCAAGTACGGGACGCTGCTGCAGCTGCAGAAGCAGCTCAAGGAGGCCGAGCAGGCGCTGGAGCAGGAGACGGTGAGGCCCCTGCAGGAAGTTTTGTGATTATGACAGAACTGCCAGGTGGCAGACAGGCACAGTGCTGCTGCAACAGCTTTGACACGTGCACACGGGGGCTGGCTGGGTGCAAGTTGTGTAGCTCCCTATGTTCTCCGTCCACTGGTCATTGATGACTTGAGAGCGGAGGAAATGGGACACCTGCAATCTTCCACCTGGTTCGGTGTCGCTTTCAATGTGATTCACAGCTGCTGCTGCAGCGCCATGCTTGGTCCTGCCACCTGCTACTCTGTGGCCCAAAGGATGGAACGATGACCGTCTTGCACTGCAGGCACTTCAGGCTTAGATAGCTGTGACTTTTGGAGCTGCCCAGCGAGAGCAGAGTGCAGGATCCTGCTCGATTTGGGTGCATGTTGGCGCGGGGGTGGCTGTAGTAACCATCCTTGTTTGACAAGCTAGTCCATCCGTGTGCGGGCAGGCTATCCCTGAGATGAAGTCATGCCATCACTGCCATGCAATCCGTTATGAATTGCATCAAGCAGACGCTCCTGGTCAAGTCTCAGCGCAGGGACAAGTCTCAGCGCAGGAAACTTATTTCACAAGCATGCATGTTGGCTGCTTAGGCTTCGGCATGTCTGACGCAGGCGGGCACGGGGTCGCGCATGCTGCGAGAGGAGGTGACAGAGACGGACATCGCTGACATCATCAGCCAGTGGACGGGCATCCCCGTTACTAAGCTGGTCGCGTCCGAGCGAGACAAGCTGCTGCACCTGGACGAGGAGCTGCACCGGCGAGTCATCGGCCAGGACGAGGCAGTCAACGCCGTCGCAGACGCCATCCAGCGGTGCGCGCCCCTTGCCTTTCAATACTCATCTCTGCTGCAGCCTTGAAAACCAAATCTAGCAAGACGAGAAGACTGCAGCAGGAAAGATGTCTTTTTATTCAAGCATGCAGTGCGAGACTTAGCAGTTCGTTCTTTTGCAAGGTCCATATGGAGATCAAGGTCCAAGTCATTGACAGGTGATTTCGTGGTTCTCTGGACTCTGAGGCACCAGGTTTCCTCCAGATAGGCATTACTTCACGTGACATGCACAGCTTGTATGCCCTTGTGTGGAAGCCACCAGCTTGGGCTTTATTGATAGGGGTGCAAAGGTCCCCTCACAGTGCAACAAGTGTCTGTTCGACATAATTCCCAGCGCAATGCATGTCTGGGTGTCAACCATCTGAAGGCGTATCTGTTGCACACGCAGCGCTTGTGCTCCTGCTGTGCGACACATGCGCCATTGCTTGGCTCACCATTCTGGCATGCATCCTTGCAGTTTGAGTTGTTAGTTCTTCCCAACATTCTCAGTATGCTCCTGCATTGGGCCTGCCCGGGGGTCCTGGTCGCACAAAGATCTAGCATATTCAACAATGTACATAGATCACCAGTATGCAGAGCTTAGAAACTAGTGTGATGTGCTGTGAGTGTGTTTGCAGGTCGCGCGCTGGCATGGGCGACCCGAATCGGCCCATTGCGTCGTTCATGTTCCTGGGCCCCACGGGCGTTGGAAAGACTGAGCTGGCCAAGGCGCTCGCAGAGTACCTCTTCAACACAGACCAGGCCATGGTGAGCCCTCCTCTCCATTCCCACTTGTACTGCTTGTGGTACAAGTGGATTCTAATGGTGAGCAGTCATTGTTATTTGCAGGTCATCATGCCTCTACAGGCTGTAGGCTTGTTTATGTCCAGCAATTCTCAGCAAGCTTCTAACACTCCTCTTGTACCAGCTGTGGCAACCATGCTCTACTGTGGGTTTGCATGTCTTCCTTCTTGTTGTCAAGATGGAGCCAACGACTTGTTCGTGTTTGCTTCGTCCTGCTTGGGAAGTCAGCGCTCTAAAACAGAAGCCTGTGCCTCTGTGGCTCTTACTAATAAAGGCACATGGCCTGATATGTGCGTATGCATGCACGCAGGTGCGGCTGGACATGAGCGAGTACATGGAGAAGCACACCGTCAGCCGCCTCGTCGGTGCGCCGCCCGGCTATGTCGGCTACGAGGAGGGCGGCCAGCTCACCGAGGCTGTCAGGTGCGACAGCTGTGCCTAGCTGCATAGCATCCTGTTATGAAGGCAGCTTGCTGGCGGCTGGCTGGTTCTGCTCATTCCTGATTGCGATGTGATGTGAAACCAAAGTTGCGGCACGCGGGTTTGCGCACCCCGTTCCTTCTTGACGCCAGAGTCAAAGTATACCCTTTGCAAAGCTCCACCCAATCAATATTTCTTAAACGGGTGGTGTTCCTGCCAGGGTGTGCACCGTTTTTGGCGCTCACAAGATGTTGGGTCATAAATCTTCTTGTAGCCATGACAAGAACAAGAGTCTGAACTCTGAAGCCTGCTGTCTTTAAAATTTCAGAAATGCCTATAGCATATATTGAGCCTTGTGTGGCGCGCACTGCTTCTTGCATGCAGGCGTCGCCCGTACGCAGTTGTGCTCTTTGATGAGGTGGAGAAGGCGCACGCAGACGTCTTCAACATCCTGCTGCAGGCAAGGCTCCCACCATACTCTTTTCCTCTCTGGCATTCTAGTACAATAAAAGGGCAGTTGCAGACTTCTCTCCATACGGATCGCATGCCTGTGGAGTGAAGTCTGCAACTGCGATTTGGTATGGGGGCACGAAGGCTTTGACAGTAGCTGTGGTCCGTCCTTTGGCTCTCAGACATTGCTGGCAATCTTATGTGCCATATGGCAACAAAGACGCCATGTAGTTTAAGTCTGTGCTGAGTGGCATGGTATTTGTTTTTTGACCGGCTAGGAGCCCTGAAATGAGCTATAAAATTACACGCACACCCATGCCTGGTGCATGCTGCCTTGCAGATCTGTCACGATTTGGGATGAGGTTGCCCTGACATCAACTGACCTTTGAAGTCGCAGCGATGTCTGACTGCAACCTGTCCTGCACATGTGTCTGGTTTAATCCATTGAACGATGCCTGCACGATGGCTGGCAAATGTGCATCAACGCTACTGCTAACATGGATATCATCAATACACGCTTTTCCCGCCAGAGGCGAGGCGCGTCTGCATACAAGCTGCAGGTAATGTGTGCTATTATAAGACAGCATGGAATTTGTGCGCTGTGCAGATCCTGGACGATGGGCGGGTGACGGACAGCCAGGGGCGCACGGTGTCGTTCAAGAACACTATCCTGATCATGACCAGCAATCTGGGCAGCCAGGCAATCCTGGAGGGCATGGCCGCGCGAGACCAGGAACGCGTGCGCGAAACAGTCATGGCCATGGTAAGCGCTTGGTCCCCCCATGGTTTGAAGCATTTGAGGCTTCTCAATAGGGGCCCGTGCTTCAAACTTCCAGGTCACTTCTGCAAGTGCATCTTGGTTGCAACCAGGCTTCAAGCTTCGATTGTTTTTATACATCAGTTGACAATGACAGTGGCTCGTCTCTTGCTGCACATCACTGGTGTCCAGATTCCAAATTTCTAGAATTTTTGTCTCACGTCATTCTGGACTGCAAAACTGCGCAGGTGAAGGCTTCGTTCCGGCCGGAGTTTGTGAACCGCGTGGACGAGTTTGTTGTTTTCGAGGCGCTGAAGCTGAACGAGATCCGCCAGATCGTGCGCCTGCAGGCCAAGCGCGTCGAGCAGCGCCTCGCAGAAAAGAAGATCAAGCTCGAGCTGGATGAGTCAGCCGTCGACTACCTCGCGGTGCGCGTTCCCTCCCTCACTTTCTTTTTGAGATGAAATTGCACTGGCAGATTCGTTGACATCTGGCGTAACAACACCTGCACGTGCTCTAGCCAGCAAGGGCTGTTGTGCCAGGGCATGTGCAGAAGTTGCGTCGACTTGTGTCCATGGAATCAGCAATGTGCAGCTTTTTCTTCCTGGATTCTAGTGGTGAGACTTCCTTATCCCCCCGTGCGGGGCAGGGTGGCCCAGAACTTGTTGCTCTGTGGGTATGGTATCGGCGGTCTCCGATGTCCGCGCCCGATCCATTGCTTTCATGACCGGGGCATGGAGTATGGGCCAGCGGTGACTTGTATAATTGCTTCTTATTGCTTCTTCATGTGCGCTAGTGGGCAGTGCACTTTCAGCATCCCGCTAGAAGATGCCCTGCCATGTGCCGCTGCAGCATGATCATGTCGTGGCTTCTTTCTCGTGCCCTCCGTTGTCAAGATTGCCTCTTTGTCCAGCGCTCTTGGCAGGGCTTCTTGACGACAGATGGCACTTGTGGGAGAGCCACCAGATGCCAGCAAACATGCCGCCATATCTCACGACCTTTAGGAAATCCGAGTTCCCCGTGCAAAGCAGTATCTTCCTGAAGATTGCCTTCTGCTGACGTGCTTATGTAGGTAGATGAAGGGGTTCAATTTGGTGTACAGGGCTGAGATTCCAGGGCAATCTTGTGAATGCATTTGTTTCAGTCACACATGCAGCTGACGCGATCGTTTTCCCCCGTGCCCAGACCAAGGGCTTCGATCCGGTGTACGGGGCGCGTCCGGTGAAGCGCGCGGTGCAGCGCGACCTGGAGACGGGCCTGGCCAAGGCGCTGCTGCGGGGGGACTTTGGGGAAGAGGACACAGTAATAGTGGAGGCACCGGGGGGCGCCCAGGGGGACCACTTGGAATTCCGGGCCAAGGACCGCGCCACGCCGCCCGGGCCGCCAGCTCTGCCGCTGGAGATACTGGCCTGAGTCAGAGCTTGGACAGGGCTGAAAAAGACAGGGTAGAAATTGTCTCTTTTAGTTGTGGTGCTTGGCTGGAGATCCTGGCCTGACCGGCGTGAGTCAGTGTCCACTCGTGGTGGAATGTGATTGGCAAGAAAGATGGGCAGACTTCACGAGGAGCTCTTGTGGCTGGCGGTGTGACTGGGATCCTGGCCTGAGCTGTGGCTTTGGCCGGCAAAGGAATTGGGGCGGAGCTCACAAGAAGGCTGTAATGCTTGCCTGAGCTCTCACAGGGCGTACTGTGAAAGGCAAGAAAATTGGGCAGAGGCTCTGGTGCTTGGCAGGAGATCCTGGCCTGAGTTTCTGCTCTGACAGCGCTGAAAGGGACCGGCAAAGGAAGTGGGGCAAACCTCACAAGAAGGATGGAGGTGTTGGCCTGAGTGCTCTGAGCTGTGGCTCCCAGGGGCGTAAAGTGAGTGGCAATGAAAGAGGTAAGAGCTGACAAGGAGGCTTTCCTCCGGTGTGGTGCTTGCCTTGGCAGGGGTATGTGGAGCAGGCACGGTCCCTGAGCTCACAGGCATTAATGGTGACATCGCTGCTTTTAACTTTGCTGAGAGGCCGCAGTTAAGAGGGCAGTTTTGTTTCAGTTGGACAGCCATCTCAATTTCTGCTTGCCGGCGCCTGCTTCATCAGAGGAGGTCATATTACAATCACTCTGTGCCATCTGGTGATGTTGTGACGGTCGCTTTGTCATGGTCATCAATTATCAAATCATGACAGTATTGTTGTGTAGCTGTGCACTTAAGGTTTGCTTATTGTATTCTGCTAATTTTGTGACCTGTTGCAAGGGGTCGTTGGTCATGTGCGTTTTGTGCTGGTGAATATTTGCAAACGTTTTACATAGCGCTTCTGGGCTCCATTATATTACATGAGTTTTTGCTCATTGAGGTCGGGCCTTCGCACAACATCACTGATTTCATTGGTTGTCAATGCACTGAACACCCACCTATTGCAAAAGTCTTATTGCTTTGGCATTGCAGGTCGCCTAATAAAGGTAGAGGTACCTCAAAGGGTGGAGCTCCACCTCTGCCCTATTGTAGGGACTAACCAAGTTTTGCTTTGTCCCCATGATGATAAACTCCCCACCAATATGTCCCTACACTTGTGGAGACCCATCCTATGGCCCTAGAAACTCCGTATGACTGCCCCCTAAACAAAACTTCTCCCGCCCACCTGGTACGGAACAAGAGGGAGCAACACATGCTCCCCAAACCCATGCTCATTGTCCAATCTGTTGTACAATTGCACACAGGCATACAAAATACATGCGCATACAGAATACATGCCTCGTGCAGAGATGATGAGCATTGGCATGATTCACATCAAGGCTAATGTGTACCCTAAGGGAGCTGGACTTGGGAATGTTTAGCTTCGCTTGGGCTTCAAGGTAACCTGTGCAGATGAATACTTCAGCCCCGTGCCAAAGATTCCTCAGCTCAGCTGCTTTATATTATACAGCAACACAGCATGGCTTCTCCCAGGACTGGCCATTCATGCTGTGCTGGCCGCCGTGCTGCAAGCTGCTACATGGAAGGAAGGAAGATTACATCACTCCAGCCGCCTAGGGCTGATTGGATGAACTGGCAGCATCCAAATAATCAAAACAATCCATCACAAAATGTGCAACACCAACAATGTCCAACTGCCACATGAATTGCTGCATCGTCACAATGGCTGCACCAAACAGCCCAGGATATCTGTCCCGAACAGATTGCAAGGCAGGGCACTCAAACACAAAGTGGCGCTCATCCCCAATAACCTGCTGGGCACAACGCATGCACAAACGCTGGAGCCGGGGAATCCTTGCCCAGCGGCCCTATGTAACAGCAATATTGCATGCTGTGCTGTTAAATTTAGGCCCTATGGTTGAGGGCTTAAATAGCTACAAATGCGGTGCTGGTGGCACAGCGGTTTTGCGAGCTGCTGCTAGAATAGGAATGTTCCTTCACAAAGGACTCATTTGCGGTCAACCCTGGCAAACGTGAGGGCTGACATGGCATCAGCCAGATGGAAGCCCATCAAGAAGGGGCATCTTGAAGAGGCGGAAGGCAATCATGATGCCCAGTCCCATCGCTATTGCTCCAAGCTCACTCCATATGGTGAAGCCAAAGAAGAAGTCCCTGTTCGCATCCAGCCAGATATCTGCTGTGACTCCTGGCACTGAGTCTCAGTCATGATACAGTGGGTCACATTATGATACAGCAAATCCAATTCATGACATCTGAACAATGCCATCAGGTGTGAGAGCTTCAAGAGTGCTCAAGATATTACCAAGTGGTCCAAATGCCCCTCCAGTACAGGACAACACCTGCACCAGTGTAGCATGGTGCCCATTCAGGATTTCAGGGGGCAAAGAATCTCTCTGTGGCTGTTGAAGACGTGTGCACAATGCAGGAATTGAACATGCCCTTGCATGCTCACCTGTGATGGCCACCATTGTGTACAGGTTAGCTCTGACATCAAACTTCATGCCTTCGTCCACAGCGGCCTGCACAGCTTCCGTCACTGCATCTTGCATCACCTGCGACACAAGCAAAAGTCTATCAGGCGCTCCAAAACACATTTTACCGGTATTGGAATAGAAGTATCCCAATCAATAGAAGGAAGGGGCGTTTACGTCCTGCACAGCGCCTGTCACGGCGTCCTGGATGGCCTCGTGCATGCCAGGGAAGTCTGTGCGGAAATCCTCGTACTCCATCCCCTCGCATCTGTCCTCCGCCAGCAACTCTGCAGCCTCACTTTCAGTACCCTGCAACATCGATTTAATATTCTGGCGTGGTGCTGTAAGTAAGGTCTTTCAGAATGTATATGGTCTACTCTCGTTTCCCTCGGATTGCACGAAGTATGTGATGAAAGCAGGTCAGCCCACCTCCTCTCGGCCCTGTCGCCGTGCTGCATCACTTCGCGACTTATAAAATGATTGGGAGTACTTCAAAGCTCTCCTAAAACGATTGGCTTCATCTTTGTGTTCTTCAGCGTCGTCAAATAACACCACCACTTCACCGTTCTCTTGCAGCGCTTTGGGTTTCTGATCAGTATCGTCTATGGACATTGCCCAGGCCTGCACTATATTTGACTCCGGCCTCTTCAGTGCGAGACTTTCCTATGACGAGCACATACAAATGCAATTTCACAGCAATTTTCCAAAATATGCGAAAGGCACTTCGCCCCCGGCTAGCCTTGAGCGCTTGGATGACTTCAACTCTGCTCTATAATCAGTTTTTGCCTTATTGATATACAGTTTTTGCACACACGTCACTTCCAAGATCGGGGTGTAGCTTCGCGAGCGGTAGCTTCCGATGTAACGGCGGATGCCTGAATGGGAAAATCCCGCGATTGACGGCGTAACTTCTTGTCTCTAAGAAAGTGGGACTGATAAAGTGAAGTGCCCCCAAATGCATCCCAATGAAGGTGATATCTCGACTGGCACTGTCCATTCAGAAGAGGGTAGACTGGAGTCCCTCACATGCAGACATGACTGGCCTATGGCGCTGGCTTGGGCCCAGCTGGCGTGCAAGCCGTCAGCAGAAAGGAAATTCAAAAGTGGGCAACTGCACAAGCTGCTTCAAGCACAGATCAGATAACATGATATCCCAGAGTCAGTTTGCATGCATGCATTCAATTTCAGGTCAAGCAAGGGGCTTCGCAAAAGCATATCAATATCGATATCTCTTTGTGAGATTCCTGGGCACAGAACCCAAGTAGTAGAGGCCAGCAACACTTGATAAATGCCAATGTCCTAAAGCAAGCTCTGTCGGCAAGGATACAATGGCAGCCAACCGCTCTCCAGTGAAGGAACAGGCAGCAGCGCAGGCGATGTAGCATGTCTGTGTGCATGCTCAAATATTGCCGAGCCTTTATATCCGCATTACTCCTTATTACTTCATCAGATTGCTGGCCCTCCAAGGGAGGCGCGCATTACTGCAGCACTTGCATGAGGAGGTCATAGTGGCAACCAGAGAAGAGCAGGCAGACGGGTGAGACCCCCGGGTACTCCTGCGCCCCATACTCTGACACCTTCTCCAGATCCTTGCCAAAGATGCCAGACTTTACCTGTAAAGCCACAGGCACCGTGACACCGTGGATCCTTGCACAAACTTCACGTTTACGGTGCCAACAACATGCTCCCTGTCTTAAAGCTCCCTGGCAGCTTCAATACTTTCTTGCTTCCCCAGACACAGCGGCAAGGACCTGAAGGTGAATGATAATCATGCTCAAGTAACTCCAGAAGCTGAGGCAATGCAAGCAAGAAAGGGCCTCAAATGCAGAGCTTCGCGAGTGTGAAATTTTGGGTCCGTGCATTTCCATCAAGCTTTGTTGCTTGGAAGGTGGCGGTGCTTGGAAGGGGGCAGCACCTCTCTGTATACAATGATGGGTCGCCGGATGCAATGGATGGCCACCGCCAATTCTGGCTCCCCTGCACACGCAGAAAGCAAGACAACTTTGTCATTGACACAGCTCGATGTCATCAGTGGAGCCCACAAAGTGTCAGCTGCCCATAGTGTACAGTGCAAGTGCTTGGGGAAAACCATGATTTATGCGCACTCTGGGCTTAGGGAGGTGTGGGCTGGCCGTGCAAATTAGATGCCTCACCTCCCCAGATGCCCTCCAGGGACATGTTGCTGACGTACGCATCAAACACCCCCGGGATGAAGGGCTCAATCTCCTCCTTTCGTCGCACCATCTCCCCGCACACCTCCCTCCTCAGCCCAAACCCCGCCTCGAACAGCTCCCTCCCAGTCAACAAAGCCCCTGCGCAGTAGGAATGCTTCAGGGGCGCAGATCACATGTTGGCAGCATAGGAGAGCAACAATGCAACTGCCCCTTTGCCCGAGCCAGGCCTGCCCTTTACGCATCCCTGCTATGGTTGCTGGCGATAGGGTGCCCCATCTAGAGAACATCTGATTACTAACGGCCAGAGGTATGCATAAAAGAGCGACACCTTCAGAAGACAAACCAGCCACTTGGCTAGAGACTGCCAGACTGCCAAAAACTGCATCCTCAAGGCATGAAGAAATGCATCCCTGTGAGGCCAAGCAAGATGTGGTGGGGAGGAAACTCCACTGTTCTGCCCTCCATGACAACTCTTGCATGCATGCTTGCATCCTTTGGGACAGCATTCCACAGCATTCCCAATACTCTGTTACTCTATGAGCATACTGCTTGCATGATGCACCCCTGCTTTGTTACATTCAATCGCTGATCCTTGAAGCCTTGAGCCATTCTTCGGCGATCGATACCTGAGTGTAGCACAGCAAGCAATATGAGCCAATTCACCTGTGGATACATGGTGGGTGCCCTGAGCCACGGCCCTGAACAGGCAGCTGCCGTCCCCGGCAATTCTGTGGATCTCAAACTGCACTGGTGCTCCCTCTGCATCCGATGAGGAGCCATCACTGCTAGTCGCTCGCTCCTCTGCAGCTGTACTCCTGTCCTCATAGCTGCTGCTAGCAGCATTTTCAGTGGTGTTGGCACGTTTCCTGGTCCTCTCAATTGAACGATGCTGTAGATTGCAAGTTGATTTCCTTAAAAGGCTGAGAGGAGCTCGTCGGACGTTGAGGTGACCTGGACATCTCGCTGCTTGCTGTTGAGCACCAAGCCTACAAGCAGGCATGGGCCCTCTGCTGCGGTGGTATGTTATGCACACCGGACTTGCAGCGAAACTATTTTGCACTTTCCTTATTGATACAAAAGCTGATCTGCCAGCACTGCTGGGATGCACGTGTGCACAGGTGCTTTGGCCCAAAGCTGGACAATGCAACCGGAAGACATGCATTCTTCAGCTCGAAATATTTTGTGGCCAAGAAAATGTGGTTGGCAATGTGACTAGAAGATGGGGAAGAAAAGGACAGCAACAATCCAATGCAGTACGCTCGCAAAAGTACAAGTCCGGCGAAAACAAGGCACCTCTTTCCCCACAACAGTACCCGTACACACAAATGACCTTTCAAAAAAAAGCACTTGATCATTCCAGCATTGCCTGGGCAATGTTGCCTTTGATCCTCTTCCGAAACAAGGTTTCGGAGCATGTGTTTCCTGATTTGGAGACCATTCCGCGCAAATTTTAAATTCGCAGATGCGCCGTCATCGTCGAACTCCGCACGCCGGTCGTACGGAGTACCCGTCGATGTCCTGATGCAATGCTTGGTCTCATTTTAACTTTTTATCATGTAATAATCTTCCGAATTTTTCATCCGCTGTAGTTTCGTCGACGTTCCGAGAGCATTTTCCAAAACAGGCACTGCCATGTCAGCAGAGCCTGACTTGTGCTTTTGATAGTGGGCATGCACTTCACTTCTTGTGCTCTGCATCTGAATCCTAAACAAATTATCACGCAGGCTGCTGTGACAATGAGTGCAGGATGGCTCTGTGCCGCTTACGCAGCGTACACCGTTGGAAATTAACAAGGTTGTTTGAGGACTTGCGCATGCACATCAGCTGCAGTGGCCAGCAGGGTGGCCATCTGGAGACTAGAAGTTCTTGCACATCGCAGTGGGGTGGCTCTTGGAAGGAGATTGCCAGAGGATGGGAATGCTCTTCTGCTCTTGACTCTTCTGCATGTCGGGTGGATGCAGCAAACCCAGGGGACATCGACCCTCCAGCGCCCTGCAGGGTTTCTCAATGTGTCCTTGCCTTGCTCGCTGTTCTCCTCCCTGCTCGCTTCATTTCCACTCTCCTTTGGCGTCCTGCGCGTGAAACTCTCCGGCGAGATTGTTTTGACCTCTGAAGCTTGAGCGCTCTGAAGTACTGGTCACCTCTGGACCCAGTCCAATCTCGGTAGGCACCACTTGTCGGCCCTGCTCACGCCATTTTCACATCAGAGCGAGCGAAAACAGCCAGAATGGGTTACAAGGAGCAGACAGGACTTCCTAATGGGCTTTCCATGAAGCGAGCCAGGCAAAATCGGCAGTGGACAACACCAGCCCGGGAGGTGACTGTCCCATGCTTTCTCAGATGTGTCCGACTTCTGGTCAGATCAGGGTCCAAGTTCTACTGGCGTATGTGATGTGGCATGAATTCTCGTCTGGTTTCCTGATGCACCATCCTGTGTTATGTGTTTAGGGTCCTCCAACCAGGACTGAATTGGTTGCCAAGCTCAAGGTGAGTCCCAGCAAGACTGGCCCTATTCCTGGTAGCTGTGGTGATTGAACGCATAATGGCTTTCATAAGGAACGTTATGCACGCCTGCACAGTCAATCGTTCATGGTGAGCCGTATATTTCGCAAGGGGGCGGTGGATAGTGAGTCTACGTCTGACTGCCTCGCTGCGAGTGCTCCGCTGACCGCTAGCTAACGAGGGTGTTGTTCGTGCTTGATCTGCCAAAAGTGGCTGACAGTCTCTTATGAGTGTTCGTGTTGTGTTCGTTTCGGTGGCAGTGCAAGAATTTCGCCAGATGAAGCAACGATTTGGTGAGAATTACACGTCGTTTTGAGCACTGTAATCATACCCGCAGGTGTCCTCCCTCAGGAAGTACGTGCATGCCTTTGATTTGGACATCTCGCCAAACAGCTCCAAGGAAGACCTGACTGCTGCTGTCCAGAGGCACTGGGCATCCCAGGTGCAACCCTGTAGCCAGCTTCACCCCCCCCTTGGCTGCCCTCCCATAAGTCCGCCGCGCTTAGTGTACATGCAAGCAAGCTACTCATCAAGAAACAATGTGTCCCAAATGTATTCTGAGAAGATGATCACGTTGTATGTTTGTCCTACAAAGTAGAGTGCTTCCTGGCATCTGCTGGTCGGGCACCTGTTGGGAGGTGGCTGCGCTGGTGCTCAGATGCTTTACTTACACTCTCACGGAATCAATGCCCGCAGGTGATCAAGGAAAACGAGGTCCTCTTCAACCTGGCAGTTGCCTTTAAGAAAAGCGCAGCCAATGGGCAATTGTGACCTGTTCAAGATCCCTGCAGGCCTGGCAAGCTGTCACGCCTCAGTCATACAGTGTCAAAGTTAATGTGCCAACAGAGGGTGGACAGCGGGTGAATACATTCAAGACAGGCTGCTAGAGGGGACAGTTGTGATGTATCAATGGCTCGGATTTCTGTTGAGAGCGACGTTTCCATCCCATCCAGTGCAGCAACGGAACTCTGTCTTTGTCCAAGCGGATGTGCGAGCAAGGTCCCTGTTGTGTCTTTGTGATTGTGTATTTGCTTGCCAGCAAATCCACCTTTCAAGGGCTTGTATGTCTGAGCATGTTTGGAGGGCAACTGCTGACAGGTGATTCAGATATGCGTCTTGAGAGGATTTTGGGTTCGCATAATAAGAATGATTGAGAACTTGAAATGGTGATTTGTGCCTGTACGCTCTGGCCTCAGTGAGCATTGTACGAGTGGGCTCTTCTGGGTTTCCATCAAGTGATGAGGGGTCCTGGGGCCACAAGGGGTCCTGGGGCCACAAGGTCTGTTGAGTACCCGAGAGTGTGCTGCAAGCACTTTTTCGAGCAAGGGAAAAAGCGATCATTCATCATCCCGACGGAATGATGCTTTCTGGAATATGACGGCACATCATGTAACGCACATAACAAGTACACATAACAAGTACCTGCCCGTTCAGCGGAACGGCCTTGGGCTTGCAAAGGCAACGGTCAGAGGCTCGCAGTGATTGCATACATACGTGGCATGCCATTCGCCTGATACAGCTGCCGGACCTTGTCAGGTTGCGCTCCCGGCTCCCAGTACTGCGTGAAAGTTCCCAGCCTCACCGGCTTTGGCATGACCGACCTTGCGAAAGCCATGGTTTCTTGTTCCGCACCTTCTTCACTTTACATACATCTACATGTCACGGATCTGCCTCGACTTCCGCTGCCCATTTCGAGTCACCCGACCAAGTCACGTGGCACGTCATTCCCGCACGTGCGACCCATCTACAATCCAAACTACTAAATTACTTCCCACCTACTTAGTAGATCTCGATTTCCGCCCACACCGATTAGCCCTACTAGTAGTACTGCTCCACTTATTGCTCACAAATCAACTGCATGCAGCTTGCACAGCTGCCTACTGTGGACTTTACCACTAGCATCAATTCATGTGTTCCAATATGTTTGCGAGAATGGTTGTTCAAACCCACAGCATTACCAGCAAAGATCTGCACTGGTGGCTACGCATGGATGCTTGCTGCTGACATCATGCCACTTGGCCGCCAGGTCAGCGAAAGTCCAGTAGGCTGCCAAATAAGAAGTGCTGCATGATGGGGACCTTTGACAGCACCTCCACCTGATACATCTTCAGCATGCCGCTGTTCACCTGTGCCCCAGCAGCATATATACTCACTCTGACATCAGTGCATCCTTGGAGATCTAGCCAGGAGCTGCCCCGGTGTGAACATCTCAAGCGTAAATCGGCCTTGCAAAAAATCTCAAAAGCTTGCCCGGCAGCTCAGCTTAGTCCACACAATCAAGATGACGGTACCCAAAGAAAGGCAGAACGGATGCAGAGCACGATGATTGAGGAGCATTGAGACCTAAGACCGAGACTTCTAGTGCACCATTTGCTACTGCAAATTTGGACATGAAATCTGGCACACCTTGCCCCAGTTGGGCACTCCACTGATGTCGTTCAGCATCGGCGAAGTCTCTGCCAGCGGGCCTTTCTTCACCTGCACAGGCGCAACCATTGCCACCTTTCAACGCAGCAATATTTATCAGCACGCAAGCACATGCTGTTCATAAATCCCTCAAAGGCGCCAGTACTTATTTCTGACTGCAGCATAGCACACAAAGAAGGCCACAGCGGCCCCTGTATTTGAGCGAGAGCTTGCTTCCTTTATTCCACAGCAGCTGATCAGACAGGGCCCAGTCAGCCGCCAGCATGCATGCAGGGCAATGCCCATTGCAGACACATACAAGCACCTGCTTGACCACACGTTTGCTTCTTTCAACGGCTGATCAGAGCCCGCACAGCTGCATGCATGGCATCATGCCGGCGCTTGTGCGCGCCTACGACCTAGTACTTCCTAGTCTGCCATGTGCATGCATGCAGCGCGGCAGCCCGTGCCGGCGCATGCATGCACCTGCTCTATGAGCAAACGTTTGCGTCTTTATATTAAAACGCCGCAACGGCTGATCAGACCAGGACCCAGTCTCCCTCAAGCATGCGTGCATGCATGCGGGCACATGCGCGCACCTGCTTGACGAAACGCACGCAGCCCAGGTACATGTAGTCGGGCGCGCAGGTATCGAGCACCTCCTGGCTGTGGATGGAGCGCGGCCGGATGAAGGGGTGGTCCATCAGCTGCGCGGAGCCCCAGACGAAGGGCAGGAACTGATAATCGTCCAGTCCCCACACCCCATGAGAGCCCGCCGGCTCAAGCCTGAGACAAAAAACAGCGCGTGACCGGATTAATGAATTATGCACACCCACAATGGCTCAAGCCTGGAGCCACAAGCAGCGTGTGACCAGGATGGTGGAGGCTGCATGGAGGCTGCATGGACATGCGCAATTTTCTCAGGTGCCTCCTGATGCACTTGGGCCACTGAGGTCTGCACCCCGTGAGGGCCAGGTGGCTCAAGCCTGGAAACTGCAAGGAGCGCCTGATCGGACTGATGCAGGAAGGCTTGCAGAGTGACAATGTGTTTTGGTAATGGCCCGCTCAGCACCGGTCTTGGACCCCAGCAGAGTATACAGCTCATATATGGCATTTAATCATAGGACTTTTATCTCTTGTGTCGCTCTGTAAGCTTGGATTGCTGACATCTGGCCGTCAACGATGCATCACTGGAAAATCTGGCAGGACGCTGCAAGCATGTGACTGTACTGAGGATGTCCAGTGTGTCAAAGCACACATGACTGGTACGGGGCTCACCAGTATGTTGTCTGCACCTTCCGCATGAGCTTGATGTAGCTGTCAAAAACTTGCGTGACCAGTGCCTGGACAGGAAACCTCACATTCAGAAACATCACATGCAAATTAAACACGTGACTTATGAAGAAGCTTCTCTCTTAAAGGAGAGTCCTCTTGAGGCGTTGTAAGACTTCACAATACTGAAGGAAAGGCCAAAGGAGACAGGAAAAAGGATCCATTGAAGGCCAAAGCGTAAGCAATAGAAACCATTCAAGGCGCTTGCCAAAGTTGGCGCAGTGGGGAGAGGGAACTCCCACCTGCAGATCGGCCTCAGTGAGCACGCCTAGTTTGGCGAGGCAACACAGTAGCGCGCAGAAAGTCGTCTCGTGCCCCGTCCCATAATCGATGCGCGTCGGGTTTCCCAGCGAGTCAGCCAAGTACGGTGCCAATTCCACTTCCGCGCCGCGCAGCCGCTCCGGCAGTACAAGCTGCGCTAATAGCTCTGGCGCAGCCGCTGAGGCCTTTGCAAACCATGTCCTGTGATGCAATACAAAGTTGTGAAGCCAAAGCTCCTAGAAAGGGGTCATGGGTGTCTGCAAAGGCAGCTGTATGTTCTCAGACAAGCCAGCATGGCTTTGTCTGTGCCCAAAGAGGATCAGGGCAGACTTGAGAGGCTATGCCTTGGCCTTCTTCTCGCGCAGACAGACCCATTTGATCCTAGCCCACCATCCTGTCATTGCGCTATCATTGGCTGCAGAGCTTGATTGTCGCATAACAGGTCGGCAAACATGTGAGCAAACTGTACAGACCCCACCTAGGGCTACAGTACGAGGCACATGTGCTATGGACAGCGTCCTGCATCTTGTCTCATACATCGGTTCTGCCGTGCAGTGTTATCAAGGAGTACCTGAAAGCAGGGTTGCCGTATCGCAGCGCCTGCTGCACAGGGGGAATTGCGTCGACCCACTCGCTGAGCTGCTGCAAGATATTCAGCAACCCCTGCACCGGCGGCGACACCTGGCACTCGTCCGACACCTTTTTCCCCTTTGCGCGCTCATTCAAGGCCACTATGAACCCCACAAACTCCTGCACTGTCTCCGACTTCAGAAACCTGCAGCAAAGGATTCGTGTTGGGACCTACTCCTGAAGGCTACAGTGTCAGGGCACTAGTAAATAATCAAACTGCGCCAACTTCTAATCCTTGATTTGCCAAAATGATTGCTGGTCCTCATGCGACACTTGCTTTTATACTGAGATGTACAACGGAATTTCCAGGATATAGATCAGGAAGTCATATGTGTGGTATAGTATTTGCTAATCCTGGCTGAGCATTATGTAGGAATCAGGCAATGAAAGAGCTGCAGACCTGTCCAGATCTGCATTGTTGTGGATGCGCTTCTCTGGGGGTGCAAAGTTTGGCTGGCCGGCCGGGGCGCTATTTGCTGGTGCAGGCATCTGTGCCTCTGCAACAACCAGCGGCTGCACCGGCACCCCAGTCAGGTACCCACGGTCTCTGTGGTGATGTGGATCTGGCTGGGCAACCTGCTCCTGCCCTGTATAGACAGGACAACACTGTGAGGAGATCTGAGACACCTCCAGGTCACTGAGGGAACCAGCTTGCACCAGAAGGGCCTTCCCCCGCATGGTGCCATCATGGAGCACTATGATTGGCAGAGTTCGACAAATTTGGACGATGTCTGGAGTGCATGCATGTAGGCTGGGCTCCAAGTCGTTGAGAGGGGTTGGGGATGCTACGAGGGGCTCACCAGGCATGGAACCAGGCTCTGGGGCTGCGAAGACTCTGCCTCTGCCGCCATCTGCCCAGGGAGCTTTGGTGGGCTCCATTGGAAGCTTCTTCTGCGCTGGTGCTTGCAAGGACATCTGTGCGACAGAATGCTCGAAGTTCCTGTCAGCCCAAGGCGCCTTTGTGGGCTCCATGTCTTTCGTACCAGATTTCTTTACGAGATGAGCCTTCAACTCACCAACGCTGCCCTCATTGAGATGAACGAGCTGCGATCCTAAGGTGCAGATCTTGGGTTAAGGCACCTGAACAAATGCTCACCCTGCAAGCAGTTGCAGGACTTTTGAAACATAATTTGCTGTGTCTGAAAGATTGAGGATCCCTGTATGACGCAACAGTAAACAGTGATGAACTCCTTTCTTTATAGATCAGCTACCTCTGCCCCACTTCCTCTGGTAGGTTGTAAGTATTCACGATTGACTAAATAGAATGAACAAGAGCATCAGTGAAAGGTCCTTTGCTTTCTCGAAACCAAAAACAATGATCTCATCGGCGACTTCCGATTTTTCCCCTGCCCACACTCTACTGTTTGCACACTGTGATAATGTGCTGAACTAACATGATTGCAAGGACTCACGTGAGTTACAACAGAGCTGGCACGGTACTATAGATCGCTTAGGACATCCACGGCTCGCAGAGGAGTGTGCGATCCACAAGAATGAGTTCTGGACACCCATCGAGGCCTCATCATCCAAAAGATGAGGACGAAGTCTGGTGTGGCGTCCCGGCCACATGGGGAAGGGTGAGACTTTCTGGCTAACGGCTTAAAGCTGAGTGCGATAGCTGGAAGTTTGACCCAAACCCAGATCCTTCGTGCACATTGCTGACTGTGAATAGTGCCTGCTGCTCGATTCTTGAAAGGAATAATACCGATACCCCTCTTCAGATCTCAGTTCAATGGAATAATGCATGTCAAGGGACATGTGGCCGTGACTTTCCATCCACTGCTGCTTTCCATCTCGCGGCATGCGTTTCACACCCGACGTCGAAGCTCGAGTTTTAGTGGCTGCATGCGTCGCAGGTTCTTCTTGGAGTTGCAGCTGGAGTGATTGGCACTCTGCTGGTCCTGAAGGTGACGATCATATCTGTCCCAGAGTCTGATCTGTGGCATTATGGGCAAGCCGTCCGATGAGCTTGGCTGCGACATATGCACTCGCTATTCTGTATGTTTTCGGTGCCTGCTGTGAAGGGTGACATAAGCGTACTCTAGAATTGCAGTCCAGTCCTTGGAATGTGGGGAAGTCCGAACAAGCCAATGCATCTAGTGCTGCCTTGCGCAGAGCAACCACTTAGAATTGCAGTCCCGCACAAGCACTGAAACAATCGCTGATGTCAACAGCGTACTGATGTCAATTGTGCACATGCAGTGGTCGGACAAGGATGCATCAGCTGATGACGTCGCCAGGGATCTGAAGCGCTCTGCTGAGGCCAAGACTCGGGAGATCAAGGACTCCTGGTCACGCTAAGCCAGCCAGCCAGCAGTGGAACAGATGTCCAAGCAAGATCCAGGACAAATTGCTCATGGATAACAAACCTCTCCTAGCCATCTGGGCATGAGGCTGCATGCGCTGCCACTGTGGCAAGGGACAGGCGGCTCAAAGTTTGCAGCAGTCCTCCATCTTTGCGGAAACGCATCTATGTGCTTGTCTGAATGTATAGAATGATGCACACATGTGCCGCTGTCAAAGTGGGAATCTGTGCTCCTAGCAGACGTTGGTTACTTGTGCATGGTCACAGCAGAGAACAGCACTGGCAGGTGCTTTGCTTTGCAGTTGGTATCTGGACAGACATGCATGTGATGTAAATAATGTGTACATGTGAAGCTTTGGTCTTCTATGTCTACCTGCAGGCAGCTGCTTTCCATATGCATGTGCATCACAATAATAATGTCAGCGCTCACTAATCTGCTCAAGCAAATCAGCTGAGCTCAGCTGAGTGGCTTCTTTCTTGTCCAGCCTGAGACAGCTCCGAGCTGTCTGGCACAGCATGATGCCGTGCACAGTGTTTACAGAGCTCCGAGAGTCTCGAGTCTGTGCCGGCGACATGCACAAGCAACGTTCCGCCTGACACAGCTTGTTCCAAGATGAATCTTCTGAGCATTGCAAGACCTCTTTTGGTCCTTGGATGACAAGCAAGTGCTGCTTGGAAGTGCGTCCTGTGAAGGAGCCTGGCCTCATGCAGCATGCATGCTAAGTTTAGTCTGATCCAATTTAAGCAACAGTACCAGCAGTTGGGACCTCTGGTGCTTCTTCATGACGAATGCTCATTTGTCCTTGTGTGCTGTACGCTGTGAAAGATTCGCACCTTTGCTTTATTCACTTCAGCATGGATCAACCGCTGTTGCGCACCTCGCAATCCCTTGCAGGTATATCCTCACATCAATTTGCAACGTGACTAGTTTCAAGTCTTCAATTTGCCATTCCGATGCCAGTGAAGGGTATACTTGTGGGCATCGATGGTGCTGTTTTTCCTTGGTGTGATACTGTAAAGGCACCTTGTTGTGTTCACGGGCTTTCGCTAACTTCTATCTAGTGCAAGCAGAAAGAACAGGAGGCGATTGCCTCCGAACAACAGCAGGAGATTTAGCGGAAAAGGAGGCTGCTACGGTACTTTCTGTCTCTGTTCTGGCCGGAACATCTGGCTCCAAGGTCTTCCTAAGCAGCTGCACTCTGAGTGATGAGCCCAGTGAACACCTGTGTGCTGCACAGGTTCGGCGCAAATTGATCTTTGCATTGGTGCTTGCAATGATATTCATGGTGGTGGAAGTTGGTGGAGGCTTCATCGCCAACAGGTGCATAATCCACACACTGCTTTTGCTTGATGGGCTGCTGCTGTACCTCTTTCAATTACGTGTCTTCGTCTCAATGTCAGGCTACGAATGACGCTCGAAGCTCTTACAACTTGTGTGGTGCAGTCTGGCCATCATGACTGATGCAGCCCACCTATTGTCAGATGTGAGCGGCTTTGCAGTGGCCCTCTTCGCCGGCATCTATGCAGCAAAGAAGGGCGGCAGCTCACACTCTTTCGGGTGTGTATTTTTGCAATCTTTTGTAATGCCTATTGGTCATTCTGCCTGGTCCCTCTGCACGTCTGCTCTGCATCTTTCCCATTCTGTGTGCCCTTGTGAACGAGAGCAGGTCCTCCTTGGTACTATACCAGATGCTGGGAGGACATCTGCAGAGCAGATCAATGTGTGCACCATGCCTGTTGGTTCTACGCATGTGCAGCTGCGCTTGCTCCATGCTTATGCCTGGTGCATTCACACTTCAACCCATTCCTCCCTTACAGGTATCACAGGATTGAGGTGCTGGGCGCTCTGGCATCAGTGCTGGCCACCTGGTTAGTCACCGGCGTGCTCGTGTGGGAAGCAGTTGGGCGCATGATCAACCCCTCTCCTGTCAATGGCAAGGGTGCGTCCCAATGCAACCCTAGCGAGGCAGCCGCATGCCCAAAGATTTCCTCTTCTGAAGCTCCTGATATAACCTGTTGAGCTCCATCATTGGGAAATGCTTTGGTGCTGCGTCATTGCTGTCAGCATTTCGGCAGCTGCACAGTCTCAGAATTGCGCGGGAATTGCAAGAGCACACAAGGCAACCTGACCACTGGATGTGCCTTAGAACGCCAAGGCATCTCTTGGCGATGTTGTATCGTGTCCTTTTGCATGCATCTAAATGTGTGCTCAGGGAGTCTATGTGTCGACTGCATGCATGTCCAGGACATTGCAGCCATAAAAGTTGCTATGAACTCGCAACGCTCAAGAACAATTGGACAAAGGGGGGCCTATTGACGGGCACTTTCCATGTGTGTGCAGTGATGTTCATTCTGGCGCTGGTGGGCGTGGTCATCAACCTGAGCATCATGGCGATCCTGGGGGGCCACGGGCATTCGCATGGGGAGGGAGGCCATGACCATGGTCACGGCCATGGGCACTCCCATTCACACGGCGAGGGCCATGGAGAGAAGCACAGCCACAACGGCCATGCGCATGCAGGGGTGCGCCCTCTCTGCTCCAACGCTGGTGTGGAACTTTGTGCAGCAATTGCCATCTCTGACTGAGAATACCTGGTGCCACCAAGGCAACTTTGAGCTCTCGGATCCTTCCGCACTTGGGTGCTGATAAATTGCAAGCATCAATAAGCAGGCTCAAGCATATATCAACAATCCCGGCAATGATGGCGGAAGGATCCGTGCCATACACCTCTACCTTTGGCAGTCTGCTGTGTCCCTCTGATCTGAGCCCAGGCCAGCAAGCTCTGCGAAAGCATCAAATAGTACTTCTATGTGTATTTCTAGACGCTTCACCCGACTTCTAACGGCAACTACGAGGCAGCTGCATTGGTTCTGACCCTGTTCTGGGCTAAACAGGACGCGCACAGTCACGCAGAGGAGGGCCATGCGCACGCGCATGGCGTTGAGGAGGAAGCCGGGGAGACAAACATCAATCTGCGGGGGGCAATCGTGCATGTGATCGGGGATCTGGTGCAAAGCTTGGGAGTCGCGCTAGCTGGAGCGCTCATATGGTGGAAGCAGGTACGAGCATGCATCATGCATGCGTGCATGCGCTATGAATTCATGCCTGCATTCAAGCATGTCTTTGAGCTGCAAGTGTTATGCTGAGCAGCTGTGGGAATTGCAGCCAGTACTTCTGAATGTTTTGGGCATTGCTTCAGCCCCAGCCTTTGTTGCGCAGTCCGCTACATTATGCTTGCTTGTGCATCTTCGGCGTGAGATTTTATCTGCATTCAGACCTTGCTGGACCCCAAACAGAGCATACATGGCACGGCCGCAACTCCCAGCTTATGTTAAGCGCCTGAGTTTTCGAAACCTTCTGGCAGTATGTTGTTGAACTACTGGCAGTATCCTCTTGGTTTTGCAAACAAGGGTCTTAAGGCAAGCATCGGAGCAGCCTTTGTTGGTTGGAATTGTGGTGGTGTGACTCTTGACTGTATAAGTTGCATCTGAGAGCGGTTGATATGTGTGCAGGACGATCCACGGTTTGCGATCGCGGACCCGATATGCACGTTTGTGTTTGCGCTGCTGGTGCTGCTGACGACGCGGTCGCTGCTGCGTGACATCAGCGACACCCTCATGGAACGCGTGCCACGCGGACTGGACGCTGACGCGATGCAGGCCAAGCTGCAGGAGGTTGGTCACCGCCCTGCCCCACACATTCAACTCCTTTCCTGGCTGTAAAAGGTCCCGCTTGCCCAGAATCTTGTCCTTCTGCTTGGCTCTGTGTGGAGGAGCATGCAGTAACCACAGAGTGTAAGCTGTCATGCCCTCGTCAATGCAAACAATTGCATGGTGTTTGAAGACACATGACATGGCAAGGTCAAATCTTCCCAAACAGTTGGAGTACCCACACCGCCATGCTGTGGTGCTCTTATGGTGTATGACAAGCGTAGCCTGCCGAGCCTCAAGCGATGTGATCTTGCTCCTTGATTGGCTCTCTTCAGTGATAAAACCTACTCAATCGTGTTTCCTTGGCAGTAATTATAAGGGCGTGGCTGGCGTAGATTGAGGGGGTGGAGTTTGTGTCGGACCTGCACATCTGGGCGCTCAAGCCGGGCATGCCGCTGCTGGCGTGCCACCTGGACATCGCCTCGGAGAGCGTGGCCTGTGACGTGCTCTCGCGCGCGACTCAGCTCTGCCGCTCAAAGGGCATCAACCACTCCACCATCCAGCTGTCGCACCGGGGGCAGCCCTGCTGCGCCGAGTCCTGAGCCGGCCGCGGGGCATAATCCTCCTGGAGTTGGTGGGGTGAACGCTGAGCCGGCCATGGGGAAGGGGCATGACAGAGAGCCCTCGCCCATATCCAAGTATCTGGGCAGCGCTCCATGGACGCAACGAGGTCATGTAACATTTAATCTATCCTGTAGTCGGGCATTGAAGGCTGAAGCTACATTACTTGCTGCCACTCAGCTTTAGCATTGCCCTGCTGCGCCGAGTCCTGAGCCGGCCGCATGGCGTATACCCCTGGATTTGGTGGGGTGAACCCTGAGCTGGCCACGGGGGAATGCTCTGCTGTGCTGAGCCCTTAACCGGCCGGTCGCGCGGCATGCTTCCCTTGGGGTACAGGGGTTGTGGGGTGAACGTTACGCCGGTCTCGCGGTGGCGGCGGCGGCAGCGGCGGGTATTCTGTGTCAACCTGGCAGGAGTTCTGCAATGTGCTATGCTTTGGAGAGTGGAAGCCAAGCTTTTTCCTTGTGGCAAGCCAGTGATGGCTGAGATATGGAGAGATGAGGAGTCACGCTCTTGGCAAAAGACTTGTCAACGTTGTCAAAGAAGGCTGTCTTCCTCCTGAGCCTATTTTGCGCATGCCGCCTTGGCGGATTGTTCCATGGTTATGTGCTTTGATAGTCCTCAAGCACAGTGACGGTCATCGGCAGGGTGCTGTTTCCGGCTCGTTGGGCAGGGTCTCTTCTTTCAGAGATGAATGCTGGGTCTGCGGTGGGGATTGGTATTAATTTTGTGTCTACGCATGTGCATGCATGACGGCCACACGGCCTGAGTAGGCTCATCTTTGATTAGACGCATTGTATGTCTGCTCCTGTCTTGGTCCTCGAATCTGTATTGCGCTATTCCTCTAGAGAGCTGTGGGTTCACCTAGATATTCATACAGCACGGCTTGCACTGGCCTGTCAGGGTAGCTCAGTACACGCGCATGAATTTTCTTGTAGATCTGACATTGCATGTACATGTAACTCAATTGTTACTACCGTAGTTATTCACAAGTAAATCATGACCAATCCTACCTCAACTAGGCCATGACCAAGTGATCAAGCAATCCTTGAGAAGGACTCCTCCTTACGCCAGCCTTATATGAGCTCACCAGGGCGACTCAATACAAGTCCTCATACAGCAGTACAAGCACTGTGCAATCAAGAATTGGTGCAACTCGAGACTGTACAAAAGCGATTCCTCTCATGGGAGGCCAAGTTAAAGACCAGGAGGTAGAGTCTGTTCGCTCAGCTATTGACCACAAGCTCTTCAAGCTGCTTCGCTTCTTCTCTCCTGCAAGCCAGCGGAACATTTGATCCTCAAGGACTGACCTCACATGTGTCATGTCGCGCATGCGATCATGACTGCAGGCTGCCAGAGTGATGGAAGTGCACAGATCATGCCACTTCCTGATGTGCAAATGATGGAGTTATCAGCGGGGTTACAAGAGCTTCAAGAGACTAGTAATGGGATGGCAGATGAAAGCAAGAGTGGAGCCAATCGCACCATGCAGGCATCTTTGACAGCTTCTCCTTTTCTGGCTGCGTCAGATCCTCCCCCTTTTCTTCTCGTTCTTGCAAGGCCTCGCACTGCCTCAGCTTTTTCTGCACATCCCCAAAGTATAATAATTGATCATGTTGACAGCGTGAAGTGGCAGTACTGATATTTTAATTATGCATTTTCTAGTCCTAAGGACCCGGAGCAAGAACATCAAGCAACACCTGTGTTACTAAGTCCACTCTTCTCAAAATGGGCAGTAAAGGAGTGCCTTAATGATCGATCGCCATTGCTCTCTTGCATCATAGGGTGTGTGGGGGGCCTTGCTGACTTCCCCTCACCTGCAGAGCTCGCAGCAGCTTCTCGGCAGCTGACGGCTGACCGCCGGAAACTTCCTGGTCGGGTGCCGGCACCGGCGCCGCGGCCGCGGCGGCCGGCTGGGAGCTACAGGTAGCTGGTTTAGCAGCGGGCTGCCCGCCGTCGCTGCCCCAGTCACCCAACCTGTGCATGACACACACTATAAACATAGTTGTCATGTGCGGCCCTTGGAAACAAGCTGAAACTCTTTGCTTGCTGCAATACAAATCTGAGCAGCAAAGCCAGACATGGTGGATGCAAGAGGCTGTGCACAGACATTCCCAAAGAACTCGTGCTTGCTTGATTGTTGGTTGAACGCTCTTGTTCCTGCCATTGAAATTTTAAGCAGCCAAAGACACTTTTGGGTAGACTTGCAGCCTTTGTCCTGCAACCCTGTCATGGACAGTTGGTGTGTTAAGGTACTCACCTGACAGCTGCTAAACCATTGCTCACTCTGCTAACCGCTACAGTATCCTCAGAAGCCTTCTTCGCTTTTCTTTGCGCGTTCTTTTTGGCTGCCTTTGATCTAGCTGCAGCCTTTGCAGCTTCCAGATCTGTGCAGCGATGCGAATGAGGTGAGGACAGAGTACATGGATTGCAGGTCCATAATGGTAAGAGATGCAATGGCCCTGCACTTGCTCTTTGCACTTATAAGAGTGGAAGGGGCCGTGAGCCTCACCTGAATTGTCCAGGCCAGGAACTTTGGGACCGCCACGCTGCGCCTGTAGGGCAGCAAAGGATACACATCAGCAATAATGTGATTCTCTGCAGCCCATGCAGGTGGTCAAATGTTTAATACAGTCTCCGTTGGACCATGAAACTCAAGCAATAAAGCGGGGACCAATCACCAAGGCGCCCCTTGGGACGTAGACAGGCTGCTCGTCCTGGGGCACGTAGCCTGCCCTGACTTTCACGTCCTTCCTGTAGGTGCCATCTGGCCGTCGAGTTCCGGAAATGACTCTCTCTCCATCATCCCCCATGTCGAGGATATTGAGAGGCTATTCTGTTGAACAAATGCTGCCAGGTATCCAAAGCTCCTCCAATTCTATCGACAGGTGTGGCAAGTGATCTGTCAGAGTTCAACTTATTTTCTATGATTGCGGTGCGCAAGGTCAAGCAGGAATGGAATGTCGAAACATCGCTATGACACTTCTTGATGTGATCGATGCAGATTTTCGCAGAGTGAAATGCGGTCAAGTGGCCAAAATGAAACCTGATCACATGGTGCTCAAATGACGCGCACGTGCAGACGGTCGCCGAACGCGGCAAGTGCATCGTTCAAAATTGTGGTGATCAGGATGCGATGAGTTGCATTGAAGTCCAAAAATTGCTCTTTATTGAACATCAACGAATAAAGTAGCCACAATCTTTGATCGATCATTGCAACGTGCTGCAGCATTGACCCGTCGCGCCGTGAGACGCTTGCTGGAATAAATTTGCCGCAAAGCAAATTTGGATCAGATGACACCTTCAACAAGTTGAGCCATATTTGCTCTGTACTACCTCACTCTCTTCACTGCGGACAAGATCTACACTTGACCTCCTCCTCAGGCACATCACGCTATATACCTGCGCAACAGGTTATCTTTGGCCCTGGAATGGCAACGCAATATTCAATCTTGTACAATTCTATGTGTTGAATCAAATGATAGTGTGCTGCGCTCCTCAACCAAATCCTGAATAGGTGGCGCAAGCTTGACTATTTTCCACCTCTACAGGCAAAGCAACATGAGAGAACGTCTCCTCGTACTTATTCTGCCGCTGCTTCTGTTGAGTTCGAGTGGCTGCAATGCATCGGTCGTGGACTCCTTGTGGCACAGCCTGACAGCATGGCTGCACCTAAATGCTTCACTACCCAATCTCCTAGATGGTAGACATCAACCCACCTTTGATTCACCCAAACTCCAGTAAATGCAAGCAAGAAACTGCTGCATGAGTCACACTTAACGACACCCTAATGGACCTCCAGAAAAGGCTTCAGTTATGGTGCATCAATCTGTGCCATGGTAGTTCAAGGTTTGACTTCCTTGCAGCGTCAAAGGCATTGCTGGTGCATGCTCAGTCTGAAAGTCTTTCCTTGAGCTTGAATACAACACCATTACCATTGTTCACTTCAGGGCCGGTGTGTCTGAACATGGAGGGAACTCCGGTGGACTGGTGGATTGCCATGAAGCTGCCAGGCGCTGATGACCTGGCATATTTGGACAGCCAGGACGCAGCCAAGCTTGGAGAACAAGCACGCTTCAGGCAAGCACCAATGCAGCCGCTCATAAGCAACAAGCAAATGTCAGTAGTGCCTGTGTACATCCAAATTATATCGGTGTTTTAGAGGAAACCAACACCTCTTATCTTTGGGCACCCAAATGGAAACAAAAAATAGCACCTTCAAGATTTAATCACAAATATTGGATCCGCAGAAGAAATCGGCTTGTCTCTACAATCCATGCATAAGGTATTCTTTGACACCTGAAAGCATGCAGCACCCGTTGCCATTCTCATCATAGTGTGGGCTAAATTTTTCAGAAGATCAGCTTCAACACCACAATGAATGTCTCATTCTTCAGGTACATGCCTGCCGAGGCCAGCGCCCTTGACAGGACGCTGCGCCAGCTGTACGCTGACGAGCACGGCACCTATTCAGGAGGTGCCACATCAGCAGACGACAGATTAGGCCGCCCCGGCCACATCATGTACAGCGATGAGCCGCCGCTGGTGGAGGGATTGAGTGACGAGGACTCTTTTGGGTTCGCGTTCACACAGGGCAAGGGCGTCATGGTGAGCATCTGCTATTCTTTCTGCGCAGCTGTCCTTCAACAGAATACCATATCTTGTGAATGGAACATCATGTATGATACTACTCCTATTGTTGCATACTCATAGTCATGTGTCATACATTGCGAGGACTTTCCCTTGCGAAGTTCTGCTGGGGTGTTCTACTCCCCTGCCCGTGTCTGCTTGGCAGGAATGTGCCATTGCATATCATGTGATGTGCTGATGAAGCAACGTCGTTTGCGGCGTTGCTCACAGGGCTATGGGGAGCAGCAGGGCTTCTGGCTTGTGCACAGCGTTCCCTCCTTCCCAGCAGCGCCCAGAAAGGGTGCCTACTCAGGCACGCAATCAGACCTCTCTTAGTGGCCCTACTTGTCATCTGCTTCTCCAAAATACACACCATATTGGTCACATATTGTTCCAAGCTTTCCTGCCAAGAGGCAAGCTGCATCTGCAGCTGCGTTGCATTGTAAGGCTGCCAGAATCCTACCCCTTTTTGGACTCGCCGGAACCGAGCAAGACCCAGTCAACCGTGGGCACCATAAAGCAGCATACCGGTACCGTAACCGTACCATATTGCTCAAACACACTAAAAAAAGTCAGACAGGGGCAATTTTGGAGAGGAGTGGGATCACAATGATGATGCATTACAGGCGTGCCTAGGAGGGAGGCAGGCAATGCGCACACCTTCCTGTGCATGTCGGCGGCCACGCGCCAGCTCAGCGCCACGTCAGCAACACTGCGCGCGAACGCTTACTACGTCTACTCGGAGGCCGCGCCTGAACAGGCTCGGGGATTACTAAGCGATGCGCAGCGCGCGGCGTTCCCTGACCTGGTTGGCTTGGATCCTGATCAGGACGCGGCCAAGGCAGGCTTTGGCGTCAAAGTGACAGAATTTGAAACGCTGAAAGGTGCGGATAGGTACCACTTTCTCATCCGGGGCTTTGTTTTATGTAAAGTCTCGGTCAAGTCCACAAACAATAGGTGAGCTTGCACAGGATACCTAAAACCCCCTTTGCATGCCGGAGGCACGATTGCATGCAGTGGATTACATCAGTCACCTCTCTTGCGCCCATTCATTGGCATGCAAGCTTAAGGATGCGAGTGTGGCTGAGAGCCTCTCTGGTGGTCATATTGAGACTGCAGCATCGGGGCAGTTATCAGGATTTGCTCCATTTGCCTGGTCTAGACCATGAATCTGTAGAAATTATGACACTTCTGGAAGAGTGATGGGATTCCTGAAAGTAGGATAATAGCAGGCTAACAGTGTTTTCTATTTTGGGCAGGCGAGCGTTTTGTGGTGTTTGCAAACGACGGCCAGCGGCCAGGGGTTCGGGTGATGAGGGACATTGTACAGTCCTATTTTGGCAACGGCATGTTATATGCTAATCCCCCTCCCGACCAGGGGAGCGAAGAGGGTCCATGCCAGGGCGGCGACTCTGTGTTCCCTTCGCTGCATGCCAGGTCAGCTCATAGATCTCCTGAATGCACCATCCGACATGTGGGATAAATACTACAAAATCAGAAGGCCTTGTCTCTGAGCAGATCTGACGACCGCTGAGAGGTCTTTCGCTGTCTGCCAGAGTGTATTATAATTGTCTACCTAGGATACCATGCCTCGAGCAATGAACACACACTGGCACACACTGGGTCAGTGAGATTGGGATGAACCGCACAAGGTGCTCATGTATGACCTGTGTGACTTCTGCGCACCAATGGTGTGTGCTGAGGCAATCCAGCACAAGCACGGCACAAGGGGTTCATATTTTGAAGTAAAAAATATCTGGCATGCATCGTTCATATCAGACTGAAAGAGCCCGTTCTCGTCCGCTCCCTGAAGGTTAACACTCTTGAGCGCAACTAGTATTGGGTTGGGTGACCACCTGAGAATCCTGCGTGACGATGTGTTTCTGCTTTTTTTTTCTCTTGCATCTGCTACTTGACTTCTCCATTCTTTTCCTGCTGATGATCTCATATCAAACAGCTTCAAAAGCTCATCAAATTGGATGCCACAGCAGCATGGCCACCTGTTCGAACCTTGGGACGGACCCTTTTTCGGGGATGCCAATTTCAGGGTCCTGACTGACAAATCATACGTGCTGGAACAGGGAATATTTCCTGGAAGATGCAGACATTGCATGGACCGCCGCTGAGGACCTCTCCACATGGGCCATCTCCCTGGGCGGCCAGAGCCGCTGCCGGGACGCGGCCGCCGCAGCCGAGCCGGCAGCTTCCATGCAGCCTGATCAGGCTTCTGTGGTGAGTCAGCTTCTACTTCGCTGACACACACTTGTATGGGGTCCAAGCGGGAAAGATACCACTTCTTGCTCGAAAGGAGATTTGAGAGATACTGTTACATTACATGTGCCCGAGTGCATCATAGAGTGTGCTGTTCTAAAACCCAAAGAGCCTGTGCCCCCTCCTCTGGAGTCCTGAGGAGTGCAAATCAATGAGGCATTGCTTCACACAATATTAATGCATGACGTAGGGTGCGGTTTCAACACATCATGGGCATTATTGTCGGAATCTGGGGTAGTGTGTCTTGCTCAGGCGCGATGTGAAGCTTGTGTGGCATGTGTTCAGGACAAAGGAGCCCTTGTACAGCAGGATGTCCAGCCAAATGATGAGTCACCGCCGATGTGGTCCCAGACGATGACTCGCCCCGTGGCCAGCGCGTCTCGCCGGCGTTTATTGGCTTCGCAACCCCTGCCGGATCAGCGGAGGGCAGGGGGTTTGAGGGCCTGGTTTGGCGACCTGGCAGCTGAAGGCAAGGCATGGTGGAGGACTGTTCGCGGTGTGGCAAGCTCAGAGGTGAGCAGAACTTGGGATGAAGGTTCATGTGCATGGAGCCATAGCCCATCGCTTGAAAAAGACAAGTGATTAGCTTGCAATCAGCCACAAACTTTGCTGAGGTGATGTCTTCGAAACAAGAGCAGAAATTCAGACCCTTGCGTGAGGTAGGAATCGGTTGCCATGCTTGTGGCAGTGGAGCAATATGCTTGTCTGTCCTCCACGCTCTTTGCACATGCATGTCAGAAGTCTACACTTCTTCACAAAATGCATAGTCTGGTCTTATAATTTCTTCCCTATGCGTGACAGGACGCTGCGGACGACACCAGCTTTCTGCCGGCGGTGCCCCTATACACCCCTCCGGACGCATCATACCCCTCGGCAGCTGCCGGCATCCTGCAGAGCCGGGCAGACGCGTTGCAAGAGGCTGCCGCTGCAGCAGAGAGCGCCCAGGATACACTTTTGCAGGAACGCCCCATGTTGCGCCAGCAGCGAGGTTAGTAAATTCGTCGGCCAGAAGCTTCTCGCGAGATGATCATTCCTGGCCTTGTTCCTGAGTGGCGACTTGCGAGCGAATGAGCATACTGTGCGGTGCAGTCACGAGCACCTGAATGCAGACGCGCGTCTGATGGCACGCCGGATGCGAATTTCTTTGACATCCTTGAAAGTGCGCATTGCACCGCGTTTTGGAGAACACAAATTTTGGTATTGAACGGGGTGTGTCGGCTGCAGAGGCGTCTGATGCGTGGCGGGTGGATGGCGTTGCCTATTCTGTCGCGGCTGATGCGGATGAGGAGGCGTTCCTGGCACTGCCAGAACTGGGGAATCCTGATCAGGCGTGATCCTGCAGTGAACTTTGCCATGTCTCGGATTTTTGTGATGTGCACAACAGAAGAGGACTGCTGCTTGGACTGGTGTATGCCTTTTAGCACTGGCATAAGTGACACAACACAAAGCTCCTTGTATTGTGCATGTTCCATCAGCAGATGGAGCCAGACCGGCTGTGGAAGTAGCCTTTCATCAAGACATGGATTCATTTTTTTTAAGAAATGAGCCTGAGTATGAGCCCTGTCTATAGCAGCATGCATGGCATGCTCTCAGGCTCACACATTCCTTGTACTGACCGTTGACTCCTGCATTCACAGGAACCAGCAGGGTGCATGGACGGTTCGTGCAAAACTGCAAAGCTGGCAGAGCGAGTGGCGGCACTCGAGGAGAAGCTGCAGCGGCTGGAGAACTTTGTGGTGGAGGCGGACGATGACCTGGCAGATGACGTGGATGAGCTGGCGAATGATGATGAGGACAACGGTGAGTCATTGGTTACTCATCCTTGCGGCAGCGGCACTGGGCAACCTTCTTGTCTCTGCACATGTCTTGGCATCCAGTAAACCTGAGTTCTACTGAAATCACACTACATGTGCATGAGCTCCTGTCTTGCGAGTTGGGCGCTACTGTGCAACAAGGGGTCTCTGTATCCTAAAATGAGGTCACAAGGTCTTTGGCATTGCATGACTTTTCAGTCCAGAGCTTGAGGCAATGGTACAGTCTATGCTTGTTTCTGATCTCTACTTGCTTACTTAGCTGGCAGATGATGTAAATCTCTGCATGCAGATGATGAACTGGAAGAAGAGGATATGAGAAATGAGGGCGGGGAGGATGGCATTGCACAGGCTCTTATGTCAGGGTGCGATCAAAGCGCAGCGCAGCGCAGCGTGGCATGCATGCACGATGCAGGTACAATAAATGCAAGGTGTTCTTTATACTCTTGAAGAATGGTGCCCCTGCAAAGTCTCATTTGCTGTGAATGCAGTGCCTGAGATTGGATGCAAGCTTGTGCTGTGCAAAATTCCAATAGACGCCTTTACAGAGTCCAGATACAACAGGACCATGCCTCACGCTCAGGGCCTCAGAGTCTTTGTTCTGGTGAGACTTGCAGTGCAGCGCACAAAACAAGCATCCAAGCTTACCTTCACCTGATGCACTAGATTAAAAGAGGTTCTGGACAGGGGTGTAAGACTATTTCTGCATTCGTTGCAGGCCGCAGCCTTCAGTCGGCGGATCTGCCGGGAGGGGTGGTGTGCTCTGCAGGGAACCCCGCCATATGGGCGGCCCTCCGCGACCTGGTCCAGTCAGCAGAAGTTGCAACCGCGTCCCGGTGCTAACAGAATGTTTGCCTTTTTAAACGGATGAGTCTGTTCTAGTGCCCTCCTTGGTGATGGGATGCTGCACAGCATTTGGTTGCTTGGGTGCTGCATGGATCTCTGCTACAGTGATGGCACCGCCCAGGGTCGGCTTTCAAGAATTCGCTGGTGCTGGATGTTTCAGGACTTGCCCAGCTCAATACATTGTATCACAGCTGGTTTTGTACAACAGAATTACCTTAGTATCAAAGTGCTATGAGACAGAGCATGCAAGTATGGTCGAGTATGCATGAGCAAATGCATACGCGTGGGCACATGAATGACTGGCTGCAGCTGATGCAACTTTTAAATCAAGCTAAGAGATATGTAACACAAATGTAATGATGATTGCAACACTCATTGTGAATATGGAAGACGAAGGCCATCTTACACATGTTGGTTGTATCGGTTCTTCAGCTACGAAATGTTCCAGGGATATTCCAGCAGCCCAGGACCAGCGAAATTAAAACCATGCGCTACAGTCTCTAGAAATCTTAGCAACTTATTTGTCTGCCGATATAGACAGCTAGCATGCATGCATGACACTCAGCTAGCTCACCAAACGTTCTCTAAAGAAGCTCTCTGCCTACGAAGATGCTCACACCTCTCAACAAGCTATGTCCGAGCAAATCAGTATAAGCAAACATCCCACAGCCGAGGATCATCCTTTTGCATGCATGCACATATGTGCGTCCAAGTGCCAGCAGCATTTCCTTTCCTATTGCAGGGCGCTTGGAATGCACCACCGGTAAGAACCAAAAAACCTTTCCAGCTGACATACTTCAGCGCTTGCTTTGTCCTGCCAAAAAGTTATCTCCTCTGCATCATCTGCATTGAGATCAACTTCTTTCAGTGCTGCCAATACTGCAGCCAAGAAGTTCCCATAATGCACGACATAGCAGCAAGATTCTTACCACAAGCGAAGCACCGACGAGGTGTCTACTACTGACAACTGCACAGCGCACGCGCACAAAAGTGTGGGCTCTAATTTTTCCAAGTCGCACCTTCTCTGTGCACAGGCCTGAGAGCACAGGACTTCACACCAGAAAGGCGGCTACGCTGGCTTGTCAGAACACACTACGCTAGAAAAACTCTCACAGCAGCGAAATGAAAAAACATGTAACGGTTGGCATATGCTGTGCCACAAAAGACTCTCTGCCATACAGACACACACATCCCTTGGTGCTGTTTTGCAAAAATACTGCACCGACATTGTTAGCTGAATACAGCTAGGCACGGCTACTTTACATACTGCAACAAAATTGAATTTTTATGGGTTTTTGCCGAGCTGCATTCCTGCAGACGGTGCAAGTTTTCACATTGAAAATGACAAATGATTTGAAATGCAGGAAGATTAATTATGCCTGAAATTGTCGAGCTTCTTGTGTTCTCACCACGACTCGCCTCACATATTCATTGGGCCCTGAAAGGGTAAGTTCAAATCTGCAAGACGTTTGCCAGAAACCAAACTCTCTCGCCCATCTATTCGCACTGCTGCATTTACGCTGCACGGGTTCCACAAATCGCTATTGCATCACTTCGAGCAGCCTTGCTTGTGACTCGCAGCTGTCCCAGTACCCAGCTGAAGAGTGTCTAGGGGCCGCCCTCAGCTTTGCCCATGCGCCGGACTGTGGTGATGTGCGGCAGGCCCAGCAGCCACGCAGCCGACCGCTTCGGCTTTGCCACGGCCGCGGCGTTGCCGTCGGCGCTGGCAGCCGCAGGCGGCTGCAGCAGCGCGGCGGCATCGATCGCCGGCAAGGCAGCCGCCGCCGCCTGGTCGGCCAGGCCGCGCGCCAGAAGCGAGACCACCCGCCGGGGCTGGCGGCTGCCGCCGCCGCCACCGCCGGGAGGCCCCTCCCCACCGCCGGGTAGTCCCTCGCCACCGCGCTCCCCCTGCTCGTCGTGCTGCGCGCCAAGCACCGGGCTGCCGTCTCCCCCATCCGCATGCGCGCTGCCGCCGCGGAAGCGGCGCACCGGCTCTACTGCTGCGCTGACTGTGCAGGCGGCATCTGAGGGAGTCCCCTGCTGCGCTCCAGGCGAGGCGGCTGACTCCTTGCTGACCTCTGCGCACGGCGGCGACTGCTGGAGACCGGACGGGCTGCTGGGCAGATCCAGTTCAATGGCCTCTGCTGCCACTGGCTCGAGTGGCATGTCTGTGGAGGCGTGCGCTGACAGCGACACCTGCATGCATCATGCTCATCCGTGAATAAAGTGTTGTCATTTGGGCAGTTACGCCCTCTGCAAGGCAAGGAACAGGTCGACAGGAAAGCCCTTCAGGCTAGAAAAGAAGCAACAAGACCACAATGCGGCCTAACAGAGGTGTGATCGGCAGTCCTTCCAAACGACAAATACAATACAGCACTCACCACAAACGGTAGCTGCGACGCAGCAGCAGAGTCCCCGCTCCTACGCCTAGTAATTTCCAGCAGCTGCTTCTTGCCCCGGGTGAGACCAGCTCCTAGCCCCTCCAGCATGGCTTCAAGGCCCTTTGACTGCGCAAAAGCAGAGTCCATAAGTCTCGGCAGTTCATCACATAACCTCCATCAATTATTGCGACCAGGAAGCCCACATAAGAGCGTACAGAGCACCTAACCATCACGCCCTGAAAAGGTAGATTGTGGAGTGCTTGGTGTAGTCGTCTGAGCTCTGCTTTTTGTGAAGAACCACAGGCATTGGAGGCGCCTGTTTTCTGGGAGAGAGGGTTCTATTTCGCCAGCAAAGCACACCTGGGCTCTTTCTGGCTGCGCAATGCCTGTGTAGCCGTCTGCTTTCTGCTGCTGCTGTTGTTGTCTACCAGGCCGTTCCCTGCGGCCGTCCGGGCCGGCGTCGCGGCCACGCGCCAAGTGGCGCCAGGCTGGCGCCTGCGGCGGAGGCAACGCCATCGCTGCCATGCGCTTTGTGGGCGAGTTGAACGGCGTAGCTCCCTCTTTTGCGCCTGCACAGTCAACCGCCCACGATTCGTAATTGTACTGCACGCAGAACGAAGCCATTCATCAAAATGCCGGCCATGTTGCAGCAATACCGCTGCAATCACTGCAAATGCAGGCCCACTTCTCTCCTTTTGAAAATTGCCTAGCTGGCCGGTGGGAAAAGCGGCAACGGTATACGGTATATCATATGTGGGAAGGACTGCATGGCTCGCGAGCGAGAACACACTTACCCGCGGCGGCAGGGCCAAGGCCCCATTTAGAGAGCACGCTCTTGTTGCGGCGCCAGGGCGGCAGCGGCAGCTGCTGGTCTTTGAAGGCAGCTGCCACGGCGCTGCTCAGAAGCTCCACCACAGCTGCCAACCGGCCAGCGCCGCCGACAAACTCGCTCGGCGCGGCGGACAGCAGTGAGTCATATTCAGGCGTCGAGTGCGCTATTCGGAAGTGCTCTCGCAGTTGCGGCTCCACTATGACCGGAGCCTGCGAGATGAAGACTCGGTCAAGAACAATGGCTATTGTGTACCCGGCCATCTTAGGACATCTTCCACAACAGGGCTGCAAGCCAGAGACAGTAGACATGAGCACAAGCAGTGAAGACTGCTGCAAGCGTAGATCAACGTGCTGCACTGAGCAAGTGTCTAACAACCGTCCTTCTTTCAAAAGTGTTGAACTGTCTCTTTCCTGTTCCATTGGAGGCCACAAAAAGAGCCTCGCTCCCTTTTCCTCAAGAAGTGACAAGAAGAATAGGCGCCCACAAGAAGGAACAGTCTCATTCCCTCTTTCTCAGAGGCCGCAAGAAGGCACCCACCGTGACCGCTGAGTCAAGGGAGCCAGAGACGATGAGGTAGGTGTGCTGCAGTTTCTCCAGGCACTGCCGCCTGCATGCCTTGCCGCACTCGCGGGGCTGGCCGCTCTCTAGCCGCACCAGGAACCCCATGGCAGACAGCACCTCCGCCAGATCTGGCGCGCTGATGCTCCCCTCCCTCTCCCCCTTCAAGCCCCTTAGCAGCCCCAGCAGCTGCAGGAATCGAAAGACTCACCGACCAGTCATTGTGCAGTAATCCTGATGGTCTGTTCATCTTGCCTGCTTTGCCGGATGATTTAAAGGGTAGCCAGGAAGTACAGAGCTCCAGCCAAGTCCAATACAACGCAGCAACTCGGACGTCCAAGATGCAGATGAGATGTAGAGATCTAGCACGTTTGGACCCACAAATACGGGCACACTTTGCAGAAAATCCTGCCAGTATCTTGTTGAAGACAGCAGGTGTTCATCAATGCCATCAAACTGGTGCATGATGCTCCAGAGGTGGGTATTTAAGGGGCAGCAGGCTGACAAGGAAGCTAAAGGCAGCTGTGAGCATTTTTCCTCCCTCTTCTCACAAAGGCCTTGGAGCTGCTGCTGGATTGCATCTATAGCCTTGGTAGTGCGGCCTTTGGCTTTTCCTGAGAAAGGAAGAGACTGCAGGCAAGACGGTGGCCCATCCTATCAACAAGAGAACCAAGCTGACCAACATAAGACTCACCTGGGCCTCGAAGTCCGTTTGGGGCACGGACAGCAGCAATAGCCGTCTATGCGAGTCCGAAAAGTCCCCGCCAACTGTTGGCAACAACGCTTCGTCGGCGCCCAGACTGCTGCGCTGCCTTAGCAACTGACTTGGGTGCTGCGAGAGCTCCAGGGAGAAGATGGGACTGCCCGCCATTCCACTTACGGCGGAGCCCTTCCCAGCATCCTGCAACAATAGGCGAGATTGATCCCACGTCTGTTGACCGACGCAAGAGTAAGTCGCCTCGGAAGCTACACGGCGGCTTTGGCTTGCCTCGGACGCAGCAGCACTCTGGGCCCTTACGCGCACTCGTTTGGAATGCGGAGTTGATTCGGAGCGTCTGTGCTTTGTACAAAGCAAAATTACACGCACACAATGGCGCTGAGTGCCGATCTTGGAGTAACGCACAACTTACACAACGGGTCACTGGGTGCTGTGCCCACCTCAGAACTCATATTTTCCTCGCGTCGCAGCACAGCAAAAGGAGACAGCCGCATGGCCCTCCGCACGCCAGGTAGCATCGATTCTTCAGCCTTCAGCCTTTCAGATGTACCAGGAAAACATCGCACGTGCAATACACAAGCTCAACGAGGCCCTCGTCGCGTAGCTCTTACTTCCCTCCTTCTAGCCGCACAACGGAACCAGCCTACCGATTCCCAACTCTATGCCCATTCCCAGCCGCCTGTCTTTATGTGCTCGGGCGTTTGATTTGAGGACTTTTTCTGTTGAAGATGCTTGGCCCACGTGCCGATGTACATTTTCGGATCCTCTCCAATTTCCCCCACAAGGTTTGAATTGGAGTCCGACAGGTCCGACATGACAAATGCCTGCCAGCAGGACACATCAAGTTGTGCTGCATTCTAATGGATGAAGTACCTGCCATGGATGCTCCACAACATGTACATGCAGACGGCCACTGGCAATTTTTTTTTTAAATTCATGGATGAGCCAATGCAACTGCAGCCAATGGCCGGGCACCTGCTGAGCCCATTGTGGCCCCCCATTGTGCCAGCTGGCAACGTTGCCAATGCATCGAAACATTATCATGGATGATCCAATCCTGGCCATTGGCCTGGCCTGGTCTGGCCTGTGTGCATGCATGGCCTGGTTGATTAAAACTGGTCACATGAGAATTACATTGCTGCACAGCTAATGGCTGATGCCTACGAGGAGTGTCTAGACAACGAAGCTATAGGAGCTGCGCAGCGCTGCTGCAGCATACATGCCAAGCTAGCTCTTAAACACCCGCGCTTTTGGGAGCACACAAAGCTTGCAGCGCCGTCAGACCGATCAGCTAAAGCTACAGTCAGCTTCTTAGAATGGGTACCCATAAGACCCCGTTGCATTTTTCAGGAGCTGAGCTGTCTGGAGAGACTGCACACACAGTACACATCCGTTCGCATGCGCACACATGGGATGCACTATGTGCACCACTGTGATATGCAGTGCTAGGCTAGCACCCCTGCAAACTGGTAAACGCACTAAATCGCATGATTTTTGCACTCTTTAGATGCGTTCCTCGAGCACTCGAGAAGCAAGCATCTGTTTCATAGACCCACCGTAATCATGTGGTCTGCAACAGGGCAACTGACGTACACCTGGACATTGTCTCTAGATCCCCCTTGCATCATCAACAATGCCATGCTCTGCCGAAAGTCCTTGCACACAGCATAGCGCTCCATGACTCTCTTAAGTTTGTGCAGACACAATGATATGAACAAGCCACATTGGCCGAGTACAAGGGGCCTATCTCCTATACTGTACTATATTCTGCTCTGCCCATATGGACTTTTGAGTTCTGTATGACTACACACTGCACACACCAGCCAAACGGGGTTCGTCCCTCCATGGACTTCATAATGTTGCACAGAGCCCTGAGCGGGGCGCTTTCTAGCTGTTCTACTCCGATTGGACCGCGAGCTATTCTACTCTGATTGGAAGCTGCGGCATGCATGTGCATGCAGGATGAACACAAAATGCGTCTAGCCCGTTGTTATTCACCAATAGGTCCCCTGTAGAACACCCCTAAAGTATGCCCTGCCTTTCCTTAGCAAGCAGACTGGGGCATCTGCACCTGGGTCCAATGGACACATCTACATCCCCCCTCGCACACACCCAAGTCACCCTTGCTAGGAAGCCTCACATCGCCGATGCACACCGACCGACCTTACCCAATGACTCACTGTGGAATGAGTCATTGGTGCGACGGCAGCGCGGGGGCATTCCTAGGCGGCCAGCAACCGCCGCTGGATCGCCGCAGGCCGGGGTGAAACTTCGGCACCAAAGGATCGTACAGGGAACCAATCGCGCGGCGCTCCCTCCCGCCGGCCCCGGCGCGCGGCGTGCCCTCCTCACCAGCCAGATAACCCCGCTGCTGGCTGCCAGGCGGGTGCCCCGCGCCACCGCTAAGCTTTTCAGTGGCACTGGCGGGGGCACTACCACTTGGTCGAGGCCAGTGCCCGCCGGTTGACTTCCTTGGACGCGCCCGTGTCATGCCCAGATCCCGTTTGTCTTCGCTGCGAGAGAAGGGATTGGGGCCACCGGGGTCGGCTGCGGTGGCGCCGGAGGGCGGACTGCAGAACAGTTGCAGCGCCGGCTGCGGCCCCGGCCGGAGCCACGCGGCCAGCGGCGGCAGTGCGCGCACCGGAGACGCCGGCCGCTGCTCGGCTCCTGTTGTGCAAGACTGAACAGTTGAAGGCCCATCTCAAATTAACCTGGCAATGCATGCACCATGCACAATCTTGTGAAGATGCCTTCGATGCGGAAAACCCAAAAGTATACGGTAGTGTGCAGCCAAAAGTCTGAGAGTGTTTGAGATGTACCCACTCGGCGGCAGAATGTACAAGTGAGCAGCTGACAACTGAGAAGACGATATCAGCTACACACATGAGACTTCTTGTCGGGCAGGCATGTGACAAGCAGGCTCGCACCTGACTGGGCAGGGGGCATGGGCGTGTCTGCAGGCGCGTGCGGCGGCCCCGAGGCCGGTGCACTGCTGAGGCAGGCGCTGCGCAGCGTCCCTCGGCGGGTCAGCGTTTCGCCCTCCCCATGCGCTGCAAGCACCGCTGACGAGTGGCGTGGCAGCTCAAATAAGCTGAGTTGGCGTGAGCTGGCTGGCTGGGCTGAGGGTGCGCTTGACAGTGGCCTCTGGCGGCGGGGGGACCTGGCAGTCATAGACTAATGCTTCAGCTCTCTGCAGATTACTGGGGGGTTAGGACTGATACTATGCCAATTACACTCTTGTCCCTCAATCCTACAAGACATTTCATGACAACAATGCGCCAATATGACTCTTCAGAACAGCTGGACTGCTTGCGCAGAACACAGGCAGCCAACTGCTCCAATGAGACATTCTGGTGCACCTTTCAGGCACCTCTTTGCAAGCCACATACAATCTGCCATAGATGCCAGTTTCGTGTGGAAAGGCCCAAGAGTTGTGGGAAGGCTCAAAGTGGCGAAGCAGCATGCAGACCTTGGATGGAGGTCAGATGCACTGCCGTCCGCTGCTTCGCTGCAGGGAGCGCGGCGCTTCTGCGGAGACGGCTGGCTGTGCAGGGGAGGGCCGCTCTGTGCCTGGCTCTGTTTTTGGGAGGCTTGAGGCGACTTTGGCGAACCTGGCTGCGCGCTATGACCATCCTGCAGAACCAATCCACATGACTCATGGCTAAGGCACAGCTTTGCAAGAAATGTGCACGGCATGGCTCCAGCTCATTCTCCTTGATTTCTGCTGTCTGCTTTGAACATGCAGTTTGGGCATAACGAACGAACCCATCCTCGCAAAGCTCATGTCATTTTTCCATTCTGGCAAAGACCCCCTCGAGCCTGGCCTGATTGGGAGCTTTGGGGACAAATCTGCATCCTGGATTCCAAATCTGCAATGGTTTGGGATCTGCGTGCATGGCTCACCGGCTGACGGCTGGCACTCGAAGCGAACTTCCGGCTGCAGGCGGCGACGCTGCGCGCTGCTCCGTGGCGGACGCCGCCGGAGCTGGCGGACCACTCGGCCCGGGGGGACTCTGCGGTGGTGGGCGGTGGCGCCGTGGGGGACCCCACCGTGCTCGCCGTGCTCCGCGTGCTGCGGCGCAGCGGTGCTCCGAACAGGTACTCCGCCCAGTCGTCCTGCATCCATGAGTAGTGCAATTTCAATAAAATGGCCACGCAGAGATCCCTTTCTATAGCACATGCGCATGCTCTGCAGAGTGAAATTTGGGCTTACACAGCCTCATGCCCAACCTGTCCCGCCTCCCTGCTCCAGTTCTCTTCAGGAGGCCTTGGAAGGACACGCTCTAGCGCTCCACAGATATAGCAACTGATGATCTCCTGGATGAAGGGCCACCATGACCATGTGTACTCTAATCCACCAAGTATGTACCAAGCAAGCCTTCAAATGCGTTTTACTTGTTTCCCTGCTTTGTCGCGAGTGAACCACCCCTGACCATCCAACACACCTCTACCTAGAAAGCACCCTGCAACGCAAGCGTGCATTCCGCTCTTGCGCAGCAAAAGCAAGCAGAGGTTGGTTGACCGTGCATTGGGGTAACCCTAAATGCATCAACAAAGAATAAAAAAGGTTTAAGAATCAAAATGATGATGAATGGGCATGGGAGCGCACAGAGATGGTGCTGGAAGAGCTGGTGGGAGAGTCCAGGCCGTCCTCGTCGCTGTCACTGCCGTCTTGCGCAATTGCCGGACGCGGCCGCAGCACGCGCAGCGTGCGCAGCGCAGGCAGGGCGGCCGGCTTAGCCGCGGCAATTTTCTGCGCCGTCACATGCCGCCTCGGCCGCGGTATGCGCGGCAGCAGGCCCACCCTGTGAATGCACCCTTGCCTGTGTGAGTGTGAGGGGGCTGACACACCCAAGAATTTAGTTCACCCACCGGGACCAATGCGCCATTGCCCCTGTAAGTGTAACGGGGCCTGTCACATCCACCAGGAGCTACAATCTCTGATGAACGCAGCCCTGGCTTTACAATTATAGGTCTTGGATTTTCACTCACAAAATGTGGGCCCTGCCACTGTCACGGGCTTCGCACGCCCACCAGGAAGCACACATGTCAGCGATGCAACGTCACCATCATCACTCCAAGACTCCGTCAAGAGCATCTTTGGTTGCACTGTGTAGTGCGTGCAGGTGCTGCAGGGAATGCCCTGACAGGAGCGAGGGGTAAATGAGTCGTCACCTGCGCTTGAGGCGGTCTATGGAGGGCCGGTAGCTCTCTCCCAGCTCCACCTCCAGCATCTTTATGCTGCTGGGCGTCAGATCCACCGGGTAGGACACCTGCCGCAGAAGCAGTAATGGTGGTGAGTACAGTTCTAACACTCTCCCTGTCATGTCAGCATACTCTCATGGTGCTTCTTACAAAGCGCCGAGAGGAGGCATGTCCCCTACGCATGTGTTGTGGCTGACATATACAGACAGCAGATATATAGCAACAATAGCTTGCACTGTCGAGGCACCCAGCTACACATAATGAGCTGCCTGTTGCGGCGTAGCGTTTTCAATGAACCCTCCAATAGTATCAGCGTTGATTGACCCTCAGAGCTCTGAAGTGACAAGAGCTTCACCTGCAGGGCACGTCGCTGGCGTGCAGTCTCGCCCTCGTGGTCTGGGTGGCCGTCAGGGGTCTCATAGTGCTGTTCCAGGGGTCCGGGCGCGAAACGCACCCTGCAGCACCGCAATGTTGCTCAGCACATGATCACAGCTCTTCCCAGCTTCATCTGTCCATGCTGCTTCAGCCGCTGCACCACGTCCTTGTGGCCTCCCTCAGCATCACAGATCAGCAGTATGGTGCCATTTGACATGCAATTATTGTCAAGCAGTGCGCAGCAGAGGATGCAGTTGGGCAAGGCCAGGGCTGCCTTTCTAGGATTGATGACCATGCACATCCCTGTGACAGAGGGACTGGCATCTGTCTGCACGCATGCATGGAAGACAGGATGTCAAGACAGTGCACCTTCGTCTGGGAGACCTCCGCGGAGAGCCAGGGCCGGGAACGCTCGCCGCGACCGGTGCAGCGGCAGGCGCAGCAAGGCCGCTGCTTCGTCCTACAGGTGTAAAGTCCGACGTGCCATCAGGTTTCTGCTGGTGCCTCCTCCTAAGGCAGCTGCGCGGCGTGGTCTTCTGCTTTGCTGTTGCACGTGCTTGCTTCTGCGCAGACCCCTTTGCGGCTGCCTGGCTGGAAGATGCACCGCCCATGTCTTCCCCTATGCTGAGTCCAGACGCCTGCCTCTCCAAGACTGCTTCCTCTGTCTGAGCGGCTGTAGGCGACGCCTGCATTGAGCAGGGCAGCACGGCCTCCTGTGAGCGGGTGCGGCGCCGGGGAGACTCGATGGCCAGCGGTGGTGGCAGGTAGGGGGCCTTGGGGGACTGCCTTGAGTAGCTACGAGGGCTGTCTAGGCCGTGGCTGCCACTTGAAGCACTCCTGGTGATGATTGGGCGCAGCCCTGGCGCTGGCAGGGAAGCCTGCTGCGCTTGCTGCGCTGCAGATGGCTGGGCAGTTGGGGAAGCCCCCTCTGTAGTTTTGCACCCATTGGCATGGACGCTGTTGTCTGTGGGCTGATTATGTGCTGAATCGCTCAATGACGCGGTCCTGCCGTCCACAGAGAGGTCGTAGCTGGGCCTGGCTGGGGAGCAGGTGCCCTTGGGACTGCCACAGCTGCTGCTGACATATGTTTCGATCTGGCCTGACAGCTGGCCCTCCTTAATGGTGGTATCTTCACATGTCGTCTTCTTTGCGGCGCGTGTCACGGGCATGCCGATCTCCTCCAGGAAACTCTGGTCCACCTTTCTTTTCAGCACTTGCATGGTGTGCCAGTTCTCTGCCTCGACGGTATCAACGGCATTCCTTCTCACCTGCCACAATCATAAAAGTGATTAGAAGACACAGATGCGAAAGCAGCGCAAAGATGGCGGGGCCATGAATTTGCATTCAGTGCTACGACGACCAAGGAAAGCTGCTGTGTTAGAAAGACACTGTACACATTTGTAGAGCGGCGGCTGAAAATTGCCGCATTATTTTTGCAGTAACCAAGGCACAAAATAGACAACATGGGCCATCTCCTAATCCTGAATCAGAACAAACTGCACGCTACAATGCCTCACAGCGCAGCTGCAAAACAATCGGGCCTCGTGGCCTGAATCCCTATTGCGAAATACATTACATCAATCCAAGATGCACAGTAGTGGCCAGACCTTAATATTGTTTTTGCACGCCGTCGCTAGACGGATCTGTGCCAAGCCCCTCTTCACGCTGACCTTGCGATGCCGCACTCCCAGAACCACGATCGCAATTGAATGCCCACCCACAAGGACTGTGACTCCGTCACCATCCAAATTACCGCTCCTTGATGGGCCAATTCCACGCACTTCGATTATCACTCAACGCAAATGACCCGCCTTCTTCTCGCGCAAAGCACGTCTGGGCAGGCACCCGTCGCAAACGGCGTTGAAATTAACCAAATCAGGCAGGATGCTAATAGCTTCCCAGATTGGGGAAGCTACCTGGCTGCTTTGATAATTCCAAGGAATTCTTCAGTAGTCACAGTTAAAATGCACATAACCCCGCTCAATCTGCAGCCTGAGCTCACGTAGGTTAATATATTGGATCTATGAATTTATGTATAGAGGAATGATCATTTCAGATTTTTCTGCAGGGATGGCGTGGTTTCAACCAAGTTGTCCAGTGGGCTGTTATTACAATGTGTATATCAGGGCTGTGCAATTCATTTATTTTTTAGAAACTTCTATGATTTTGTCAAGTTTAGCAAGGGCTTCATGGCTATGTAATAGCTCAAAATCCACATCAGCGAGATGTGGATATGTTGCATGCTGTGATCTCAGATCACATGAGATGAGCACGTTGATGCCTATGATGTGTCAGCATTTACCTCTCCCCCCTTCATGGATCCCCTTGTCGTCAAGCATGCAAGAGGTGGTGGCAATTGCAACTCAAGCATCGGCTTTGGAAGACTGGCATGAGGTACATAGAGCGCAAGCCATAACGTTGTGCAAGACATGGGAAGACACCTTGGCAGAAATTTGGGATTTGCGGACGCTTGTCATACTGCACTCGGGACAGCCGCTGAAAAGTGCCGCGCTGCTGCGAGCTGCGCATGCGACGCATGCAGAAAAGCCGCATGTCGGTGGATCCTCATTTCCTGCGCCGTCTGGCGGCCAGTGGGACTGCGAGCACAGCTGCTCATCAGCGGACGTCTGGGCAATTACAGAGGGATTCTGCTGAAGAAGCAGCGATGGCTTTTTTTCAGGGGCCATGGCGCTGAGGGCAAGGCTGCAGATGGGGCTGAGAAACAGTGCTTTTATATGTGCTAGCATGTGCTGGCAAATAAGCTAGCCGCAGGGACTCAAGCGCTTGAAAAGCAGGCCGAGGCTCCTTTCCAGGAGAAGGTTGTGTGTTTCCTCGATAACATTACAATCATGATGCATATGCCGTTGTGCACTATGCCAAGCAACCTCAAGAGGCAGCAAAGCCCGTGTTTGGCTGGTAGCAAACAAGACATTCGATTCCGAAGTAAGATCGACACTGTTGTGCCGCTCTGTGATTTCAACCGCCCTTGAGCCAAAACAAATGCTTATCTAGCACCATTGTGTCCAAACAGTGCTTGGTGAAGCTGTTAACCCAAAGGGATTTGAAGCAAGGTGACTACACTTTTGCATATACATGGCTTGTGATGGTTGCATGTGAAAGGATACATGGATTTGCACGATCGAGAATTTACTGGAAATTTGTTCCACAATCATTGAAATGGCCTGACATTGTATTCAATTCGGATAATGTTGCAATGTGAGTTTCTGCGCTGTGCAGAACAAGTTCTTTACAGTGTGACCCATCAAATTTCATCTCAAGTGAACGGCATGAGATTGGCATGTAAGAGCTTAGAGTCCATATATGTGAAGTAGAGCAACATTGGCCAATAGTCAGGGCCACAGATCTTGTGTGCTATCAGATGAGCAAAGCTTGCCAGTTTAAAAATCTGCATGTTCTCACGTCCTCTTCTGCTTCTTTGTAGAAAGCAACTTGTCCTTCCTGGCAGCGACAGAAGGGCGCTTCCCCTTGAGCTTTCCCTCCGCACCGTTGCCATCTCCACCCTTCTTTCCACCCCCAGGCGCAGCGCTTGGGGCGTCCCTCTCCTTTGCAGCAAACCCTCTGACAACCTTTTTCTGCCCCTTCGTCCGCATGCCCTGCCACGCCGCCGGGCCGCCTGCTCGCGGCGTTCCCTCTCCCTTGCCTGATTTGTTGTCCTTCCTCGGCGCGCTGGTTGTCATCTTTCCCGCCTTCACACCTGCATGCCAGGCAATCTGCTCAGCACCGCAGCTCTACGGCTTCACACTGCACAGCTTCATCAGCTCACTGCTGATATACGCTGCACCTATCCTTCAACCCGCGCACCCATGTGCACTGGCATTGATGCATTACAATCTTATCAAAATCTTGCTCACGGCAGCAGCGCTCTGCCAATCCTCCATGGCGGGGGAGCCAAGATCGTGCAGATTTTGCGTGCAACTCATCACAGCACATGATGACAGCGGAGCAAGCGCTCTCACCTCGGCTGAACGGCGTGCGCAGCCGGGAACCACCGGGTGTGGCCGCCTCGGCGGCCGCGGCAGCCGCCGCGCCGGTTTTTGCGACGCGCGCGACGCGGATCTGGCGGCCACGGAGCACGCGGCCATCGGCCGACATGGCCATGCGCGCGGCCGGGCGGCCGGAGAACTCCACAAACGCAATTCCCTTGCCTACGCTGGTTTTGGGGTCGCGCACTATGCGCACCGCTGTCACGTTGCCTGGACCGCCCTTGCCGTCCCCAAACAGCTCTATCAGCTCCTCGTCCTGAACACATAGAACTGCATTGGTGAGCACAAGGAACCAACAGCGAGACAGACGCTACTGCTCATCGGAGCAGCAGTTCCAGTCCTCACGCTGCCTCTTGTCAGGGTTCTCCAGTGGAGTTTTCAGCCCCCTGCTGTCATGCCTTTGACAGCACTTTGCAAGGACTGAAACAGATGTTCCTGCACTCTTATATGCAGAAGTGTTGAGCGCCAAAGGGGAGCCTCAGAGAGCACAAAGGTTCAAGAGCAAGTACCTGGGTGTCAAAGGGGAGGTTGCCGACAAAGACGGAGCGCGCGCTCTCATAGAGTACCTGCGTGCCACCTCCGGCGGTGCCCTTGCTGACGGCCGCCGCCCTGTCCACCCGGATGTGGCGCCCCTCAAACTGCGCACAAAGGAAACAATCCGCTGGTCAATACGACCACCATGTCTTGGAAGTTGTAGTCTCAAGAGGGAAATGTGCATGGCAGTAAGAGCCCCGTTGCTTCAAGTCCTCTAGAGGATATGGAGATAACCTTGTAGACAGGGCGCACATGATCAGAAAGTATAATGGCGGTGGTGCAAGATGCACTGCTCCTGGTTCTGTTGTCCCTTCCAGGACATGCCAAGCGACCACAGAAGGGCCTTGAACATGATGCCTTACTGGCACACCGCTGCTTCAACACCATGCAGGCATGCCAGGTCATCTCACATTAAAGGGTTGAAAGCCTGGCCTTTGGCTGGTGCCCACCTCGCGCATGTTGTGAGCCAGCGCGTGGGATGCAGAACCGCCGCTGCTGAAGACCACATAGGCATTGGCGGATCCGCGCGACTCGTCGACGGCTCCGGCGGCGACGGCCGCGTGCCGGGGGAGCTTCGTGTCCTCTTTCAGTGGGAGGGAACGCAGCCGCACAGACTCCACTGTACCGTACCTGTGCACGTAACGCTACCTGATTAGGCACCGTGTTGGTGCAGACAGATTTGGAATCATACCGTGCATGGGCCCATAGAGCTGCCTGAGGAGTCCCCATGCTGACTGTTGTTATCATTGCACATTTAGCCTGTCAGAGGCAGGTGCGTATGCACACAACCTGCATGTAATGGCTGCCAAAATCCTGCTCCCTTTTTGAACACGCAAGATCCAAGCAAGACCCAACAATTGTGGGCACGGAGCTCACATTACTGCCGCCCCTTTGCCAGCCAGGGCACCACGTTTGTTTTAGAATAAAGTGGACATAGGGAGGTGAAAAACACACTGTGGCATATGCTGCAGGACTAGGATGCAGGAAAAGTTTACACAGGAACAGCATGGTCCAGACTGAGCAGTCATCTTGCAAGCTGCAGCTGCGGTACTGTCTGATCTTACAGCTGTCAAGCAGCATGTATGTCGTGCCACACCCTTCACTTGAGGTAGTTGCTTCTATGGCACAGTGAAGGCAGGAGGCGCCCAGTGACTCACTGGGAGAAGGTCTGCTTGATGAGCTTGACCTTGACCTTGACGGGGAGGTTGCCCACGAACACCGTCCGCCGCAGCCTCTCAGCCTTCTCTTCCTCCGTCCTTCGCTGCTTTGCTGGCGCTGACTCACCTCCCTCTTTTGCCCCAGGCTCTTTCGTGCCTGTGCACAAGCATATAACACACATCTACCATCAACACATTAATAAAGCAGACTTTAATCTTGCTTCCCTCGACCTTCTGAGTTTTTGCCAGTCCTGCATCGGCCCGTGATGGACACGATTAATGCGATATCTGCCATAAAAGCAAATACATTAGGTAATTACGGTTGCTTTGAGGTGCCGCTTTGCATGGCCAATGCACGTGCAAAACCCATTTGCCGCAGCTCCCAGTCAACCGAAGTTCCCTTTCACAGGGTGATGAGATTCTGCTGAGACTCACCGCCTGCGATGGTCGTCTCCTCGTCATCAGATTTTGACTCATGCTCCTCGTCGTTGTCATCATGCGCCACTGCGTCATCGGAGGCAGCCACCATTTTTTTTGCCCGCTTGCTCCCTTCCGTTGCTGCTCCAGCAAATGCTTTTGCAACACCACTTGCTGAAGCCTTCTCTGGCTTGCTGTGGGGGTCTGTGGGCTTTTTCTTGCCATTGGCTGGAGGAATGCTGCCTGTTGCTGCCTGAGCCACCTTCTTATCTGTCTTAAGCCGCTGCTGTTTCTTCGGCTTGACAGCGGCAGGGACATTGCTGGACCCCGCTTGCCCAGAAGGCCTGACTTCTGCTGCTACTGCAGGCGCGGCCTCAGATGTGTCGAGGTGCTTTGATGCCTTCTCCTTTTTAAGCTTCTTCTTCACCTGACGAGGGGGAAGCTGAGGCTCACCATCGAAACCAAATAGGTTGAATTTTTTAGCTGCCTCTGCTAGACATCCTCTGACCAATGCAGTGAGTGTGAAAGGTGAGCAGACAAAGCACGGATGCCGAGCAGGAGACATTTCAGAAATATCTATTTCTGATTTCTATATGTTAGGACATGATCTCGCATAGTAACCCACCGGCTGCTCAGAGATCTCATTGCTGGCTATGGGAACGGCCGTCGCTTGATCCTTCGTGGATTTCCGCTTTTTCTTACTGGTTGTATCTGCTGATGCTATGTTTAGCTTATTGGCAGCATCTCCTTCCTTCCCCTGCCTCCTGAAGAGGTTCTGCTCGCTAAACAAGTTGCTTGCTTGTCCAGCAGCGCTGGTAAAGAGCCCCTGAAAGAGTGACATGCTTCAGATATTACTTGCGCGATTCCTTTTGCGCATTATTCAAGCATCAGATGACACTTATCCCGTGCAACTGGAGCTTTGCTGTGTGAGACGACTGAACATTCTGGAGGTTCGCCGCTTGATTAGTGCCAACTCTCGAAACACTCTCGGAACTAGCTTTGACCAGAGATGGACCGATTTCTTGCCTTGTACGCATAAGAAATCAACGAAAATGATATTGAGTCACAAATATTCTGCCCCTGAGAGTGAATTCGAGTTGTCAGTGATCAGAGCCCTTGGCGGAACCCCCAGATCTGTTGCCGAATCAAGGCAAGATTGAGAGATGGAAAGTGACTAAGCAGACTATTTCTATGTGACAAAGTGCGCTCTTAGGGATCCTTGCGGCAGCAAGATAACATATAGCTGCATCTTGAAGAATAGCATAGGAGCCTTGACAACTTGTTCTTAAGCGATTTCAGTCTGTAGGAATACCAGCACATTTCACCCAATTCCGTATCCCGGACGCTGAGTAATCTTCAGACGCCAAGAAACTCTACACGAACGCTGCTGGCATGAGGCAGGATCATGTGGCAAGACTTCCCAAGGTGACACTGATCTGTCATAGTCTAGAATTACACAGACTCCATCTCAGCATTCAAGGAGCTCGCACCTACTCAAGATGAATCGCACTATCATCTTTCCTGACGGTCCTCTGTGCATCAGGGAACAGGAGGCGGAGCATATCTTCTGTTGCTCTTGCTCCTATTAGCATGCCAGGCGCAAACATACTCAGCCAGTGCTCCCCCCATTCAGGACACACTGAGCCACCACCAGCCCCACAGGGGAGCCGATGGCCTGATCGGCGCCATGGGAAGCTATGTCACAGATTTGGGCATGCACATGCTGCACCTGATGCTCAGCGGGCCACAACACTTGATGCTGGAAGACCAGGTTCCATCAGGTGCGCGTACTAGTGCCCACCAGTCAGCCCTGGATAATGTTTACGGTGCCGAGGTCAAAGCCATGCACTTAATCAAGCAACACGTAATCTAAAAGAAGAAAAGTGACCTTGTTTACTCTGGTTAATTGGAGTGTCAGTGCGCCGCACTGGTGTGTGGCATGCAACCCATTGGTCCTGCAACAGTGCTGCAAAATAAATTCTGTGGTCAAGTGACAACAGCTGTGATCAGTGCAATGCAGCAGTGTCGCAAAATTTAAAGGCGTCATGCGCAGGTGCAGGTAAAAAGGGGGACAGCGGGGACGTATGCGTTGGCAAGACGGGGTGCGTAAACGAGGGGGCGGAAGGGGAGTTATGCGGGGCGCGGTCCTCCAGAGTGTACTGCATGGATTTGCCCGCCACAGACTTCAGGGAGAATGACATCAGGCGCCACACGCTCGGCAGCACGTGCGCACCTGCTCTATGCATTAGTCACCAAGTCAATCCGTGCTAGAGCCCGGGCGCTTTGTCCGATTAAGTACAGAGCATTGAGATCTGAGACTGGGCCTTGACACTAAATCGAGCCGAGCAGCCATGACATTAGGCCAAAGCCTCTGGTGGAGGCTATTGTGGACTTCAGGTGCAAAGATGCAGGCTCTTAGGATCCAGCCCTCTTGGGCTTGTGGACCTGTGCTTTTGTGAAGATGTCTTGGCTCTGCTGTGCATCCGGTGCGTGCCTGATGCTGCGTTCCTGAAGCTGTCTTGCCACTCTGTGACTTGAAGACACAGGCAGTACGGCAGTGGCAGCAGTTTGGCCAGCTTGGACAGCCAATTATGCATTCATAGCATGCTTCAAAGCAGAATAAAATTGTCACGATATAAGCTGACAACAGTCATGGTGACAATTGCAGGTGTGCGCCCGGCGGCATGCGAAGCGTGCACGATCAATTATACAACGATTACTGCACGCGGCGCTTCCCTGCCACGCAGAGTGTATACTTCAGTGAGGAGCGATGTAGCCTGCTGCCAGACGTACAGTGCAGCACTTAATAACATGAGTCGTACCTAACTAGAGATTATTATTATTATTACACGCATTTCCTGCCAAGAGGCAAGATGCGTCCTGCAGACAAGCTGCAGGTGAAGGCTGCCATAATCCCACCCCTTGTTGGACTCGCCAGATCCAAGCAAGACCCAATCAACCGTGGGCACGGTGCTCAGTATTTATATCGCCCCCCGCCAGCCGGGGCTCAGATGCTGTTCAAAATATATGGTAAAGGTGTCAGATGATCATGAGACGTCAGACGCCCTCGTGGTCACACTAGCATGTTCATATGTCTGATATACAGCCCTTGACGTCTGACATCTGCAAGCCAGTAGCCCCAAGTGTGAAGTCAATACACTCTTGTACATTCCAAGAAGCTCACTTTCCTGACTCCTAGGCAATTGCAATACACATCTAAGGACTCTGTCTGCTGCAAACCTGCATTTGACCCTGTTCACTGGCAGCCCCTGCTTTACTAACCCCAAATCATGCTCTACTGGCAGAAAGCCTCAGCAAATTATTGAGTGATATCCTGCCGCACTGGATCATACGCTGCATAGACTCACCCTGCACCTTTCAGGGCTTCATACACACTGCTGCTTCTCCAATATACTCAACCCCAGCACAAAATTGCTCGCACTAAATGACAATATTCATCTTGACTGTTCCAGATCTGAGTACAAGTACAACACAGGACGCATGCAACTCTGAATTCCTCATCTCCATGAAGCGACATAGTAACACAGATGCTCCATGAATAAGGCGGGTTTTCTGCCACGTGACAAAGTAAAACAAAATCAAAGAACGCTGCTATAACCTGGCAGCCTGTGCTGACAGGGGACGCTGCTTCATGTGCCATCTGGTGCATAAGAAATGAGCTTCAGCATGAGTGACTGCCGTGGAGCTTCTGCCTCATACGCTGTCGCGCCAGGAGCCTGGAAACACCAGACAAGCTGTCAGACAGCCATTCTGGCCAATCGAAAAGAAAAACATGTGCCACATGCTTGCATGATGCCAGCACTGCCGGCAGCTCTGAAATTTTTGCTGTTCAAGGGATATTTTGCCAGAACTAGTGCATCACCAATGCCGTTGTGACAAAGAACATCTAAACATCAAGCATGACACTGGGGCAACACAAGCACATACCACATCCTTCTAATCTCCAAACTCCGGCACGAAAGGCCCCTATATACAAAATACCAGTCTGTTTTGCCACGCACCTGTTTGAGCAGCAGCAGTCGCGCGTTGGCCGTCTCGTCCCCCAAATCTTCCGCTAGCATGTTTGAGATGGCCAGCGCGTCTGGATAGCCCGGCCAGGCCTCCACAGTGCACTTGGCCTCCTGCCATGGCGTCAGCACCTGCGCGCACATGCACCTGGGCTTTTAAGTGAAAACTCTAAACCTACAAGGGGCGCTTAATTGACAAGTCTAATCAACTTCCTTGTTGGAACATGCCAGACTTCATCTCGCAGTGTGCTTGGCTAGGAAAGTCAGACTCGCCGGCCAAGGATGCCTGGCAAGATAGGCGCATACTGCTACACAAAGAAGAGAAGAAGAGGAGTAAAAATACTTGTGAATCCTCCTTTAGATCTCCACAGCTTCAATCTCTGTGGTCTGGTTAGCTGTGGATCTCATGTTGCCATCTACACGTGTTGAAAGGACAATGCTTCAACATGGAAAGCCCATCAGAGAGTGACCGCCCAATGCCCACCGTGCCGAGCAGTTCGTGCATGAAGTCGCGCACGACGCCATGATTCTTCTTGAGGCCTTCAGTCACGTCCTGCGCTGCCAGCGTCGCCCTGAGAAAGGCCATCGAGGCGCTCATGTCGTTGTACTGCACGCACACAGGGCAAGTCACAAATCAGGGGCAAACCGCATTGAAGAGGGATATTTTTAGCTCGCCAAGGAAAACATGCCCTTGGTAAACAAGAAACAGGTAGGTATTGGAATGCAAGCATTGAGTGCGATGGGTGTTGCATGCAAAATCAGCACTTGGTTGCATATTGCGTGACTGCAGAGCATATGCTAGTGACAGCGCTAGCAAGGGCAAGGACTCAAAACATCCGTGGCAAGCAGATGGCACAGGGAGCACGGCAGCTGCATGCATGCGCGCATGCGCCGGCATGTGCGCGCACCTCCAACGGCATGGATTTCTGCAGCACCTCAACGGCCGCGTTCTGGCGTCGCGTGAGCGCCTCGAGGCCGATCAGGAGCCGCCGCCGGTTCTCCACCACTCTCCTTTTCTGCTCGGGGGTCAGCTCCATGGCGTCCTGCAGCAATGTTTTTTTAGGATTTAGGGTTTAGATATTGAAAAAAAAAAAACCCTAAAAACCCTAAGTATGCTGGAAGCCAAGACATACGGGATTGCAGAACTTGAGAAGAAAGCTCTCTTCCATCAAATGCCTTGCATGCACCGTACGAAAAGGAGGTCAGCATGATGTAATAATTTGCTGCCGGCCCTCGTCAGGAGCCAGGGCAAGTGAGGTTGGAGCCAGTGCTGGATCAGGGACAGAGCTGAAACCTTCGAGCTTGCCCTCACAATAAGCACGCTGCATTGGAACATCAAACCCGCAACCAACGTACAGGGGCTAGACTCTTCCCCCACTAGAGTTTGGAGATCGAGGGCGCTCAGGGGGTAATTTCAATCCAATTTTTGAAGAAGAGAAGGGAGGCAACGCCGCTCACCAGGATGCTGCGCTGCTTGGCGGGGTCGGCAGCGCACTCCATTCTCTGCGAGCGAACTTCCATCGCAATGCGCATCATGCGCTCGGGATTGTGCTCCAGCACTTTCAGCACCGACCAGCGCCGCGCCTCGATCATCTTCTCGATCTCTGCGCGGAAGGGGCACCCCTGGCGCCCGTCCGTGTGCAGCATCAGCCGCATCAGCCTTTGGGTGAAGTCCTGCAACACAAGTTTGAATTCAAACTCGAGTTCCGGATGCGAGTTTTCAAAAGGTTTCAACCAGCGTCATCTGGCCGCCAAGGCGCACATGCCGGTGCATGCTGCCAATGGGCTTGCATGCTGCTGCTAAGCACAGAATGTGCTGCCCTGGAGGAATTTTGATCACATGATGCCATGAAACAGGGCAAATTAGCTAGCTATTTCACTTGCCAGAGAAGAGAGGCTTCAGAATGTGAGACACTTTGCTACTGTTTGCCTTGCTCTTGCTTAAAGTCATGTGTGAATTTCTACAGCTCGAGGCATTCAAGCCTTTGACATCTCGGCATTGAGGGACAGGGGAGGCAAACAAAGGGAGGGCGCCCACCTCGAAGACCTTGATGTAGTCCTGGAAGGTCATGCGCTCCACGTGGTCTGTACGCAAGCTGGCCTCCATGCCGTGCCCCGGGTATATGAGTCCCAGCAGCGCCGCCGTCGCCGTGACAACCTCCGGCACCGGCTGCATCGCCAGCGGCTGTGGCGCCTGCGCATACACCAGAAGGAACACTCTGTCAATGACACAAGGTGCACAGGTTGAGAGAGCCAAGCACTGTTCACAGTCTGTACACCACAGAATGCCCTCTGCTCTGTCTGCTTGGCACAGGGAGTAAGGATTTGAAGCAATTTGGCCTGGGAACGAGGAAGCTGGTCTGCAGGACTTGCTCAAGCCAGCATCTAGCTCTGCAGTCTGTTGCGGATGAAATATTGCGAGGAGAGAGTCCAGAATAAAGCCGCAAGTCGCGCACACATGTCGATGTGAGCAATGCAGCTGCGCAGCATATTACTTGATACAACCCCTGTGCGATGTGAAATTCGCTGATCGCTCACCGAGCTGCCTGCAGCGTCGCCGCCATCCCCCCTGATGCTGACCACTTTCTCCAGCAGCGAGCAGCGCGTCTCCAGCCGATCCTTAGTCATCTGCACCTCCTGCAGTTGCGCTGTCAGCTGCTCTATCTGCTTCGTTTGATCCTCATATAGTGCCTGCGCGTACACTAGGAACCATTCGTTGCTTGAACACAGACAGGGCCAGAAATACGCAATGCCATTTCATCAAACAAGGCAATGTCTACACAACTTTCAGATTATCGGAGGTATTGCCTGAATGCATGTGATGCGCACCCCTTATCTAGCCTGCCATCAGCTGGGGGGATGCAAGAACCTAGGACTGCATGAACTTGGTATGTTTGAATACATTGTGTGGTTCAAAGGTAGTAAAGGTAGTAGCATCACCTTCTTGCGTTCCCTGTATCGCTTCTGGGCCCTCTTGTTCTTCTCCTGGTGCGCTTTCTGCCTCTTCATTGCGGATGCTGGAAGCGGACCCAGGCTTGTGTGTGTCTCGTCAAGTTGGCTGCCCCCTGTGTATTGACACAATTTTTTATTTATTTTGTGGGTCCTTGAACCATCAAATGACTGCGAAGCCCTTCATGGGGCGCTGAGCTAAGAGAATACTGTGCTATCATGTGTTCAAGACAGCACGTTGCCCTCACCCGATCCGCTGCGTTTTCGGGACGCTTCATTGTCGTTACTGTGATCTTGGTAGTGGAACACTGGGTCCAATGTCGGACCTTGCGCGACATGCTGTCCAGACAGAGAACTAGTATACGTGGGCAGGAAATCCCCGAAAGGCATCGTATCTGACGTGGTGGGCAGCTCTGCCACAGATCTTTGGCCATCACGGGTCACTATATCATCGAGGAATGCTGCAAGATTGTCATCAAGAAGGCCTTGGAGAAGGTCTGGAGATGATGTCATGGTGAGCATTCCAACAGTGGCCAGAAGCCCCTTCACAATTGTATGTCACAGTGTTCGATCCCTGTGACCTCTCCTATCTGTCACGATGTGGAGGTAAGGTGTTCAACGTGCTTCACATTCCTCGTAGCCTTGAGAAACGCACGAAATGGCACAGCCACACATGGTACAATCACGTGAACGCAGGCAGGGGACACATTTGCTAATCTTGGACCCCTCCCTCACAATTCACATTTTGCAGTGCCTTCTTGTCTTGCATTCTCGCTCCCCTTAATGCAAACGTTGGCTCAATCACATGAAATTATTGTGCCACAGCTGTAGCAGGTCATGACAGCACGATAATCGTGTCAAAACGACAAGCCGGTAAATCTTTCCTTCTCAGACGTCTGTGCCTAGGCCCTCATGAACTTTCTTGTAGCCATGACAGTGTTCCAATCATCATCATGATTGAGTCAAGGTCATCATGCCACATGATCAGCGGATGCATGCACATGCCAATCATTCACCAGCATGTGGAAAGTTTCGCGCACACAAATGTTTCAGGGGATGCTAGCTACTAGCAAACTTTAGCACTACGGGGCTCCCAGCAGCCGCACGGGCTCTTCTGCTGCTGCCGCCTCGTTCTGCGCATTAGCTGCCTGCCCGCCACTGTCTGGCACGGCGTTCTCTGCTGCCGGTGCCTGATCTGGCGCGGCGCCGCCAGCTTCATCCAGCTTCTGCATGATGTGCTCCGTCAGCGCCAGCTGGTCCCGCTCTGCGCAAGACAGCCTTTGTCAACATCACTGACAACTACATCTCACAAGTGCAAGAGACTGCTTGATTTTCTGTGTTCCTGTAGATGAAGGAGCAAAGCTAGGCCAAAGAAACTCTAAGTCCGTACGTTAGGCAGCACAAAAAGGGCAACAAAGAAATACCTGCGCTTTGGGCGGTAGAAGTAATGAATATTGCAATGCCAGATGCACTGTATCCGCTTGCATTTCGGCGGACAAGCTACAGCTGCTGCCTTGCATTCACTACAGTATGCCTGTGATGAGAAAAGACAGATTGACAACACTAACTGCGGCCTTCTGACTGGACATGAAGCTTCCAGAAGAGTCCTGTAAGATCAATGAATTGTATGGGGTAGGGCGGGTCACCTGCATCAAGGTCCTCTATGTCCAGATTCTGCAGCCGCTGCTCATTGGCCTTGAGCCGCTTCCTCAGCGCATCATCCTGCACAGCATGACATTGACAGAGCACCGTGTAACGCCTGCGATTTACGACCTGACAGATTATTTTTTTTATTACACGCTTTTCCTGCCAGAAGCAAGGTGCGTCTGCAGACAAGCTGCAGTAAAGGCTGCCAGAATCCTACCCCTTGATGGACTCGCTAGATCCAAGCAAGACCCAATCAACCGTGGGCACGGTGCTCAGTATGTATACCGCCCCCCGCCAGCCGGGACCTGACAGATACCAATACTAAATGCGCCAGTTGTCATGCTGTTGAGTAACCTGGCGTACTTAACTGGCAGACCAGGCAGCGCCACTGGCCTGAAAGCGGGGCTGGTGGCAAAACTGACTTGCTTGCTGTTCCTCTGCCACGGCAAATGCATGACATACCTGCGTCTGCAATGACATGAAGGAAGAACTGCAAGACAGTCAAGCCAAGGGCAGCTTCTGCACCTCTTAAACATGCAATTAAGTGCAGTATCAGTCTCCAGTTGCACATCATTTGGACAAATTAGCCAATGGAAACCCCTCTGTTGGCCAGAACCCACATGCGCACCAAACTAAGGAGCTAAGGCACTCAGCGCTCACCTATGCCATGGTGCTCTGGACCTCAAGAAAGTGGCCATCCCATGTTGAAGTGTTATCCTCGTGCTGGCAACAGTAATCATCACATTATGACCCTGTCTTCAGAAAGAACGGGTGCAGCAGTCTCTTACCGTCCTGAGAGCCTGAACGACGCCGGGGTGCTGCACCATGAGGGCCAGCAGCGCAAGCGCAGCCTCACGAACGCCCGCGTCGTCGCCCGCGATTGCATCGCCAATTGCCGGGACGGCTCCGGCGCGCACCGCGTCACGCACGTCCCCCGGCCGGTGGCGCAGCACCTCTCGCAGCAGCTGCAGCGCCTTCCTGCGCCAGCAGATGGGGGGTTTTAAGGCATCAGGATGGCAGCAAGTAAGGAGAGGGGCCAGGGCGGGCCCTGTTAAGCGCCTGTTTGTGCGCATCTTGCACTGGCAGGGCGCACTGAATGGGAGATTGCTGGCTGCTTCGTAGAAGGCAAAGTGGTCTGCCATGCGTGCGTGTGATAGGGTGGCATACTGTCTTGATGTTGCCAAGCAGCTGTCTGGATATCGCTATTGTAGACTTAATGTCTGCTGTGCAATACTAATGCGATGCTTGCTCACATTAATATCACGCTAATATCACGCCAGTTTATCTCTTGCCCAGCAATACTTGCTCAGGACACCAGGCTTTGCACAGCAAAACAAAAAAACAATCAGATGCAGAGGCCGCACCTCTGCTGGCGGGGGTCATCTGAGTCTCGCGCTGCAGACAGCAGCAGATCGATGGCGCCCTCTGCGCGGAATGCATCCATGGCCGCATCGTTGTGCCGCGTCAGGCACGACAGCGCCAGCAGCGCCTTGCGCCTGCACACCAAAAGCCATGAATATAACAAGCGGAAAGAAAAGCATGAGGAGCACTGGTAATCTACACCCTTGAGAGCGCCGCAGCATCTGTGAGGGGACATGTCCTGCCTGATTAAGCATTGCATGGGAGCGGCATGAATAGATCACAGACCCTGTACGAGCGCCAAATGCCATGCAGCGGATGCACGCATGGATGCCAGCGGTCGTGCACAGACAACATGAGCACGATCAATATGCCAAGTCGTACCGAAGAAGTGCAAAGGACTCCATTGGAAGCACCATACGTAGTATTTGGACACTGGATATCGCCAAAAGCAATGCAGCACATGGATGCATGAATGTAAGCAGTGACGACATGTCTTTGACGATAAGTTTGAGGCGCCTCTCGCGCACAGCAGCATCCACCAGGCCAGTCATCCCAGGAACAAAACCGTCGCAATGCCCCAGCTATCCTTGGGCCCTCCCAGACTCGCTACTAGTGTACAGTCTAGGAAACGCAACTGTTCCATGCTAATGGCATGAGAATTGCCCATATCCTCTATCAAATAGCAGCGCATGGGGATCTATATCTAACTTAGATGTAGATCACCCTGGGCAGCAATAGGGCTTTGCCGGCACAGTGGCATCCACCAAGACGAGTCACTCCAGCAGCAAGTGTGCAACAATGCTGAAGCCGGCCCTTTCACACTTGCTGCAGAGGAAACACATCCTGTCAAATGCAATGGTCCACCCCAATGGGGTCAGCATCGCCCAGATCAAAGGGTAAGAAGAGATTCCCACCGGCAGATGAGGTCGGGTCCTCTCATTCTCGGAAAATGTGACTGCACACCATAAAAGGGCAGCGAGAGGGCCTCACCAGCAGGTGGGTAGGGCCCGATCACACTTGCCGCATGACATGTTTCTCCCGGCACATGCGCTGCACCTCACTGGCATTAGTATTGTCAAAAGCCACAGGCCACAGAAGGATGCTCACCGGCAGGTGGGGTCGGGGTCTTGGAGGAGCTGCAGCAGGCGAGGCAGGGTGCCCCCCTCCAGGAACATTTGCTGCACGGGCGGGTGGTTCTGCACGCACGTGGCCACGACCTCTGCCGCGCTGGCGCGCACCGGCGCATGGCTGCTGCCCAACAGGCCCAGCAGCGTGGGCAGCCCGCCGATGTGCGTCAGGTCTGTGAGGGCAATACATGCGCACTGATCAGTAAATAGTCAAAGAGGTATTCCGCACGTCGGTGATTGCTTGCTCATATTATGTACAAGATGCACGTCTGCAGCCACATGTGGCACTTATCAGAGACACTAATCTTTTGGGGAAGAAAGACTACATGATTGCGGCAGGTTGGCTTGCAATTGACGGGCACACAGCCTTCTCTCTGGCTTACGGTTTCGTATCAATCTCAGCTGAGCAGCCCCACTGTTAAGAGCCTGTCAAAGACCCACCCTTAGCGTAGTCGATCTGCTCCACAATCTCCACCAAATCGTCCAGCAGTTTCAGCTTCTCGCCAACCTGCGCATCCGAGTCGTCCCTGTCGTCCAGGGCTCCCTTGATGTCGCGCAGGCGCTTGGGGATGTCCGTTGTCTGCGCCTGCATGGCCTCCATGAACCACTTGCGGTCCTCTGGAGTGATGTGGCGCCTTGTAGCGGGGTCTGTGGAACCCTCCTGCTGCTGGATGGACCACTCGAACAGCCCTGCAAGAGCAGGTGGAGCAGCGGATAAAAGCCAAGCGATGGTTGCTGCTCCAGTGTGTGCGCCTATGCAGCTGCATGCAGATAGGTGATGACTCCGACAATGAGATCAGTCTACATATTTGGGCAGGCTGCGATGCTTGAAGACTCGTTACTGCCAGCTAGTTGCATAATGCGAGTTTCTAAGCAGAGAATCCAAGTTGAGCTGTGGCATTTTGGAAAAGGGATACACACAGTCGCTCTATGTTATGTTTAGGACACCTGATAATTTTAACTTGCCTAAGATGCAAAGCTCGTACCTTTCCAGTTTTGTTGGGCCATGATTCGCTCCTGCTGTATTCAGAGTCCGATAGGAGTGAGTATCGAGCCCGTTTGTATCGCGCTCCTTTCGCAGATTCAAGGCAGTGAACGCTTACTGAAGAACATTTAGAATACTTGCACTGTTGGTTTCGCGTCTCCGGAATGCAAGACCTCTGCGATCATCAAGTGTTTCTAGAACGAGAGTGGCTCCTCTGGTAGAAACGGCATCGTAGACAGGGCACATCAAGGAAGCTTCCTGACATTTCGAGGAAGCTGCCTTGTTCGAGTCCATGAATCAAGCATTCTCTCTGAAATTTCATACATAGTATGTGTTATATGATGTAGTTACATACGTCTCATCATAAGTGCGTTTGCATGCGGCTTCTATGGCCGGGCGATTTCTTGAACATCAGGCCTGAGTCCTTCGGGATTCAGCTCATCAACAAACAAGCTCTTACAAAGCCTCCTCAACGTTATTTCAGCTTCAGTGCACATCATTTATGTGTTGCACAAAGTGGTGTCAGAAGATTGTGCCCTCCAGAAAAGTGCCAGAGATGAGAGCCTGTACTGCAAATCCCGCCAAGGCCAGAGGGCTCAGGAGCAGAGCCAAGCGCGGGTTGGCTGTCAATATCTGCCAAGCAACAATGCCCACTTGGGCAAAATCCCCTAGGCCTCCATCCCCTACCCCAGTCATAAGCGCCTCTGAAGGGTCCGCAGTGGTTCCTGCTGAGCCGCCGTCGTTCAAACTCACGCTCGACAGCTCGTCCTCGATCTCAGCGGCCCAGACAGCCGGCTTTGAGCCGAACGCGTCCCGGGTCTCAATATACCAGGCTTTACCACTGCTGCTGTCAGCGTTCGGGGCTTCAAACAACCCTGATCCAATTCCTTCTTTGCTGGCAGGCCCATGCTCAGCAGCCTCAGCAGCAGCAGCATCCGCCATAACGGTCTCTCCACGAGATGGATGCAAAAGAGTGGCTCTGCTGCGCCGGTCTCGTCCTAGCAGAGAGTGCGAGCCATTCAATACCTGGAGGGGCCAGCACTTGAGCGTCTGGGCTGCCAAGAGCTGCGAGGGAGGCTCTGCACAAACACCACAGGTCTTGAGAAAGTCACAGTTTTGAGCGACCAGAAACTCAATCGCAAGAGGTGAAAGAAAGGACGTCAGGGAAGGAAAGATTTCACAGAACGCAGCATTTACAATGGAACATTGTCAAGATGATTAGACTCCTGTTGCCGACGTACCAACAAGCTAGCTGCTCAACTGAAGCAGCTGAGCCGTTGCACCAAGCAGCCCGGTCAAAAGCAGCAATGTTGCACCCTCGGGCAGCAGCTGAGCTGCCTTCACCGTGACAGGCTCCTCAAGGGGCCTGTCACGGGCCTGCATGCATGCTGAGGGCGCGGTAAGCAGCCTGCACTTGCGCGAACGCCTCGGCCGATCCACCCTTGTCTGGATGCTCCTCCACTGCCCTCCTGAGAAAGGCCCGCCTGCATGCCACAGCGCACAGGCATCTTATCATGCAGATCTAGCTATGATTGGCAATAGAGAAGCTTGATCTGAGCGAGGCAACGAGACAAAATACTGTCTCGTGCATGCCCATATTCCAAAATATGGAAAATGGGCATGCATCGTGAAGCAAGACCCTCCATCCACAGAAGAGGTTGTAAGTAGAAGCTCAAAGCAAAGCGAAGTTCATAGAGGAAACCTGATCATTGAGCGTGCACACCTGATGGCGGCAGGTGAAGCTCCTGCATTGACCTTGAGAATGTCGAGGTGGGCCCGATGCTGCACAATGTCAATTGGTGTATCGTTCCTGACTGAGGCCTTGTCCTTGCTGCCAGATTGAGAAGCGCTCCTGTACCAACCCTGCAGACAGCAGCTCTGCTCTTGACTGTGGTGGCTGGACGTGCAGCTGAGTGTTGCAGAAAAAACTCTGCACTTCTTAATACCTCGATAGAGTTGTATTGCTGCTGCGCAGAGTGCGTGATAGCCCAAGGCTATGCCAAACAAGATTTTCCTTTACATCATGGCACGGCGGATTTTGGGGACATAATCCAGATCGCACCACTTTTGGTGTCCAGCACTCGCTGCCGCTGCTCTCTTCATCCCCATTGGTTCTGCTTTGCTGCTGGCTGGTTGCGCAGATGGTGCCCTCCTCCTGATGCTGCAATGCCATTGCGCAACGCCGTCAGAGGAACGCATTTGGCACCCTCTGGCCAGAGAGGTGCCAGGTACAGGAGTGGCACCTCACTGTGAAATTATTGGCAATGCTCTGCTGCACTGCCTGTCCCTCTTCAAGACTGGAGAGGACAGCTGGCCAGCAGCAACATACCCTGCTCTGCACCTCCAAGTTCCGTGCTTCCCTGGCTGCACTTGTGTCAGAAGCCCTTTCAAGCTGAAATCCGCTCCTAGCATAAGCCTCGCTTTCTCTCAAACATTTCCGGAGTTGTTTATTAGTTGGTGCTATCAACGTGGCAATCCGAAGGACGTCCACTGCTTCTGCTGCACGCTGAAGTTGCAGCAAAGCTACCCCCGTCCTGTAGTACGCCTTTACGTTGCCAGGATGCATCAGGAGGGCCTGATTACAACATCGATTGCCATCAGGAGGGTATTCACATATTTACATATTTACCGAGCAAAATTCAATTGCTTTTCGAGCAAGCGGATTATTCTGATCACGATGCCCAGAACTTTACTCTGACTACATTTCCTCTAGGAGGACGGGCTCTACCTGCTCTGCATCCTGCAAGGAATGCTTCCATTGACCTAGTCTTGCGCATGCAGCGCTTCTGTTGCTCAACATTGTACTTGTAAGCTGGAGATTGCCACCAATTTTTGCACAAGCCTGCAGGGCTTCTGAGTAAGCTACGACCGCAGAATCCCACTCTTCTCTCAAATAACATTGTTTTCCCCTGGCAGCCACACATTAACCTTCAGCTACCACTCGCAAAGATGATTTGCTTTACAGCAAAAAGAACCCTCCTGACCTGATTATGAGGTCCTCAAATCCAGCATGCTCTACTGTCCCTCCAGACTGATTGCACATGTCACATGAAACCCCTGTAATTCTTTCTTTTTTAGGCTGTACTCCTGTCTACATTCCTTTTCATTCGCTGTAACGCTGACCCTCTTGAAGAGAGAGGAAGCAACGCCTCGGCTAGAGATTGAGCGTAGCTGCTGGGGTTCAAAGCTCGTTCGTGGTATTTGGATTTGCGATCTCTCAGAAAGTCTGCGGTCTTCCATTGGGAACCCCACATGAGAAAGCTCCAGGGCGAGAAACATCGTTTCAGTGTCGTTGACCTTCTGTGTTGACATCAGGTCTGTCAAGTAAGTGTGCACTAGTCCTTGAGGTGTTAATAACACCGTGTTATCCTTCACCTCCAATAGAACTAGGAGTGAAACGCAATACTCTGTCGGAATACTCTTGGTAAGCGAGTCATGGCTAGTCACCATGCAAAGGTGGCCCGAATGTAAATGATCTTGATTATCGCCTTTTCAGTGTCTTCACATCTGGAAATGTCTGTCCTAGAAAGTAATGGAACGGTTTCGATCGCGATAATGCACCTTTTGCGACCCGCCTAGTAGAGATGTCACATGGTGACAAAGTACGCTCGCGGCTCAGAGCCCTCAGCTTAGCTATTCAGATTTGCATAGGGCTTACAGATGGTTTGTCATTGAAAAATTCAGAGACCAAATCCCCAAAATTTTATTGCCCTGGGTCACAATTTGTCAATCAATCAATTTGTGAGACCAGGTGTGCTTGCGCAGTGACAGCTGTTAACAGTTTACAACCAATGTTTTATCTTACACAATGAGTAAATCAGGACCACCAAATAATCAGCAACTGCAAAAGCAGGCTCTGGCTTGCAGAATTCCCTTGTCAGCAGACCCATAAATGAAGGTCTTCTCATGATATGAACATCATGAACACCTGGCGGGCCTTGCCGCTGAGCTCCTCAAAGGTGAAGTCTGCAGCGAGCTGCTCCTGTGCTACTGCAAAGGCCTCCTCCTGGTGCGGCTGGACTTGAATCCCCACAAGCAGCTTAGTCGACCGATTGCCTGCATGGACACCGTGTGCGACATTACTCCTCGGCAACCTTTTCATGCTTGTCTCACCATATAAAGCATGTATAAGGTGGATTTCCACCAAAGAAATCACCAAACCTCTCAAATAAGGAAGGTTTTCTAATATACAGAAAGGCACGTACGCCATTACATGCCGGCAATGAGCTGCAGGGAGATACATTCTTTGAGAACCTGCCAATTTATATGGCATGTCCCAAATGCCTCACCCCATCGAAAAGTGCATAGCAGATGGCGCCTCATGGATCTTACTGCCGGGCAAGCTTCCATTCAGGAAGGCTTCACAGGGGGAGAATGATTAACATCGAGCACTCGCCTGTCTTGCGGTAGTGGAAGAGGGTGAGCAGGAAATCTGGGGAGACGGCTGAGAGGAACTTGCGGAGGGCGCCGGGGCGCTCGGGAAAGTCGACCTGGAAGATGCGCTCGTGCGGAAGCTCCCCCATGAAGCTTCGCGCGCGGCCGCCCACCAGGTGCCGCAGGTGGACCTGATTTGGCAGACTCCACATCAAGCTCCATGATAACGTGATTTTCGTTCTTCATTCCTACCACCTTGCTTATTACGTCTCCAACCCGCTTATCCTACCAGAATGCAAGGTGAACACCTGCAAAATGCAATGAGAGAGAGGCAAGGTTCCACTACGCACATCGTTGAAAGTAGCCAAGTTTGAGAACCACCATCAAACACACGCAGAAGGTCTGGTGCAAGCCTCAATGGCCTGCTTGCAGGCCATGCAACCTTTGCACAGATAGCCTCAACAACAGCAATTGTGGAGCTGGCGGCTCAGAATTATAGCAAAGCAATGTGTGCAAGATTTTGCATGTCTGTTTGCACTCATAGAGCCTTGTATTGTGCAGCGCAGACACAAGCTTTACACCCGAAGCTCAGGGCCTGCAATATAGATTACTACATCTTTTCCCTTGCACAGATTGAACAGTCACCTGCGCTGCCTCGATGCTGGAGATGTCTAGGGTGGGGTTCCCTGCCGCATTCAGCCGGTCCACGACATCAGTCACCTCGGACGGCGACCGGATGCCCAGGCCCCACAGAATGTGCGCCTCCGACCCCGCCGAAAACCTGCGCCAGTTCAATTTCCTACATTTGGGAAATGCTTCACATGCTTTCTTTGCTTTACAGAACTCGTGCTGAGAACACCCATCGGTCAGAGACAATGGCAGCTATTGTGCTAACACAGCTTTAGAAACACTCCCCTGTACTAGAACCCCACTGAGATTGGGATAGCAACCTTGAAAAGTCTCTGAAAGACGCCAAACCAAGACATGCAAATAGCAGAATGCAGAGGCGGTCACACCTGTATTTGAACTCGGTTATCTGCAGGCTGGCGTCGTTTATGGCGATGTCCAGGAACGCCGCGAAACTGCCGTGGCGCTCGGGGATGGTGGTCGCCAGCATGGCTTCGCGCAGGCCGCCTATGTCCGCCAGCTCGGTTACCAACCGCAGCCGGTCAAAGTTCATGTTTGCGCCGCTTGTCACTGCCACCGCAGTGACTCCCTGCACCCACAAAAATTCTTAAAACACGGTAATAAAAATAAAATAGTAATTCAAAATATAATACTTCGAAGGCAGGGACACCGCATGACGCCACCTTCCTGCTTTGGGCATCCGAAACTCCTTGCCCAGATATCAGCAGGTGCTCCCCTGTGAATTGTATGGAACAGAAAGAACACGCCAGGGTTAAAAGCCCCAAAGAAACATGATCCCCTTCTTTCACTACACTAGTTGACTCCCACCACGCCTTCCGGAGGAAGGCCCTGTTTCAGACCTGACTTTACTTGAGAACTGAACTTCCACCGGGTACTTGCACACAAAGACCTGGAAATTTGACAAAAAGAAGGCAACGCGAACCTACCCGACCAAGACCCGCAGTTTAGCGGAGTAGCGGGAGAGGCAGGCCATAGCCGGCGACGGCCGCGGCCGGCGCGAGCCCATAGGGGTTCGACCTAGCAACCCTGGGAATTTACGATAAAGACAAATCACGCCATGTCTTTTGCGAGAGGCAAGATTGTTTGGCCAGAAAACCGGACCTTGAGGCCGTGGCGGGAGAGGTAGGCTTTGGCGCCGGCGACGGCCACAGCTCCGGCGGGTTCGAGGATGGAGCGGGTCTCGTTGAAGACGTCCTTGATGGCTGCGCTGATGGCGCTGTTGTCCACCAGCACCACGCCGTCCACAAGCTCCCGGCACAGTCGGAAAGTCTCCATGCCCACCTGATCCGGCAATAAGCGATGACTAAGCATGACTGATCATGCAGAAAAATGACTAAGCTGCCGCATGATCCCGGCATGGTTAGCTCCCGGTCGGCAACATCATGACTCATCCTGGATTGATCAGGACAAGATGACTAATTATGTGGACATGACCTGGTCCTGGCACAGCCGAATGCCTCCATGCCCACCTAATCAGGATCCTCGAAGTATGATGAGTCGCCCTGGCACCTAATACTAATGCTGCACATTGACGCCCATGATGAAGATGAGAGTGTACTCTCCTGTGGTGCTTCCAAAACCTCAGTCCAGGCAGAGCATTCCTGGCATTACAACTGGCTGCTTGGAATTGCATGCAGATGAGCAAGGCGAACACGCGCAGACAATTGCAGCCCCGTTGGCAATGCATGTAGTGCACCATGGCAATGCAACTCATGCAGAGCATTCCATTTGCATAATGTCCCTCAACAGGAGCTAATATCCCGCATGGCAATGTAGAATCTGCCACTGCATTAGACTTTTTGGATGATTCATTCTTGAGTAGATTGAGATCCCTCACCTCTTTGACGGCCACGCCGTCTGCAAATGCGTCGACCTTGGACAGGGTGACTCGCCTGCCGGCCGCCAGAGACAATGCCATTGCATTGGCGCCTGTAATAATCACAAAAAAAAGTGATTGGCTATTGTCTGGGTCCATATGTGTGCCAGCCTAGGGCGTGGTCTTGAACGCATTGCCATTGTACATTGCACAGGTCATCAGTATGTTGAACCAATCCACCAAGATGTGCTTGAATGCATGCGGTGACATGGCATCAACAGACGACATGTGCAATGAACAAGCATCAGGGTCACCCAGCACAAAAATTTGTCAGATGCCCGAGACCCCTGGATTCTAAATTACCACACAAAGGCATCCATATCCATCGCATGTATCATCTTGGCCAGCACAACATCCGAATCACTCAAATTAATCAAAAGTGTTCAGAAAAGCCGAGGGAGACACACCTGTCGGCTCAACACCGATGATCTTCACACCCGGCCGCAGCGCCTTGACATATGCAGCGATACCGGCGATGAGGCCGCCGCCGCCAATGGCGACAAAGATCGCATGCAGGCCGTCCAGGTCAGCGCTGCTGAGCTGGCGCAGCACCTCCGTGCCGATCGTGCCCTGCCCGGCAATGGTGTAGGGGTCGTCGTAGGGGGCCACGAAAACTAAACCTTCCTCAGCCGCCTTTGCCTGCGCGCATGCATGCGTTCCCGCACCAAATCAGGCACAATTGTGTCTCATGCATTCAAGCACACTGTAGCGTTCCTGACCTATACTGGGACATCACCTCTCTGGGTGTCCTTGAAAAATGCGCAATACATTTCTGATCACACAACTTCGGCTTCCTGCTCATGTCCAGCACTTCAGCGTCTGTGACCTCTTCAGATCAGCCTCAAAACTGCAGTAAGCTTGACAGAAAAACAGGCCGACGTGCAGTACCACTCCGGGCATGTGCCACAGGTTTGGATGCATCGGTAAATGTGACAGATGGATACCTGTGCATGGCTCTGTGTCTCTGTGTATGACTCGCCCACCATTTCCACGGTCGCCCCTAGCCGCCTCACCGCGTCAACCTTGATACCCGGCGTCGTGACTGGCATGCAGATGGTGGCCTTGCACCCCTGCATGCACAAAGGCAGCGCCTAAATTCTGAGGGCCAGTTCATCAAACAGAACTAAAGAGATCTAAGGAGCCCTCTTATTCTAGAGGCCAGTTCAGTCAAACAAAAATACAGAATCTCCCATCTGCCACACAAGCACCTTTGCAAAGTTTATGAAGATGTAAGCAGATTGTGCAGCAGCGACACGGCAAGGTCACACAAGTCCGCACTGGCAGTCTGGTCTAATTTTAGGCTCCCCAAAATTAGAAAGAAAGTGAGCAGCGCCCTTAGAGAGGTAGGTACTTGTGCGAGTTTCCCACCAGTCTTGCGGCTGCCAGGGCCACTCCCTGTGCGTGGTTGCCGGCTGACGAGGCGATGACTCCTCTTTGCCGCTGCTCCGGTGTCAGGCTGGCCATCTTGTTGTAGGCGCCCCTCAGCTTGAAGGAGAACACCTGATGGGAAAACTTGACTCTGTCAGCACAGCTCATTTCCAGAAGAAGAAGATCCATCAAGGCCAGCAAATGGAAACAATGTAACCTGGAAGGGTAATTGCATTTATTTGGACCCCAAAAGAGATGGCAGTATCAAGTCTGCAGAACGACAGAATGCATGACAAAAGGCGCCGTGCAGCAAAAGGGATGTCAGCTGTGCTCAGTATTTGAGCCATGACTCACTCTGCAACAGCTGAGAACAACAGCAGATGTGCAGCATGTCAGCCAGGTTCAGTATCTCAGCCATGGACTCAGTCTGCAGAGCTGAGGATGTAGACCACCAACAGAATGCGCACAGGTGCCCTACTGTGCTAGATTTTTTTGTGTGCACAGTCGCCTTGCATGGCACCACTCCGTAAAAGCCAGCCTGCACCGTGTGAAATGGATGGGAGAACAAGAGGGGAATGCTGGACAGTACCGGCTGCAAGTCCTCCCTTTTGAGGAAGAGCCTGTTGTCCAGGGACAGGCTGAGGCCGGCAGCCAGCTCCAAGGGGGTCTCCACCTGTCATCCACAGTTCAGATGTGTGCAGATCAAGAAATGCACACAGAAACGGCACTTCAGTAGCTGCTGGCCACACACTCGTTGCATGCAAAAGAAGCCACTCTGTGGATGAAGGAAAAGACAAGCCTGTCCACAAACGCCTAAAGTTGAATATAGACAGATGTGACTACCGCTCTGCAAGATCCGTGTTGTGCATGCATCTCATGCACCTTCCACACACCCTTCCGGCCTCAGCGATTGCGGATACAGGCTCAAGCTAACATTGCTGGCTTTACTGTAGGCACAAGTGTAGGACTAAAGCGCACCGCCACATCGTAGACCCGGGCTGTCAGGATTTCTCTGAGGTACCCCCCCGGCTGGAAGCGCCACTGCATCTGCTGGCATCCTTCCGATGTCTGCATGCAATTGATACATGCTTCACCAACTCGTTCCTCAGTTCTGGGGCGGCATGCATGTGAGCAAGAGAAAACTTGGTCGGCAAGTATGTCTCCTGATTTTGGATATCCAGTCAGATTCAGGAGACATGGCTGTTAGGGAGGGCACCAACCTGGCACGTCGGCTCGCTGCAGCCTGTACACCTGAACACATCAGCTGGATGGCAGCTGCCGCCTCTGTCTAAGCTGCTCAGGACTCCAGGCTCCATCATCAAGTCCTCTGGCGCTCGCACTAGCTGGGTGAAGGCTTGGCTCCCATTCACCCCATGATCGTGCACCCCGCTTCCATTCCCACTGGAGGACGCTGTGCTCACAGCGCCGTTGCTGTCTGGCTGGAGTCGTCTGACGCTGTCCTGGTCAGCTGTGCTGGGCACATCTGCCAGTTCTGACGTTGCTTCTGAGGACGATGGAGCCGTCGCCGAGACAACTTGCAGCCTTCTTCGAGCAGCGGACAACCCACAGGAAGATACTGCCCTGCTGGGAGCTGTGCAGGCGGTGCATGCGCAGTCTGCATCCCTCACACCTGCCTGGCTACCAGTGGTGCAGAGGCGGAGCCCAGATCTGTGCCGAATGGGTCTGCAGGTTAGATGGAGCTTGCTACGAACATTGTTTCCCAAGAATGACGATCTCAAGGGCGCTTTCAGCTCAACACTTTGCACCACTGAGCTCAAGTTCGGCCTCTGATCCATGCTACGCTGCATAGCAGCCTTTAGAATATGTTCCTTCAAATTCAATCCAACAATCACCCATCAGAATTAAATTTGCTTAGCGAAACGAGGACTGCTTCAGGTGGTTTCTGCCGACATCCAAAACCCTGTTAAGGGGGCCACGTGGCGTGAACGTGCATGCGAAACCCTTTCACCTTCTGCATGGGCAAAGAGCGCCTCTTTGGTGTGCCCCTTTGTAAAACGAAAGATTCCCATTATTAGGACTCTAACATTGCGGCGTATATGAAGAGTTGTTTGATCTTGCGCCAGCGCTTAGAGTTAGTGCAAGGGAGAAAGGCTTGGTGGCAGCACGTGTCAATGTGGTCCCTCAGCATCTCCCATTTTTCGCACACTGTGTTGTCGAGCAAGGGTTGAGAACATACATTTTGTTACGGAGACACATCCTGTCGTGAAGTCCACCACCGCTCTGGTCTTTCGTATCATTCCTACAGAGTCCAAGCAAGGCTAGCTAGACAGCATTTTGCACCCCACCTATAACATAGTATTCTAGACTGGCGCACGCTTGCTCATACCAAAAAGAAGATCCAAAATACTGCCGGGAATCATGAGGCTGCTCATGGCAGTGTTTTCGGGCCTGGCTGCAAATGATACTGGGCACCATCACCATCACCCAGTACTGACGGACGAGCAGTGGTTCATGTACATCTCCATCGTAGTCGGACTGGTCTTGCTGGCAGGATTGATGAGCGGTCTCACGCTGGGATTAATGAGCATGGACGTTCTGGACATGGAGGTGACTGCTTTGACCAAATTACCACGTCCCAGCCCTGCTTCACCGTGCCCACACTGTAATGAAAGGGACGGACGTGCCATATTTCTAAGGAAGGGACGATGAAGCTGGGTACTGCTCTGCGAACAGGTCCTGCGCAGGAGTGGATCTCCTCAGGAGAAGGCCTGGGCGAAGCGTATTGAGCCGGTACAGATGCCTTTCACCATCCTATGCTAGCGTCTGGTAACCGAGAACTGCCAGCTGTGCACCAGAGGCATTTGAAGAGGACGAGCAGGCGAGATAAGCAGCATTTGCACATCAATTGATTATTATAATTGTAAAATTGTGCTTTGCACAGGTTTTAAGGCGCCCCCACTTCCTCCTGGTCACGCTAGTGCTGTGCAATGCTGCAGCCACAGAGGTGAGTCCAAGCATGCCATACATGGAGCTTCACAGCCTTTACTGACCCCTGTAGAACCCTCCTGTCCCCATGTTGACCATATCATTGCCATTCAATCTCCTGCATTCTATGTCAGTGTGCTTAGTTACTCACGAGGGCATACATGCGTTCACCCCTGCATTCAGGCGCTGCCAATCTTCTTGGATCGCTTGGCTGACCCTATTACTGCCGTACTCATATCCATTACTGTGGTGCTTATCTTCGGTGAGTGGACTGCCCCTCTCGCTCGTATATGAATAGAAACTCAATGCTGCAGGTCTTCTGCTGCTTGTGCCACTAAAGGCACTTGCGCTGCTGCTGCATGCTTTCAAAGGGCGGGCGAGGATAAAGTCGTGTCGCTCCTCTGCAATAAGAGTGGACTTGGGATGATGTGCTTGCCTTTGGTGCAGGTGAAATTATCCCGCAGGCCATCTGCTCCCGTTACGGGCTCCAGGTGGGCGCTTACTCAGCCTGGTTCGTGCGCGGGCTGATGATGTCATGCGCGGTCATTGCGTGGCCCATCTCCAAGATCCTGGACCACCTTCTGGGCCCTGAGCAGACGGTGAGTCATCCGCTTATGTCATCTTTTTATCATTGCAGCCCACCTGCACATTGTGTGATGCTTGTCAATGGCCAACAATGTTGTCAGTAAGTGGGCTTGGATTGGGTAATTGGCTCAGGGAGTATCTCATACAGGCTGGCTTGTGGGGCTTCATGAAGTTGATCAAGACTTTTTACACAATGTTTAGAATGATGCCATGGAGCAGCTTCACATCATAGTATTTTGTTTTATTATGGAAGATTTGAAATGGGTGCGTGATGGCGGCAGGCTCTGTTCCGGCGCTCCGAGCTGAAGGCAATGGTGGACATTCACGGGGTGGATTACGGGTTGGGAGGGGATTTGAGCGAGGATGAGATCACCGTAATACGGGGGGCGCTTGACCTGTCCAACAAGACTGCCGTCACCTGCATGACGCCCCTTGAAAAGGTGTAAACCCGGGTAACTCCTTACACTGTAAGTTTTGTCAACCCTCTGATATGATGACCGACGGCCCCTGGTGGTAGGGAACTGAACTCTCAGCTTTGAAGTCACACGTGGCTCTGGAAGATATTGTTGCAGCCTGTACTATGCTTGCAATTTGGTGGAAGCTGTATGTGTTGCTGCATCTGCTTGCCATTATTATTATTATTATTATTATTATTATTATTATTATTATTATTATTATTATTATTACTACTACTTTACACGCTTTTCCTGCCAAAAAACAAGGTATGTCCTGCAGACAAGCTGCAGTCAAAGGCTGCCATTATCCTACCCATTGTTGGACTCGTGAAAGTCAAGCAAGGCTTGTATGCCACCCATCCTGACACTTTAATAAATGACAAAGATCAAGCGAGTTCCTGCTTTTTGCCCAGGTGTACATGCTGAGCGCTGACATGCTGCTAAATGAGGCGGCGCTGCTATCCATTCTGGAGTCTGGCCACAGCCGCATACCAGTGCACAAGCCCGGGAACAGGTTTGTTGATGTCTTGTCATCTCAAATAATATTTGCTCATAATGCACGTCCTTCTTGCCACTCCTTCGATGGTTGCTGCCTTTTTTAAAGACGCAGACATCCAGCTATCCTGACCCTTATCATTCTTTTCAAGTCTCACCTACGTGTCTGCTCATTACATTCTGAGTGTTTCTGTTGCTTCATGCAATTCCCCTCCGGCACCATTCCCCATTGTCAGTGCCAGCAGGGGTTACTCGATGAAACAGTTGTATTTAGTATCCCCCTGACCAGCCTAGATTGTGTCTGTTCTGACCTGCTCAGTGGGGTTTTGCGCGGCTGCAGGAAGGAGCTGATCGGCATCATCCTGGTCAAGGAGCTGATACTAGTGGACAAGGAGGCCAGCACGCGCGTGGGCGAACTCAAAATGCGATCAGCGCCGCAGCTGCGCGCCGACACGAGACTATATGACATGCTGCGGCTGTTTGAGACCGGGCGCTGCCACATGGCCGTGCTCGTGCAGCCGCCCGCGCAATCCACCCCACGGCCCAGCACCGGTGGGTACACCGTTTGTCTCGCTGCCTGTTCTGGCCGTGTCAGTACTGCCTGTTCTGGCCGTCTCACCACTGCCATTACTGCCTGTTCCCTCCATACTGCCTTTTGGTTTGTTGGGCGCTGTTCTGTCTGCTGGCTATGTTCATTTTCTTGTTGCTTGCAAAATCCACCCCGCCGGCCAGCACTGGTGTGTTTGCCTCGTCGCCTGTTCTGGCAGTGTCACTGTTGCCCTGTTCTGATTCCTTGCCTTCTTCTCGGTCACTGCCATGTGAGCACTGTCGCCTGTTCTGGTTACAGTGCTGAAAGGCCAAACAAATTGCCTCTGTCGCTACTTTCGGTGCCACATTGCTGACTGTTATGTGTAGGGTCCGCTCAATGGTCCATGAGTTATCACTACACTAATAAGAATGTCTGCTACCTGATATGACGGCACACAGCCCCAGGGCATTGCAAAATTTCATATTGAAAGAGTGATAGATTGCCTAGAAATCCTACATTAGAGTATGTCCTGCAGGCTCAAAACCGCCACTGTCGCCGGCCACACCGGAGGGCGCCGATGAGGCATCTAATCCACCCAGCGCTGAGGTGTGCTCTGAAAGTTCAAAATTAAGTTCAGAATACAGGATTCAGAGTGAGACCGTTCTGGTCAGCATGTGTGTGCAAGAAGGACAGTTGCTCATGTGAGCTTGTCATGCATGCTCATGACTAATGACATGATGCTGGCATCATTGGTGCAGAACTCTGTAAGAGCGGGGGATCAGAAGTGGCCAGTACATCATGCCGAGCCGCTGGGGATCATCACTATCGAGGATGTCATCGAGGAGCTGCTACAACAGGTACATGCCCCTTTTCTCAAGGGGATTGGCCCTGCACCTAAACTTACTGGCTCATTGGAATGGTTCTGCACTGTGAGGAAGCAGCTTGACCCACCGTCCTCTACGGCGCGTCTGGCGCTTCCATGATCTTCTCAATCGTCTATGTGCTGTCCGTCTATAGCCATAATGATGACTTGCGAATGCAGGTTCAGGTTTACCAGCTCCTTCAAGGACTTACCTTAGTATTTCTGAGTCTTGTAATCAGAGAGGAACATATTGTGAAAATGGAAAAACCCATGCAAACGGGGTCTGCTTTTGCTATTAGAAGGCTGGAAGGGCAAGTGAAGGACGCCTTTGTGTGGTACTTGCAGGAGATTGTGGATGAGACGGATAGGTATATAGACAACCTGCGGTTGCAGAGAGTGAACGCCGCGCTACTGACGAGCAGCCTGCCCAAACACCTGCGCAAGTGAGTGCCAGCCCTTGCAATATCATGTTTACTATGCTGCACTGCTCGTGCCCTTGTCAGTACCTGCCCATCATCATGCCCACTGCATCCCAGAATCCTTGATTACCTGCTAGGGAAGGCGCATGTAAATATTGCAAACTTGTGATGAATGGCATTGGTTGATATGATGTCATGGAATCTTTGCAGGTTGGCGAGGCAGCAGATTACCAGAATTGGGGCATTGGCACACTTACGGGGGAATAACCAGATTACCAGATCGCACCCTCCCACATACGCCCCGGTGAGTGGGACTGCCCTATTTTAAACTCTGTCTTTTGGATCCCCTATTTGCTATATGAGCCCCCATCTATCAAGAATCAACAGCCATCGAGACCAGACTCTTGTTTGTACATATTGAGTCAGTCTTCATATCAGCCAAGCAGACTATTTTTTCTGCATTCCTGCCTTGAATGGCATGCATTGGACTGCCCTACCCAGAGGCAACTGGCTGCCTCAAGGTCCAGTAATGTGAACATGCCAGAGGTGACTCGCATGGGTACATGCATTTCACATTACACTCGAGGCAGCCCTTTCCCATATTGAGCAATTACACTGCCTTTCATGTCTCGTGGTCTGAGTGTTCCGTGTTCTGTCTGACTTTCATTACTTTTGCAAGGGTGAGTGTTGAGCCTTGGGCCTTGTGTGTGCAGCCGCGGGCAAACATGGAGCAACAACCAAGTGATGACTACGAGAGTGACATTCACATCTCCCTGCTGCCGCCGGGCAGGCGATAACAGACAGCTTCCTGCAGCTTCCTGCAGCTTCAATCCCGCTACCCTTCATGGACTTGGACAGTCTCTGTTCTGACGGCTGTGCCTGGCACTCTGTACCGCAAGTACCAGTGCTCTGAAATAGAAAGACTGTTTTGCTGTTTTGAGGGCTGGCCAGAATGTTCTGGGCAAATGACGTATTCTTGGCAGATTCCGCGGATCCTGGGCAGTACAGATGGGCCCATTGCAAATTGGCAGCTTGCGTGGACTCAATTATGCAGACACCTATTCAGGACTGGTTTTCGGTACTGCTGTTTTCAATAGGACCCTGGAGATTTCGGGACAACATAAACTTGGATCTCTGGAGATTCTGGGCTGAATATGATTTGTTTGCACGAGTGATTAGCAAATGAAGAGCCATTTATCGGACTACAAAGCCCCACTGAGAGGCTCCCCTGAATTTGGCTGAGCCAACTTTGCTCCTGCTGACTCTATAGAAACCTTTGCACGATATGATATTTTCACTGAAAATTATGTTCACCAGGACTGGAAGGTGCCATTGCCCTTCATTTGCGCCTGGCATGCAGCTCTGGGGCATATGCTTGTAGGGACCCCGGCCATTGCCTTGAGCTGGCAGGTGTTTTGAAGCCTTGCTGTAGGAAACTCCAAGGCTTGAAGTCAAGCTTAGCTGAACGTCCACAGATGAAGCACGCTTGCTTTGTAGCACAAATCACACGGGAAACCTCAAGTAGGTAGATATTGCAATTGCATTTGCCTTTGAATCAGCTAGTAGTGTAGCCTTGTGCCTGTAAATCTGCAATGATGGTCCATCATGTACCATGATGGTCCCGGAGCACACGCATACATCTAGACGCTCTTGAGACACAAAGTGTTCTGCATCTAGGCAGCCTCATGAATGTCACTGTGCAACTACAATGTCAGGGAGGAGTTCCAAAGGTGGACTAGACACATTGCTCCCAGGTGTTTGGAACTTGCAGGAAGGGTTGCAATAGTCAAGGACAGAGCATGCCTTGGCATGTGGAGGCACGTGCTTCGTTCAGTATTCGAGATAGCCTCAAACCAAATCAGGGGATAAAGAAGCAATCCAGAAGCAGCAATGTAGACAATAAACCTCTTTGAGCTATTCTGACAAGGGAAGGCCTCTGTTGGCAGGACTCTCGGGCCTTCGGACATCCCGAATGCTAAAGGACGGATTTACAGGATCGCAACGCACGAGTGGGTCCGCAGAGCACAGATTGACATTGATAACAGAATCAAGCAATACTTACGGCGAGAGCCCTCTACCAGAGCCGCAACTGGGGTGATCCTGAGCCTGTACTAGAAACGTGAGTGGAAAGACACCTCCAGTCAGCATTAGCCAGTGAGCATTGGGAATGTCACCCGGCTCTTTACAAGTTGTTCAAGTGTTATTCTAATATTATCACCATATCCATGTCCTCACGGCGACTTTTCGTGCAATATGGGCACAACGTAAGAGGGGCATGGCTGGTGCAGCCAGGAGCAGGCTGGAGAGCTGGAAGAAACTGGCTCTATCGTAGCACAGGGCAGGTCTGCTTTGGACGTCGACATGCGGCCGCCAACGTCAGATTCGGGCGCAGCAGAGCAGCAGCAGCATTTGCTTGACAAGGAACCCTCGCCGCGCCATCAGGACAGGACTGCACGCTTCCGGGCTATACTGGAGGAAGGCCATGCAGCAGCAGGGATCACCATTACGATTGCCCTGACCCTGGGACTCCTCCTGGGATTCACCCTTCCCACAGACAAGGAAATCCCAGGTGCACATGCTTGCTCACACTGCCATCTCAAAGCCTGCCAAGACCTGCTTGCTGTCAATACTTTTCCCCTTGGGATCCTAGCATTGGTTTTTTTTTCAATACATGCAGGTAACCTGACATTTCTTTGTGTCCCTGCAGCCGGCTACTCACGCCTATCGAGTGTCTTTGGGTGGACATACTTTGCATGCTGGTGAGGTTTCCTAATCCCCACTGCAATTCCTGGACTGCTGCAGGGCAGAAGTAGTCGATTGTGAGCCTCAATTCTCCAGACCAAATCAAAATCGTCTATTTGAATGAGATTTCGCTGTGGTGGCATGTGCTTGCAGGTGGGTTGGCTGGTATCCGCAGCTGATCCAGAACTTCCTGGGGAAGACTGTTGTGGGAATCTCCTTTGACTTCTCCATCTACAACTTCATCGGCTTTGTCTGCTACTCCACCTTCAACTGCGCACTGTTCTTCAGCCCTGCCATCCGCAAAGAGTACAGGTGCGGAATTTGCTGCTTGAGAGCTCCGAATACATGCTGCTGTTAGAGTCACAAGCATCATTTGTATCTCATCATTTTTTGGCAGCCAGAATGCTGAGAATGCTGAGCTGCAATTCTTGCAAAAGAATTGTATCATTTGTATCTTGCAAGAAAACCCCCTGATACTGTGATAGTAGCATGCATGCTGCCTTGGACTTCCAAAGCTTGAAAAAACCAAGTCATCATGTGCGGGCCCCTTGTGCATGGACTGCTTGCTCACCCTTATGGTGATTTACGGTATTTTGGTTTTTTTTTATTAGTGTGAATATATATATATATATATATATATTTTAAGTCTCTGTAATGTCGACCTGGGCCCAGACAAGATGTCCCAGAGTCAATTGCGCTGACAAGGCAGGGCCTGCTGACATAGGAGCTGGCACGGGGGATATGACAGCGATGTACGTGCGAATGACGTGGCATTCTCGCTGCATTGCAATCTCATGACCGTGCTGGGCCTCACCCAAATCATCATGTATGAGAGGGGAGGCCAAAAGGTGGGCCCCTTGTTGACATGGCGCTTGATGAGAGTACTTGACTCACCGGCACATGCTATAGTTTGCATGCAATTGTGGGGAAGGACGGTATTTAAACTGCCAACTGTGTAACGGAATGCAGACACATCAGGAATTTGTGATATGAAGATGGGCAGAGGACTGCCTACAAGATTAGAGAGCCTCAAGTGGCTCCCAACAGGTCTCTAAAATGTTAATAATGATATAATCGCGGTTTCTGTGGTTCACCATTACTGATGCAGGTTGCTGGAATTATATAAATATTGTATTGTCTCTTAGTGGGTGTGAAGCGGTCAGCTGGATGAGCTGAAAAGGCCCAGAATTCCCACTCTGCGTGGTGCATGTCACTGTTCAAGTTTTTAACTTTCAAATCACAAATATTTGAAATTCGAATGTTGATATTGAAGGTGATATTTCGCAGGTTTCGCGCGTGTGTTGGATAGCGTGCTCAGTGGTGGGCCTCTTGTGCGCTGCTTACTTGGCCGCCACAATTTTTGGCGTGCCCCATTTCTCAGCGCTCGGCTTCCTGTACCTTCTCGGCTACGTGAAGCTGGCTGCCACCATTGTCAAGTAGGTCCCCTCATCATTAGCTCAGCTCAAATCATATCTGCAATCCACATGGCCTTGTTTATCTGCAGTTGCAGTTGTGAACTCACCTGGAGTGCTAACGCAGTGCAAAATTTGCAAGAGGCCTGCATTCCCACGTACTCTTTTCTGAGGACTTGTCTTTCATTGCTTGGAACTACGTAAGATGGACAGCTGGCTTGGCTGGTCGGCAAGCTCCCTTCAGTCTTGACTGCTGGTTTTAAGCACAGTCTGGTATCAAATCATTGGATTGACATGCCACTGGTGGAGAAAGTGCCAAGACAGGGAAGGCTGGAGAGGAATTGTTGAGAGGTTGCTGCAACGCACCTAGCCCTGAGGGCTGGAACAAGCATGTGATAATGATAGCGATAATACTTAAATTGAGCACATGAGCTCCAGATTCAATGCGTATGTCTAAGGGAAGTTGTGTGCGTTTGCAGGTATCTGCCACAGATGTGGCTGAATCACAAGCGGAGGTCCACTGACGGCTGGAACATTTCCAACGCCCTCACTGACATGTCTGGCGGCTTCTTCTCCCTCGCACAGCAGTTCCTGGATGCATATGCCCTGCAGGTGCTCAGGCTTTCCCATGCTTTTTTTCTCTTTTTTGCTGTTCTCTATCTTTCCCATGACACCAATCCTCAACGCCCAAGGAGGAATTGGACGCATGTCAACAGTCCTCGTAGATCCAGATTCAGCATGCATGGTATGGTATATTTGTATTAGGGTTTCTGTCGCCAGCAGATATTCTGGCGTGGTCATGACTGACAGCTACAGCATTTTTATAGAAGTCATCTGTGAGATCGACTGCCAGTGATGCTGAAAGTGGGAGTGACACGTTCCAGTATTGGCTGTGCAGGACATCACGATAGTGACAGGAGACATCGTGAAGTTTGCGCTCGGCATTGTCAGCATCTTGTACTGCCTCATTCTGGCGGGGCAGCATTACTTCATGTACCGGACACCTGCCGAGAAGCTGGGGCGGATTGAGGAGGGTGAATCCGGAGGTGAGTCTGAGCTCGTCAAATCCCTCCTGTTTCTCTTGGTGATTCAGTATGCCATCAGCCATGGAGATTCAGTGCAAGACTCTGGTGTCTGAGTCACTTTCCATGGGCCACTCAAAGGTGGTCTAGAGGATTGTGATCTGAACAAGAAGATTTAGATGTCAAAGGAAGGGAATCCGAAATTTTAATAGATTTTCAATAGCTCCTTAGATGGCCTAGGCAGTTCAAGAGAGAATGCCAGACATGAAGGCAGTGCAGTTATAGTTTAATGCATGCAAGCAAGTTACTCCTGCTTTCTCTGCTGCCTGCCCCGGCTGGCAGGGGGCAGTATTGTTTATTGAGCACCGTGTTCAAGGTTGATGGGGTCTTGCTTGGATCTTGCGAGTCCAACAAGAAACGGACTTTTGATAGCCGTCAAATATAGCCTGTCTGCAGATGCCTCGCCTCTGGCAGGAGCATTGTGTATTAATGATTAATTTCTGCATGTCAACAGGCAGCGAGGAGGGACCTCTGCTCAGTGGACAGCAGCCCGGCGGACTGAGAAGGGATGGGCAATTGAGCGCACAGGTGGTCCTGTGATTGAGGGCTGAAAATCATTTGGCTGGCAGCCAAAATGCACCAATGAATCTACACATATTGAGTAAATGCTCATTGGAACGCCTGTACCAAGGTTGAAAATTCTGCTATTATAGTAATTCCCTCATTTCTGCGATCTATGCATAAAAGCACTGCTGGACGGCAAGGTTTCATTTTATGTGCTATCATTCTTATGTTGCTGTGTCATGCTGTGTTTTGGAGCAGCACAGCCTAGAAAATCGGTGAAATTCGATTAGAAATTCGATTTGTCTCAAAGATCATGTCATTGGGACCTGACGAGATATCCAAAATTTGCAGAGTCACTCTGGTATACGGTGTACGGTATCGGTGCAGAAGCTTTGCAGTATAGATGACATTCAATGATGACAAGTTGTCATCATGACAATAACAACTTGGAGCTGGCTGTTGAGCTGTGCAATACGTAGAGCGGAGAGCTATTGATATGTAAGCGGCAGTTCTACTGTTTTAATGTTGCCGAAGGCTACAGGCTGCAGAATGCATATATTTTACAACTAGACAACACTGTAGTCACTACGGTATAAAGCTGAGCGTGCATGCATTAAGGCATCCTACGGATCACCAGGCGTGATATCGACAGTGTCTTTTTGTGCAATTCAACCTAGTTGGTGAAAAGCCAGTAAAAAGTACACTTTGTATCGAGTGAAAAGATTTCTACAAAAGGGACGCATGCATGCAGCTTATCCGTTCTGTGCATTGGAGGACAATTGGCATGTGCACACGTCATCACAGCACGCTTTTCATGGGTTGCAACCACATATCACAAATATTCAGTGTTAGCTCCCATAAATATTCTTTCCAATACATGTGCGTTTGTTTTCTTTGATGAAAGTAGCATAGTGCTGAATGCACTGTCCATATGTCTCTCCATAGAAAGCCTAATAGTAGCACCTTTTTTCCCATGGCTTGAGGAGTGCGTCAGCAACGAGTACCATCGAGCTCCTTTGAACCAGAGGCCTCATTGATGCGTGAATTTTATGGTTGTTATCTGCTGCAGTCAAAGAGCGAAAAGGCTAAAGGCAAGACTTATATCGGGTAAGCCAGATGCATAGGTTGCACAAGACAACACACCTTTTGCAGAAGGCGCATACAGAGGATTATCAGAATACTTTTCTTTGATATGCCAGTAGCTCACATCCTGCTGCACAGGTTCACTGTGAATCCGAGACGTCGCATCAGGCAGCATAATGGAGAGATATCTGCTGGAGCTTACAAGACCAAATCGTGCGTTCAGACTTCCCTATTGAAGCAATCTTTTGCTTTACGTCTCTCACGCTTTGAAACCATGCATCTAGAATACTCAAATGCAGAAGTACAGATACTTGCCGACTGCCTGATGCAGGGGAAGGCCTTGGAGTATGGTCTTGGTTGTGTATGGCTTCCCGACTAAGGTACTGAGGCAATTGCTTGTTGATATTTCTGTGTCAGAGACTTGAATTTGATTGGGATTGTTGCATGACAATGAGAGGACTGGTGGCTGAAGGGTTGCAGTGTCCATGAACAGGTGCAGGCTCTGCAGTTCGAGTGGGCTTGGCAGCACCCTGAAAAGTCCTTGGCCTTGCGAGAGGCGGTCGCTACTCTCAAGGGCACTGTCAAGCGCGCGGGCCTCACAGGAGCAAAGGGCAAGGTACATGCCCTTGAAAAATGTCAAAGCAATGAGATGTCCTCCCGCATTATTGTGATTCTCTGCAATGCCTGACTGCTGGTAAGAGTTAGTATGTGTACGCGTGATACTTGACCGTCATTTGGGACATGGCATGGCACTGCCTTTGCATTGAATTGTCTCGTTGTGCACCACATCAATAATTTGCGTGTCGCTGAAGAACCACCTAGTAATGATCATGTGGCACTGCTGTTGCAGCTGCGGCTACTGGAGCTGCTGTTGAGCTCTGAGCAATGGCGATACTTCCCACTTTCAGTGCAGTTCCTCTCCTCCGAGTTCGCTCCCCTTCTGTGCGGCCTGCCGCCCCTCCCGCCCCACGTCCCTGTCACTTTCGCCCCTCCAGAGGTGAGTCACCTGCCACACATCTCCAGTCGCATCCCTGTCTTGTGCAATTTTTCTGCCAGAAGGAGCAAAGCATTCTCTTAATTAAGCAAGCAATGCCCGGCAACAGCTGTGGTGGTGTGAAGAGAAGGGCTGCAAAGAGCAAGGGCTAGGCATCGGGATAATTTGTGCTGACAAATTGTGTGCGCAGGATCTGCCGGTGGTAGTAGAGGATGACTACGATGAGGGGCCGATCCGTGACGACGGCGATGATGTCAGCGCGCAGCTGGACGCAGCCACGGGAGAGGAGGGCGCTCCCTGTTCTGAAATTGCTGCTGAGCTCAAAGCAGCAGCGGAGGCTGAGACTGCGGCCCCTGCGGCGAAGGGCACCAGCTGTGTGGTGTGCGAGAAGAAGGTGCTGCAAAGGTGGCTGGCATGCACCTGCGGAGCTCGCGCTCATGTGGCGTGCCTGGCACAACATTATATCCAGGTACGGCCCCGTGCTTCAGTTTTGTGCTTCTTTCATTCCCCTTCGAGTTGTGCTGTTGTCAATGCCTGATACCATATTCAGTCCGCCCAATACTGGGGAGGTGGTCGCCAGTGGCTGCGCCAGGATATGGCCTGCCCAAATTGACATCGAGAAATGGAATGGAACGGAATTGAATGGAGGCTGAGGAGCTCGGAACACTAGGAAAATTACAATTCAATAAGTGAAAGAGCCTCAGATATGCGTTTAAACGTGATGTAAGATTCATCTGCGGACCATCTCTAGTTTAGTTCAGCATTGCATGGACATTCTGTGAGCCAGGTGTGGGACTCTGCAAAGGCACACAGTGTCTGATGAGCAGATATTGATTCGCTCATGCAATGGCATGGCAACGTTGTCAGGGTGTGATTTGGCTGATCGGTGGTTTGCCGTGTGCAGGCAGACGCGTCGCAACCGTTGATGCCGCAGGAGGGCAACTGCCCAGCGTGCGGGGCGAGGTCATCCTGGGTGGATGCGCTGGCGCGGGGTGGATCCACTGGGTGGGCGCAGAATCGCTCCCGCGGCCGCAACCGCGCCCCCCTGAAGGCCGACCCCAAACTTAAGTGCGTTTTTGAAATATTGCGGCCTCCTTCTGTGCTCTCTTTAAAGGAGACTTGATGTGCAGAACACCTACTGCTATGTTGGATGTGGGGCTTGATGGGATAGGTTAACAGGAGTTGTCGTAGGATGTGCTGTGCAACAGCCATTTGTGCCTGTGGTACAGGCGTGCTTCTAAGGCAAGCGCTGCCAAGTCAACGGCAGCGACCAGCGCGCTGGAGGGACCGTCGGGTGCGGGAGATGAGGGCACAGACACGGCAGCCGCCTCTGAAGCTCAAGCAGGGCCGCAGCGCGCAGCAAGAGGGGCCAGCAGTAGCCGGGCCCGCTGCGGCCGCGGCGCACGAGGCCGGGGCCGCGCAAGCCGCGGCAAGACTGGCGCAGCGGTCGGCAATGCCGACGGCAGCAGCGCCGCGGCGGCAGCCGCTGTCGACGCCATAGAGACGGCTGCGGTGGCGCCGTGCGGCGCGGACAAGCGGCCGGCGCGCGGCCGCAGGCGAGCCGCCGCATCCGCGTCACTCCCCGCCGGCCCCACGGTCCAGGCTGCAGCCAGCGCCCCCCTCCCCTCGGGACACTTCCTGGGCAGGGGCAAAGCTTCCGGCTTCTCGTCCCATGCTCCCACCGGATCGGCGGCGTCGCCGTCCATGTTGTCCCCTGGAAGGGCGCCTGGCAGCAACAGAAATTTCAGCAGCAGCCCAGAATTTCTAGCCACAGCTGCGGACAGCGCAGAGCCATGGTGCTACGATGCCAGCCCGCGTGCAGCATCTGCATCTTGCGGCTCCCAAGACTGGCCGCTTGCCTCGGCCAGTCAGCAGCAGTCAGTCAGGGGACGTTTAGATGAAGACAACGACATCATCACTGGCTTTACTGACGTCAGCGGCAGCCCTGAGCAGGCGATCCCGCTAGAAGAGGATGCATGGTGCTATGTTGCCGGCTCACCCGGGGGTTTTGCGGCGCGCAGATCAGCAACGCCACGTTCTGCAGGGGTGTCCCCTGCGGGGTGTTCAGCGGCGGGCAGGGAAAGTGCTGCACTCTCAGAGCCGGTCTGCCTCGTCAGCGATTCTGACAGCGAGGCTCCAGGCCCCAGGTGTGCATGCCATTTTCCTCCGCAGTAAACGCATAAAATTCTGGAAAGCGTTGGTAAAAGTGCCAGACCCTGTGATTTTGCTGCTTGCCCTTGCATGTGTGTTCAGCACAGGGCATGCAACAAGGTAGTGCAAGGTACACTCAGAGAGGCTATGGCATGCACACAACACGCAGTTGCAGTGATACTGTATGGTATTGTGCTGGTCTCGCCAAGATTAATCTGTCTTTTTGTACAAAGATTTGGCACCAGGATTCCCTTTGAACAGCCTGCCAACTGATGGATTGCTTGCTGCTCATTTGCAGGGAGGCAGCGGGGCTTGTCAGCTGCGCAGCAACAGCAGGCGCACTTCCACGCCTGGAGATAGCCGCCAAGGCGCAGAAACGCGCCAGGTGCCTGCCTCCTGACCTCTCTTAAAGCAAGCCATGCCAAGGACACCTTCTTGTCCCGCCAGCCTCACTGTGTCGAGTGCAGACACTCTTTTATCTCTGCACCAATCCCCCATTCCACTACTGGACGCACAGAAGGGAACCACAGTCAAGTTCGAATTCACCGGCACTTTCTAAATCCGCAACAGTGGATGCAACGAGCGGGCTGACGCATGCTGTGCAGCGGCTGTGCAGGTCTGGGAGCAAGCCGGGCATTGGCGCCGGCAGCAAGAAGAGCCCTCGACTCGTCGCCGTTGCGGCCCCCTCCGGCCTTGATGCAGGTCCCCATGAAGCCCTGGGATCTCCCCCGCAGTCCTACCCACCGGGTGGCGCATCCCCCGGTGCCGTGCCCGGTCACTGCCCGCCAGGCGCGATTAGTAACGATGCTACGACGGCCGGTGCCTGTTTTGGCAATGGCCCGGCAGAAGCCAGTTCTGGCGGGGCCACTCCGGTTTCGGCCTGGATGGCGAGCAAGCTCAGCCTTCGGGGGTCCAGGGAGGGAGCAGGTGATAACATTTCTGCCAAGTATTTTGTCTCTCTATACCGATTTCGCTGGTCTTTTGTAGACAGCTAGGCTCGTCTTTGCGGTCCTGCCTTCCATGTCAGATGACTCTCCAAGCTTGCAGCCGGTATCTTGATATCCATTGCAGTGATAGCCTCTGCTACCCAGCGCTCAGGCAGGAAAAAATGGGATTAGCAGGAACCCTACCACCGGTGCAGCAGATGAAGTTGTCAGGCATGCATTCAAACAAGAGTCAAAGTGCAGTTGACCCATGCATTGGTAGAAGACCAGAGGACAGCAAAGAACCTGTGCATTGCAGGGTCTGCGAGAGGGTCGGGGGATATGGCAGGGGAAACCCTGGACAGCCCGCTGTGCGTTCCCTCCCCCACGCCCCTGCGCCGGCGGCTGGCGTTCCGGGGCGCGCCTGTTCAGGCTGGCAGGGGAGATATTGCGAGCGAGGATGGGGTCATTGTGATCGACTGAAGCACTGCCCACAGAGGGTGCTGCGGCTACTGTATGCGACATCAAGCTGGTCAAAGAGCTCCTCTGGCAAAGCTATCTCATGTACATCAAGGCAGCTTGAAGCTTGGGGTGTCATCCTTCAATGATTACCAATTCCGTGGGAAACTTGTACACTAATTATGCTGCAGCTGCATCCATGTTGGCTGGCTGCATAGCTGGCAGGAGCTTTCGTCCGTGACCGGATGTGCCATGATCACTGATCTCGAATAATCTAGATCTAGATCTTTCATCTGTATATTGCAATTGAGAGTGGAATAACTGGGTGCGTCGTTTGAGTGGGCAAGAGTGGAAGAGTAGACACATCAAGTAGCTCTGCTCATGACAGTCGAGAGTGTAATCTCCTTTGCAACATGCTAGGATGGAGGCTTGATGCAGTAAGTTTCACCTCGGCTGTATCTAGATACGATCTCGGAAGTGTTGGGTTCCGGAACTCAAATGGTTGTGATGGAAGAAGTAAGGCTTGCAATATTTCGAGGGCTAGCACGTTTCCGTGGGTCACTCACTGACAGGATCGTTGAGGGTGTACCACCCTTCCATACGCATCACCATTTAACTTGCCGATCCCCGATCCCCTTGCACTATTCGTCTCGAGGAAGACCGTTGAAACGAGTGTCTAAGCAACGTTAGCACTGTATAAAGAGACATCCGCTAATGATTCATGATTAATAGGATTAATGCAAGAGTGACATTGTTCACTGTGCATGGTGGGCGACAAACACTGTGCTACTTGGGGACCAAGTACTCTGGAGTGATGTAGGAATGTTCGCAACACTCGCATCGATCTTAAATAAATGTTTCCTTACCAGACGGAATAATATATCTCGGGGTACTCCGGCTTAGCCATGGCAAGGCGAACCGTCAGCAGGCCATTGGAAGGCCTGTCAGAGAGCCAGGGCGATCTGCACCTTGAGACGGGCGGGCTCCCGCCCAGCGGCCCTCACGGCCGATTTGCTCCCGTAGATCATGCGACAGGGGCCCAACCAGAGCCAATTCTGCGGAGGCTGCGCTCCAAGGATGAGGAGCTCCCAAACCAGCCACTGCAGAGGTGTTGTCTTTGCCTGTCTATAAAGTGTTTGATCAGGTTCCTGAAGATCTCCAAAACGCACTTTAAGAGCTTGCTCCGTTGTCAGCTATATAAACTTTGCAGTGATGTAAGTGCCCATTTGCCTATGGCTTTTCTCAGACTATCGCAGCCAACTTAAATATCCAAGCATACCATTACATGCATGCATGTAAGACTTACATAGTACACCGGATATGGGTATGGGTTTGCTGTGACCTTGTGTCTGATCCAACATTATCAGAGTTTTGTGCACACCCATGCGCTGAGTCTGCTGTCATATATGATGTGACATGTGGTATATCTTTGGCCCAAGCTGGCAATGGACGGTGTATAGACTGAGCACCGTGCCCACGGTTGATTGGGTCTTGCTTGCTCTGGCCCGTTCAAGAAGAGGTAGGATTGTGGCAGCGTTTACCTGCAGCTTGTCGGCTTAGGCACCATGCCTCTGGCAGCAGAAGCGTGTACTAAATTACAAAGATGTGAAATATTGCACAGGCTGCGCTTTCTCGACATAGCTCGCGGTGCCACGATGGCGCTGATGCTGTTTGTGAACCACGCGGGTCACGAGGTGCCCTGGGTTGCGCATGCAGCATGGGACGGAGTCCACCTGGCAGACTTAGTCATGCCCTGCTTCCTGCTGCTCGTGGGAGTCTCTGTCGCGCTGTCCCTCGGGCCCCGGGCCTCGGGACCGCGCCGGCCGCTGCTGCGGAAAGTTCTGGCCAGGACAGGTGCGCCGGCATGTACTACATTGTTCAAGTATGGAAGAGTGCATTGGCCATGGCGCATCTATTACTTGCCCATGAACTGCAGGGACTCTGGTGATGTGTGTGTAATATTGGCTGATGACCAGATGAACAGTTCTAGTACACTGTATATAAACTTTATATACAGTGTACTAGAATGAAATCCCTGCAACCCCTGCATTATGTAGCTTGGACAGCAGCTGCAAATAATCTGCAGGACAACGTGCACATCCCTCCGACGCAGGAATGCAACGAAGGGCATGCAAAGCAAAGAGCTGGTTGCATATCGGGATACTCATATGCCGTGTACCAGGTCTTCAACATCTGTGAATGTGGGCCCGCATAGGGAAGCTGGCGGGGCTGGGGTTACTGATCCAGGGCGGCGTGGGGGCGGGGGCGTTCCCTGCCTGGGACCTGTCGAGATTACGATATTGTGGCGTGCTGCAGCGCATTGCGCTGTGCTTTGCGCTCGTCTCCCTCGTTGTGCTGTACCTCCCTCAGACCCCCAGCCCCCGCCTGCAGGTGCTCGGACCCCCTTGCCTTGTAGCTCATTTCTCCAAGTGCTGCCAAACTTTTTTTCAGGGATTGTTAGCTGTCTGCATAAGCGGCTGGACCACACATGCCCATCTCTGCCATTTCAGTACATGAGCCCTGCATGCCTGCTAGATATTCTGCTTGGGCCACTTTGCATTGGAGACAAAAGATGCAGTAATGCTAATGCTGTGGAAGGAGACATTGGTGACGGAGGCATGCGGATGTTGATCTGTGACAGCCTGTTTGGCACTCAGCACTCCTCAAAAGATAATCTGTGGACGTCTGCACAGCTCAGTCCCTCGCAAAATTGTGCATGATCGGTGACGTGATCCAACGAGTCATGCCTGTGCAGAGTCTGTTGGACCGTGGTGATGAGTCAGCCTCTCTGATGGCGCCCTTCAGATTCTACGCGCTCTGGTGGATCTTGGGCACTGCATTATTTGTTGGTACGCGCCAGACCATACATGCATTGCATCTTTGTGCTTCGGCTACGCACCTATACAACATGTCAAGTTGGGATCATCTCTGATTGTGGTCATCAGTGTGCAGCCCTGGGATCAAGTCTGCTCTGATATAGCATCATTGCCGGGTTTCTTCTAAGGATCTCTCTTTGCTGCCCCTTCGAATCAAGAAGGGGTCATGAGTTGGGTTCAATAAAACACTCATCCCAACTGCATAGCCGGGCCTAATAAATACAGCTTGATGTCAAAGCTCAAATTCTCTGGGCTGTTTGTGCAGCCGCCCGGGTGTCTGATGCACCAAGTCCTCATAGCTTGCCAACCAGTGCAATGATAGACATAGTTAATAGAGTATGTTTGCATCAGAGCAATCACAGCAGAGTGAAACAAACGTTCTGCGTGCATTTCAGAGTTCAATTGGGTGGCGCTGTTTTGTGCAGCTGCCCGTTTGTGTGATGTGCCCGGGTCCCAGGAATTGGAAAGGCGTGTTACAACGAGATAGGAAGAATTAAAAAAAAATCTAGTGTTTCGCCTAAAGCTTGAACCCCAAAGACTCTCAAACTTTTTTGTGCGTTGCAGCATTCAATTGGATGGCGCTGTTTCTGCGGCCGCCCGGGTGTTTGGCGCGACCGGCGCTGACGGCTGACTGTAATGTGGCGGCTTATGTGGATGCGCGGCTGCTGGGGCGTTCCCATCTCTACCCCTGGCCCTCCTGCCGGCGTGCCAACCCCCCCTGTGAATACCTGGACCCTGAGGTAATTAATATAATCGAGCATGCTGACCTTGTGATCATTTGTGTTCTTCCAGCATGCACATGCGTGTGTTGCATGCAGGTGGCGTTTCTCCCAGTCATGGGAAGTCTTTTCCTGCTAAACTTGATTTATCGGTGTTGCATGGCAATGGCGCTTCCCTGGACAGATCCAATACCGAATTGCCAATTTTATTATCACGCGCTGCCTGTGGCAATCTGGTCATTACTCGATGGACAGTGTCTTGCCCTGCAGCCCTTGCAAGACTAGATCCTCATTCAGAGAAAGAAAAATGCATACATCAAGGCAGAGCGGGCGCCATAAGATGTTTGTTGCTGCTCCTGATTGACTCCCTGGCTCTTTTAAGCTGCACACTCCCTTAAGACTGGCTGCTCTTGAGCCTCTTATAAAGTGCAGCTCAGAATAATTGGTCTATCTTTAGTCCAACATATCCATGTTTTGGCGGCAGGGCCTGTTTGCGACGCTGAGCGGGGCCCTGGCGAGCACGTTTCTGGGCTTGTGGTTTGGCGCAGTGCTGCTGACACTGCGCGGCCATCGCGCGCGGTTGAGAAGTTGGGCTTATGCATCCGTGCTTCTGACAGAGCTTGGCCTGGCGCTGCACGTCACCGGGGCCGTTCCCTTCAACAAGAACCTGTGAGTCATTCCCCTTGTCACCCCCCCTTCCCCCCCTTTGACCACGTCACCGGGGCCGTTCCCTTCAACAAGAACCTGTGAGTCATTCCCCTTGGCCCCCCCCACTTTGACCGGGGGATAATGAATACAACTGCCGTAATGGGCCTGGCGCTGCACGTCACCGGGGCCGTTCCCTCCAACAAGAACCTGTGAGTCATTCCCCTTGTGTCCCCCCCTTCGACCGAGGATAATTTAAACAAGTGCTGTAAATGGGCCTGGCGCTGTATTCACCCTGCTTCATGGTCTATCCTTGCACCCCCACGCCTGTGCAGCACATGTTAATTCCCTTGGCACGCCCGGGGAAGGTCCTATTTAACATGTCTGTATGGGGTACCGAAAGTCAAATAGACACCACCAAGTCATGCCCCAAGGGGCTCTATATCTGACTGGGATTATAAGTTAGATATAGAGCCCCCTGCATGCCTTGTACAGGGTGATGAGGAAAGTTTGCCGGTGCGCCTGTGAACCTTCTGTCCAGGTATTGGATGGCAAATGAGAAGCAGTGCTGTGGAAGGTGCTTGGCAAGAAGTGCTGTGAATTATTTCTAGTGAAAGGGCCTCTTGTGCACTGCTGCCCTGAATAACAGGCAGAGATGAGTAAAGCCAGGGAGTCATCCGCCACCCCTTCACAACAATGCAGCTGCGCTCCAGCAAATATACTGGGAATGAGGTTCCGAATGGACCTTCTTGATAAATTCTTTGGTGGCTGCAGGTACTCGGCAAGTTCTGTGCTGCTGACAGCTGGTTCCAGTGGAGCCTTCCTGGGACTTGTATACTTATTTACAGAAGTGGCACCTACAAAGATCTTTGAAAGAGTAGCAGCGCCTTTCATGTGGCTAGGCATGAACAGCATAGCAGTCTATGCCGGGGATGAAATTCTGGAGAAGGCGATCCCCTGGATTTATTGGGGGGACCGGGAAATCCACCTGCTCTCGGCGGTGGAGGGGGCGTTTAAAAGAGTGTTTGGGGAGGGGGCAATAAGCGATTTGGCGCTGGCGGCTGCAGATGTGGTTTTCTGGATGGGAGTTGCAGGATGGCTGCACCGGAAACGATGGTATGCAAAATTGTGATATATAAAGACCAATGCAAATATCTATTTGCATGGGGAAGGCAATTGCCTGGCGCAATGAAGTATGAACTCGAAGCCTGAAGTACTTATTAGATGTTTATTTAATGCCTGAAGTGCCTAAAATGCAATGAGGCAGAATTTTGGGTTAGATGTGATGGAGTTGCAAATGGATTTTACCCTGCCGCGCTTATACATGCGCAAATCCAGATCATTACTGATGAACCTCAAGCGTACAGACAGCGCAGCTGGGTTTGACTGCTGCGGCTGAAGTAGGGTGGGCTAGTAAAAAAACCGCGAATATGAACGTGCCTTGATGTATTAGTAATAGATACACCCCTCAAGTACAAATTTGAATGAAATTTATATATGAACACCATTTATCCTGGGTTCTGCTGCGGTGATGTAACGACATTCCTGCCACTGAGCTCGAGTGCTTAAAATTAGCTTGCTGTCTGTAATTTGCGACGTAAGGTACGCATACGCTTGATCTCTTTTGCAATGCGCGGCTGCTGCGCCGCCCACAGATCCTCCTTCGCCTGCAGAGCTGCCTCAACTTCCTGCAGCTTCCTGTTGGCAATAACTCTTCTTCAACTCTGAGATATCTCACAATGCAATGACCAAGATTGGCTACCCAACACAGATTCATATGCAAATATCCGCACTCTCTGTGGCTGTCCTGGGCCTGTGCCTGTATGCTCAGTGTTCTAATCGACATTTCATCAAAACAAAGAATCAAGTGGGAGCTCATTCATGCACAAAGGCAGTGCCAAGAGTGTCACCTGTGTCTTTCAGAAATATCACGCCGGTCCTTGTCTGCAGTGCTGCGTTGCACCTCAAGATGCTTGCTAGCTTGCTCCAGCTCAGCTTCTCTTGCTGCAAGCTCCTCGGATCTGGTTTCTGCCTGCTCACCCCATTCATGCACACCCACACTCACCTCACTGTCATGCAACTTGCAGGGGCACGCCTTTTCATGCAACGTTGCACAGGCAGCAGATATTCCGCAAGGCTTCCGAGTTCACTTCTAATCCCCCCACAGGCGCAGGTTTGTAAACGCTGATATTGCACTTGCGCTCAGTCATGAACATGCCACCCTCTTGCGCAGTGATGAGGCCTTTGTGGATAGAGTGGGCAAGCAACCCCTCATGTATAAAGCTCCCCTTCTTGTACAGCTTTTGCATTCAGATTACATGTTCAATAAAGGCAAACAAAATTCCTTGTACATCGCTGTGATGCAGATCTTACCTCAGTTTGCTTCTGTTGCAGCTCCTCACAGCGCTCTTGCGCCAAACCCAACTCCTCCCATGCTTGCTCAACCCCATACTCCCTGTCAACCAACAGCCCTTCCAACTCCTCACACCTCGTCCTCGCAGCAGCATGCTCATTTGTCAGAGCTTCCATCGCAGCACCCATACCTACGAACTCTGCTGATAGTTTCTGGGACCTCTCCTCGAGGCGGCTCCTCGCAGAGTGTGCCAGCTGCGCAGCAGCTTTGCTGTCTGTCAGTTGCCTGTTCAGGCTCTCACACCTGGCCGACAGCTGTGCCGCCTCGGAGGCCTGCAGCTGCGCGGCGGCTTCCTTCTTCGCCAGCTCAGCCTCCAGCTCAGCGCATCTCGTTTCCGCACTTGTCAAGCGGCTCTCCAATTGTCTACACCTGTCCTCCATGGCGCTGTTGGTATCCATGCGCTGCCCCTTCAAGCTGCTTTCATCAGCATGCAAGCCTTCTCCCCCGTGGAGATCTGTGGACAAGCTGTGTGCAGGCACTTGTTCAATTCCCTTCCTATCATCGTGTTGATCTGAGACCACCGCTGCCTTGACCATTGCCGTTCCAGTGATCACTACAGCATTGTGAATGATGCTCTCCTCCTCTGCAGCAGCAACTGGAGCACTTTTGTTTGTGGCCCAATCAACCGCTGGGTCAGTGGCCACGGTATGGCCACTGGCAGAGCTTGCTGAAGTCTTCTCCCCACTGCCTGCATCCCTCACACCTGCAGCGCTGCTTCTGAGCTTCTGACTGAATGACGCTGCTCCCAACCGCGCTGTGAAGCTGCCGAGCTGGGCTTTGGGTGGATTCAAATCCTTTTTTGGATTTGAAGGCCGTGCGCTCCATGCATGGCTGATGTCGCCGTCCGGGAGCAGCTCGTCCAGATCAGGCAGCAGCTCAAGGGAGTCGCGCCGATCGGCTGCCGCCAAATTTGGCCCCGTCGCCAAATTCAAACCCGCCGCCAAATTTGGATCCGCCGCCAATCGAGGACCGCCCTCTGATTCTGAAACCGCTACCAAGCTTGGAACTGCCGCCAATGTTGGACCTAGGGAAGCTGCGGCGCGTCTGCCAAACAGCACAGTCCGCGGCTTTTCCTCGGGCTCATGACTTGGCGCGTCATGATCTGAAATGTTGTAGACACCACTCTCCCTGTTGGCTGTTCTAACTGCATCTGTGGCTGATAGGTTGTGCGCGATCGCTCCCCGGGTTTCCTCAAGCATGCGCTGCCGGGTGGGGGAGAAAATGGAATACTCGGGGACGGCTGTCTGTGGCGGGCTGTTTACATGAGGCAATTCCTCACTCAGCTGCTTTTCTTGCAGCGTCCCATCTTTATAGTCAGACTGCACCGCAGCATTTGCCTCTGACAATATTGAGCTGATCCTGCTGTTGCTAGCAGCGCTGTCCTGAGAAGCATCTGCAGAATAAGGCCGTGCCCAGGGACTCTGGAATTGGGACAAGGGGCGCTGTCTGGGGGTGGTAGCTCCTTCTGCGGCAGCTGCTGCATTTGTGTTCGCTGCATTAGGGCCCATTCCTGCTTGCAGGCTGATTGACCGGCTGGAAATTAATCCCTGCTGCTGCCAGGGCTGCTGCTGTGAGGTGTGAGGCAAAATAACTCCGCTGTCAGGGGAGGACGGAGCCTGCCCTCCGGATGCTGACAGGCTTTGCATGAGTAGAGAGCTGCTTGACAACCTGAGGTGCATTCTGGTGTCTGAGCTGCCGGCAGTGCCGCTTGAGACTCCCACATCTGTGTTGCTTGTACCTACGACGCGTGCACAGGAGTTAAATTGCACGAGCTTCGCAAAGTATGCAGAATCTGCAGCAAATATTGTCAAGTGCAGCTTACCTTCACCGCTCTCAGATTTCCGTTTAGCAACGCTCTGGGCGGCTTGACTTTGGCTTAGCCCCCTTTCTCTCCATCCCAAAGTGGCTGGCTGCCTCGAAACGTTGTTGTTGTTTTCTTTCATATCCGTACTAGTGATGGGGGATGAAGCAGCCGTCTTATACATCAAAACCAATTGTAGACCGTAGTGTGAAATGGCTTCGCCCTGCGAAAGACAGAAAAGCTCTTCCCTTCCGGAGGACGGAACGCGTGTTTTAGAGCCGAGTGAGCCAGGATAAACTCGATGCAAGAGGTATGATGGAAATGCGTTTGTCCCGACCCTTGAGCACTTGCCTTGAAATCCAAAGTTTTCTGCTTAATGGATGCAGAGACTAAGCTTCAAATATTTCGTTAGGAAATCGAAAGGGAATTGAGGAGTTGACCCGAAACCGTCACCTGTTATGGTCTGCCCTTCTGCCCAAAAGCGCGCTGGACAGAGATATGCAGTAATACATGTCAAAGTTGTTCTTACAATGGTGTAGAATGTTCAAAAGCATCTCAATTAAATCTAGCCATGCCATGTTGTAGACGGTGCGAAATTATGAAATAGAACCCATGGATTACTCGATGCTAAAGCTGAGTGGCAGCAAGTGATATAGCTTCAGCCTTCAATGCTTCACTACTGGATAATATAGATTTTGCATGACCTCGTTGCGTCCATGGAGCGCTGCCCATGTTCTTGGATATGGGCAAGGGCTCTCTATCGGGTCCTTTCTCAAAGGCAGAAATCCGTCAGCGCAGCACCAGGTTCGCGAGCAGTCTTGTGTTGATAAGTTCTAGCATTTGCGCATCGATCTTGAGGCGTTCAGAGTTTCATTACCTTCAGAGAGTAGAAGTGCCTGTGCATGATCACTGCACTGCGCTGGACGCTTAAGTACTCACTACCTTTCTTACAATCGTGTCCCAAGGTGTTCCTCCTGGCATGCATCCTGCTGAGCAGCAGCAGCAGCTGGGCCCTGGCTCAGGATGGCACATCTGACAGCCGGCTCTTTGAGGCAAGTCACATTTTTGGTGCTCACCAACTGCATGCAGATGCATCTTCACTCCCTTGCATGCAGATCAAGACCTATCGAGATGCACAAACAGCTGTCATGGAAATGAATGTGGGTCCGTGAAATCTCATTAAGAACAATTGCTGTGGTGCGCCAGGGGAGGTGGTTCGCTAGGAGCGGCCCCGTGGGTCCCACTGAGCAGCGAGCGCTGAGGTGCGCTACCAGATATCTCTCATAGTCTATCGCTGTGTGGATATCATTCTCTCTCCTTGTGCAGTTGATCACTGCAGGTTTGGAAGTAGGTAGCAGTGCCTTGCCACCAGCATGCATGCTGATGGGGCTGATGATGCGCTTGTGTCTGCGCAGGGATGAAGCCCGGGAGATGTTCTTCTTCGGCTTTGACAACTACCTCAAGCATGGCCTCCCAAAGGTGTTTGCATACACTTCCTTCTCTGGAGGACCTGGGTAGCATTCACTGCTCTTTCAGCAACGGCGCGGATACAACACTGTGACATGGCATGCAAAATCTTGCCATGCACTTCCGTCCCTCTCGCTATGGCTGCTTTTGTCCAAAGAGAGCTTGATGAAATAATTTTTGTGAGATGTAGTAGCACGTGTTGATGGATGTCTCATTGGGCAGGATGAGGTGCGGCCAATCAGCTGCCGGGGGCATGACTCACAGGGGGGCATTGCCATAACCCTCATTGATTCCCTCGACACCCTGCTGGTGAGTCACCAGGGCCCTTAATCTAATAAAAACTGCCCCTGACTCACAGCCTACTCAAATTGCCCAGAATGTGGTGTTGTCTTCATTCTGTGCTTATTAACGGCGAAGGTGGCAGGGTTTGTCTTATGGGCCCGTGCTGGAAATGATCTTGCAAGTTGCATGCATGCCGGCTTTGTTGCATAGTCCATCTTGAGTCGGAGATTCAAGATAGATTGGTGGTAGGCACAACAAAAACAATAGTAAATTCATGTGTGCTGTGCAGCTGATGGGTGGGGAGAGGCAGCTAGTGGAGGCGGTCAGGTGGCTGGAGCAGAACATCAGCTTTGACCTGGACAAGCGGGTGCATGTTTTTGAGCTCACCATCAGAGCGCTAGGTAAGTCGCATGTTTGCTGTGACGAATCCTTGCTATTGCCTCCTTCACATTGTGACATCGCAGAGAAATATGCCTTGCTGTTTTCTGTTGTGCTGCTCATTCTTGATTACCATGACGGCGTGGGAAGCCAAGGTGTGGCAGGATCCTTGCAAATTCTTGGGTTCAACCACTGCTGTGCCGGAAATTTCTGTGGACTGTCTGGCTGAAGAAGGTATAGTAGAGAAACATTCACTTGCTCAGACTGGTGTTAAGATTGGCGTTGTGTTCAGGCGGCCTGCTGTCAACGCATGTGCTGCTGACGCGCAATGCAGCAATCATGCCAGAGTACAGCGGTGGCCTGCTTAGGCTGGCCACAGACTTAGGGGACCGCCTGCTGCCGGCATTCGAGACCCCCTCAGGGATCCCCCTGTCCTGGGTCAATCTCAGAAAGGTGTCTTGACTCTCTCTCTTTCTCTCTGCGGCTGCAGCTGACTCTATGTAACATAACCTGTTGATTTAAGGCAGGAAGAGCACCTTCAAACAGACATAACCAATAGCCAATGAAAATAAAAGACCATTAATTAATTTCTTGCAAGTGTTGAGAACAGGACAGTGCCCCTCATGCCTCATTGCCTGGTGTCTTTTTGCATCTGCATCTAAACACGCACCTATCTGGCTTAAAGTGCTTTGATGCGACGCGATGTGCTCACATGCGCGCACATGCCGTCGTGCAGGGCGTGCCTGCCGGGGAGACGCGCGTCACATGCACGGCATGTGCCGGCACGCTGCTGCTGGAGCTCGGCCTTCTATCACGCCTGACTGGGAATCCTGTCTACGAGCACAAGGCGCTGCATGCCGCCCGGCAGGTGTATGGTGGGTGGCATGCATCTCCATTTCCCCAGCATTCCCATGTCCACGGTCATCTACAGTATTTCGGATTTGTACCGCTGCTGAAGGGTGCTGACATCAGCCCGTCAGACATGCAACACAAGTGTTGAATCAATCGAAACCATGGGGAAAGGAGTAAGATCTCTTGGTTTCTGCCCTTTGGCTGAAGGCAGTGAAACTTGCGCAGCTTTGGGCACACCAATCTTCAGCTGTGTTTGTGAGGCACTTTGTATGCGGCTGACGCCTGTTCGGCCAATTATTGCGCATGCTCTCTCCTGACTCGCAGCATCAGCAGAGGAGTACTGATTGCATTGGGTTCGCGCAGGCATCCGCAGCACGGCGACTGGCCTGGTGGGCAACACACTGAACGCGGACAGCCTCAACTGGGAGCGACTCGATGCCAGCATCGGCGCGGGCGTGGACTCCTTCTATGAGTACCTGCTCAAGGTGAAGCCCTGAATATTTACTGTTTTCAGATCTAGGATGATGTTTCATGGACAAGCTGTAAATTCAGTACTCAGGGGTCTTGATAGGGAAGCAGAGCTTCCTCAGTGGCAAAACTCGTTTGATAAAAATGGTGCAGATTTGTCAGCCACAGAGTCAAACTTCTGGGATGTATGGTATGGTCCCATTGCTGCATCTGAGCATATGAGATACAGTTTGGTACCTCTGCAAGCTGCATGAATGTGATTTGGGTTTCCCTCTCCACTACAGGATTTTAAATGTGCAACTGTCATGTCGTGTGCCCGTCTGCGCAGGCGTACCTCCAGTTTGGAGACGAGGAGTATTTGAACATGTTTTCGAATCTGTATGCGGCAGCTATGCGGCACCTGCGCCCGGCCGATGCCGGCTGGGCCGCGCGCGGCTGGCTGGGGGAGGTGCATCTGCACAGCGGCGTTGTCATGCAGCCCTGGATCTCGTCCCTGTCAGCTTTCTGGCCGGGGCTGCAGGCGCTCATTGGTGCGCCCCTCTTTCTTTGCGGGGGACAGGGGGGTCTACTGACATTCACATTGTAAGACCCAAAATCACTAAACATTTTTGGCTAAAAAGGGTGAATAAATAAGACCCTACCTCCCGATATATAAACCCTATAATGATTTTGAGACCAGAATGAAAAACCTCTCGACAAGCGCAATCCAATTTAGCATGACCCTGGTGTTTTGGGAGTCAGGAAGATCCCTGAATGTTGCTTTGAACACTTTCCCGCACCGCTGGGGTTGGGGGTTTTATAATGAGCACTAGAGTATATGTAACCAGGGGATGTAGTAACCCCTGCCTGGGATAACCCAACCTGCATGCGTTGCCATTGCATTGCCTGGGACATCCTGGCACCCGGTTTACTTAATTTTCTCTTACTGCGGCCTTGATAATGCCCGTTTAGTAATGGAACACTTATGATTTTGAGGCATATTGGACACTATTGAAGGCAGAAATGAGGGAAAGGAAGTAGATTGGGTCCCAAAAAATTGTTCCGGTGATGTCTTCTTACAAAATTTTCTGTAGCTGCTGTTGTCGTCGCTTATTTTTCTTTGTCAAATTTTAAAGCATTTCCTTCACACAGCTGCCTATACACAGAGGTAAGAAAGGAAGTCCCTCTCCATGCTTTGTCATCCTCTTGCCAGCATAAATATAAAAGATAGAATTGCTGTGCACAGGCCAGACAGACGATGCTGCGCTGCTGCATGGCAATTGGACGGCTGCATGGAAGACCTTTGGCTGGCTGCCAGAGCTCTTTGACGCCGGTGTCACACAGCGGCACCCGCTGCAGAGGGTGCGTTGAAAGCCACCTTATGGCAACGCTACTTTGCTGTGAAAAAAACTTGAGGGTGCATTTTGGAGGCTTTATAGGTGGACAGTAACCCGCCGAGGCGGCTTACTGTGCTACTGCATCGCTTCGTGGGCAATGTAGATTGCACCATTTTGTCCAAACAATCATATACTACACAGCGTTTGTTTCAAATGGCTGCAAAGCCTTTAGACACAGTATCGCAGCACTGCATCTAGATTTGCAAGGAGCATGACACAGTAACTCAGCCTGCATGGTCATTCCTCAAGCCTGTGCATGCAGGCATTGCATGCATGAGTTCACCGTTCAAGCCAGCGTCACACATCTGTGTGAAACCTGTGATGCATCGGAAGTCATCGGTTCAACCCCGCTCACCCGCAAAGCAAAACGGCCATTTTTTCTTTTTTGCCGCGCCAGGGCTACCCGCTGCGGCCGGAGCTGATAGAGAGCACATACCTACTGCACGCGGCCACGGGGGACGGCGCATACCTTGAAGCCGGCCGCTTGTTCCAGTCGACCCTGGCCGAGCACAACCGGCAAAAGTGTGGCTTTGCCTCTGTAGCTGACGTGGCCACGGGTGCGCGCTCTGCATGCTGGGAAGTTCATGACTAGCTTCAGTCAGTCCAGCTGCTTCATCTGTCTGTCGGTGTGTTGTGGTTTGGCAAGACTGTTGGCAGGCTGCTTGATAGAGGATAGTTGGAAGGATAGTGGATTTCTCCGGCAGCCTCGCAAGTCAAGCAGTACTTCACACTCGGGCCCATTTGAGAAACGTTTTCCATTTGAGCTCACCAGAGATCGCAAACTTTGTCCTCTGCATCGGACCTGGCCACACTGCAGAATTGTGTGCTCGTGTAGTGCCCGAAAAATGAGTACGTTCATGTCATGCAGGCGCCTTGGAGGACACGATGGAGAGCTTCTTTCTGTCGGAGACCACCAAATACCTCTATCTCCTGAACTCTAACGCCACAGCGCTGCCGGACCACTACATCTTCTCGACCGAGGGCCACCTGCTGCCTGTGCTGGCCTCCCCTGGAGATTCAGGAGATGTTGGGGGTGAATGTAGGCTCCCCAAGACCTCTGAGGGGCGGCAGGGGGAGCGAGCTATAGCAGGGGGTGTGGAAGGCGATGCGGAGGGGAATGAAGGCGTTGGAGGGGGCAGAACGCTGATAGGTGATCCCTGGTAGTGGCTTGAGGTAGCATAAATTCTGGAATGCTCTACTTTTTGAAATTGCAAATATCGTACTGAGGCAGGCGATAAGCATGAGGACTGTTTCACGGAGAGATCGAGGGTTTGCTGGCCATGAAGGATACCATGCTCTTGGCGCAGGGAAACGGAATACAAGTGTGGGAGGAATTGTCAGTTCAGTACCCTGGACGGAGGCAACGCCGACGAACTGCGCGGCGCTGTGCGCGGCCCGGCCAGCGGTACGTTTCCATTAACACCAGAACCTTCAATCTGCTGAACCATGAAGGATATCCTAAAGGGGTTTCCAAATATCTGGCTTTTCTCTTCTGTTCTCTAGCAACAAAGCCTGCAGAAGTATGGCCAAGATTTTGCGTGCCTCTCACCATTACACCTCATGCGCATATTTCTAGCGCTGCACAAAGTACACACACACACAACATATTAAAAATAAATACATAAATAATACACTTTGTGCAGCACATGCGACATGTTGGCACAGTCCTGCCATAAGCAATATGCGGAACTTTTGTAAAACCCCGGGGAACTGAGAAATCTGTTTTCTGCACAATTATCAGGCGGAGACGGCTGCGGCGGACGCGGCGCTGCGAGAGGCGTTCCCTCTGCTGCCGCTGGCCGCCCCCGACGCGGCGCTGTTGCGACGGAGAAAATGCACCGCATGCCGAGTTGTCACCCGCGCGATGGCTGACATGCGCGCGCGTGCAGGTGCGCAGAAGGGCACTCTTGCAACTGTGTCCGTATCGGCACAATCTGTTTCAGAAGACACCGTGCGTCGCGAGTAAAGCAAGACCTTTCGCGCAAAGAGAATTTCGCTATCACCACGGATGCCTCGGGGCAGCAGCGCACACACTCATATTATTCTGGGATGAGCCTGTCTCGATGTCCGATTAGGAATCACGCCACAGGTGGCATGGGGCCAAAAGCCTCTTTGTGAAAAAGGAAGCCCTTGCACAGGGATGTTATTTGCTTAACAACCTCTCATGTGCTCTGTGCAGCTCGGGAGGCGGCCTGTAGAGGGGAGAACTGCACGACGCCTGCAGCAGCTCAGGTTCCGCCGCGCCAAATTCTCTGCAGACTGCAGGCGCGCCTCTTGATAGATTGATACTGGCATTCTTCGTGGCTCATTGCATGTCACATTGTTGGGCTGTGCTGGTGCGCTATGCCTGCGCACAGATCTGGATGGCCTCACAACATGACATTCTGTGTCCTCTTCAAAACCCCGGAAAAGCGAGGTTTGTGAGCCCGCGGGGTGCTTCAAAGCCTAGTCTATCACCTGCGGGAAAATGCCTGCACGATGGGTTTTAGCATCAGTATTTCCAGCGCTCCAAGCCAGAAAACAATGAACTAAAAAAGATTATAGATGAGAAAATATAGAACTGTACTGCGCTGCAGGCGGACGAAAGAGGCCAGCTGATATGCTACCACCTAGAAGTGGTGGCCGACCTGCCGCCAGCAAAGATGCAATCTCTGCCACCGGACGCAGTCATCGTGCAGTTCACACAGATGGACGCAGCGGCGACAAGTTTGGCGGTGCAGGGAGGGAACTCCCCCGGAGAGGAGGCCCCGGAACACTTTTTGGAGCTCCACGTCTCCGGCCAGGTGGCGTCCTTTGAGAGGGGTCAGACTGACATTACTAATGCTGCATGCCTTTTGCTACTCAATGAGCAGAGGAGCTCAGATCGTGGATGTTTCAGCAGCAGCGACCTGCTTTCTTGGGGAGGTGCTGGTTGAAGGAAGACCTGTGGCACATTTTGTTATTTGTGCATAAAAGGGCACCAAGATCGAAGATAGATAGGCAGATGTAGATATACCCTGGGGCGTAAGCGCTACTCAGTTGAGAGGCAGAGCATAGGACACATTCATCAATGTTTTATTTTTGCACTGCAGGGGGCGGATGGGAAAGACTTTAAGTTTTCTCTGGCAGGGGCTGGCGCCTCATTTGGACCAGCGCTGGACAGCAGCTGTGAAGGCGGCATGGAGGGAGGCTGTATCGTGTCAGGTGAGCTGCCAAAGGCAATTTGTTTTTTTAGACGTGTCAGGTCTACAATGCGATTGTAGACCTGCCACGTCACTCAGCATGCATGTGGTGAGTGCTGACTGGACTGCTTGGTGGAGAGACCTGGCTTGTTTTGCATATTGTGCCAGTGCGGCTTGCAAATAATATGCAGTGCAAACCTGGTCTGTCTACTAAGCTGTTGCTTCTGCCTTTCCACGTGCAACTTCCAGCTTGAATGACTCGGACCAGTATAGGGGCTGTGTGTCACATATTGTCCTGAACACATTGCAGATTTATCTGGACCCAGAGATAGTAAGACTCTCGTGAGCTGCGCAGGTGACCTGGTGTTGGGATCGCCATCGGACGGGTGCCACAGCCTTGCTGAGAGCCCGGACACCAAAGGTTCCATGGTCGTCTTAAAGAGGGGCGGCTGCATGTTTGCCTTGAAGGTGAGCCTGACTGCCTCGCACTGGTTGCTAGTTGCCACTGTTGGTAGATGCCGCAGCGCCGTCGCCATTAGCTTTTCCACATGGGGACAATGATATCCATGGATGCACTTCGTCCAGCTCGGAACCTTGCACATCATTAGACTGCAATTGCACTCATGTCAGTCATTGGCAGTACCCAGTGTGCTAATGCAGAGCTTGCACTCGTCTCCTTGTGTGTGGCAAATGCGGCCATATCAAGGACAATCTGCTTATGCAGTGCTCGCATGCGCAGGTGGCAAACGCACAGGCGGCAGGCGCAAATGCAGCGATCGTCCTTAGCAACGAGGAGTGGCTCATGCAGATGGGTGGCGACGATACTAACCACCCCGACATACCCTCGGTTCTGCTCCCCGCCGCGGCCGCGGAAACCCTACGGAGAACCCTCGCCGACGCCACCGGGCGGCTGCGGGGGTCTCTAAAGGCGCTCGCGCCTGATCAGGCGGCGGCCGCCATGTCAGCGCCAGCTCAGCCGCCCATAGATGCCTGTCCGGCCGGCACTGGCGCGCCTGTCTCCTCAGCAGGCGAGCCGGTCGCTTCAGCCAGTGACTCATCGGCCGCTACTGAAGCCTGTTTGCAGCCGAGCGAGGCTGAAGAGGCTAGCGGGGTTGATGGAGATCAGGGCAGCTGTAGCTGGCATCCTGTACTGGGGGAAGATACGGATTCAGGGTTTTCTCAGGGGGAGAACAGCGAGGAGAGAAAGGGAAATAGTCATAGTGAAGGACAGCAGAGGCCTTGTTTACAAGGGGACAAGGCAGGGGACGGCAGTGCAAGAGGGGATGTTGGGAGTGGTGTGGGAGGGGTGGGCGAGGGCGAGGGAGTTGAGAGGGAGGGTTTAGAGGAAGAAAGGGGTGTAAAAGGGGCGGAAGTGGTGGGGCCGGGGGAGGCAACGCCGCCGGAGGACCAAGACACGGTTCAATTGCTGAAAGAGGGGCTGCAAAAAAAGGTGCGGCCGCATCCTATTTCGGAATGAGGGATGAGTCATCTTTCATCTGGCTTACAGGAAATGATTTTGAGAGGGGCTGCATGAAAGGATGCGCTCGGTAAGAGCTACCCTGTTGCAACATCTGTTTCTGGTCGTTAATAATAGGTAGGACAGATGCAGGAGAGCAAGCGGACTGGACTGTTGTCATGCCGTCTTCAAAAGAGCTTCTTGCGTGTTCCCTGATGCCTTTTAGAGGGACTTGCACTGAGGCATGTTGAAAGAACGTCGCCAACAAAATGAACCCGGGTGGTTTTCACATTGCCAGTGCTCATTCAGTTGTGTGCTGGCGCGCAGCTGGGCCCAGAACAGGCGAAGAGCGCAGTGCAGGCAGCAATGGCGGCTGCGAGTGCAACGCTGCAGCAGAAGCGGGTGGAAGTGCTCATCCCACCTCAGGCCGCAGACTGGCTGCAGGTCACTTCCCTCACTATGGCTTGAGTTTCAGCTGTTCAGAGTCCTTCCCCTTGTCCTTCCACTGCCTCGAGCTTGGTTTGCAGCAAATAGTGATGTGATTTCAAGCTTTCAGTGACACTGATAACAATCCAGTATCCCTGGTGGATGTGAGAGGAGTGCGTGCGAAGAGTGGGCATCGAATGATGTAGAGATATTAGCAAAGTGGAACTTCCGCAAGGTGCCATTTGCATGACAGCAAGGATGGCAGCTGCAGCGCTGCGATCTGTTGGGGTGCATGCAGTGTGAACCCAGGGCTTCACCCCATGTGGAGAGGAGCGGTGCAGCAATCAACATCTTGCAGACAGATGCTTATATGATATCGGTGCGACTGCAGCTTGTCACACTGCGCTGTGCAGGAGAAGCAGCAGAGTGGCAAGCAGCTGGATGTGGGGGCGGCAGTGAATGGCATGCTCCTGCAGATAGCCAAGGACAACCTTGCGGCCAGCGTCCGGGACCTGGCGGCAGCTGCCGCGAAGCTGGCGGCAGCTGCCGGGCAGGGCGCTGCGGGACAAGTTGCCAGTGTGCCGGAGCCTGCTGAACAGCAAGTAGATGCTGATGCTTGATGCGCAGTTTAAGGAGTGCTACACATAGTTGCACCATTCGGTCAGAACACTTTTTGGGGACCGTATATACGGCCGAATATACGGTCATACGGTTTTAAAATATACAAAATACGGTCAAAAACGGCCTATTTTGGCCCAAAACACCGAATATACGACCGAATATTCACCGTATGCCAAATGGCCGAATCCGCATGGTGCAACTATGGTGCCACACCAATCCGCTGATGGGTTTCCTCAAAGGTGGTGTGCCGCGCAACGAGCAGGCAGCTACCGCTCATTGGGGGACTGCGGGACAAGCTCCGGTCCCTACAGATGCTGCTATAGAGCAGTTGGCGTGAGTCCTGGTGCCCTTCTTAACAGCTGTTGACATCATTACTGGTAAATAGACGGTCGACTACTTTACTTATGCAGACGTCTGCAGAAAGCTCAGCTTTGACTCACAGCCTGTGGTGACGTTACACACAGATATCTGGCAAACCATCAACAGCTGTCTGGACAGGCATTCAGTATGCAGCCAGCCCACAATGCAGCACAGGCTCTTGTACCTGTAGGACATGCTTCAAGGTTTCCCTGAAGCACTCTGACTGCGAGGAAGTGCTTCAGGGAAACTTCGACTGCTGCAAAGGCTGGGCCTTGTGATGCTGGCAAGTTGAGAATACTGCTGACATCAGCATGCTAGATTGCTGCCATGTCACCTTGAACAGGGCTGCGCAGCTATGCACGCATGCATGCACAACTAGTCCTTCTCACAGCAAAAGGGCGTTGCAGCTGACATTTCCAGCAAAATTGTCCATATCTTTTCCATAAGGTTTACTCATCATTCCAACCTCCAGGCAGGTGGCCTGCTGAAGTGTTCACATCATTTTCTGGTTCAACAGCTTTTTCTCCTACAGAGAATTCCTAGGCATATGCGACGTCGCTTCGAGTATGTTCTATGAGCAGACAAGGCCCAATTGCTTTAACAACGGGACAGCCCAAGACGGCAGCACTCAGAGGCAACCACCGGCCGAGGTCATGCAATCACTTCCACATTTTCCGCACCAGACCTTCCCACTTCTCACCCAATGCCACCGCAGCGCATGTGATGACCAAGAAAGGCCCCCCGCTGGCGAGCAAGCATCCTTACCGCTGGGACCCCCCCTCATGTCATTGGGACGGGCCCACCGCATCACCCAAGATCCCCCAGCTCCGACCAGGCGCTGACTAAGGCTCTTCTAGAGTGTCTCAACCCCCCCGGGCGGGCTGTCCAGGGGGGTCTTGCGCGACCCCGGGGTATCCCTTGGCCGTCAGCCTCAGTCACCGCTCAGGAAGGGAACCCCCTCCCTCATACTTTGTCGAGGGGGGCCTTGCGCAAGCCGGGGAGTTCCCTAAAGAGGCAGCATTCTTCGCGTGACTGACTCCTTACACAGGCGTTACCAAGGTTGACTCACCCCCCTCCTCACCGGTCATCGAGGGGGTCTTGCGCGCCCCAGGCAGCGTAGTTCGCACCGCCAGTGACTGACAACCTTAGTAATTGCTTGATGGGGGGTCCGGGTCCGCCCATCTCACCCTGTCCTCAGAGGTTGTCGATGGGTGTTTTGCGCGAGCCGAGTCCCCCGGGGGAGCCCTTGGAGGGCAGGGATTTGGAGCCAAGGAGAGAGGCGTTGGAGTCTGCCAGCTCCTGGCCCTTCTCGGCGTGCACCACTCGGTCCAGACGGCGCTGGCAGATGGCACAGACTGCCAGGAAGGCCGAGCACATGCCAAACATCGTCGATAGAGGGAAACTAGACACCTGCAGCAGCACAATCATTGATTTACACCCTGTACGGTACACCAGGACACTGATCAATTGAGAATGTTTGGAATGTTCAGCATGTGACTGGCGTTGCAGATCATGTCCAGACATCTCAGCCCACGAGGGGTCGTTTCTGGCAGTTGGCAGGAAGGCTGATACAGGCATGGTGGCATGCCATCTTGAACAGCTCTTGACAAAGGTTGCTTGATCAAGGCTTTCGCAAAGAGACGGAAGGACCTGCTTAGGGCAGGACATAAGAATCATCATTCCTGGATCAAAGGATACTACATATTGTATCATCATTTCCCAGACAGAAATGCAAGGAGCTGCCAGGAGTTTACAGCACTCTACTCCCATCATGGCCTCAAAGCCTGGAATAGCATATTCATGATGGTGTGCATGACAGGATGGTCTTTGAGAGAGAGAGAAAGCCCAAGCAGGGAGAAAGCTGCAGACAGGGCGCACGTTGTAGAGGACGATGCAGACAAAGGCATTGAGGGGAATGCGGAAGAAGTTGATGATGGTGGCACGCATTTCCTCGGGCACGTGCTGGCTGCGCATCTTCATCATGGATGGCCAGAAGAGGCCGACGCAGAATTCAAACACGCAGAACGCCGCCAGCTGGACCTGCCCCTCCCACGAGATGCCTGCGCACACGCATGCCGGCCTTCAAAGAATAAACCTGAAAACGAGAATCGAAACAGTATATGCCCAGCAGCCTTCCAGCTTGAGTGAGCCTTGCCTGCAATGTTCATAAGGTCTTCAGGTCCTTTTGTACTTTGCACTTGGCTGAAAGAGCACAACAGCACACCCAGCATGTGCCCCACTTGCCTGTCTCTAAAAAGACACTGGGCAGACTTGTAGCTGCCAGCTAGTCAGAATACACGTGCTATATCATACACTGTGAACCTTTCCTTGAACGTCATTTTGAAAGGCATATCCCCGACATTGTCTGATCCAATGCCTCACCGGCCATGACAGCACATCTTGCATGGTACATGATTTGATTATGACTATTTCCTACACCCGGCTGGCCCCGGCTAGCGGGGAACGATATAAATACTGAGCACCGTGCCCACAATTGATTGGGTCTTGCTTGGATCTGGCGAGTCCAACAAGGGGTAGGATTATGGAAGCCTTCGACTGCAGCTTGTCTGCAAGACGCACCTTGCCTCTTGGCAGGAAAAGCATGTAATAATAATAATAATAATAATAATCTCCTACACGGTCTACACCACCAGACGTCATTCAAGTGAGACTGCAGCGCTCACCCGGCGCGTCGGCATTGAGGGAGTCAGCCTCGGGCGTCTGGGTGCGGTTGAAGATGACCGGCACAAACAGAGCGACGGCGGACACGGCGAACACGGTCTGCATGTAGCGCTCGACGCGGATATTGCCGGCCGACGGCGCCAGGAGTCGCCCGGCTAGCGCCGAGCCGGCCATGGACGCCACCTGGACAGGCGACGTGCAATGTCAGCATGTGCGCGCCAAAACAGGCAATGTGCAAGGTCAGCATGCGTGCTAAAACAGGCAACGTGTCAGGTCAGCATGGGCGCCTATAAGACGGCAATGTGCCAGGGCATCACACATGTGCCAAAATCTGCGTCGGGCCCGGAAAAGAAGGAAATTGACACACACACCCGCCTGGGCACCAGGCCACATCAGGATGCATGCATGGATCAGAAGTTTGCAGTAAGGAGCATATCGTGTGCACCGCCGATTACTTCAGCAGCCACCATAAGCCAGCCACTGCGTGGAATGCGGATGAGCTAATAGCTGAGAACCTTGAGGGCGCACTGCGTGGGCACAGGCCCTACACAGAAATCGTTGCAGAACAACGAAACCATTGCCTGATGAGCATCAGCCATCAACCATTTGGGGCAAGGCTCGCACGATGAAGCAGGCGAAGATCATGCTTTGTCAACTCTGTCCGCATGCAATGAGCTACTATGACAGCAGGACCCTTCTGGCAGGGACAGACAGCACACACATGACTGATGTGCAATGTGCAGATGTGATTTTGCAGGGGAGATTTGAGGGACATCCAGGGTTGTGGATGAGACAGCTAAGGGCATGCGTTCGCACCATGAAGCATGCGAAGATCATGCCGTGGGGCAGGTGCTCGCCCTTGGGGCTGAGCGCGGGCGTCCACAGGAACACGAACGTGTACATGCTGCCCTCAAACAGCGACTGCATCGCGCCCAGCAGCGCTATCTTCTGATCTGCACGTGCACGAGGCAGAGACCAGTTAGTATATTTCCTCACTTTCGGAGACTTTTATTGCGTGCACAGCGACACAGCCATGCGGGCCAACGGCAGTGAGATGCTCTCAGCCACTGTACACAAATGAGGTGCCTGGTGCCTTTAACGGATCCTCAAAGGGCCCAGTGAAAGAGGTGGTTCATACAGGCAGATTTGAGCAAGATTGAGAGAGTGTGCACCATGAAAGAGAGAAATTAGGAGGCATGACAGACTTTTAGATGCACTACACTGACAACGCCCAGCCACACATTCATCAGTAAGGAGCCATTTTCTGCCATCTGACATGCAAACAGCAGCCCTACAAACATCCCATCATTAGAGGGGCTGCGCATTGCTGTGGATGGCTTTTACCATCTGCCAAGCAAACGACAGCCCTAAAATCCCCCAGAACACTTCAGGAAAAGGGGGCACGCACTGCTGTAGATGGCGTGTGCGCCGGCGCGCAGCTGCTCGCCAAAGCTCTTACGGTCGCTGCAGTCGCCGTAATTTTCCGTCCAGGAAAAGGCCACGACGGCTCCGCCCGACAACATCACAATCGCGGCCGCGTCAAACGGCGCCACGGGGCCGAAAGAGAGCGTCTCCACTAGGGAGTGCGCGATGAGGCCGGCCAGAATCGCGATGAGGCCGTTGCCCAGGAAGACTGCGCGCGAGAAGGTCCCGCCCAGCCACTCGCCGTCGTAGCCGCGCTGCAAAGGACAGGCAGGCGCAGTGAGTCAGGCAATAATGCAATCAGCCATGTGAAGAGTGAAGAGTAAAGACATGCAAGGCAGTGCAAGCGCCATGTATGGAGAAAGGGCTGCCTCGTAGTGTTTTCCTTTGAAGAAATTGCACTACGGTCGCATTTGCCCAGCAGACAGGAAAGTACCGCTACAGGTAATCACGAGACACAATGGTCTCATACGCGGGGAAGCACACGGGGTTTATGCAGGGTGCAAGGCCGTTTTCTGTGTCAATCAGAGCACATGGGATCTGTGAATCTCTTGCAAACACGCATATCCTCGAATTGGGTGGCCAGAATCTGCATTCCTTGTATGCAACAGTATGTGGAGGCTTGGGATACTGGCAAAGACTGGCAAAGCTCCACTCGCAGCCATGCATGCCTATTTCTGACTGTGCAAGAAACACACCTTGAAGTGCTCGGCGACCAGCCAGGACTCGAAGGCGGAGTAGAGCAGGGAGGTGGCAACGCCACAGAACAGGCGCCCCACCAGCAGCACGCCAAACACATCCCAGTGCTTAGTCGCGCACCCGATGACATATGTGACGACGTATGTCAGCGCTGCCTTCTTCCTCCCCCTGCCAAACAGCACATCCACCCTTCAACTCTAGTGAAGTGCATGCAAAGCAATTGTAATTTATATTACACGCATTTCCTGCCAAGAGGCAAGGTGCATCTGCAGACAAGCGCCAACGCAAACCTGCCAAAATTCTACCCCATGATGGACTTGCCACATTCAAGCAAGGCCCAATCAACCGTGGGCACGGTGCTCAGTGTTACACCGCCCCCCGCCAGCTGGGCACAGCAATTCAAAGCAATGCTGTAGGATAAATATTGGTGGTCCCTGCGCATTGGACGGCGACACTGCTTCTAGCCTCAATGTGCTAGTGAAATAAGAGGTATGCTGGCACGTTACTTTCTGCCACTTGGGACAAAGCCCATCAGCACAGAGCAACGATGAATGCCCGAGATCCACCGTACTCAGCATTCAAATAGTAACTTCTCAACATGCCCTCGTGGCAACAATAGAGCTGGAGCCTCTTCGCGGGCAAGGTGCTACAGTCAGCCTGTGTCCATTACAGCAAACCTCCCGCATGGATTCCACCCAGGCCGGCCCAAAGATTCAAGGAGAGGGGGAGGCAGCGCACGTTTTGTCAGCAAGGGAGCCAACGATGGTGCCGAAAATCATGGAGGAGCCAAAGCCCGCAATGAACAGGCGGCCGATGTCGCTGCGGTCAAAGCCGTAGTGCTGGTACAGCGCGTACACGTAGGGCCCCTGCAGCCAGTCGCCAGCTGCACGCAAGATGCACAACTGATGTCAGCACAGCAGATCTGAAACCGAGAAGATCTTAAACACGGGTCGGAACAAGGGCCCAATAGGAAGAGATAAGTTGTGTTAAAACTTTCTGAAGGCCTGCTCATCCTGGCTGTCATGACAGAGACAGAGGAGCTGCGCATGACTGAAGGAGCAAAGCATTCATTGGCACAGCAAATGTGTGAACCCAGCCTTCACCCATGAGATCGCCATAATGATGGCAAGTCTACGCAAGGACGCTGACGGGATGACTCTTTCACGTAATGGCAGGCACAAATGACCAGCCTTGGTGCCAACTTGCAATTTGGGTGGGGTTATGACTCATTCCAGTTTATTCACTGTCCGGCTGGGGCATTGTGCATTTGTTCCTTCTGCATATTTGCATTTTGTATGTCCTCTACGGCGACGTCTTCCAGTCTGATCAGAGGGTGATTTTTCAGAAAAACGCACCCATCATGAGCGAGTACACAAGCACGTAGTTACTCCTGAACCGGGAGAACTCTTTGCTGGTGTTGTCAGTCGAGGTGCTTTTGCTCTTCGTCAACTCCAGAACTGCTGCGATCGCCGCAAGGGCGCCGAAAACGGCTATATAGAAGGGCTCCATCTTCTCGACAGGAACAAAGCTGACACTCACGATCGGTGCGCCCCCACCCTCTGTTGGCCTAAGATATTGCTGATTCCGTATTGAATGTGGATGCTAATAGTGGCATCCAGATTGACCGTGCCAAGGTGCTTGAGATGGCTGAGGAAAAAGACCGCGCCAAGGGGGGGAAATCGATATTGCTGCTTGACACCGCCGTCTTTGCGGTTGATGCTTTTCAAGCAAGACAGCTGATAGATTGTCACCTCCTTGAAAGTGTGTTGAAACAGTGAAGATTCTTTCTCGTCCATTGCGAGCAGTTTGAAACTCCCGGGCAGCTGCAACCGGCCTGAGTGGTCCACCCCAAGTGCACAATCCACCCCAACGCCCAAGGTGAAGTGAGCCTGCACCCCGCTCTTGTTCAGTGAACAATGTTCACAGACAAGGCAACTACATACTGCACTGTTAATCACCATCAGCACCTGTATATGTTATCCAACTTAGGATTCTCCCAATGCTTTCAGTGGCACCTTGCGTGGTTGATGGGCGTTCTTGTGACCTCTTTTAGCAACCCAGCTTGCTCCTTTGACACAAAGACGACAAATTCAAAATTACTGGAGCGATCTAGATGGCCTTTGAAGCCTCCATGCCTTCAGGCATTCGTACGTCAAAGGGCATGGCTGAGCCCTTGCCGGAAGGACTTATGCATGATACGGGCCCAGACATACCTATTCAGCCGTAATGCAGGCATCAAAGCGGCTCGATGCATCGTATTCTGGGATCTCGATAACATCATGCCAAAAAAAATCAGAATGGAGCACACCTGCGAAGCTCTGAAGGTTTACGATCGACTCACCGACCGACATGCAATGGAATAGCAGACTTTCGGGAATCTTCAAACATAAAAGAGTCAGAAATGCAACACCTCACTGGGGTCTTTACAATTGCAGGCTGCTACAGCATCAGCTGTTGGAACGGTCGAGATACACCAGCTGACAGCAGCCGACGTCTTCATCCTAGCATACGCCACAGAATGCACATTAAAAATGATAAATTTTCCAGCTCTGAAAAGGGTGCCAAACGTTAAAGTGGTGCCAGTAGCAAGCCACAGGTACCAGCAACCATCTGGCTTTGCCTTCTCCTTACACAGCCCGTGAGGACACTCGCGCCTTAATGCTTGACAAGCTATTGCCATTACGCTATCTGTCATCATGTTGTCTGGAAGCTTATCATATGGTGTTTTCCTGCACATGATGCAGTGCACCATAGTGCTCAGGACTTTGGAATCTGTGTTGTTCAGGCAGGCAGCGGACCAGGTAATCATCCGGCACATGACGGCCCTTGTGAATGAGCGCTCCCCGGATGTAGCACTGGCAATCGTGTCCTGCGACAACGACTTTGCCTCTGTGCTCAGCTACTGCCGAGGCCGTGGCTGCCCCACAGTCTGCATTGGCAGGTAGGCAGTTGCCTAGCCTGCTCCTGGGCCGGAGGTGTCTTGTATGATTCACATGTTCCATTTTCACTGCGAGGCAGCCCTTCCTTCTTACTTTTGGTGCTCGCTCTGCTCTCATGTCAGCATGCCACTTTCTCTAATTGCCTAGCACAATCCCTGGGCTTGTGTTGGCATCCATTGGGAGCGTGAGATTGCGTGATTGCCTTAAAGGTGGTCATTTCTTGGGAGACTGGAAGCCTATGTTGACCTGCTTCAGGTGCATTGGCATGCTCTACAATCTCTGGGTCAGGATGTCTGTCTGTACAGAGAAGAAAAATTCTAAATTGGGCAAACTGAGAGCCAGTGACGAGAGAGATCCCTTGCAAGTGGAGATCATGCGGCAACAATGAAATGATTCCACGGCTGAGCAGCAACTTTTTTTAGCAAGCAGAGACTTTCCTGATGGGTCGTGGTTTGTGGGGCAACAGGGCTCGCAGGAGGCATGGACCGGCCGAAATAAGTGAGCGGGAGTTGATGCAATGGCGGAAAAGGCCGCTGCCGGCCGCGGCTGCCGTGGCGGTCTGTTGGGAGCATATTGCATCACCGGATCTGTGCACAACAGAAAGAAAGAAGCAAGCGGCAGAGACAACCGGTTGCTCTGCTTCCAAACAGCTTGCAAGCGGTTGAGGGCTCCCTGTGTTTGTTCCTGTGAACGAGCTCGCTGTAAACAAGATGACAAAGACCTCTCCCTAAGATCCGAAAGGGGAAGGATTCGGCATGAAGACAAGAACAGATCAAATTTGGCATGAGCAGTTCCTTGTTCTGACCCCTTCTGAAGTGAAGGCTACTCAGGAGGTTCTTTTGTAGCAATAGAGAATAGTTGTCATCACGAGTTCAAGGCAGTTGTTGTGGAAGATCTTGGTCGAGCTCTTGGACCAGCATGTGCTGGGATTTAGTATTGGCAAAATTTCACAGCTTTATTACCAGCTGTTACCTTATTCAACATATATACAATGAACATGTCACATGCATGGTGCATGACTATAAACATCCTCAGCATTGAACCATTGCTTCAACACAATACAGCACCGCCTCACATACAAATCCAAGATCAGATACATGATGAGCGGATGCCACAACGCGCGCAACGCGCTTGGTCACGAACAATACGCAGCTGTGATTGGCAGGAAAATACGGCCCTCAAGCGTCAGAGAATACAAGTCTTTAAGGCATCCCGTGTGCTGCTCAAAAATGCAGGTCAGATCATTATAAAGTGCACATGTGGCCAATCTCGTGCCCTTGACACCTCAGTGACTCAATTGAAAAGACCCAGCCGTGCTCCACTGGAGCAACAGCTCACCGAACAAAACAAACTGTGCATTGGGCAGGCAGAAACGCCAAGCAATGACAGTACTGCTGCCGCAGCCCTCAGCACAGGTCTGAACCTCTGTCTCAGCTGTTCATCAGCAGCCCACTTTGCAGCCCCAATATTGTCAATTAACCTCTTGCCACGAAAGGGCAACCGAGAGTCCTTGGCCCAACCTATTGATACCGATGTGCAGTGATGCTGCAACACACAAAAGAATCACATTCTTGATATCAATGTGTGCTGTCAGGCTTACATGCCTGCTAACCCCTGTTGGACCCTTGCGGTCCCCCCCTTTCAGTCTCTGGAGAAGGGTCTGATTCGAGTTTAAATTTGAATACAAATGCATGATGTGGCCCTGTCCCATGCATGCTCACTGGGGAGCGCACTGGGCTTACCAAGACAGCTAGCAAAGCAATCTCACAACAAAGCAGCCATTCATGATCATGTGGTGGCTCTCAGTACTGCCTGTTAGTGAATCAGCAGACCCGCTAAAGGGACAATGATAGGCACCTTGCAGGACCTCCCAAAACCAATGGTCCACAAAGGGGTGACCATTGGATAACAATAGTCAGCGACGGCTCAGCAGGGGCCTCGAGAGAGAAAAAAGGTGATTGTGGTAACTTTGCAAACAACAGGCATGACTAATGGCACACAGGCACTCCTTGCATGTCCTACTCATCCGGTGCCGGGGGCCGCACTCCTGATGCTCACAGTCAGCAGGAATGCACCCCTGTCACCTTGTCTGGGTTTATATTTCCAGGGCTGCAATCTAGGTTGCCGCCCCTCTAGGATCACAAAGCACACGGGGGTCAGGAAGCGCCCGCTCTGGGGGTGGTTAATGGAATGCGGGGGGGCTTGACACGGGGGACGCGGCACGGGGAAACCTTATTCAGGTGTCTGACCTGTGCCTCGCTGGGAAACTAATGTTGGACTGTGAATAGGGCTCTGCAGGCAAAATGCCAAAAATTGAGCAGGCCCCAAAACAGCGCCAAAGAGGCGGCTGAGCGATGGGATGCCTTGAATGTCTGAGCGGAGGTGCAACAGAGCGGGAACATGTGATGGAAAACTGTTTTGCTGCCAGGAACCCTTAGCCCTCGCGTTGCCACCCCTGAAAGGCGGCGCGCGCCCCTTTCAGAGACCTAGCAACTGGGTGTCTTCCCCATTTCTTTGCACTTCCTCATTGCACCCTGGCGTGCTGGCAACAAACGCAAGCATTGAGTCAACGGTATTGTACAAGCTCTCCTGGTGACACTCTGCATGCATAGCAGATTTTCCCCTTTGCGGGCAGAGGCAGAACTTTCTCAAGGGTCAGTCAGTGCTGCCGAGAACGCTGGATGCTGACTGTACAGCGGATGACTGGACTATTGACTAAGGGCCACAGGCGCCGCCTTCTCCCTTGCCCGCCCGGAGAGAGAAAATTTTCATACGTTGTGTGGAATGCAGCCCCGCAGCCAACTGGGTGTCTTGCAATTTCAGCATTTTTGGCTCCAGCTGCTGACTGGACGTCCGCGCGACTGTGCGCATGTGACGAGCAGTGCAGAGCTTACGTTGCGGCAGTACAGCTGTTTCAAGAAGCTCCAGTGGTGGGTGCTGGCCGCCGTTGGTCACCGTGACTCGCCCTGTGACTCATCCTCAGTGTCTCTCCGCGTCCGCTTTGGCACTCCATGCGTCGGCGTGCTGCTTTGCCCTGCAGCAACTCAAAACCATGTCAGCGTATGACTTTCGACTAGCCATCTCGTCAGGACGCAAGGATCTCTGACACACCTTGTATTCAATCCAGCATAGAATGGAAATCTGGTCACCCAGCCAGAGCAGCCAGTAACCAGACCAAAGGCGCAAATTTCAACGGGGATAAAGGTGGGCTACTACACAAATCAGAGGATTCCAGTACATTTTCACTCTTATGGCGAGAGTCTCACCGAGTCGCTTGGAGGCGGAGGGAACATCATTTCTTCCCGGCTGCTGTGGCGGCTGCACGTCCTGGGGCGCGCCCTCCTGAGCCCCGGCCGCCGCGTCAAATGCCGGTAGCAATGCGCGCCTCGTCGGCAGCGGCCCTACAGAAAGATGGGCCTTTGTCAGATGTTGAACCCAAGCTGTTGATAGACCAGGTGCAACGAAGACATAGATTAGACGGGCATCCCCGTGAATTGGCATCTCCTGCCAGGAGTGGACATGCTATATCTGATAACAACAGCAAAGCCACAAGTACCCAACATTCAAGATCCATTAACTGGTGTGTTACCAAAAGGATACAGCAGCACTGGCACAAGGTCTCCATCTGAGGTACAGACCAAAAAAAAAAGGACTGACAGTGCATTCTTTTGAAGACACCCATTTGCTGCTACCCTTATCTGTGCTCTTAGCGCGCGTACCTAGCAGGCTCCTCGCAGCGTCCCCCGTATACCGCGGCGCGAGCTTGCCGGGGGATTTTTTGCGCGGCGCCGAGGGGGGGGACCCGGGGTATGCCGGTGGCGAGCAGGGGGGCGTTGTGGGGGAACTGCACGCCGTCCCGCTGCCCGGCTCAAACGTGTCGCCCTCGCTCAGCGTCGACCGCGAACTGGTCGCCTCCTGCAGGGTAAACACTCAAAATTTAATTCACAATTGACGTTCAGCTGGTACCATGAAAGCAGTGTCAATTGCCGCCAGGTAATGTTGCCATTTTCTGTCTGGCACTGAAGGCCTGCCCTTGGTCTGCCCTAATGGAATCTGTCGAGACCAGGACCCTGGCACACCATTCCGACCGCGCAAACTTCAGGCTGCACGTGCGCTGCCAGTCCAGATTTCTGCATCCATTGAACAAATTAACAAAGCCTGCTGTGCGATTGCTTGCTGAAGAGACACTGGCAAAGGAATTTTCTGAATTGTAGGATGCTGCAGTCAGCGTTCCAGCTGCGCGGTGATGTCAGCGGCGCATAGGCGGATTGTCAGCGCTGATGTCAGCAGCGTTGGTGCCCAGCAGCCGCCCAGTCTGCAGCCTGGTAGCGTAATTTGGCAGGTCTGTCATGACTAAGGATCAGGAAAGATTACACACCTGCCCAGGGACTGCCAGAGCGGGCAGGGTTGTGCGCACAGGCGGCAGTGGCTGCTGTGCCATTTGCATGTGATGGAGATGATTATGGTGTTGCTGCTGTGGTAGACCTCCCTTGCCTATCAACCCCGGTTGATCAAGCTCCCCGAGGCCCACTGCGCATGAGCCCCCTGCAAAACAAGCAAGGTCAGCTGTCAGCTTCCAGCTTCCTTGCCTCGGAGACTTGCCTCCGCGCATCCCTGAGCCCGAGCTGGCCATCACAGGTGTCCTGTACTGCGCTCCTACAGTGAGTGTGCGCACAGCAGGGGCACAGGAAGCAGCCCTCTGAAGTGGGACTTGTACTCATGCCACCTGGCCAAGTGTGGAGTGGCGCGGGCAGTTGTCTCGTGTGGACGCGTCCAATGCCTCCATTGAACTCAAATTCAATGGCAGATACGTTTAAAGATCATGTTTGACGTGAATTAGCTCTCAAACTTGAGGTAGATCGATGGGATAGTGCCCACACAGCAGGTTGCTCGTACACTCCACGGAGAACTTGAGATATCAAAGGACGTCAGAACATGAAGGATATAATACAATCCATACTGGTTCCGACGCAGCTTAAAACAGTAGCGCCTTCGCCGGCAAAGCGGCAGGCTGGACTCATCCCCAGGTCAGCGCGACTAGCAGCGCAAGGTCATATGGCTCTAGAACATATGGACGACGACCAATGCAGTACTGATAGCGACCCAGAAAGAACGCCTTTCAATGAAAGGAAAGGGCTCAGCTACACTTGGAAGAAAGTCTGCTCCCGGATGTATATTACAGTCAGCATCGTACTGTGAGCGTCGCCTAAACATATAGTGCGCTGCGGCCACATCACATAGAGACACCGATATATTGTTTGCGCTGCACAACAAATCCCAGAAGGGCGTCTATCGAGCCATGCTTTGGCGGTCCCAACAATCCTGTAATAAGCAGAGCGATGAAAACCTGGCACAGGTGACGATCAGCGCCCGCTCCGGCACTTAACACGCGCTTCAATCAACCTGAAATGATGGAGCTTCGGAAACCTGAACAACTAGACCGGCGCTTACACCGACCCCCTGGGAAGTCCCCTGCAGCTAAACGCTCCCCACTATACTCAGGTGCCCACTTGTCCCTCCCTCCAGCACCGCTCTAGCTGTGTCCAACGATTCTATACGTTCACAGTGATAACTGCTCGGAAATTGGCGCCGTAATTGCGAGCGTCCAAAGTGGGGTGCCTCACCGGACATTAGGAGAGAGAATGCCGGACGCCCTCCCTCTACATTCCTGCCCCTGTGTCCCTGGTGACGCTCCTCAAGATCGATCTATCGCTTCGTTTGCTGGCCTCTTCGATCCACAATTCCTTGTGAGATCACCATTTGTCTTGAAGTTGCGATAAAAACGCCTCTCCTAACACCCGGCGTGTATATCTCAAGGCAAAGCCGAGAGCATGACAAGAGCAGAGATCTGGGGCTGAAATCCGATCTGTACTGCCCCAGTATCTAAGTTTATGTGTCATGATAAGTGCAGCCACTGCAGCCCTTCAATGTAGAAATCCGTCGAAATTTTTAGTTCAAGCTCAAGTTTAAATGTGCGTGCTCGGAGTAAGAGTCTTATATAATCATATATGCTGGTGATCTGATCGAATAACAGATCGGCTAACAGCTGATGTGAAATGCATCTGACTCAGTCGGACTCGAGCCGCGATCATAATCAAAACCTATTTGGGACAACGAAAACATGGCCATGACGCAGCATTCCGTTTTCACTCCTGAATATCAGGGTGTCACACCCTGATGTAGATGTAGATGTAGATCTAGTAGACCCTTCCCAGCATTACCATTCCATGATCATAGTGTATTCCGGGAGCCACTGACTCGGAGTGCAATCGTCAAACCCAAGTATTACAATTCTCTGCAAAGTTGTGCACTAGCCGTTGCTGCAGCCGATACACAACGGTCTGTGCATTCAATGATACATCTTTGCTCAAGCACCCGGTTCATGTTGAACAGTCTCAACAGCCCTAAATGCCTGCAGCCTGCAGCTACGTAATGTACAAAAGGAGAAAAACTGCAGCCTGCAGGGATTGTACACAACCATCAAAACTTTTGCGCAGCAGCAAAGGCCAGCGCACAGCTTGTCTTTTATACAGAGACATTACAATCTAGGAGAGGCAGGAATCACAACCTCAGACACACCCAACAGAAATACTCCACAGCCTAACCACCATATTCCTTCCCTAAAACATTTGCCAAAGAAGAACATGGGGAGAGGACCCCATTTGCTTATGTACATGGCGGTTGCTTGAGAACAGCACACGAGACGAGAGCAGAACAGCAGGTCAGGACTGGCTTGCCACCACGCTGCTGCCGCCGTGCCAGAGGCGGTCGAAGCAGTCCAGCATGTTGCCGGGCATCGCGCGCGCCTCCAGCCGCCGCAGCACAAGCCGCGGGAACGGCCGGGCGTCCGACGCCGCCGCGCGCCGCGCGGCCGTCTGTGCGTGCAGCTGCGGCAGTAGCCGCACCGACGACCCGCCAGGGGCCCGGCCGATCCCCGCGGCCGCCACCGCCGGGCGCTCGGCGCCAGCCTGCGGCCGCTGCGCCGGGGCCGGCGCGCCGAACGCCGCGCGGCCACCCGGGATGACCCCAACCTCGTCCAGACTGCACTGCCACGCTCGTGCCAAACCGCCCCTTGCCATCACTGGCTCCCTGGCACCTCCCGTATCCCTCAGCCCCTCTGTGCCCCTCACATTGCCGCCTGCTGTTTCCACTGTTGCCCTCGCCGCCACCGAGCCTGCGGCATGCTCGGTGGGTGCCTGTGCGCTGTTGATACTTTCTGCAGATTCATCAAGTACTGGTTTAGCGTGTTGCGCTGCAGGCAGCTTCTTTGCTGCTGAGTCGTCCTCATCCATTCTGAAGCTTAGTGCATTGGGTACTACCGCGCCGCCCTCAGCGGCGCTGTCTTGGGGGGCCCCTGCCAGCTCAGCTGGAGGGGCCGGGCTTGGGGGCTGCGGCCCCTGTGCTATCATCTCCTGGGACTTTGACAGCGAAGTGGGAGGCAGTGCCGCCTGACGGCTGGCCTCCAGGCTCGTCTCCAGGCCCCGGCGCCTGCTGCCCTGGAAGACAGACACCATGAAACAGGTCTGTCTTGCAGGGCATCACCAGGCTACTATACAATTGTGACTCGTCACACATCTATCCCCGCCACAAGGAGCGTCACTTTAAAAGAGCGTCCCTGTAGGAAGATGACATAACAGTGCTCTCATCACGCCCCTACACAAGTACCCAAGTCTGCTCTCATTTGCCACAATAGAAAGCATTGTGTCAAAAGAAGATCTAGTCCCATTAGATCATGCAAGCAATTTGCAGAAGATTGATCAATGTCCTCCACGCGAAACATGCCATCCCCGTGCGCCAAGAGTTAGCGCACCGATCCGGGAGCATCCTGCATGTAAATGTCCACTGCCGGGCTGGACAGGGGCTTCTCGAAGATGAAGGCGTACTCGTGATCCTGCAGCATAGGCAACGCGCTTCCTCGAGAGCAATACTTTCGCAAACACACATATATGTGCAGTGGGAATGAAATGGTGGTTGAGCTGCTAGAGCACCGTGCACAGGCCTGATATAGCCGCATAAGGGACAGGCATGCACTCGCTGTCAGCTGCTCCATGCACAGCCAGGCCAGGGGAGGGGAGTGCATGCATTAGCCCGGGAGAGCCACTAATGCTAGATTGAATGCACTGCTCCCCCAAGCAATATAAGTGAGTGTAGTCCACAAGACAATAGCTTTCAGTAGATGGTCAGCAAATGCTAATCGAAATGAAGCACAGCACGTAACACCAGAGCATGCCAGAAGAGGCAGCGCATGTGCTATTTGGACAATGAAAAGATGCGTGCACCGTTGAGCATGCCACTTGAGGCAGAGGCGGGGACTCACCGAGCCAGCTAGGCTGGAGGCCTCATGCTCGGCGTCATTGTCTTCCTCCAGCTCTGGCACTGCCTCAACAGCCTCCTGCGGCCTGGTGGGATGGACACAGTCTGCCCCCTCGAATTGCATGGGCTTGGTCGCAGGCAGCAGCTCTGCCTCCTCGTCGTCGAAGCAGACCTGCTCGTTGGTGGACTTGGGGCTGTCTGGCAAGCTCTCGGGAGCATGCAGGACCTTCTGCTGGGGATTGGCTGCCTCAGAAGCCCCTGATCCTGTGGCCCCCTTGCAAACTGCATGCACCACGACAGACACTTCAGAGATTTTAGAAGCATGCACAGATTGCGATTTTCTATGGAGGTGGGCTGGTATCAAACTGTGTTTTGCTATTTCAGAACAGCTGAAAGCACGACAACGCAGAGCAAGGACGCTTCTGATCCGCAGTGGAGGAAGCAATGATTTTGCTATGCTTTCTGCCTAGTCTAATGTAAGCTGCCCATGACGGCACTGCTAAGTGAAGTCCCCGCCCGTTGCCTTGCATTGTGTCTTCCCACGGCGCTGACATCCTGCCACACTTCTGGGCAAAGCATTCGGCTTCCCCCACCGAGAGGTACCTCCGCACTTGAGCTATATGAAGAGTGATCGTTTGGCAGGGCACCCCACAACCGACGGGTGCGATCGTGTACCGCACCTGTCATAAAACCGCCGGCGTGGTGGTCGTCTGTCTTAACGCATGACAGGGCGGCAAAGGCCTCCATTCCGCCGTCCAGAGCCACGACGTCGGCATGGCGGCCACCGGCGATGATTTCGAACTTGTGTTCCCCTGTCAGCAGGCTCCTCCCACGCAGGTCCTGCCAAGAGCTCACCAGTTCCTCCTTGCCTTCCATCCCTGGTCCCTCCTGACCATCCATAACCACTGTCTGGTGGCACGACGTGCCAAGGCTGGCCTCTGTCCGGGTTGATCGCCGATGCACCAAAAGTGTTGTTTCCTGGGGTAGAGCTGAGTCATAGGGTGAATCGGGCAGGTCGCTTGCACGTGCAAACGAATAATCACACGTGCCGTTTTAAGAAGATGCTCTCTAGCTCGTCGCTCCGTAGCTTGCCCAAAAACAAAAGACTCAAAAGTGCTTCATAGACGTCCGCCTAGAGCAACGATCGAATTATGCAAACGATTGCAAGCCCCGAGACTGTGACCTGTGCTGCTAAGGTGAAGTAGTAAGAACATCGTCGCTTCCCTTGTAGTGTAGTCATTTGGTAATCAGGGCCTGCTCTAGCCCTGCATGAACATCGTGCGGGGAATCTGGGGCATTCCCTCGTACGTACTCGGTGCCGTCTTGCCAAGTTCGGCAAGTGAGCCGCTCCTGCGCGAGAAGGTGCGCCTTTTCCTCAGGCCCAAAGGTATTCGCAATCCTTCGCTGTCTTGTGGAGAGACCAGCCGATGTAGCATAAAAACTGAAGTGTTTCACGATTAGCTTGTGGACGTTTGTTTCCATGGCCCATGCAAGTTCTCCCTCCTCGCTGTAGTAATAGCAGGGGTTACAGCACGCAAGCTTCCCATCAAGCCAACTTAACATGACTGAGACAGTGCCGCTACTCTGATCTCATTTTTAGATTGACATCCAAATTTAGGGAGCGAGTTCCAATGTTATCAAATCCTGTCTGCACGGAAGGTCACTGACCTAGGACTTGGCAGGTTGAGGATGTGAAACCATTTTTGTGGCTCCAGCACCTTGCAAGGCACTGGAAATCTTGTGTTACTGGAAAGTGGCCGTAGTTGATAATATGGAACGTGCTCTGGCATCTTTCATGTGGCGATCTAATCTTGTGGCTGCCCTGTGACCCTTACTGTTGTTGTTCGGTCTGTAGAATGATGAAGAGCTAGCAGAGGCAGAGGCGCAGCACTTGAGGGAAGAGAATGGCGCAGGAGCAGATTCCTTGCCAGCTATCAATGGAAGGTGAGCAGCTCATAAATTGCATGGACAATCAGGGCCCAGAATGGACCACAAGGACATGACTGTATGACCTTCTACGCTTCCATCCAGCATGGACGACTGCATATTTTGCTTTGCTGTGAAGACATGCATGCACACAACTGCTGTTGGCTAGCCAAACCCGCACCTTCACTGATGAGATGTCAAAGATGTGCTTTGACTCACACACTCTAGTTATCCTTTCTGTATCCTCTGTGTATGTTGTCTCTATGATGTCAGTTCAGTATTACATTCGTTCCTATGGAGTGATTCATTTGGCATGTGAGAAATTGAAGACACGCTATTCAGCTTGGTCTAGAAGTAAGCGTGGTCTGGTTCTGATGGGAAGGGGCACAAAGGGCTTTTGGTGACCAGAATACACCAGATTTTATTTTTTTTACTGCAGCGGATTGACAAATGGCCACAGCGGTGCGGGGGCGGTGCCCAATGGCCACACGAATGGCTTCCATGCAATGGAAGAGGAGGAGCATGTGAAGCTGGAGCCGGCGCCGAAGCCCAAGAAGATCGAGCGCACCGCGTTTGGGCTGGCGCTGTACGCCCTCAGCAGCTGTTTTCTGGCCACCATGCTCATGTTCGCCAAGAAGCTCGGTGCGCGCATATAATCCCCCTTACAATAGACTGATACAGGATAGATAGATTGAGACGATATATTGCCTCTCTTGTACCTCGGTATCCCACTGTCAGTGTAGCTGCAGGATCCCATTGGAATGTGAGTGCCTGAGAACATGTGACCATGGATTCTAGCTATATTTGAAGCTACAAATTTTGCCCCGCCATTTTGAAGCATTCATTTCGCCGTGAGACGGCTTTGCTGCATGCAAGACTCTGTCTCTGTGCGGCTTACCGGCCTTGCTCACATTTTACTAGCATTCCCACAGGCGGTTTTGAACCTGCGTGCAGAGGAGCTGGTACAAGGCACAAGATCAGATGACATTCCATGCACACATGATGTTCAAAAGCAGTCAGGTTCAGGGACAGCTGTCATGCATGGGGCTGAGGGCGTTCCCTGTGTCTGGAGCAGGTCAGTGGGGGATACCCACGTTTGAGATCCTGTTGGCGCGCAGCGGCTTCCTAGTGGTCTTTGCTCTGGTGGGCTGCGCAGTGCAGCGCCAGAATCCTCTGGGAAAGAGGTGCGCGCCCCCCTCTGCCCAACCTGCCTTGCACCCTTGGCACCATACCTCACCCGTGCAGGATGCCTTGTCAGCCTCTACTGTTGCATCCTGCTTTTCAGTCACTCACAGCCGGCGTAAGAGTATACAGCGGGCATACAGCCATATGCGGCTAATGGAAATTCAGGCTCGTCCAAGTTAGTATTTTGAAGAGTGTGTGACTCCTTGTCCAGAGCTTCTTAGTAAGGGATGCAGTCACAAATCAAGCCTCTGAAGCAGAGCATGCAGCTCTCAAAATCATCATGTGATTGGCCATATGTGTGGTCTGCAGGCGCGGCTTGTTGCTGATTAGAGGCATATTCGGTTTCGGTGCGATCGGCAACTACCTTTTCGCGGTGTCACTGCTGCCGCTGAATGACACTCTCGTGCTCACATTCACTGCGCCCATCTGGGCTGCAGTCCTGGGGCCGTTCCTCATCAAGGAACAGCCAACCAAGTGAGTTCCCTCTCCGATCTGAGACGGATTCTGTCCTTTGTCTTTGACACAGAATGTTCCATATCAGCGTGAGCTGCTTTGCGCCGAGTCATGCATGCCGCAAGGTGCCGTGATCGAAGGCAGTCATTGCATGCCGAGGGTGCTTTACAACGGCATGCTTACTTGTTGCATGTGGATGCATGCTGTGAGGAGGAAAAGAAAATTCCGGCTTGCTGCTCATGTGCAGCTCGAGCAAGAAGCCCATGTGCCAAATGTGTCTTTTTGCAGAATGCTTGGAAAAATAAAGGCTTGTCATTTGTGGGGTCATTGAAGTATTTGCATGGCAGGGCGGTGGGGATTGCGATTCTGCTGTGCTTTGGCGGAGTGGCGCTCATAACGCAGCCCAGCTTTCTGGGATTCCCCAACACCGGCCGCATCACTGCGCTGGGAGCATTCTTCGCCCTGTTCCAGGCACACCCTCTGTTTTGCCACTTGACATCATTTTACACTTTGGTTTGAGGAGTCAGAATCGTGGGATTTTTGCGTGAATCAGCTGGTGATGCCTCAATGAAGGCGTTGGGCAGTATGCATGGATGGTTCCCAGGGATATGTCTTTCCAACAGCTTTGAAAAGTCTCTAGAACTCGCACAGGCCTCACGTTTCCTTGCAGCACACGCGACATTGGTGACACTCGGAAGGAGTACGTATTTCAAAGGTCTCGTATTTCAAAGGTTAAGCATTGAGGTTAGTTGGCCTCATGCCTTATTTCTTCAGGCCGGAAAAGTTGACCCTTCTTGGTTTGTGTGCTGCAGGCGCTGTGCAGCGCGTGCGCGAAGATGTGCGTGCGGGAGCTGCGAGCGGAGCACCCCAACGTGTCGGTCTTTTACATGGCATGGGTGTCTCTGGTGGCAGCGCTCATCGGCTGCTTCCTGCCAAAAGCTTGGGGCGCCACAGACTCATTCCGCATCCCTGGCCACTGGGCTCAGTGGGTGCTGCTTGTGGGCATTGGTGCGCTCCATCCCCTAGTATGACTAGCTTTAATGGGTACATAAGTTAGGATTTAAGGGGTCCCGTGCCAGAATGTCCTTCCGAATCTTTAGCCACTGGACTCAGTGGGTGCTGCTCGTGGGCGTTGGTGCGTTCACAATCCGTATCTTGCAAAATTACTACCAAAAAAACAAACGAGTCATGGTGCACCGCTTCGCTACTTTTCTTGTGGACATCAACCTATCCTTGACAGGGCGGCTCGGGATTAACGTAAGTGATTCCCAGGTCTCATCATTAATAATGGACTGCCATCAGCAAAGCTTGTCATATGATAATCCCCCACACCAGAATGGGTCACTGCTGCAGGGCTTGCTGTGGCGCACTTTACCGGCTTATTTTTCACCTAGAGAGCTTTCTGGTTGTCTGATCTTTGCGGGGATTAGGGCTGGTGGATAAGCAGCATTTGGTGATGTGCAGGCATCACGAGCTACGGGAGCCAGTTCTGCATGACTAACGCGCTGCGCCACGCGCGCGCTGCTCCCGCCCTCGCAATGTCATACATCTCAATCGTGCTCACAATCACCTACGGCTACTTCCTTTTTGAAGAGGTCCGCTTTCTCTTCTGCTTACAAAACCCATGCACATAGCTCCCTTGTCAGAGCAGGGTTTTATATCGGTATGCAGTGACATGGTAGTAGATTGGCATGTAAGCGCGTTGAAGAGAGCCAGATCTGGGTGTGAAAATATCCATTGTGAATTGCGGTGCTGAATCGGTTTGTTTACGTGTGCTGCAATCTCATAGTTTCTTCCCAGCGTCCACGAGTTGCTCCAGGCAAATTGGCGCCCAACTGAGTGGTGTTCCTTGTGGCTGCAAATGCGCAGATCCCGACAGTGCTCTCCATCACGGGGGCGGTGCTCATCTGCATATCCACATTTTCGCTGGGGGCATTTGAGAAGACCCACCCGACGCAATCAAACTCCCCAGACCCCTCGGTCCGCAGTGGGCAGGCCATGAGCAGTGACGGCCTCGGAAGCTACACGCAGCTGCCGAGCGCTGATCAGGCGGCGCCTGTTGAGACGCGGTCCTGATTGCGCGCGTTCCCTCCAAGGCTCCGTCATAATTCGGCGCGACCCTGCCCTAGAACAGATTCAAAAGGAGAAACAGCCTTGTAGAGACCAGATGGGTGATTCTGGAGTAAGTGTTGGTAGGAGCTTTAGAAAAGGGATGAACAGAGGGCAACCTTGCTTGCAAGGATGCTGCAAGGGAACTTTGTAGGCTTAGGTGGATCTGGCAGGAAGTGATGTCCTGCCAGCCAGAGAGCGGTGCCACATTCTTTGAAGCTGCGCCTGACGCAGCAAGGTTGCAGCAACTTCAGTACAGGCAAATAGCCGGCGATTGGCTTTTGTACAACACCAGAGAGGTGTAATAGCATGAAGAGATCAACTAACGGTTCTTGTGTCATGGCTTGCTCCCATGATTTGCTGGCAACGGCAGCTGGGGCGTTTTGCACAGCAATGAGGAGCCACTTGTGTGTGTCAAAGCGGATTGTTAGGAGACAAGACAGGAGAGTCTTTAGCTGGTGTCTTTACCAGTGTACGTATGTGTGACAAGGCGTGAACTGCCATTTGATAGCAGCACATCAAGAAATGCAGGATCCTGGCTGGAACGCAGTGTGTACATGTTTACTGAGCGGTGCTCCGGCCAATCAATGCGTGCAGTTGCTATCAACGAGTGCATGCCATCAGTGAATTTGCAGGTCACTCTAGGCTCTGCAAGAAAAGAGTCCTCCTGTGTGGTATGTGAGCTTAGATTTGACGGCGATTCCTATCATATCTGACAATGTAGTCCCTCTGTAAATGTTCCAAATACAAAAAAAGCAATCTTGTCATAGTGTGTCCCAGGGACATGAGCAAGTGTCCCAGACTGCAGACCCCCCGGCCAGCTCAGCATCAGTCAGCAGGCAGTCATCCAGGATTGCAGAGATCTCCTCCTGTGCATTTGATACATCTCGCTGACATATCTGACCTCCACATGATAAAGTTTCACAAAGATTCATCCATGTCTGAGAAGTTTCTTAGTGCACTGTGGCAGATATTATCCTTAACAGCGGCGTCACATTGGTGAGGTCCAATCACAAAGAGAAAAAAATTGGATGGACGTTGTGGCTGGCAAGCAGACCCAGGATCATTCGCACTACACTGTCAACCAGGGGTGCCTGTTGGAGCCCTCACCTTTGGCAGGTCAATGCCGATAAACACCAACCGCTGTATCCTCTCTGCACTGCCCGCCATTGCCTCCCCCGAATGCTCCACATTCTCCGAGCCCGACTTTCTCTCAGTGCCAGGCTTCAAATTTGAATTTGGTGAGGCGTCGAGGCCTGATTTGGCATCGGCTGAGGGGTCCATCCAGCGCCCGTATGGGGCGAACCTTCGCGAGGCTCCTGCGGTTGACCACTCCCACACCACCTCTGGCCGATTCGCCACCCAGAAGAAGCCCTGCATGCAGAATAAACGCAAGCAACCAATCTTAACTGTCTCAAATTTGACTACAATGTTATTATGCCCGCTCTGCTTTGATGTCTGCATCTCTCTTCTCATGTTGCAGTCAAGCAGCAACTTGCGTGTGCCTTGAAGGTGTGTGACAAATTGACGCGAGCGCAATTAAGACAGTGCTGATGTCGTCTTGTTCATGGCAGCATTTGTACCAGACAATCACATGGCTTCCTGCAAAGGTCTTCACCTGCGGCAGGAAAGCTCTTTGACCTGCTCCCATGGCGCAAGACAAAATTGTCACAGGACACCACAAGACTGTCTAAAATGGATGCTCACATGCATCCCCGGCCTCTGTGCAGAGGAACTATCATACTCAATCTATTCGAAAAAACACTTCACCAGCAGATGCTTCGTATCCCATTCAGGTACGAGCTTGTCTGCCTTGCAGGCATCCTAAACCATAAATTCACACTTCGTCATAAACAGGCCTTGCCCTGGAGTGTGTATCAATCTGTACATTTGTGCACAGCATTCATGCCAGACACTTGCATGGCGTCACAAAAAAATATCCTGACCTATGGCATGGAAGCGCCTTGGCCTGCTCCAGTGGCGTGCAGCAGGATCATAACAGGACACCATGCGTAATATGATTAATATTCTTAAACGCTTTTCCTGCCAGAAGCAAGGTGCGTCTGCAGACAAGCTGCGGTAAAGGCTGCCAAAATCCTACCCTTGATGGACTCGCCAGATCCAAGCAAGACCCAATCAATCGTGGGCACGGTGCTCAGTATATATACCGCCCCCCGCCAGCCGGGGCCCATGCGTATGTCAACCATAAATGCTCCCATGCATCCTATGGTATGCGTCTCTTCTCAACCGCCCCATGCAACACATACATGCAGCACCCTACCCAGATTCTGAAAAACCAAGCTTGCAGTGCAGACTTCCCATCAACAAAACCTCCACATGAAGGTGCATATCCGGCCATGTAAGGGTCTGGCCTTGCCTTGGATCGCAGCGATGGTGACTGTTGAACATGAGCTAGTCTGCAGAGCCAGAATTTTTCCACCTTTAACCACCTCATCACATCTTTCTTCCAGGCAACGGCCCTGCTTTATGATGGCATTACTTACCTTGGATCGCAGAGTAGGGGGAAGAGCGTTATCTTCAAGCACGCGGCGCCACAGCCTCAGGGGGTGAAACGCTGTTGTAGACCGGTACACAAAGCTGGAAACTTCGTACTGCTCCGTCTCGGGGGCGTGCCCTGCCCCCGCCAGCTCAGCCTGCCAGCCCGCCGCCTGCGCCGCTGTTTCCAGCGCAAACCTGGGCAGGCCATATTTTCAAAGTTTGGCCCCTCAAAGATGATGATGTGAGTCCCTCAAGGGCAGGATATCGGCAGCCTTTACCTGCAGCTTGTCTGCAGACGCACCTTGCCTCTGGCAGTTGAAACGTGTGATGACAACAAGAATAAAAGACGCGGGGGTGTCCTGAAATTAAGAAGGACCTAAATATCGCAGATTTTCTGAGCATCTGAGGGTCTTGCAAGGCTTGGAAAACAGCCAGTTGATCGCGGCTTGTGTGCGATCTTTTGAGATGCCAGTTTTAGCTGCATGAACGATAGCAAGCAGTGCCAGGGACCACAACTGATTGCAGCCATGCGCGAGGGAAAGAACGGCTAGCATGTGAGAGCTCCTGAGAAAGCAGCGAATGGAAGGTTGGACATTCACCTGCGCGTGTGGAGGACCTCAAAGAGCGCCACCTGGCAGAACGATGTAGGGATGATGCGAGCCTTGGGATTCAGCTTTGCTAACACTGCCTGCAGACGACCTACCTCCTCCTAGGCACACAGTGCTGTCAGAGACTAAAAGCACTGTGGTATATCACCAGTAGTAGCAAAAGTCTTGTTGATAATTCGTGGCATGTTGCAGAATTGGTTTCAAATATAATCATGCCATCAGTCCCGTGTAGGGAAACCCTGGCATGACATTGTGCAATATGCATCCCTTTACACAGCCAATGCAGGGCCCTCATGAGCAGACACTGAGATTTGGGGGAACTTGCTTCAGCAAATCCTCTCCCTTGCAAGAATGTGCAGAGGATTCTCAATCCCGCAAAATCCCCCCAGCTCAAAACGTTCACAAAAGAGCAAATCCTGCACAAGTGCCTGCGACCACACCTGGGACACCAGGTCGCACTTGTTCAGTATCAGCGTGTCAGCAAACTCGATCTGGTCCATGATGAGGTCAGCGATCGTGCGCGTGTCCCCCGACCCGGCCGCCATCGCGCGCTCGGCCAGCCGCTCGGCAGCCGCCAGCTCTGCTGACACCGCATCTGCGTCTATCACCGTTACCTGCATGCAGCAGAGCGCAAGACACGTCAATAGCGGCCTTCCTGCTGGAAAATCCAAAGTACCAGGATGCTGTGATAAAGGGGCAAATCTACAAGTGCAATATGACCGAGTCTCCAGTTGTAACTTGCGCGAAAAGAGGGAGTTTTGGTCCTTCAAACGGTAGCCACGTCGCTGTCAAACCGCATTGGGGTGAATGCTTGAGGTCCCCCTATGAGTAAATGGCATTGCAGGCACATTCTAGAGTTGTGTGTCGAAATACAGATGAAGGTGCGTGGCGCTGACCATTGTGTCAATATTGGCGAAGGCGCTGAGGGAACGCCCCATGTTGTCAGGCGTGAAGAAAGTGGCCGCCACCGGCATGGGCTCGCTGATGCCTGAATGCGCATGCCAGATTTCTATGGACATCTTAACACCACCACATCATTATCATTGTCACTGCAATGCCTATTTTGGCCTGCACCATCATCTCAAGACCTGAGGCCTACATTTTGGACCTAAAGCTGCTTACTGCTTGCCGTCACAGGATTGGCTACTTTAGACGCTCGTCCTTTCTGCAGTCCAAAGGGACAAAAGAAATCAATTTGATGCACATCAATACAGGGTTGCTTGCCTGTTGATTCAATCAGCAAGTAGTCAAAGCGCCCCTCAGCTGCCAGTGCTGCCACTTCCTGCGCAGGCAGCAGAATGCAAACGACACAAGGATCTTAAATACGGCCGCGTCAGTCTTGTATCTGTGCTTATTGCATGATGTGCTGTACTGACGAGCCAGTGCAAGGCTCAGAATCAAATTGGGGAGTGTTTGGCGTTTGGAGGAATCAGGAGCCAGTGCTGAGCTTCGGAGTATCACAGCCCTGACGTTATTCTTCACCCACTTTAGCTTAGGGTTTAGGGAATATGTTATGCTTTAGGATTTAGGGCTTAGGGAAGGGGCCTTGATAGTAGTAATTTTCACGGGGAACGCAATGGTGGATTTAGGGTTTAGGGGTCAATGAAGGGTCGATACTTCTATAAGACACAAAGTGGGTGAACTTCAATGTGATACGAATCACAGTGCATGACTAACCTGCAGCAGATCGTCGCGCAGCGTGCAACAGATGCAGCCATTGCTTAGCTCCACAACGTGATCCTGTGATTGCTGGATTGTGGACTGCCCGCCTCTCACCGCCTCCGCATCGATTCCCACCTCCGCCATGTCATTCACTATCACCGCCACCTGTGCCGCCACATGGCATTTACTGATTGCATGTGCATGACTGGACCTTTTGGAACAGGGATGAATGGTACTGCTGTCTCAGAAAGCTCAAGCAGGCACATGCAAATGATGCATGCATGCTCCAAGCCCGCAGACATTGCACATCTGTTTTGCAGATGGTCGTGAGTGTGGAATGAACTATAGGATCTCTCCAAGGGGCACTCTTTGAAGATGTTGATTTGTACCTTCAGGCCTTGCTGGTTGGCCAGGATGCGCTGCAGCAGCGTGGTCTTTCCCGCCCCCAGAAACCCCGATAGAACTGTGACCGGCAGTTGTTTGCTGACGCCTGGACAAGCATTGCAACACCGTCAACACCAGCGATCATCTCGAATGCGATTGCTAGTCATGCTGAGCCCACTTGTGGCCTCACCTGTATGTTGCAGTAACATCCAAGTATACCAAGAATTAGAGTGCATACAATGCAAGGGCGAGTGCCAAAGGTAAGGAGAGAGGACTGCCTCGCCAATTTGTATCAATGGTGCTGGAAATATCTTCTTTATATTCCTAAAGAAGAGCAAACATGCAGGACGGCAATACAACAGGGGCAGACCTGCCTGTGCCAGGGTGGCGAGGGCGGTCTCCAGCGCGTTCCCGGCAGGCGCTGATGTCATCGATACTCCCTGCGCTGACGTCGGTGCTGATGTGGACGCCGTGCGAGACTGCACACGCCGCTGCTGGGCTTGTTCCAGGCTCCCGAGGGTTGACTGGACCTCCAGTAGGTCGCTGCTGCTCGGCGCATGCTGCAAGCCTTTCTCTACAGCCTTCCTCCCTGCTGCAAAGTTTCTCACGCCTATCTGGGCCAACGCCTGACGCAAGTACCCCTGCATGCACAATTACACGTCTCTTTAGATACCCCAAAAACCAAGCTTGTGACTTTCGACTCAGAAGTAGGAGGACAAAGTGCGATCTTCTATGCAGACAGAGTGACAGGAACTTGGGCAATAATCAGACCTTGTGCCAGTCAGGACGCAGTGCGACAGCACGATCTGCATCAGACAGGGCTTCGGCGTATCGTGAGAGGCGCTCATGAGCAGCTGATCGATTGCTGTGCAGCGCAGCGCTGTCTGTGGCTGCCTCTGGCAAGACGTTCAGAGCTGCTGTGTATGCATCTATTGCAGCTTCATAGTCGCCTGCAGGAAAATTCATGGAACGTGATTGGTGGTGTAAGAAGTTCACACATACGTACTCCTGACATTGACGCCCTCTCATGGTTGTGTCATCACATTGTTTCAGGATGACACAGAACTGTTTCCACAACTCTTTAGTTGAAAGATGTGCGAACGCATTATTCAAAGTGATTGAGGTGATCCAAGCTTTTATACCTGTCGCGAATGCTGCATTACCACTTTCTTTGAGGACAGATGCCGACATCTGTTACTCCCTTTTATAAATGTCTGCAGTCGTTTGCACTTGCGTTCGTTTGTAACTCGATGATGCGAATCTTATTGAGATTGGATGACATCCTCTATCCTGATCCGAAATCGGAGACCTCCTCAGTAGCATGCATTGGAGAAATGACCCAATCCTTACTAACGTAACGCCTTGTAACGTTCACCCAAGCCTAATCCTCGACGGTACAAGGCAGTGCGAGCGCCAGGTGAGGGCCGCCTCGCTGTGTATGAGAAGTGCTAGTGCCAAGGTAATTGTAAATTGTTGCAATGCACATCTGGGCATTTGCTGTTGTGTGAGCTAGCTTGACTCTGTACGAAATATGGTAGCTGCACTTTTCGTCATTGTAGTGCAGCCGTTTTTGTAGGGATTGTACTAGATTCTTCAGACAATTCGGAATGCTTTGCATGCATGAGGGCATGGCAAGTACCGTATGCATTAGGCAGGTCGCCAATTGAAATATCGCGAATAAGAAAAGTGCAACATTATTCAGTCATTGTGCAACGATTGCTCTGCAGCAACTTTATATTGATAATATATGTTGTATATACCGTTGCAGAAGTGGTTGGTGTGACCAAATGTAACAACGTTAACAATGTGAACACGTCAGGCCTTATGAGGCTTTGATGAAACAAAGCCAGCCAGCCTGCTATAAAAGCTCTGTAAAATGGTCCTACATATGGTCATTTTGCTCCACTGGATGGTGCTAGATTAGCAGTTGCTGTACACATGTGGCAGAGCTTTCTAGAAATCACCACGCTGCAAAATTGCCCCCACACACCCTCATCAAGTCTGAAGGCCCAAAGTAGAGTCTGGTGACCTGACAGCTTCAACATCAGCAATGCATTGTGCCTCGAATCATGTGCACGGACATGGTCTATGCCGGCAGTTCCAGGCCTTGCAACAGCGCGGCAACACCCCTGGATGACTCATCGGGGGCGCCAAGAATCAGGTCCAGGTCAGCGCCTGAGATGTGCCTCAGACCGGTGGATGCAACCTGCCTTCTGCCAGCTTCAGACGCTGCTTCTGCATGGGCCTGTGCAGTGGCAAGCTCAAATCTCAGTGACGCAGAACAGGATATCTGTGCTGATTCCAAGAAAAGACTGATATGATTCCTTGCATTGGACTGGTAAAATGCACTCGCATGAGAGAGAAGCAGGCACTATAAGCAGCTGGGAGACCCATGCAAGACCCATGCAACACACGCACTCCTTCTTGCTGATGTGAGCAGATGAAGGTTGTTGAGAATCAGTCTCTCACCTGCTGACTCTGCAATGCAGCCACATGGCTGCTGCTGACATCACTCTGGCCAACACTCGCTTCAGGAGAAGATTGCGGAGGTGTGGGCCACAGTTTGTCGGCAGGTGATCTGCTGCGCGCGCTGTGCTGTGCTGACATGGCACGCTGTGCTGATGTGGACTGCTGAGGCGGCGTCGCGTCCTGAACAGGCCTGGCAGCCGAGGGGCAGCCGGGGCTGTCAAGCATCTCCTGAGGGCTGCACATCACATAGTATTACGGATCATTACTAAAAGAGTCTCACACGACACCTACAGTGAGAAGCTCTTTTCTCCGTGTTTACGTTCCTGTTTAGTTCAGCCATCATACCGGTGTGTGTAAATTTGCGTTCAATCGAGGATGAAAAGGTTATTGAACTGAATAATTCGAAGCCCATGCAAGTAAAGCAATCGCTGCTCAAAAAGTTTGCAAAGCTCAGTTGATTGCAGCAATGCCAAGAGAGTTCACTTGAAAGCCCACCTGCTAAGCTGAATCAGCCGCTGTCTCACTGTAGGAATGCGCGACGGCTTGGGGTGTGCAGTCTGCCGCCCGGTGAATCCACCCTGCTGCTGTGCACTCCCCGGCTGCCTCTGAGCGGGTGTGCAGGCATCTGCTACCTGCTGCGACACTTTCTGACCCGCTGGGACCGGCATGTGCCCATTCGCATAATGCGGGCGGCTGCCCGGGGGAAGCTGTCCCTGGAGTTGCTTGTCGGGGTTCCTGTCAGAGGCCGGGCAGTCCATAATTGAGTGCAAGCGGCTGCCGGAGGGAAGCTGGCCCAGGAGCTGCTTGTCCGGGTTCCCGTAAGGGGCCGAGCAGTCCAAGATTGAGTGCAAGCGGCTGCCGGAGGGAAGCTGGCCCGGAAGCTGCTTGTCGGGGTTCATGTCAGGGGCGGTGTGTGCAGGGGCTGGGCAGTCCATGATGGCGCGCGGATCAGTAACTCGGCGTTCCAATTTTGGGGAGGGGCAACGTCGTCGGAGACTGCGCAGCTCATCCAGAAGCTCGCAGTAGCCCCTCTCCCGCTCCGCCAGCGCAGCGCCATACTCATCCTGCAGAATGAGTAAGCAGGCAATCTTGAGCTTGGTAGAAGTGTCAAGCGAAAATCCTTCTGAATTGGCGCAGCTGGCATGTGCAGTCACATGAATTGCAGTCAGTACTCATAGCCATGCTAAGATCAACGATACTCATGCATCAAGCATGTTGCAGAAGACCTGCCACGGCAAAACTCACAAGATGCAAGGCCTAGTGTGGCATTTAGATAAGGATTGCAGCAGGCAGAAGAAGCATGAATTTTCCATCATCGTGCTCTGACAGGCATGACAAATGAGAATATCATGCTCTGACAGGCATGAGAAATGAGACAAGTTCACAAGGGCATGGAGATACGTTTTCTGCACTCTTCTTGGGGCAAGGGTGATTTCTTTATTGCGCATGTAACTTACATGCAGTGCTGACAGCTGCTGGCGGCAGGCCTGCACCACTTCAGCCATGCCCTGCTTGTGCCGCTGCTCCAAGTCCCCAAGCATGCTCTGCAGCGCCTGCTGCGCATTGTCCTCTGACTCCCCTCCCTCCAGCGCTGACTCAGCTCCCTCATGTGCCAGATCTGGCTCCCAACTGCCCGCACCCGGGCTGCCCACACCGCCCGTGCCGGGCAGGTTTAGCGCCTGCCGCAGATCCGTGAAAGCTCGCGGCTTCTGAGCTGACCCTGCTCCTGGATTGTTGCCTGCCGCAAAGTGACGGCTGCTCGTGGTTCGTCTCTGCGCGAACAGAAGCTTGATTGTAAATTCACTGGCGGCCGTCGACTTCTAGCTAAAATTAATGATGAGAGGGCTTCCAAACTCACAGACAATGGGCTCTCAGGCACTCACAGACACAAAGTTCAAGAACACATGCCATTGCAGCGTACATCTACAGAGAGACCAGACAGAGCGCAGGAGGCTGAATGCACTGCTGGAACAAGTAATGAATCAAGCAGTAAAAAACTCACCGATGCATGTGCGGGTCTCCAAGCCAGTATCAGGTCTGACGCGGGAGCAAGATTGCCGCCATTGGACAGAACAAGAGCGGCTTTCTTTCTGCGCAGCGCTTCGATCCTTGCCGCCATCTGCGCAAGGTCTGGCTGGTTTGGCAATGCTCCGGAGGCTTGCAGCATTCCTGCAGCGCCAAACTTGATCCGTCACCCCAAAGCCTTGCTATGTGTGAGATTGCCAATCACCAATTTGATCTACCCCTGCCTCAGAGGGCCACTTGATTATGCAAATGCCCATGGCTGTGCTTGGTGGCAAGCATTTGCATGCTGTCTCTCGCCTTCGCACTGTGGGAAGATTGAGTGAAAATATCTGTATGACCTTTGCACAGGCTAGAGGTGTGCATCAGTGCACGTTATAATCAATCCAGCAAGACTGCTAAACCACACTTGCAGGTTAGCTGACCTTGCCAGGCGCGAAGCTCGCAGTCCACTTCCTGCACGAGAGCCTGCACACGGGCCTCCTGGTCCTCGATGCCTGAACAGGCGCGGCGCATGTCCGCCTCCAGCCGCCGCTGCACGCGAAGCTGCTCCGCCAGCTTCCGCTCGGCCGCCGCCAGCTTCCCGGCCTCCGCCGCGCGCACGCCCTCCGCCAGATCCTCCCTCAGCTCCGCCAGCGCCAGCACGTGCTGTGCGCACATGCGCTCACATGTTAGCCCCCCACGCGCACATGCCGCCAAATGTTATTAGATTTGTTAATATTGTTTCACGCACTTCTTGCCAGGCGGCAAGCTATCTTTGCAGACATTTTGCAGGCAATGGCTACCAACATCGTACCCCTTGATAGACAGGCCAGATCCATGCAAGACCTGACGAACCATGGGCACGGTGGTCAGAAAATCGACAGCTCGGGGGACAACAACAAGCAGAGAGCAGTTCTGAGAAGCCTTGAATAAGAGGTATCATATGCGCTCTATAGATTGCAAAAGCAGAGATAAGTCCAAGATGTGCGTTTCTAGGGAGTGCTGACCTTGTGCAGCTGCAGGTGTTGGCGGCTGCTGCTCCCTGAGCAGAGATGCTCTGGTGGCGCCGCTAAAGAGAAAAGAGCTTGATTCATTAGTCCCTGTTGCTCCTGTCAACACATATCAATGCAGATCACACTTTGGTAGGGATCTATGTGAAGGCAAATCTGGAACGCTAGGAAGACACACACAGGGAAATGTGCGGAAAGCCGCGCCAGACATCTTGAAATATACATACAGTACAGGACTTGATATCCTCAAGCGCCTTAAAACCCCTTTCCTTGCGACTTGACCTTTTTGCATCCTTCCACCTCCAGTGCCACTAAATTGAGCTCATGATGTTCAGCAGGACAGGACATCACCTGCTGGGCCCTTGTCACATCCTGAACATGGAGCAGTGCTTGTTTCGGAGGGTACACCGCGGCCAATTTCGGCATTGAAGGCGCCAGTTTCGGGAAGTCCAAGCCTGACAGCATTTGGAGCTTGGCCTGCCGCTCACGCCAGAACAACTCCTCCTGTTCAGAACAGAGCGAAGTTTGAAGGTGCAGTCAATGTGCTTTCAATTCTTAGAAGGAATCATTTGCCACCTATCTCTTCTTCAAGAAATTCATTAAATTCGATTATCTGGAAGATTACCTTCTCATAGTACATAGTCGACCCGTCCTCGAATGGATTGTGGTGAAAATACAAATGTCACGCTTTCATACAACGGCTCTAATCAGCGATAGAATGCAAATTTTGCCTCGAATATTGTGAATATCGCATTGATTCAGGGTGTCAAACTCTGGCTATAGACTCTGACGTTGACTTTGGCAAAAATAAAGGTTGACAAAGACTGGGCTTTGTTTGGCGAACTGCCCTCACGCCCGACATTAAGTGACAGGTCACGGTTGCCTTTCCTTCTGCCAGGTCTCCTAATTACTTCGTTCCGGAACCTGTGTTCTCGGCAACAACAGATTTGGCATTGGGTGACCTCACCGGTGACGGAACGATCCTGCTGATCTGGCGGGAAAGCCCAACGGCTAGAACTGCACAGAGCGATGAAGATCGAGAGCAGTCTGTTAGCCCTGCCAAATTTTTGTGCAAAGAGTAGCTTGAGCAAGGAAAGTGTCTACGGCAATACGTCCAAGCTTGGTTGAGAAATGAATACTGCTAAGGTAGCATCATCTTCCTTTTATTGAAGCTGCCCAGCATCCATCTTTCTTTATTTCCATCGCTATGGGTAAGGAAAATGATTGCGACGACAATGCAGCGAAGGTCAAGGCGTTGTATTACACGATGCGATCGTTGGAGGTGCGAAGATCACTCAGGAATGGGCACATTGTGGTTCCATATTGGGTGGCTCTGAACTTTCATTGATTGCGATTATGTGCTCCATTCTAACAAATGTACTGTCGCCAAACATTTCCTCGTGCCAAGTGGCCTCATGACTCAGCAAAGGCCGGGGGAGCATTGACGATGCTTGGGTTGAGGGATGCTGCCTGCTCTTCTCAGAACAAGTTGGGAGGAGGCGAGGGGATAGAGGGCCTGTACGGCACGCTGGCATGCGGTGGCATGCAAAAGGTCCTCGACTGCATGGCAGCGAACTGTGGGCTAAAAAGCACCAGTCGCCTGGTGGATGTTGGAGCCGGGATAGGCAGGTGGGTCATGTCCAGGACTCACAATCTGTGATGCCTGTCATCCTGCAACGCTGTATATGTCGTGGCAAGTGAGCCTCGACACTTTCCTGCAGTAGCTTCCAAAAATTGCCTCCTTTTTACCTCTCCTCAAAGGTCACTCTCGAACTTCATCGGACTGTCATTCTCGCCCATTTCCATCCATGGGCCTGAGCAAAAGAGCCCTATGCAAGCACTAATCCAAAACACACAGGCTAAGACGCTGCCAGACAGCAAGCATGCGGGAAGGTTTGTAGTGACCTGACCCGGCTGCTCATATTCCAGCTGAAAGTGCCTGCTCAGGCCGCTGCTGCCAGCCAATGTGGGGCAATACTGCAAACGCACCTTGCCTCTGGCGGAAGGAGTTTGTAACACTATGACTAATATCACCGAGAAGAATGATAATGCCTGATCAGGCCGTTGCTGCATGCCGTCGTGGGGCGATATGCGGCGAGCGCGTGGGGTGTGGAAATCGATCGAGTGAAGGCCGACAAAGGGAACGCCTTCATGCGCTACGCGGCCGCTGACATGGCGCGCCGCAATGCTGACTGGACCGATTTTGAGGTGCCCAGCATCCAATGTGCGCCCATCGAAGAGGTAATCGATCTTCACTCTGCTTTGCGAAGGCCGACACAGACTGCTTCGCAATCACAAAGGCCAGAGTCTTTTCAGTAGGGGATTTGGGCAAAAACTGGGTTTGCCCTGTGTGCCTTGTGAGAGAGACAGAAGCTCATCGTTCTGCCATCCTCGAAGCTTGACTGGAAACTAAGGGACATGCAACTTCAATAATCTACGCGCAATCTTATTCTGAAAAGCAGCTGTAAGGCATGTTTGGTACCACAAAGGTGGCGGCTACCAACTCTTAACACGCCACGGCACTGACAGTGTAAAATGCGTGCAGATAAAGACGCTCGATCCGGCGACGCATGCGTACTCGTTCTGGGAGGGCGTTCCTGAAAACTCCCGACGCGCATTCGGCCGCCTCTTCTCTGCTTCAAAGACCCTACAGGCACGACCCTCAATTTTATTAACAACCTGGTCTTTGAACGGGTTGCTTTACCCCTGATGGTCTGGCTGTGCAACTTCCTTGCTGCTCTAAGAAGAGAACCACAGACCAATCACACAACAGCAGGACAGTCAGGCAGCACCATAAAACGATTGGCAGCAGGTCTCCTGACTGCCAGGTATCAGCTTCAATGCAGCCTGTTTATATGAGATTTCACAGCAGCTTTGTAGGGGTGCAAAGGACCTTCTTTCACTGCATGCCTCCATGCAGGGTTCATACAACCTGCAATCCTCATTCATCGACCCTCAGAACCTGCAAGAATTCCCATGCGAGCAGGCGGTGGCGATCGGGCAGCGGGCCATGCGCGGGCGAGACCCGGTGGTAGTCATGGAGGACCTGGGATTTGGCGAGCTCACCCTGGTCGACTCATTCTCCGTCAGCATGTCAGGTGAGGCACCATCTCCTGAAGCCCTGAACAGAGCTCAGAGCGCAGCAATCAGTCAGGGGCCGTCTTCTGATGGGCTGAAGCCGCTGAAAACGATGGAGTTCAAGAGGCAATCCCCAGAACTGCTGCTGTAGGACATCACAGGAACTTGACTCCAGCAGCCACAGGCAAAAATCATTCAATCAAACTCACTGGATTCGTGCAAAGAAAACTTGGATTAGGACAATTGCATTGGGTCCTTAAGAAGCTTGAACCAGCACATTGAATGTGATTTCTCATTCTTCAGGGCACGTGGATGCTGTGAAGCACAGAAATTTCTGGTATTCATGACTACGATTTGCGCAGAAAGTCATCAAATGCTTTTGCAGGGAGCGGGCGCAGTTTCACTGCGTACGTCTTCAGCCGCAAGGGCTTTGTGCCGCCGCCGCTCGAAAACTACTCGGCAGCTGCCGAGGAAGCTTCTGCGCTGCAACCGGCAACGCCGCATGACTCACGCGAGCTGCCGCTCATCCGCAGGAGCTCCTCTGAGTACACCGACTGCACAAGGCTCGGGTACAGTTCTGCTCTACCTGCAATCGTCTGTACTCACTTCTCAATTTTGGACCACACACCATCATGGAAGAAGCGTGACAAAGGATATGTGAAACACATTGGCCCTATGGCACAGCACAGATCTCCCCCATAGGTAGCCGCTACAGTTTGGCTCCTAAATGGCATTTCTTCTGACACTGCCTTCATCATGTTGCCAAAGCTGACCTTGGCGACACATTTGGTGGCTAAGGAAAACAGCACTGTGGTTTCCAAAGGGCACCCTGGCTCTGTAATTTTGCTGGGCGTTGTGGTCAGAGGTGTGATAGAGGATTGCATGGGGCTGACAGGTCAGAGGAGGAGTGCCAGCTGGTGGCCAAAACAGGCCACCGGACGCGCTCGCGTTCGGGAGCGTTGCCTCGCCGCCCGTACGGAGGCGAGCCCTCCGACGCTGCGCCAGTTCAGGCTCCAGCCCCTAGAAAGCCACGGAGCACTGCAGCTTCCAAACCCCCACGAGGCTCAAGCCGGCTGGTGCATCTTGAGGTGCGCCTCCAGCTGGATCCCATGTTGGTTTTGGCCATGTGACTTGGCTCTGTATAAATGCTGAGCATGGCGCCCAAAATTGAGTGGGTCTTGCTGTGGTGCTGGCGAGTCTAATAAGGGATGATATATATGGCAGCCTTCACCTGCAGCTTTTCTGCAGACACACCTTGCCTCCTGGCAGGAACAGCGTGTATTTATAATGACAAACAGCATGCCTTATTCTCTTTTCTTCATCCAGCACCTTGGCGCTTTGAATTGCGAAGGTCACTTACTTCATGTTTAGAGAGCTTAAGGTGATGGTTGTTTGCAGCAGGAGGCAACAGCAGAGGAGCCTGTGCTAGCTTCGGCAGCGCAATTCCTCTCAGACATGCCCGCCACCAAGGCGGCAGCAGCCAGCAAGGACACCGGCAGCGTTGTGTCTCTGAAGCTCAGCAGCGAGCAACCAGTCAAGTGTGGTGCCCAGCCAGTGCAGCCATCGGAGACAGGCGATGACGCAAGAGAAGCGACAGGCGGTGCAGAAATGCGCGAGCTCACTCCGCGTTCTGCAAAGACCTCCGCTTCGCAGGTAGATTTAGTTGTACGTGGGCTCTCAGCCCCCCATCTGCCAACTGCACAGCCATGGCGGTGTTTGCATGTGCTCCTGCTCCAGTTTTGTGTAGCTCAATGTGTTGCAGCATGCTCCATATAGTAGCCATGTGTGAGGAAGCAATAGCAACAGCACCCGGGTGTCAAAGCAGCTCTACACTGATGGCTCTTGCTGATTGTGCCGCAAGACATGATGCAGAACATCTCTGTCCTTCGTATATAGATTGGGGCTCCTGGCGGGGGGTCACTGGATTGTTGCTGCATCTTGTTTGCTTGAGAGGCCGCCCTTGTCTCTGGTGCTCGCTCTGCCTCGTATCTGCATTATGAACATCTCTGGATTTTCACAAAGCTGCTGCTTCAGGCGCTGAGGCGCAGTCCAACAGGCGGCGTGCAAAAGGCATGCGCGCTGTCTCCTAGAAAGGCGACGGCGGCCGCTGCCACAACAGGCAGCAGCAGGAGAAAAGGAGACCCTGCCGTTGCCAAGACAGGCAACGCTGCCGCTGCCAAAACGGGCAAGGGCTCCGCCGCTTTGTCATCGGTCGGGCAGGCCTTCCGCAGCCGTCGCGCGCCCGTCATGGCACTCAAAAACAAATTCGACAGCCAGCCTGGTGAGTCATCGTCAGCTTGCTCTTGACTACGCAGCAGTCTCCTATGGGATGCTCTCTACCCTGCGACACATTTATGCCACATCTGCAGAGAACACTTGCCTCCTGTGCTATTAACATCCCAGGTTGTTAGAGTGCTGTATTAATGCATGGTGGGGTCAGAACTGCTGTGTTGTTTATGCAGTGGCACCGTCAATTATATTCCACAAAGTGAAATGCATGCATGTTGTCTTTGGTTGAAGGCCCAGGGAGCTTGCGCAACAGGGAGACCGCTGATGAATTTCAACCTGTATCAGAGACGATACTGTGCTTACTGAGGTTGCCTGGCTTGATTGCTGCAGGTGAGCCGGCTGCTGATGCACCGAGAGGACTGGGTACAAGAATCCCTGTAGTTGCCCAGCCATCTGAGGCCTGACTGACTTTGGGAGCTGGACAGTATAGCCTAAAAATGGATTCATTTCAATCTCAATTGAAAAAAATACTAATACCACAATTTGCAGAAAACAACTTTTCACAGGAACCGCAGGAATGCAACGCTCAGTACTGACATGGCAGTTCACCTTCTGTATATACGGATAATAATATTGCATACCTAATCTGCCAGTGCTTGGGTTGCAAGTGCGGTGCTGATTGACAAGAGAGGTGCTCAAATCAGACCTTCATTACTGAACAAACTACTGCACTTCAGATTGCGCTTGTGCACCTCTCTGGGCTCAGGGCACAAGTCACGAAAGTTGTGACGGGTGTCCTTCTTGAAGTTTTTATTACAGCAACCAACAATGCATGTGAATTAAAAGCAGCAACGAAGAGCTAAATGATTGACTCTGTAACTAAGCAGGGAAGCGGTCTGCCTCGTTCATTGTTGGCAAAACGTTTGCTCCCCAGCAACGTATGAGTCCTTCAATTGCAGTTCAAAACAGTGCCATATGACTGCATGAGCATGACCATGGACTTGTGCCCACACAGACACAGCTCTGTAGCAAGTTTGTCATGTTGCAGATGACGGTATCTCTGCCCGTGTCCTCTCTTCCAGTACTCAAATGACTGTGGTGCCCCGTTGCTAGAGCCAGGTTATTCATCTGGAACAATACGATACCTACTAATTATGCTGTGATGGGTGACCTTACCTAGAGGTCATCTGGTCACAAAAAGGCCAGTGAATCATGAAATCACGGCAAAACAAGTGAGTCACATTATGCGCCGTAGAGTGCTCCGTCCGGCTCATCATCGCAGTAGAGGCCGATGGAGGCATCGCAGCTCCACGGACGCCACAAGTCCCCATTCACCAGATTCCTGCAGCACCAATTTTATTATCACTACACGCTTGAGCTTCCCTGCCAGAGGCAAGGTGCGTGTGTAGACAAGCTGCATGTAAAGGCTGCCACACGTCCCACCCCTGGATGGTCTCGCCAGATCCAAGAAAGACCCAATCAACCGTGGACACGGTGCTCAATTACTGTACCGCCCCCCGCTAGCCAGGGCCCTGCTTACACAGGACAATTGCAGCATTCAAAGCGCCAGCAAGTATTGTGCCGCAGCAGCAAGCTAAGAAGTTTGGATTGCACCAAAGAGGCAGTGGAAAGACTCTTTCCACAGAAGCTGCTGGCCAGTGCAGCGCTGTATAAGCTCAACTATTCTCAGATTCACAAGGGGCAAACAGCGCTGCGAAAATTGCACCCCGCAAAGGATGCAGCTGATGCGCAATACTTGTGTGCCCTGAAACCTTATTCTTATAAGGAAAAACCAAAGCACAGAAGACACTTGCACATTGTCCTGCTGTGGCAGCAAGAGGTTTGAGTGCAGACCTGAGAGGTGTGATTTTTAGCACGCCAGCGCCGTGAGCTAGGATGGGCGCTGTGAAGTGGTCCGTAAAATTGCCCAGTTCCTGGCGCCCATACAGGTCCCTCACAGCACACTGCGCAGGCAGCAATTACATTCAAAATTGATTTTTAGAAATTATGTCTTTTCAGTCCTTCAGCAGAATCAGGTTGCCTGGCATGCACGCCTGAACTGGATCCTGAAGCCAGTCGTCAACACGAAGCACTTAGCACTCCTGCCATTGATACAAAATGCTTCCACACAGGATGAGGTAGAAAGGACAAACTACTCATCATGCAGTAACATCTTGGACCATCCAAGGCAATCCTCTTGGGGATCTGACTGTACTGGCAAAATAACAAGTGCTCGCTTCCTGACAAGGCTTGTGCGCATGCAAAGAAAAATATTTCGCCCCCCGTCAATGTGTTTCCTTGCATGTTTTCACGCTAAGGCTTAATTTTGCCAGAGAATTCAAGGGCGGGAAGATGAGAATAGAAAGGCCCACACCGTCACGTTTGGCGGGATGCCGATGCTGCGCCAGAAAACCGTCATGTTTTGCGAAGGGAAATTCGGGTCCAAGTGCTGATGCCGGTTGAACAGCACCACCGCGCGCGAGCCGTCCACCAGAGGCGCCGCATACACCTGCAATGCAAGCCACACCTTTCTTTTGAACCCCAAAACAGCTCCATCAGCATGGTCTGAGATCAGGTCATGTCAATTTGTGTATATGCTAGATCAGCTGATATTCCAGAAACTGTCTCATAAGCACTGGCGTAGCTCTTTTCCCCAGCAAGCACTTCCTGGCACTGCGAATTTTGCATGCACACTTAGCCCACCAGGCCACGAGTCGAGGATGCCTGGTGCAGAGCCAGTGTGAGTAAATGCTCGGGTGCGTGGTGATTCATCAGCTGCATGGGGAAGATGGACACACCTCTTGGGGACCCTGTTTCCAGACGAGGTCCCCCGGGATTCCCAGGGGGTCCTGGTTGATGGCTACCACCTCTGGCGACTTGAGAATGTTCAGCGTCTGCCGAGTCATGTTCCTGCATCGTCACACTGCCACGTCAGCCAATGAAGGTACTGTATGCTGACAGAATTGCCATCTCTGCTGCAGTGAATGGGTCTAATTTCTTAGTGAAGGGATTTAATTATATTCCGGCAGCCGCCAAAGTCACAGGCATATTGCGCCGCTGATTCGGATTAGTGATGTGACAAAATTTCAGTCATGTTCAATGGAAGCTGCAAGCCCTGGGATGTAACTGGCCACAAGCATGTCGAAGAGAGGGTCAGCCAGCAGGTTGGTAAAGGAGCAAGTCATCTCTGTCTTCCAAGCAATGTGGCCTTAAAGAGCACCTAATGCAAAAGCAGAGATTCGTTGATTAAAGCTGTCTGCTCCTGGGGCAGAAAGGGGGTCACCTGAGATCGTTGCCAAAGATGAGGGGCGACTTCAGAATTGCCCACAGGGCAAAATGAGCTCGCTGCTCCACATCAGATAGCAGCGCGCCCCCCGGCCATCCCACCTGCTCAAGCATAGTTGCACCATTCGGTCGGAACATTTTTGGGGACCGAATATACGGCCCTACATTCGGTCATACGGTCTAAAAACATACGGAACTCGGTCAAAAACGGCCTATTTTGGCCCAAAACACCAATACACCGTATGCCGAATGGCCGAATGCATATGGTGCAACTATGTGCTCAAGGGTCGTCCACTTTAGCAAATCAGGAGCAGTGTTAAACAAGGTAAGATCTGTAGAGGCTGTGCCAGATGATCTGCCAATTGCAGGGCATGCCTATCTGTAATGCACACACCGATGTGGGCTTTCTGCTAGCCTATTCCACGCTCTCAATGGGTGCAAGCAGATGCACACGACTTACCAATGCTTCTGAAAAGTAACATGACAACCGACAACCAAGAAGTGATACCTTGCTTTGATGCTTTCTTCAGGTCCAAGGAAATACTGTCACAAAATTTTCGCTGAGGGACATTACATTATAAAACAGGTGCTGTAAGATTGTTTTGTGCGGACTCAGGTGACTCACCTCCAGCATGTCTGCATCGTTCCATCCCCCCGGCCCTCCAAATCGCGCGAGCCCCTTGGTGCCCTCCAGGTTGTTCATCACACTGTCCCACGTGGCAGAAATGGCCAGACTGATGTCCTGCGTCGTGCGCCATGTGTTGCCCACCTGAAGCTCAAAACAGTACACCACTCAGCTCAACTGAATGCAATCAAGGTGCTGGCGAGGCAAGATGCATCTGCACATAAGCTGCAGGTAACGGTTGCTGCCATAATGCCACCCCTTGATGGACATGCCAGATCCGAGAAAGGCCCAATCGACCGTGAGCACTGAATTGCCACTGAAGTGTGCATAAAGCTGCGTATGCTTTAGCACACCCGAATCCCATCAAACAGATCTTTAAGTAACAGCCACTGACACTTCGAATCAAACAGCGTATCTGAAGGCAGGAGTGAACACTGTGTCCTGTTGATGTCAGTTGGCTGGGAACCATTCAGCAAAGATGCTGTCGGGGCAATGCACGTGAGATTCACAAGCCTCACAGCCGCCTGGATGCGCTCTGATCTTGGTGTTGATAACGGGTTTCGTCAGCATTCCAAGGTTGCTTGAGAATCCCTCCACTTCAACCCATAACAAATGGGTGGATGAAAAGGGTGGATCACCTGGTTCCCATACTCCCAGGGGCTGGACACACCCCACTCGCACATGGAAAACAGGATCGGCCGCCCGGTCGCATTCAGTGCGTCGCTCATGGCCTCATACCTCGACCGCACCGTTCTCTGCGCGCACATGCCGCCACATCAGCGTCCTCACATGCCGGCATCATGACTGCAGTGCATGTTTCAACCCCCAATATTGAAGTGCATCCTCAAGGATTGTTAGAAGCCCCTGCAAGTATATATTACCGGGGGCTGCCAAGACGGATCTCAGCAACACAGTCATGTTACAGCTTAAGGTAGCTGCAAGGCATGCTTCAAGTGCTAAGCTTGTCTGGGGTTATGTGACCTCCGCCTGTACTCTAATTGTTCGTCGTTTTCTTGGGACAGCACCAATTTATTGTTGTACATTGCACACACAACTCTATTGCATGAACACTTGAGTGGCAGTTCAGCAACAGCCTCGTAAAGATTGGGACTGGGTCAGAGCGCAGGGGGAGGTTCGCACATTGGAGGGAGGCACTGAAAAGCAGTTGTCATACTTCAACAGGTCAACTTCCCATGCTGCAAACTGTGCGGCATCGATCGCCTCATAGCCAAGACTGGCTGTGTATTTGGCGCATGTCAGCGTTCCGGAATCGCTGTATATCCCCAGCTTCAGCCCTGTACAAACGAGTGAACCAGACTAAGGCACGTGCACAGAAGCAGGATCAGTAGAAAACCTACCGTCAGCGCCAGAACACCACCCCTGGGAGTTACTGCCGATAGGACTAACAGAAGGAAGCTGCATCTGATTGTACGAAAGTGCCGGGAGCGTGGAGAATTGCATGCACAGGTGTGTGTCAGACTCCGCTAGATGCTAGATGCCTGATCCTGCTTCCCCAAGACAATTGCAGTATTCTGCCAGACCTCTCATACATCTTTTGGTGCAGGCCTCTTTGACCCACGAGGCACTTCTGGGGCAATGCTTGTGACACGGCTAGATGACGAGCAAGGCAGGTGTGGCATGAGTGTTTGAAAGATATGCTGAGGCACCTTTAGCGTGCACATAGTCTGCCACAGCCTTTATGCCGTTGGGAAAGCGGGTGGAATTGGCTTCAATTGGCCCACTGCCATTGCGCTGGAAATTTGCCCAGCCATCTGCTCACATACACACCACTTTGAGCCTTTGCAAGACCTGCTGCAATGGTCACGTGTACCTCTGCTGAGCTCCAACTGAAAGGGCTGCCTGGGTGCACTTTGTGATGTACGCAAGAAAGGCCGTCAGCTTGACAAGGCGGCTCTTTCTAGGAGGCATTTCAAAGGATGGAATAAACTGTATAGTCTAAACACGTCACTTAGTGCATCACATCAATCGCAAGAAAGAAGCAGTCCATCCTAAGGCTGAGTTAGTGTAGCTAGGACCAGGGTTGCACCGTCGATGACGAGATAATCGTATCCAGCTGCTGCGAGACCTGTCTCCACCAACTCATCTGCCGCGTGGTAAATCAGAGTCTCGTTAATCTCGTCGTGGAAGGCGTTCCAGGTGTTGTAACCCATGGGCGGAGTGGATGCCAAGCCATTGTTCAGGCCGGCTGTAAGGCCAGCGCATATGATCAGTACTGTTACTGCAATAACTGAAGCATTTACAAAATGAAACCTACTGGGCCACATGGCCCCAGAGTGTTCTAAAGGCTCAAACCCAGGAAAACCACATTTAGTAAGGCAACAGACTCGGCGCACGAGTGCTGTAAACGTGCAACCGATTGCTGTATTGGGACTTGTTAAGTCACTTTAGACTAATGTATTGAAGAATCTCTTCCAAAAGCGGAAAATAAGCGGGGACCCAAAAGAGATCGATCAGTGCGCAGTCGGCCGGGGAATGACTCATCACTTCCAAGGTAGACAAGAGGCAATGCATGCACCTTGGCAAGCAATTTTTTGCAGGTGCTCAGATCCCTGAGCTGCACTGCTGCATACGTGGGCGATGGCACATCTCGGAGTTGCACATGTGCAAGAATGCAGGCCAGTCAAATGTAGACAGCCACATGAGCATACAGTATGAGGTTTTTACATTGTCCATGGACAGGACAACTAGATGTTGATGATGGCACCACACCACGAGCAGATGAGTATATCGGCCGAAGAAGACTAGACATCAGAGAACCCATCTGACAATCCACCTACCACAAGAAAAGACTGCTCAGCACCTGCACTATCATGGTAGAATTGTTATTATTACTATTATTATAATTATTATTATTACCGTCATTATTTTAGTATTATTATTACACGGTCGGCAAACCCAAAGCCAGAGGCCATAGGGCATACACGCAGGGCGCCTGCAGCCACATCTGCGGGGCCTACAGTAGTCTGCAGCCTATCATAGTCATGGATACTCACACATCGTATCTCAAACATGAGCCCTTGCATCGGATTAGTACCCTTCAAAGATCCGATGCCTCTGGCCTGCCAGCAACTTTCGGATGATACTGCAGCTACTCAGCTGATGCAATGTCCTTTAAGCAATGCCCAGTCCTGAAAAAAGTGCTACAATCTTGGTATCATTCCGCATCTCAATGCACATGAAAAGCACATCTAGAGGACATCGATAGCATGTTAGGAAGGACACAATCCCTGAAATCACCACAGTTGCAATCGATGACGTGGCGCCACACAATCTCTCGAGCACTGCTGCCATTCAGATTATCTAAATCTAAATCAGATATACCTAATATCATATTAGCATGCAACTGCTGTGGAAAAGATGGCGTACACCTAGCCCAGACAGCCTCAACGCCTGACTGAGAATTGCTCCAACATGAATTTTGCGCACCATTATTCAACCCAAGAAAAGATCTATCAATTGCAGCAAGGTATTGTTATTCTCAAATGTCTCCAACTCTTTCAGAGAACTAAGGCCCCCTGTCTGTTGGGGAGAATCTTGCCTCCCAATTTGAATCTGTACCTTCCATTGGAAACAATCAAATTGCTGTTGAGTGCTTTGTGAGCGTCAGCACGTGTGGCTCCAAGCGACCGGGGCCTTGCAGCACCACAGAAGCTCACCATGGCCACACATGTGTTTCAATGCTGGTTGCGCATGCATGCGCAGTTTCACTGTCCTACTGTCAACCTCACAGGCTTGATGGATGGAGTCTCCTGCTAACACCTGATCAAGTGAAGTGCCACCTCTCTGCCGTGGAGTCATATCAAAGAAAGGATCGCCGAGTCAAGCACAAGCACTCCCCGATTGTCTACTGCGCGTCGCACTCCTTCACTATAATATATGCAATCCATTATGAAGTTGTGCTCCACACTGAATGCCAGCCGCCAGGCCGCAGCTGCGAATGACGGCGAGATTTTGCCACAGCAAACCTGGCACTTGTCTCGACCGGTATTCCAGGACAGCATTGTGCCACACTGTCTTGAGCTTGCTTGGGCAAAGATACACTGGTCGAGCATTTCATGCCCCTTACTGCATGTCAGCCTCAACCGCTGGCAGCCGCCATTGCTGTGTGGTTCTTGTTGCTATGCCACGAGCTCCTGAACGCCTGGCAGCATGGCCGCTAGGTCGAGAAAGGCCCCTCTTCTGGCCAACTGTAAATACCCATCTTGCCCTAGATATACACCCTGATATACCTCCCCATGAGGCCACCGCACTTGCAACGTGCACCTTCAACGTACAAAACATTACTACCCACGTTGAGATCCTCAGCTTTCATGAAGAATCTGTCAAGGTGTGCAGCTCACAGCCATCATTGATCCCTTTCACAGGGGTCTCAGAAGATGGACTTGGCCTGGGGTGCGGCAGTCTTGAAGCGGAGAGCAACATAGATGAGGAAGCGGAAGAAGACCAGCCATCCAAAGAGCACCAGCAGCTCCCACAGCCAGTTCTCCGTATTTTCCTGCATGCACATCATCCCCGCTCATACAAGTTTTTATTTGTACTGTGCTTTGTGGCAGACATGTGAACATTGAATGGCTAGGTGAGTAGCCCAACACATGCTGCAAGTCAATCTTCACAAAGAGTGCTACAACCAGCGCATGTCTTTAAAGCCCAAATTGCACTAACCTGCTAGTCCACTTGCATGCCGGCCACAGATGTCTTGCCAGACATTCAAATGTGGCAGACCAATAGAGAGCTTACAGGACATGCAACAGAGCTGCAGCTGCCGGATTTGAATTCAAAAGCATACCTGCAGATGCAGCTTGCCCTGGAGCCCTCCAGGGGGAACGGGCGTGCACAAGGGGTTTGTCGAAGGTTCTGGCAGGATCAAGCCTGAGCAGTCGTACAGTGTACGGTCCACGTATTCAATCTTCAAGAGCAGGTTGTAGCCGTAGTAGATGAAGGAGAGGTATTTTAGCCACGCTATCCAAACCGGGATCGTTGTCACATAAAATCCGCCCACCTGCGCGCAAATAAAGCTCCTCATTATATGAATATTTTGAAGTGCAAGAGTAGTCAGCCCTCCAGCGAAGACATAGACTGCAACAGCAGGAGCCGGCCACCCACTTTGCACAAGGAACTTGAGAATGATAGATTTGTGGCAGATGTACACAAAAAAAGCTAGCTGCGTTGACATTGGGACTGGTGCCACGCTCAATAATTCCCGAAGAATCAATCATGGGTGCTTGCCATGCGCATGCAAAATTCAATGAATGAAGCTATGCACATTTCCGAACCTCCTAACACTCCAACGCGAGTCCATCACTAGCAGTCGCCATCAGCAGCACTCCCTTCATCAGGGGTATTAAAGACTAAAGGAGTCTTAAGTTCCCCCTGCCTTTAAATCACATAGGGGCAAGAATGATATCCAAACCCTGAAGGGGCTTCTTTCCTATTGTAGAGAGGCAAGAGTAAACCCTGAAGGGGCGAAAAGAGCACGCACCAGCATCATTGTCAGCATGATGACGGCCGTTACGGTCTGCGCGGTCTTGGCCTCCATTACAGTTGCGCCGATGAGTAACCCGAAGCTCTGCGCCACCAGCGTCACCAGCATGGTCCCCAGCCAGTTGCCAAAAAAGGCGCCAGCTGTCAGCCGCAGACCCCCCTGCAGACAGAGGTAACGCCACATCAGACTGTGCACTTTAGTCAGCCAGACCATATTTGTTGCATCACATCTTTGCTTGCTTCTCCTTTGCATCTGACCTGCTGTGAGTCGGGGTTTCTTATCTTACCCACCAGGTGGAAATCTTGATGAAAGCACATCATGCATGCTGTGACATGGATGAGCGATTACCAGGATCAGGTCATGCAGAAATATATTTGGCCAGTAGCGGTCACAATAGCACCAGCACATGCATGTATGCAGGCAGGTTGTCCTGCCTGAATTGCACAAATCCCTCATCTTATGGAGCTGAAACTGCAATGTGCATGGGTTGCACAGAGCTCAACAACAAGTGGGGAGAAGCAGTGCAGTGCATGGCAGAGGGCTCGATGACTCATATTGATGGTTCACATGGATGACTCAATTTCACACGACCACTAAGGGGCAGGGGGTCACCATGAAGTAGATGATGAAGATGAAGAGGGAGGGGGTGGTGAGCTCCATCGGCAGGTCGGACGCCGTGCGCGCGAAATAAAAGGCGCTCAGCCGATACATGCCGCTCGCGCGCTCCTTCAGCATCATCTTGAACTCGCTGCAGCAGCAAACAAATCCCTTGTCAGTTCTGGACGATGAAAAGGACAGGAACTATAAAAACAGCTCAGGAGGATCTGGCAAGGCAGCTGCAAATCACCGCACACGCATTGTACACTTTTCCTTGTTTCACACCCCTTACAGCATCTACAGTAAAGAAAATGCAAGTAGTTGTAGGCGCCTGTGAGAATATGTGAGCAAAGCACTGGGCACAGTGACACAGGGGGCCCCTCCATTTCAAGCCTCAACATGAGCTTCTCCTTGTCTGGCTAGCTATCAATACAGAGTTGCAGTGGTCACTTTTGGCGAAGATTTCTGGAACCTTAGTGATGTTACAAGACCATCTCCCCTCATCTCTGCTCTCAGGTAGCAGAACCCCAGAAAAAAAAGGCTGCGAGCAGCACTTTCTCCTTACTTGCTGGCGCTTGCTCTGCTTTGATGTCTGCATACCTCTTTCTCTAAAGAGGCAGAGCTGGTGCCTTGGGGTCAATTGGATTATAATAAACTCCAAGAGAGCAGGGTCAACAACCGAGAGGGCTACAACTCAGTAATTGCTGTGTACTCAAATTAGGGGGACACTAATCCCCCTAAAGAGAGGCCCAGAAGGGGACAAGGGGTGGGCGCACCTGGGGAAGGTGAAGAGGGCGACAAACATGGAGCGGAAGGCCAGGAAGAGCATCTCAAAGAAGAGCAGGCCGTTGGAATTCTGCGCCGACAGCACCGTGTCCCCCCGCCCCTGCTGCCACCAGAACAGCCCTGCGCAATTTGCGTAGATGCGTAAGTTGCAGTTCAGCCCTGCACTGAACATTAACAGAGCAACAATTCTACAAATGCCATACAGAGACAGTCAGTAGACACGATGCCTTGAAGCGTTCAACGCTGACAAAGGGGCACAGCATGTAGTTTGCAAATTTGGCCAGATGGTAGCGCGACATAGGAGAGTCTGATTGCTAGTGTTGCAATGCAACGTGAAGCTGAATAGGGCTGTGTTGCGTTCCATTCTATCTTCTGCGCCACGATAGGGGAATTCCATGTGCTCAGCTCAATCTGTCCCCAAAAGCAACTCTGAAGCCACTGATAAGGCCCTATACATCCCAGCTAGCGTATGGTGTGCATGATGCAAAGGTTGAACTGTCAAGTGTATGGCCGACCGAGAATGACAGAAGCTGGTCTCATGCAGATGGAAGCTGGTCTCAGGTCAGAACCATTCTGAAGACATGGAGCGGATCATGCATTCCCGGCCACACTCAGGACTAAGCAACAGAGGGATCAAACAGAGCAATGCAAGCAAACAGAAGAACTCCTCGCCACAGGCTATACAAGAGGCAAAAATTTTAGAGCAACGAGAACAAACAGTGAAAAGAGGGCAGCAGGAGATGCATGCAAATCAAAGAGGCTAAATAGAGGAGCCCACCTGAAAGCACGCCGACGATGACAAACTGCGCAAAGTCCTGGCTCGAGAGTGACTCAAAGCGGCGCGTCTTGACAGCGCGGGCGAAGAGGATGTGTATCTGCGTCCAGTAGCTGGCTCCCCACCGCCGCGCCGGCTGCAGCTTGCCCTTGGCCGCGCCTGCGCTGCCCGCCTGGCACAAACGCATGCACGACACATCAGCGACTTTCCGCAATGCAGCCCTAGGATGTTATTATTACCCTTATTAGTACCCTTATTATTATCCTTATTGTTAAAGGCTCTACAAGCCTTCCCCTTGTTGGACTGGCCAGACCCCAGCAATACCCAGTGCAGCCTAAGGATATGAGCTAGCCTAAATGGCATGTCACATAAAGGAGACACACAGAGAAGCATGGCTCAAGGAGAAGTTGTGGTCTGGTCACTACAAGCCGTAGAGCCATTCCACCAGTGAATTAACAACAAATCTCCAGGACCATGCTGAACAGCGTGTCGTCAATGTTCTCATGCCTTACAAAACACTCTAAAACAAAGAGTTCCTGGTAAGGGACCTCCCCCTTCTAGCAGCAGGCCCAGAAGACATTGAAAAATGCATGTTTCCAGTTGTCACATGCCTCACAACACTCTCGAGAGAAAAGGTTCCCTGGTCGGGTGAATCCTCCTCACCACAGTACAAGGCCCAGCAGAAGGCCTTGATGATAGCAAGCAGAGGGATTACATTTGCCGCATGCCACACAACATGCTTCGAAGAACAATCAGGTGTTCCGGTGACGCGTCTGCTTATAGCAGGAGGCCTCACCTTCGCAACGTCACCCTCTGACGAGGATGACGAGAGCGAGGGTGACAGGGCGCTGTGGCGCTCCTCTGACAAGTCCACCGATGACATCGCCGGCCGCAGTCCTGCCAGGCTCTTCCGACTCTGCACGCATGCCACGCACACAATGCATAATCGTCTTCAAAAGATGTGGCACTTTACGTGCGCTATTGCATGCTGTATGACCCCAGACAAACTTGAACAGGCGTGGTCTGCCCCAATTATGAAGGCACGAAATATATGCACAGCACTAGAAAATTGTTTGCCTTCACAAAATTTACCCCATGTATGCTGCTATCCTCTGGGCTCATGCGGTGAGTACAGAGGAAGTTTGTTCCCAACTTGATGCATTGCAGCAGTCATGAAAGTCTACTATGCAAGGTGCATGAGAGGCCGCGAAGACACACCCTGGCAGCTGTCCACAGGTTAGTACCTAGGACGTCCTCATTCAGAGTCTCCGCCCGCCTGTAGCCGTCCTCCTCCGGGAATACGGCTGCATACCTGCCCCACAACACAAGATCATTTGCAACACTTGAATGGAAAGCTGCACTCATTGCCCTGTCCTAACAAATCCAGTTTCTTTGCATGCTGGTGTGGAAGACAGTTGTGCAAGCACCAGAAGTGCCAGGCGGCATGACTCAGCTCCAGCGGCTGAGACTGACTGGGGCTCAGAGCCAGTGAGTCATTGCTGGCGCCAGAACGGGAAACAGCTGCCACGAGCCAGAGAGTGGCAAAGTCAAAATCGAACATTTTTAAATTCAAATCTATCTAAACCTAAAACTCAAAACCTAAAACTCAAATGTCCAGGCACGCACCGCTCGGAGCACTCGATGAGGTGCGCCTGCGCCTGTTCAGGGTCCAGCTTGGGCGATATGACTGCGCCGGATGCCACGTCCAGAATGAAGTCGGCCATGTTGACTCCGTACGGCATCGTGAAGCCCAGCGTTTTGAACCACTCCGCTGCCAGCCCAGCGTTGCCTGCTCACACCACGGGAAACAATCAACCTCACGCAATAATGAAGAGCGTTCCAAAACCACCAGTCAATATAGGCAAGGAATTAATGGCTCAGCACATAGTCTCTGACTATTTTAGTGTTTGAGTGCTTTAAAAATAAGCGCACATGGTGGCACATGACACTGCGCCTCTGATTGTGTGCAATACACGAGTGCTTTGCTCTGCATGCTAGCGCACTGTTGTTGTGTTGCTGCACAGATATTTGGCAGAAGTCAGTGACCCTGGCCCCAGAATACTACTTTCCACAACTCGAGCCTCCAGCGGCAAGCGCATCAAAGCAGACACTTTTATGGGTCACGCTTTTTCTGCCAAGAGGCAAGCTTGTCGTGCAGACAAGCTGCAAGTAAAGGCTGTCACAATCCTGCCCCTTGTTAAAATTGCAAGATCCAAGCATAACCCAATCAGCCGTGGGCACAGTGCACAGTAGTTGTGCAGCCCCCCGCCAACCAGGGCTTAAGCAGAGATAGCGCATCAGTCTGGGGCGTGCGCGCACCGTAGTACATGGCGTGGCCGTCAGACAGCAGCAGCAGCTTGTCGAGCTGCTGATAGAGGCGAGAGGACGGCTGGTGGATTGTAGTGATCACTGCACGGCCCCCAGCTGCCAGCTGGCACAGAGTAGTCACCAGGTTCATGGCTGTGGTGGAATCCAGCCCAGAGGTGGGCTCGTCCAAAAGGATGATTGAGGGATTAATTAGTAGTTCGTGACCTACAGAAACGCGCTTGCGCTCCCCGCCGCTGATGCCGCGCCGGAAGAAGCCGCCTGCAGCCATCACATAACCCCTCACGTCAGTTTCAATACGGCTGTAGCCCCTGCCAGCACCCCCAGATCAGCTTAGAGTCATTCTTGCAAGGCCTACAAGTGTGTTCCAAGGCAGGAGGATACAGGAAAGGTGGGCAAGGGCATGAGTACAACATCTGTCTCGGCACCGGCGTGACAGCGCCAACAGCTGCGGCAGGCAAGCTTGCGATGCATGCCACTTATTACACTGCACTTCTCGCGACAGGCGTTGTAATGAAGCATCTGGGAAGATGGATAGAACCACACAGCCTTTCTTATGCAGTAAGGGTGTCAAGCCATGAGAAGAGGTATGGAAGGGGCGCTCACCAACAATGGTGTCGCGGCACTTGTCGAGCCCGAGGGAAAGAATGACATTCTCCACCCGCTCGCACTTCTGCGCCGATGTCATGGTGGAGGGTAGCCGCAGCATCGCCGCATAGTACAGCGTCTCGAACACTGTCAGCGTCTCGTACAGCAGATCGTCCTGAACACAGCATCAGCAGTGTGTCATGTCTTTACCAACATATGCCAATCACTCCCTGAACAGAAGTAGAGCGTGTTCTCTATTTGCAAAAGTTGTGACAATGACCAGATATTTTGGTCAGATGCGCGCAAACAGACATGAACTGTATATATACTTGAATAAAATGGGCCAGCACAGTCATTTGACTCCGAAAATAACTTGCTGCATGTTGTGGACACCACAGCAGAAGTATTGACTGATTCAAAGTAAGGGATGAATGTGTTCAATGGACTAGAGCCACACCTGCAGCACGAAGCCCACTTGCCGCTTGGCGCGCTTGGTGAGCTTCTCCCCATTGAAGCTGGGCCATCCCTTCATGGTCAGGGCGCTGCATGCGCACAGCACACCCTCAGCATTTGGCAAGACACAGCGCTTCATGCATCAGGCAACTCACATGTGCACCCCAAGGCGCTGCTTCGACGATCACTTCAAGCCACAATGTTGAAGACAGCGATGAAGACAGAGAGATGGACAAAGAAGGCAGAAGGGCTGCATCGCACGGGCAACACAGTGCATGAACACTACACACAATTCGCTAAGACCAAAGGGTAAATGTGAAGTGTGGGGGCACGTACGTCGGGGCTCTGCCACCGAGGATGCTCAGCAGAGTCGTCTTCCCTGAGCCGGATGGCCCCATCAGCGCCAGCACCTCCCCAGGCTGACAAGTCCCCGAGATGTTAAAGAGGATCTGTAGGCACACGCACTCAACGATCAGATGGATTATGTCCTTTGCAGTCTGATAGGAACAATCGCCACATAGAAAGCTTCGACTTCTACTTTTGTCTAGGCTGGTGCAGCCCCGAATGCTGCATGAACAATAGCATCAGACAGTTGCCTAATGACTAGCGATACGATGATGCATGAGTGCTTGGGATGAACCCTTCCACAGCAGTGAGCATTTGCACGCCGCTAAATAGATTCCAGTATTCTGACAAGTGCTCAAGATGTAGCTGACAGGATGTTTCAGCCTTTCGGAAAAGTGCAAGGGACAATTCAAGTAGTTGAATCTGATGAGAACGTTTGATAGTGTATCTCACCTGCCGTTCCTTGGCCTTGCTATCCCGTGTGCTCCTCCGTTTCGTCAGCTTCTTCCAGGTACTGCTCATAATCCCACCACTCCCAGAAGTGGAATTAGGCCCGAACAGGTCGGGCACCCAGGCGCTGATGTTGGGGAAGTCCAGAGTCAGCTGCTTGTCCTTGGGGACGGGCTCCATGAGCTGCACGTCCGCTCCAGGCCTGCTGACTACTATGGAAAGCAGCTCTGCCTTGTCTTTCCTCGCCTCAGCGCCGCTCGCACCCTCCGATCCATTGCGAAACCCCTGCTCCACGTCTGCTACATCCCCACTCTCGACGAAAAATGCCGAGGACGGCACGGTGGCCGCCTCGTCGCCCTTCACCATCCCTCTCCCGCTCTCCTCCACTGCCTCGCCACTCTCAGGTTCAACCCTCGCTTAATGCCCAGCACTGACCTTTTCACGACTAGCAATCAAAAAGCTGTGTCCTGCGCAGGCTGGTTGCCAATGAGATCAATACTATTCCAACACTAGCGCAGGAACTATTGTTGTGTTCCACGCAATTGCACCAGGCTTCCACCAGGGATCACCTCATCGAAGAGTAACGTCACACGATCGGCCACGTGGACGCTCCGCATCTGTCACCGCCCCGTGCGCCTCCTGGCGCACAGCTGTCTTTCATGTCTGCAGTCTCAAGATCAAGCAGAGTAAAGATCTAATACGATGTCGAAGTGCTGAAGCAGAAATAACGTTGCCCGTGGAAAGTTTGCATCATATCATGACGTCTTGATCAGATGCTCCAGGTCAACGGGATCATGTGTAGCATTCCGATGTTGTGATCTGCAGGTACCGATTCTCTCATGCTCAAGATTATTGCTAGTTTTAGTTCCACGCGGAACAATAAATGGAGGAGAGCGACGTCATTGCATGTTTCTGATCAAGATAATTTAATTTAATATAGATGGATGTGATGAGTGCTCTCTAAGACTCACCACATCCTTCCTATTCAGGAAAACTATAGGCACTTTTCGGCGCGTTCGGACGGACATGGCAAGACAGGCGCCCTACAGCGTTGACATCAGCCCTGAGCGAGCCAAGGAGCTTGCTGAGGTGGGAGGCGCACTTCTGCTCCTGGATGTGCCTGCAGGCACAGTCGTGGGCATCGATCAGCAGGTGGGCGAGCTTTGCTCACCACCACAGTGACACATTGATCTCTTGCAAGTATGCCACATACCATGCAAGCTGCGTCAGACAACTCTTCATGTTGAAGCTGCACTTTGGATGGGCGAGTGCTCAATACAAGCCTAAATGTGAGCCTAACAAAGGTACATTCTTCTTTCTATATGCCTCGATCGAGGCACGTTGTCCATAGACGCTGACACGTTGTACATCCCATTCCTCACACCTGGTCTGGGTACACTTCGAGGCCACTGGTCCAGAATTGTTGACAGTGAGTTCACAGTCCAATCCGGTGCACTCATCCCACACGGAAGCAGTTATGCTTTCTGCAGCAGACAGGCCCTTAGTGACCGGCTCAATGCTGCAATATCACTTTGATCAGAGCTTGAAGGGTATTGCGGTGTTGATCATGCCGCTGTCTTGGACCGCGCAGACCTTCGTGGTGGGCCCCAGGTTCAAGGGAGTGAAGATGCTGCCACCGGGGCCACACTTCATCTCCTGCAACGCCACCAGCGGCAGCAGTGGCACGGATTTTGCCCCGACACTGGGATTCTTCGTGCACCTGGCCCCCCGTTCGGTGGTGGTGCGGCGGTGGGATGCGCAAGAGGAGCTGCTGCTGCCTATAGAGGACGCGGACGAGGTGATTCGGCACTAATCTCTTTTCGTTCCCCAACAGGTCGTCCATGTTGAAACGAAACCCCTCTGCTGAAGCATGCCACCCATTTCAGAGTAAGCAAAATTATAGAGCTTTTGAGTACTTGAGGCAGGCATCGCATGAAACGCTGTCTTTTAGGATGGGAAGTGCTGCTCTGTCATGTTTCATGTGACTCCGATCAAAGCTATTTTTGCGTTGGCAGGTGGAGCGTTTGGCAGCGGGCGTCCGCCGCTTTGACTTTGATGCGTACCTCGCGCCGTATGACCTGTCATCCTTCACCACCTGGCAGAGCCTGTCAGGCCACATCACGCCAGGTCCGCCCTTTTGAGACAGTCCGTCAAGTCAAGTTTTGCGTTTGTGGTCTTTCGCGCCTTTACTTACTGCACTACTCTCTTTCTTGCGCACAGCTTACATGTCCCTGCTGTCCCTGCTGGACAAGCATATGCTGAGCGCACATACCCTGGATCATCCATCTTTCGCTGGGGTTTACCGTGTTTTGTGTACTGCATTCTTTGCAGCTGCCCATGATCTGTAACATGATTACATCCTCATGATCCGTCCTCCCTGTTACTGACAAAACCTGAACCTGCAAGCCGCTTTTTTCAGCGAGCTACTGGTGGGACTCCCAGAGCGCAGACCCCAAAGCCAGCGCAGAAACCCTGACCCTGCAATCCCCTTGTTTCAGGGGTCATCGAGCGGCTCTCGCCGGTGGCAGGAGGGAACATCTGCGTCACGGCGGAGGCGGACCCCTCCCTGCTGGCCCCCCGCACAGCCGCGGAGGCGCGCCTCTCAGAGCAGCTCGCCAGCAAGGCTGCCATGCAGGGTGCGCGAAATATTACCTCACTCCCCCTTCATTTTCAGGGTTTTGCTCGACGAGTGATGGATAAGGTTTAATCTGTCGTGCTATCCTGTGAGAGTTCGCTGTGAAAGCACGGAGGCCGTGCCTAGTACACTCACCGCACCGACAGGCTGGCCTTTGTTTCTTAGTATGTCATGTGCTCATTGATTGAATTTCCAGGAGATCGCAGAGCACCAAGGAGAAGGATGCCATCCATACTCAATGGGCCCTCGAAGGGAAATGCACTGGGGCACACGAAAGGTGCTCCTCTGATTTAGACCCTCCTGATTGGTTTTGTGCATGTTATCCAGAAGCTGCGGAGGCAGTTTCCAGTAAAGGGGAAGCTGCAGATGCGCGAGATGAGCAGGCCGGGGCCTCAGCCTCTGGGCGGCCGCCGGCCCCGCCGCCTGTTAAGGGCGTTGGGCGCTGCTTTTACACGCGGCTACCGCGCAACGCCAAGGTAAGAATTGTCTTATCCTTTCCTTTCAACAGTCGTACCTGCTCAATATAGCGTGAATTCATGGCATGTCATCACATGGGCCATTGTCTGTGCTTTGCACTGTGAAACAATCTCAGGCACATGTAACAGGCACCCTTGTGTGCAGGCAGCCTGTCAAGTACTTTGCTATCATTGATACAGAGCACGAACGGGGTCTTGAATGCCCTGCAGGGTACAGGGCTCACACCACAGGAGGTGACGCAGCTGAACCTGGACAAGAGCAGGCTCCTGGATGAGGTCATCGCTGAGCTGTACGGCGGCGATGCTGACATCATGCTGGGCGAGCTTCAGGTGTTCATGTCCCGCAAGTGTTAACAGGCATGTAGCTTTAAGGATGCCTCGGGCCCTCCTTTGTCCCTTGCATGTCTCAATATATGGGACCTGACACAGAGTCTGGTGGACATATATTCAGCACGATCAGAATTTACCGTGCAAACATCTCTATTCTTGCCATCCTTGTCATGCTAAAAAGACATTGCAGAATTTCTGCGTTGGGCTTTGCAGCCGTGGTCGCCCTTGCAGCTATGCTTGCCACGTCCACAGACACAGTATACCACTCTAAGGACTCTTGATATATAATAATAATATCGATCGATTGTTGCTGCGCATTCTGCCATTCTCCTGGAATGATCGGGCTTGAATCTGTAAACATATTTGATGCGCCAAGTCAGATTGAAGCTTAAAAGTACTTGTGGCTGCGCAGTTTGCATTCCTGGCGTTTCTGCTGGGCCACTCGCTGGAGTCCTTTGGGCAGTGGAAGGCGCTGCTGCACCTGGCGCTCGCATGCGAGGAAGCGCCCCTGCAGACGTGCCCCGGCTTCTATTCGAAACTACTCGCCGCCGTGCGCGCCCAGCTTCAGCACTGCCTGGCCTCCGGCAGGTGCGCCATTGAATTTAAACTCAGAATTGAAGTGAAATAAATTTAAAGTTCAAGTCTGATGACTAAATTCGGAATTAAGTGGATGCAATGGGCGCAACAAGTAGAGGTAGCAGATAAAGGATAGGCTCAAGTGTTCAAACCCAGCTTTAGCACTGACTGGCATCCGCCAGGTGCGCCGCAGATTTCAAATTCGAGTTGGAAGCTGGTGCAGGACAAAATCCAGGAGCTGGAATTAAGAAACTGCAAGCCACTGGTGAGCATGGCTAGCATGCAGAACAACTTTGTCTGCATTAGTGGGGCCAGCACGGGTGCTTTGATTGTTATCTTTACTGAAGCAGATGAAACGCGAGCTTCAAGGACAAGTGCCCTGTTGTGCCGGCTGACCAGTGGTTGATGGGGGGGCCCCTGCAGTTGTGACTCACAGTTGAAGCTGCAGGATTTCTTCCTGCCAGGTGGAACCTGTCACTGGGCCAAAGAAGTCCCTGCAGCATCATTGCTTGTCCACAATAGTGTTTCAGCGCCTTGCATGGGCCTCTCCTAGCCAGTGGGCTGTCGGCACAATAGCATGGCAGCACAACGGCATCCAAGCCTTTAGAATAATTGTTATTGTGCATTTTCTTGGAAGAGGGCTGAATAATGATCAACAGATCCTAGGCCCCTTTCCAGTTGCAGAGCAAGGTGCATGGGAGGAGGCATGCCTCATACCACAAAGTGCGCGTTGGATGAGTGAATTGCGGCGCATACATTGTTTTGCCCAGGGAGTGGGGTCTTGCTTGAATTTGGCGGATCCATCAAGGATTAGGATTTTGGCAACCTTTGAATGCAGTTTCTCCAGGCATACCTTGCCTTCTGGCAGGTAGAATACCAACAAAAATACTCTTTCTGATCATTTGGGACAATCTTTATTTTGCAGGGGCCCGGATGCTGCCCAGCCGAGCCCGTTGGGGCTGCCCATGACGGATGAATTACTGGCTGACAGTTTCCTCAAGCGCCTCTTTGCTCGATTCTATGACATGCTCCACTCCGCCGGCGGCCGTGTGCCCCCACAGCTGCAGGTGCGCATCTTTTGACACTTGTTATTTTATTATTATTAATATTACTACAAGCTTTTCTTGCCAAGAGGCAAGGTGCGTCCTGCAGGCAAGTTGCAGCTGAAGGCTGCCATAAGCCTACCCCTTGTTGGACTTGACACTTATATCAAAAATATATATTTGGAATCCGAGATTGTTGTACTGTATTGTGCGTGTTGTACACCCCCAAAGATTTTGCCGATTTGGGCTGTCCTAACAGGCCTTGTGACTGTACATTAACTGCACTGCATGTGATGTCCCAGCCCAAATAGAACCGTCGCTAATTCCCATCACTCTTGCTGTGGCGCTAGCGCTCCTGACTGTGTGTGAAAGCTGCAGCATTGAAAACTAAGGGTTTTAGGAGAGTTTTAAGTTGCAGATATCGAAAGAGAGGGAAGAGTGTTGGGTGTTTGAATTGTAGGCAGAGGCCAGCAGACTGCAGCAGGTTCTGGAAGCTGGTCTGGGGTGGAGCTTTAGCGTTGGGGAGCTGGCAGGAGAGAGCGACGATGAGGACGCGCCAGTGATTGTGGAGTTGTAACTGCTGCATTCCTAGAACATTGTATTGCTGTTTGTACTTGCAAGGCATCTCCTGTATGTACTTGCAAGATTTTCTCGCACTCGCTCTGCCTTGATTTCATCCTTCCACTTTCTCTAATTCCTAGAACACCATGCAACAGACAAACAACATATTTTTCTTGATTCGGACTTCGGTTGGACTTCAAGTTACTACTACAAGAAATACGAAGAGTTGTGGTGGTCTACCTGCTCCTAGGAACTGTGTGCTATGTGAGCGCTTATTGGACTCGGGCACCTCACACTGCTGACATGTATTACTAGTATACAGGTCGGCAAACCCAAAGCCAATGGCCATTAGGGCATACACGCACTCGTCTGCAGCCACGTTTGTAGCTACCTATAGGGCCTACAAAAGTCCGCAGCATGGTCTTGTATCACAACTCATCAAATCTCAAGTACCAAATCCTCATGCACTCCCTGTACCGGATATTTACCCCTCTATATCCGATACCCCTGGCCTTCCAGGAACGCAACTGTTACCAACTAGACTGCATATCTCAGGTATTAGAGATCGCAAGACCCACCGTACTACTCCCTCAATCAGAGAGAGCCCCCCCGGGGTTCTAGATTAAAAGACTTACTTGGTGTGTGCCTCGCGCAGGATGTCGAGCGCCTCGCCATCAAGCGCCCGCTGGAATATTGCCCGGTACTCAGCCGTGTACTGCGGCGTCGCCCCAAAGTAGACATGGTGCGAATGCGGTGAAAACGCTGAGACAATGCTAATTGAACGACTCCGATAAATTCACTGAACATGGACGAAGCCTGCAATAACGAAACCCCTGTGCAAGGATTGTTAACCATTCCAGTGGTGAACGTCCTCGACAACGCTGGGTGCTGCATGTTGGCCAAAGAACAGGGCCCGCAGCAGCAATTTACAACTGCAGTCAGATGAGCAGAGAGTGCAGACGCGAATCGTCACCAGGCTGGCGAAGGATTCGTCCCGTGCATCATTGTCCTTCGCAGGATTGGCTGTCAGGTCTTCCACGTCTCGCCAACCCAGGCCCGAGAGCTCGTCCTTGTACAGGTGGCGGTTGAAGGTTGGAAAGCAGCTCTTGGCGCAACCGATTGCGGTGTGCTAAAACAGCTGCTAAAACAGCTGTCTTGCATCGTGCTAAAACAGCCGTTTTAGCAGCTGTCTTGCATTGCCGCAATCGGTTGCGCCAAGAGCTGCTTCCCAACCTTCAACCGCCACCTGTACAAGGACGAGCTCTCAGGCCTGGGTTGGCGGGACGTGGAAGAGCTGACAGCCAATCCTGCGAAGGACAATGATGCACGGGACGAATCCATCGCCAGCCTGGTGACCTGTCTTGACCGCATTGGTGACCTTTGCGACGATGCCGGCTGCGGCCTGCTATGCTAGCCGCCGGGACTGGCCGGGCCCCGAGGGGCGCTCTTCCTCCGCAGGCGACGCCACGACGAGGGGTGCCTGCAGGCAGCGAAATTAGTTGGGTGTGCGGCGATGAGCAGATGGGGTGTGATAATAACAGTTGCCCAAAGTTGTCTGAAGAAAGTTGCCCTGGGTGGTAATGCACACAAAACGTATGCAAGCCTAGCGCAGCCCCTTCTACACATCTAGAACAGTGCACAGTTGAAGCGATTTATTCAAGTGCTGGGGCCCCAACAGAATGATCTGGGTTTATCTTGGCACTGCTTAACACAAGAAAAGTACCTTTTTCGGCATAATTTGGTGTCCAAAGGTCAATCAGTACTCCACTGCGCGGCCGACCCTCTCTCTGATTTGCTACGCACTCGAGCCTAGGCAACATTCCCAAAGCTCAGCACGGTGGACAGCAGCGCTCATTCTTGATGCAACTTTGCTTCGATAGCTTCCAGCGCCATCCACGCATCATTGATGGGCGCTGTCTCCTAATGTATGCTCATTCAACTGCGACAAGGTGTGCAGAGCAGCCTACCTTGGTACTTGGGGTCCACTTGAAACTCTCACAACAATTTTCCTCTGGTCCTCAGCCCCCTCCATGGCGCCGCAATCAACACCCATGCCTCCAGACATCAAACACCTGTGTGACAGCACAGCATATGCATGAGAGATCTTGTTCTCTTCATTTGTGATTACCGCAGTTCTACAATGTCATCATCCAGTGCAGGGCCAGTCTCGTGCTCCATCAATACAATTCGAACAGCAGCCATATTTGGCACCTGACATGCATAGGATTGTACATGTACTAAGATATGTCAGATCAGTGCAGTGCTCTTGTTGCAGTGTTTGAGATTCTTTGCAGCTATATGATGAAACTGCAGAACCTGACAGGGCGACCAACCTGTAGAGCAACTTGGCAGTAACGTACGACTTGCCTTGTCAAACGACCTAAGAAAGGCACCTTGAAGCGCAGATCTCGGCGGTACCGTGTAGGTAACCTTCCCCATCATGCCCATGATCCCTGCTCTTCCATCATTCTTCCCTGCCCCCGCCTTCGTATCTCACCCGCACAGGAACAGTACGAATGTTTGACGATAGAACATCCGAGGAAGTGAGTCTGAATTGCAATCCAGGACCCTCTTTTTAGCAGCCACGCCTTTTATATTCACTGCGCTTTGGGGGACCGGGCACGCACAGTGCGGAACCGCATCCCCCGTGTGCGTGCACTCGGGGGGGTCCACATGCTACATCTAGAGCTCGGATGCTGGATGTTACAGAGGTTGCGATCCTCCTCTCTTCATGATTGTGTGGCATCCACTTCCTCTTTGCCGATGTGGCCTTCGATAGGGACTTGACAGTCAACGTGTACATAATTAGTTTTTTGTGTTATAACAATACCTTGGAGAGAGTATTAACGGACTCTACTGGACTGGAACTCTGCAGGTCCCTGTATGACAATGCTTTGAGAAACATTGAGCACATGCGGCACAAGTGAGAGTTTGCATTGAATTAACCTTTCGCAATGAATCTGGATTCTGCAAGTGTGAACTGAGAATACTTTTGATGTATAGCCATGATATTCTGTAACTGCCCGGCCCCACCAGCGTGCTAACCTTCTAGGCAACCTGATCCATAGTATGGATTGAGCAGGTGGTGTTGTCTTGTCCTTTGTCCCAATGGTGTGGATTCAGTAACATGCAAGCGTTCGTCGGTCGGCATCATTTCAAGTCCCGGGCCTGTTTGGTCTGGCTAGGGTCAAATGGCATGGGATCAGTATAGTTTGCTGGACAGCGTCAAAGTCCAGGTTCTTAGCTTTGGAGGTGTGGGATTGGTAATGTGCCCTCCGGGCAGTGTGTTTGGTAGAAAAGGTGTCATTCGCCAGTGAGCGCCAAGTGCTCTTAGGACTTAGCTAAGTCCTATAGGACTGGTCGTCGTCATGCATATCCATAGATATAGGCATCAGAGAGACATGCTTGGGGGTCAGCATGCTGGCTTGCAATACAATGCGCTTGAGATGCCAAACGTGAGAGAAATGCCCAAAGTGAGAACGGTATTACAATCAGTGGCTGGTGCAAATTGCATGTTAAGCATATACCTCAATGAAGAGTGTGATTGCTGACTGTGCTCCATGATGATACCTCAATGATCAGTGTGGTGAAATGTGCTCAATGTAAATCATGCTGCTACATATATGTCCCGTCAGAAGAGCCAAAAGGAAGCTAGTAGCTGGTAGCAGGAAGCTAGTGCCGCGCTGGCTTGGACCCTTCAATTGAAGGTGGAGGAGCGCGTCGGGCCGTGTGCCTACAAGCTGGACCTCGTGGAGAGCATGCAGAAGCCGCATCATACTTTTCACGTGTTCAGCTCAAGGCGTACGTGCCCCCGGCGGGTGCTAAAGGCAGGCGCTCACCTCCTCCCGGGAGACGGGATAAAGGGGGGTTTGGGGGGGCGCAGCCCCCCCAATACGGAAAGTCAAAGTTTATCAAAATGCCAGCAAAGTCTTTAAAGGATATCCCTAAAAACTCTTGCAAAGAATTTCTTCCAAAATGCGTATTCCAAACAGAACAGAGCTGATTTCGGGGCCTTGCAAGTTGCTTGTTGCAGAGGCATCCCCGTTAGAAGAGCCAAAAAATTTTGGAACCATTTCTCGAAATATGCGTGTCATCCTTGCGCAGGGGCCATGCTAATCTTCTCTGTATCGTTCCAATTTTATCAGATGTCCCGAAGGACAACCTATCACCTCTCGACCTCATATATATACCCCACTTTGGATCGATGTATTGAGTATGGGACGGTACAGGCGAGTTCGGCAGAATTCGATGCACGGACCCTTTTCTGACATCACAAAGCAAAAATGAGCTGAATATGCTGGCTCTTTCCGTTTAAAGAGGCCCCTGTCAGAGAGGCCTCACCGCACGATGGGATGGGAACTAGGGGCGACCGCTCTCCACCCAGACGAAACGAGACGAGACGACCTGTCGGATGTCCTTGTTGACATCAAGAGAAGAGGAAGAAAGAACTGAAGCTTAATAGTCGAGGAGCATTTTGTGACCGATGGATGAAGAGCTGGTGGTGTCAGCTGAACTCATTCCTTCTCAGGTCCCTCTCCACTGTAGAAAGTCTGTTGGAGCATTGTGCATGGAAAGCTTACAGGATCAGCAAAGTGCTTTGTTGGGGGGGCTGCGCCCCCCCAAACCCCCCCTTGTAATACGCGCAGCACCAAGCAGGCTTGTGGGATGAATAGGGCTCAGTAGCACAAGCCCAAACAGACCCGAGTAAAGACCCAAGTCTATAGGCTTCGAGGGGTGAAGCTGTATCGATCTTCTATCTGCCAACACATTCCGGAAGTTGTGAATCACCCGCGGATGTGATTTTACATCAAAGCAGCGATTTTTTTTTAGTAATGAAAATCAGGCATGTGAAGTCATCGAGATGAAGCGGGCCACGGTTGCAATCGTGGTCTGCCTTGCAACCTTCATTCCGACAAAGTACTGTTTGGACAATGGACTCGCCCGCACGCCCCCTATGGGTTACAATACCTGGAATGCATTCCACGAGGAGATCGATGAGAAGATGGTCAGAGAGTCTGCCGAGATCCTGATCAGTTCGGGGCTGGCAGCAGCAGGATACAACTACTTCAACCTGGACGGTGAGCCCAATGCATGCTTGTCCAATTTCTGTTCATTTATCGTTTTGTAACATAGTATCGACTGTCTAGACCCATGATCTCAACGCGAACAGGGGGAAAATTCTCTTAATTGGCTATCTCAGACCCTAGGCACGGGCTCAATGTCCCTGTCAGATCTCACACAAAGCGTGCTATATAACGCCATTCTGCACGATCTTCAAAGCTCAGCAAGGAGATGTGTTGCAATACTTTAACAGAAAACAAGGCACTTGCTGCGTCGTCCTTTGTAGCTTGTCCCACCCTGTGTTATGTCTGGGTCACTGGCTCATCACAGGTGTGACGTGAACCTCAAGGAAGCAGGAGGGGAAGTGCATCACCAGAAAAAGGCCGACCGAAAGTGAAGTACTCTAATGCTGCTGCAGATGGTTGGAACATGAAGACCAGGGGAGTCGAGGGGCCCATGGCTGTCAACTCGACGCGCTTCCCTTCTGGCATACCTGCCCTGGCCGACTGGCTCCACAGCAAAGGTCAGCCATCCTTTCCCTCAAATCATGCGTTCCCACTCTGCCAATGTCTATAGTACAGAGCGCTGGGCCAATGGCATATTGTCATGCATGCCGCTGATGCATGCGGAAACTGCACAGCTCCCACATGTCTGCTCAGCAACAGGGGCTGGCAGGGCAGGGCCCCTTCCAGTGTCCAGGTTGAAGGCACTACCAAAGTTGCAGCTGCCTATATGCTCAGCGAGTCAGCGCATTTGGCATGCAACAGCCAAGGTTGAGCGGGCCGGCATGGGTCATGCCCTGGGCTTTTCACCCAGCATCTGGCGTCCAGGCTCTCATGTCCAGGGGGACTGGGCCATATATCCCTGACTTGAATTAAATATGTTTTAATTGAGATTATGTTGAGGTAAATTTGATGTGTGGCAGGGTTGAAGCTTGGGGTGTACAGCGATGCTGGCAGCATGACATGCGCGCGTTTCGCAGCCAGCTTGGGGCATGAAAAGGAGGACGCCAAGGTGTTTGCAGAGTGGGGTGTGGACTTCCTGAAGTACGACAACTGCTTTGCAACACCTGTTAAAGAGGCACGCCTCTTCCATTTTCTCCTAGCTGCAGTGTTCCTGACATTTGGTTACTACGCGAGGGGTCCGCACATTCTAGGCCTTGGCAAGCAGCCCTCCACTGAAGAACATTGTGGCTCTCACTGCTTGCAACACTCTGAATGCCAGAACAGGGAGGTCATAGCTGGCAAGCTGCATCCCACTCAACCTACAGACATGTGTGACAAGGGCCGAGTAGGCTCTCACATGCATACGTCCTTTGTGCGAGGAAAGGATACCCTGCAATCCATCGTCAGCGGTAGTGTACTGCCACAGATGACATATTTTTATAGGGAAGCCATGCTCTGTAATCTGTCACCTGACCGGCTTCTTTGTATGTGTGCAGATGAGTGTCAGGGCGCGGTACGAGGCCATGAGGGATGCACTGAATGCCACGGGGCGACCGATGTTGTTCTCAATGTGTGAGTGGGGCGTGTCTAGCCCTTGGGTGTATGGCCACGAGGTGTGATCTTCTTGCACCGAAACACCGAATTGGGTGCACTTGCGTCTTGTGCAGACTCCTAGGCTACTAGCATGCAAAGTCCAAGCAAAGTCCAAGCAAAGTGTGGGGTAGCCACCCCCCTCTTCATTTGAAAGGAGCAAGCGAGGAGATTCTCTGCAGTCTGTGAGAATACCAGGAAAACATTGCCATTCTCATGCATCTGCCTTGCACGCTTGCAATTGGCATGTCTTGCCTTTGGAGAGGGCCACATGGGTGGTTTTGCCTTGCTTTTCTCATTCTCATACCTAAAGTTTGTCGCACTTTCAGGTTGGGCATGCATGGCGCACGACTAAAGACATCAGCATGGAGATAGAGGCAACGTGGGCGGACGTTGTGGAGAATCTGGATGAGACGGCCGGCCTCGCGCGCTTCGCCGGGCCCGGGGGATGGAATGATGCTGACATGCTGGAGGCAAGTCTCATCCTGATATACACCCCTGGACCCTAATGTTTGAGACCAGAACCCTAACGATGCAGACATGCTGGAGGCGAGTCTTGCTTTTAAATGTGAACTTGGCCCTAATTTTAGTCCCCTTAACCCTGCAAATGGTCTTTCCAATGGGTGAAACCCCGAAGGGCGTCTTCAATTAATAAAGCTGCCTGGACTCGAGACCGGGGATTTGAGAGCACACTGCAGGAAGTGCCTAGAGCATGCACGTTCGTATTGCACTGTTCTAGGAGCTGCCGTGTCATCGAGAGGAATGCCCTACTGCGGCGCTTATTGCAAGAATATGTCTCAGGAAAGGCTGTCTATGGCTGATAGGATGGCTGAGTTGTGGTACCCATGATGCATGTGCTCAGTGAAAGGTGTGTGCTGTGTTTACAGGTGGGGGACCCGGGGGGTAAAGCGCTGACATACACGGAGCAGCGGTCGCACTTTGCGCTGTGGGCGCTCATCAAATCGCCGCTGCTCATAGGAGCGGACCTCAGGTGTGATTGCAAACACGGAGCCTCTGTCTAAGAACTTGAAGCCTTTCATCGCGAAATGCAGTAAAACCAGCGTACAGGATGTCTACTGCTGACATGCCATGCTCTCGGCATGGCACTGACCTGTCAGTTATACCTATTATCGGTTCGGCGCAATTTATATCTGAGGATCTAGTGAAGTTCTTACACCATCCAGGTGGAAGACTTTCCTAATTCTGGCACCTTGGCAATATTGGAAAGGCATGCAGAGTTGGCTGCCCCTTATCGGTGTTGCCAGAATCACCTCTTAACATGCACCGCGTAACATGCAAGGCAGATGCTGATAATTCTGATGTGGCACGGCAGGAAGCTGAAGAAGGAGGATCTGCTGCTGCTGAAATCCAGGGAAATAATTGCTATCAATCAGGACCCCCTGGGAGTCGCGGGGGACCGCGTCTGGAAACAGGGCCCCTACGAAGTGAGTCACTCCTTCCTTCAACTTCCTCTTCAATGGCAGGCTTTACACCGGGGGACAATTGCAAGACCTCTTTTCACCTATTCTTATGGAGGGCACTAGATAATGGGTCTGTTGTCATGAGAGCTCCCGGGTCTGCCCAGGAAGGCCAGGAAAATTAGACCCACTGTCTTGTGATCTTCTGTAATTTTCTCACCCAAAATTATGACATTGCCATGCTTTGTCCAGTTTCGCATGGGGTGGGTCGCCAAATTTGAGCGGACCTGCTGCCAGTGCATCAACCACCTTACCTTGCAAGCAAGTGGGACAATTCCATTCTGTGGGCGTGCATGTATCAGCCACCAACTTTGGCGTTCTGCCGACTCAGCGCATGCCACATTGGCGCTTGCAGCTGACGTGTGTTGTGGGGGATTCATCCGCTTCTTACTCACTGTTGACTCACTGTTGACTCACGGCTGACTCAGCTTTTTGCACACACCTTCACAGGTGTGGGCTGCGCCGTTGTTAGGGGGAGCTCGGGCAGTCGTGATGTTCAATCGCCACGTTGCGTCGGAGGAGAAATTCGAGGAGCACAATATGACGCTGCACTGGAGCATGATCGGCTACCCAGTAGACATGCAGGTAAATCTCTCAAGCATCAGATATCCTTTAAGGAGTACTGAGTGCCTGTCAATAAATTCTACCGCAATACTTTCCTTTTTGCTGGCATCCATGTGATACATTGGCACGTGACCCCTGGGTCATCGTGACTGGACTGCAGTGAAGGTCAGGATGGCTCTCAATCTGTGCGAACAACATTCTATCATGCCCACCCCTACACATCAAATGCAACTAAACCACTCCGTCAATATCAGAGATCTTTAGAGCGGCTGGGTGTGTCTTGCTCCTGGCTTTCTGCTGCTGGCCATGGTGCTCTCTTTGGTGCAGGAGGACCTGATTTCTACTACATGCGACGTTTGTTTTCAAGTCTGACCAACAGGGCAGGATGTATCTCAGGTGGACATGGTCACAAGGTTCTTGCCCCAAATCTGCCCGGACGGCTGCTTTGATCTAGCTGTATGACATGCGGATCTACCTCTTGAGGCTATTTATGTAATTCTAGAGAGTGCTACAAGAGCTTTGCGGAGCAATTCTAATAACTGCTTGCACAGGTGGTGGTGAGAGACCTGTACAAAGAGAGGGATTTGGGGCGATACACTGGGGAGCTGACGGAGCTGGTGGACGCGCACGGAGTGCTGGCTCTCAAGCTGTCACCAGTAAGGTGTGTCCCTGTTTTCTGCCCTTTGCCAGAGCCTGTTTGGGAAGTTTTCCAAACTGTCAGGACTGTCTTCAAGCGTCCCTGCCTTGCATGTCGTGTAATATATTGCCCCGCTTGAAGGGCAGCCGAGGCCTTAGGGTCCAGAGACAAAGGTGCCTGTTGCCTGTCAAAAGCTATGGCTGTGGCGGCGAGCTTGACGGCAGACTCAACACAAAAAAGTTTTTGTGGGGGGATCTGCACTGTTATCCGGCACATCAGCTAGAAGTGACATGCAGGTATAGGTAGTGACAGCGTGGATACTCAAGTGCTGCCCATTGCATGCCAGTTTCAAGGGATACCTTACATCTGGAACTTCTGTATTTCTGATGTGGCGCTCGGTGGTGCTGACGCGGCGCTCACATGGTGCTGATGTGGCGGTAACATTTGCTGACATGGCACTGGCACGTGCTGACATGATGCTGACGTGGCACTGATGTGACGTGCAGTAGCGTGGAGGGCTTGGAGTTGGACACGTGGCGGCCGTGGGGCTGCGACCCCATCCTGGACGGCAACTGCAGCGACAAGAGCGCATACATCAAAGCAGGTGCGCACCTTCATACACATAGTATTATCTCATTGCTGCTGCGCAACACGGAGCTTTGAGATCACTGTTCAGTGCAGTGCCTCCTGGGGGACATTGACCTCTTGCTTCCTGTCAGCGTGCTTGAAGTGATGAGAACAAAACCGCCCGTGAAATTGAAACAGGCGCGGGGAATTCCGGAAGGAAGAGACACCTCTCCTGTGTGACTAGACCTTTACAGGCTTTGCGGGGTCCTTTAATTTGCAGAACTTATCTTATCCTCTGTTGCATGGGTGCTTTTGTATGCTTCATTTCTGCGCGTAATGCCGGTGCAGCCGCCGTGCACGCAGTGCCTCATGTGCAATTGTCCTGCATTTTAATCTTTTTTTATTATCCCCATTGATTTTTACTGATATAGCTAGGGTGTAGGATGTTACACCCTTAGCATTCTAGTCCTGTGGCTTACTTGAGTGCGGTGCGGCGCAGTGCCATGCCCGGTGCAGCCGCCGTGCAAGCAGTGCGTCCCGGTCTCGACGCACTCGGCCGTCGCCGCAGCCGTCATCGCCGCTGCATCGCCGGAGGGCGCCCTGGACAGACGCAGCGCTGTCATGGTCCTTGGGGTGCGCGCATGCCTCTGATTATGTGATGATTAGTTTTCTCAAACCGCTAAGTCGGCAGGCTCAACGCTGTCATGGCCCTTGCGTTGCGCACATGCCTGTCAGTACGTGAAGATTAGTCAACTCAAATCACTGAGCGCACCTCCTCACATCGTCAGTGTGCACTGTGCATGTGATATCATGGTCCGTGTGGTGCGAACATGCCCCTTATTACTACTACATTACTGAACCTCATCGACAATGCATTGTTGAGTGCCTCTGGTCCGATGTGCAAATGTATTGATGATGCATCTCATCACAGCCCTTTCTTTCTTCACGAATGCTTTCTCATTTGTTCAATCGTCGCTCTGCCGTCTCAAATCATTGCAGTGTGCACTTGCCCATCCAATGTCCCTTCGGGCGTTGGCCCTCTACTCTTCCAGCGGAGGTTGCATATCCAGTTCAAGCTTTCCAATCACCTGAATCATTGTTATCTGGACTGAAAATATTGCTGGTTACTATGCAGGTGGGCTTGTGCAGCGGGCTTGTGCTGGGATTACTCGCCTCGATGCTGGCCGTTCACTTCTGGTTCAACAGGCGCTCTAGCAGCACCACACTGGCATCAAAACTATCCACCGACCCTACCGGCGGCTTTAGCTCCTCGTTTTATTCCCCCGGTGGGTTTTATCCACTGCCCAAAGCCCAGCATCCTTGCATGGTGTTGCAAGGGCTCGTGGGCCTCCATTTGATGTTTTTCCTGCTCCCTGTGTCTCATTCAGAGTGTTGAGGCCGCATTCCTGTCTGAACACCCGAGCTGTGAACAAAGCCAGGATTGTGCTTCAAATTGAGTGCACAGGCACTCAGCACGTTGCAGGCCCTTGCTTCTAAAATCCATGCATGTGCTGCATGCTCAGCTTTGTGTGCTTTCTGAGGTCATGAGTGCAAGGCTAAGTGATGCTCATGGCGATGTTGACACTTAGCAACGATGCTGATATTGTTTTGTGTGCGCTGCAGCTACAACCAGGCACCCGCTGGTCAGACATAGGCTAACACCCGATGCCACGCAAGCCAGCAGTGTCGACAATGTGATGGACCGAGTCTGATCGGAGGGATTTATCATTTTCTGAGGGTTCTCAGCAGAATCTAGTCCCCCAAAGATTGACACGATAGACATCTATATGGATGCAAGCAGTGTGATGGCGCCTTAGGGCAGGGAAAGAGGCGCAAGAAACGATGCTGGACCGCGCTCCCGGAGAAGGCATTCTGTTGGTATGTCAGCTAGATACTGTGTCTTCTGTAAATTGGTATTTTTTACTGTCTTGGCTCGTGGTATCAGCTGAGAGCCAGTCTCCCGATAAGAGAATGTGGAGGCCCTAGCAGTAGGTTTGAGAACCAGAAGAAAGGCTCTTTTCAGTCCTTCACCTCAGTTTGCTACATTATAAAAGCTGGATCGCATGGCGCAAGTGGTCAGAAAGTAACAGCATTTCTGGCTCAGTTCGTCAATTTTTATTCATGTCAGATCTTTGCTGAAATGGTAGATAGAGTTATCCTAGTGCATCATGATCTCTTGCATTGTAAGTGCTGCTATGTGCCATCCTTCGGTGCCATTGGCCCCGGCTGGCGGGGGGCGGTACAAATACTGAGCACCGTGCCCACGGATGATTGGGTCTTGCTTGGATCTGGCGAGTCCAACAAGGGGTAGGATTGTGGCAGCCTTTACATGCAGCTTGTCTGCAGACGCACCTTGCCTTCGGCAGGTAAAGCGTGTGATAACAATAATAATATGTGCCATCCTTCAGTTGTAAATGGGTACTTACAGAAAACCATACGCAGTGACAAGGCTTGCAAGCTGACATTTTATGGCAAAGTCAGCAGTTTTGCAGTGCTTTTGAGCGTTTAAGTGTTTGGCCTGAGCCATGTTTCTTGGGGTATGATTATAATGTTTCAGCCTTTTTACATCAGTGCTAGTGCGCCCATGCCAAGCTTAAGCAAATGAAGTGTGGCATACTTTGTGGCATGAATGCTCCCATTAATATGATTCTTAGTGGCAGCTGCAGCAGACGGAGTGTTTCTGAGTCGTTCGTTGTAGAACTGTGTGACCAAATGCCATGGAAATTGTATAGACCCCCCTAGGGTTCTTGGCATGCAAAAAGGCAAACGCTTGTTCGTGGGCATGGTTTGTCCAGTATACCGTATTTTAGAAGTATCAACTTACACCATCGTTGTGTCAATGTGGCAATCGCAATGTAATGATGTGCTCAATATCCAGGCGCCTTTGCAACCCTGTTCAACCAAAAGGGCCCTAATGTTGATACAGTACAACTTTGACGCTGTAAGTGTCATTGTGACAAATCAGGCGAGCAGATTTGTCACACAGGGGCCTCGGTGGGAAGCGGGGTGTGTTTTTGCGTGTCAGGGATTAGCCGCAGGAAGGGCAGGGGAAGGAAGCCGCACAAAGTGCACACAAGCACCAGCCATGACATGTTGCCAAACTCATAAGCGGTGATGCCTAAAAGCTTAGTCAGCGCTGCACCCAATAAATCCCCTGCGCCGCTTGCTGCGTTAGACACGCTCATCAGCGCTGCATACAGCGTCGCTTCCACTCCCTGTGCAGCAAATGACTATGAAATGAGCCAATGGAAATCTTATCATGGTACCTTACTGTACCGGTAGCTCCCACTTGTGAGGAGGTTTAGGTTCAAAGACAAACGTCTGGCTGAGGAAATCAGCTTGATGTGCCAGGAAAGAGTGTACAGGGCTAGGATTTCACAGAAGCAGAAAGATGCACCAGAAACATGCACCAGAAACTTCAGCAGCCATACCGTATATGGATCTCTGTGCAATGTTTTTTTTGCAAATGCGGGATTTCAACCACAACAGCTGAGTAGATAAATGAAATTGTTTAGTCACCTCTGGGCACACGCGAGCAGCCAGGACAAGGCATGGCATGAGCGCAATGCGGCCCAGGCCGGTGACTAAGACTGAGTCAGCCAGCACAAATAGCTTGTCATCCAGCCCGATCTTCCGGTTGGCACCTGCAATGACTGCCAGTCTCTGAGCTCTGTCATCTGAACAGATCGCACCAGGGAATTCTAAAGTAACAGCTAAATGACTGTCCCCTGAATGCGCGGTGTTGAGAGGAGAAAAAGGTGAAGCAAATCATGTATGCTGCCTTGAAAGCAACATGATGCTTCAGATTGGGGCTTACCCGTAACCAGCACAAGCTGAGTGAATCCTGCGGCCACACCCGCCAAGGCAAGTCCAAAGAAGAGCCGCCGCAGCTGTACCTTTCGCAGGAACACATTGAAGAGATACACACCTGAAGGCAAGCAACACATCAGCCTGCAATTGCAAAGCATCCGTGCAATCAAGCATGCGCAGCGCACTCTCATTTTCCAGTCTGGACGACAAAATATCACAGATGGAGGCTCGCGTCTGGTCCCATTGCACAAGTCATTTGTCTTTGTCACTTGCAGCCTTGTCTGTTTGGGTGCTTGCCTGCTTGTACAGGCACTGAGAGTAGTTTTACTGCTGACACCCTTTCTGCTGCACGTGTACTAGGCAGGCTATCACACGTTTGTACACAGGCTTATGGATTATTTAAAGGATTTAGGGTTCATGTCTACTTTCATACTTAGTGCAGGGGATGAAGGGGTGAAACTCCTCATTTGGCTGAGTGAGATGCCTACCTAGGAGCTGGGCCACTCCATCAAGCAATTTGATGCGGCCCACAAATTCGGGGCTGAACCCCAGGTAGTTGGTGTAGAAGAAAAACATCGCCCCGCCCGCTGACGGGCCCGCCTGCAAATCACAAGACTCACATTTTGCACATGTCAGGATATCTTTGCAGAGGTGTTGGAGTACAAGTCTCATGAGGCATGCATCATACATCTGCACCAAATTTCCCAACATGCAAAGGTAGGGATCTTTCCAAGCTAGATGGCACAATTCTAGGTGCCAGAGCATGAGCCCAGTCTGCTTTAACGATCCACAGAAGAGATGGCAATGACACTGTATTCCATTTCGGGGATTTATTCTTCTAAGATCCAAGAGATGCAATTCTGATTGTGAGTTTGATGATCCAATGCTTACTCGTGGCAAAGTCGTTGTGTTCAATGCGGCTAATTGTTTTGAGACAGCTCTGTGTGCGCTGCAGCTGCTGCAGATGCGACATACAAGACAATATCCTTCGGGATTGTTAATCACGCTTAAAATGACATGGTCCAGTCACCTGCCACAGGAAGATGAAGGCGGCAGGTAGCAGGATCTGGGGCATGGTTATGGCCTGCCACAGAGCCCACAGCTGCTGCTTCAATCGCTCAGTGTTCGACTGCAGCGCACCCGCAGCGCCTGCGTCCAGGCAAACACCAAGTAACGCCTCAGATGCCCAACAAAAGCAACTGCCTAAGCATCTGCCTGACATTTGAATGTGTGATGTCACCTTGCAAACTGCCAAATCGGTCAGCTACCGTCCAAACCAGATGCACATGCAGTATGGCTGTTCGTCAATGCTCTACCCATTTTGCTTGACAGCCCCACCTTCCAGATGTTCACTGACTTGAACTAGACTTCTTGTTCAAAAACCAATATCGGGAATCCATTTTGTAATAATGAGGATTTCACCGTTCAACATGCAAGCTCACCTTCCTGTGCATCATCGCCGTCTTTCCTCCAGGGTTCCCCTAGCAGCCCCTCGCTTTCATCAACCCCGTGCGCCACCGCCGGGGGGACCGCCGCAACCTCCAGGTCCGCCGACTGGGGGGACCGCCGGCGCTCCTTGATTAAAAACGCCGTGCCGCACATTAGCAGTGGGAAGAATGCCATAAGACCCAGCACCGGCCGTGCACCCACCAAGCCAACGAGCCAGCCGCTGGTGTATGCACTTGATAAGACGCCCACAGCCTGAGAACAAAGAGATCCTTGTTCACTTGGTGATCAACCCAAACGAGCAGAGTTCCTCAGATTCAGTAGTGACCATGCACAGCATGCAGAGAAGCAGAGTGGTTCATATACAATGATGCTGCCCAAGGTGCGAGTCTAGACATGACTTGGCGCATTTGGGCGTACCCGAGAAAAGGAGCACTCAGCATTGATTTCCACGTGGTAAAAAGTCTATGTACTTCAAGTCGACACACAGAAAGGAAGTGTATGGGCCATTCTTTTATAAATGGAAGGGTGAAAAGGGTACTAAACACCTGGGACCCCCAGCAGATGGATTGCAGCGAGCCGGCTGTGGCCTGGTCCTCCCCCCGCGATCTCTCCACCACGACCCCTGCTTCGCGCAAAAGATATCCTTCATTTCCCTGTTGATCAAAGCTGGACTCTTCTACACCGGTCAATAACTGGGACAGCTGAGTCCAGAGCTCTGCGGTGCAGCCAGGATTGAACAGTAAGTGAGGTCAGGACAGGGTCACTTAGGCCCAAGCGCTAATCACATGGGAATGACTCAAGAGTTAAAAGCAAGCAGGCATGCCTGTGTAAGCAGGCCCACATGCCATGAAAGACAGGACCATGCCATGACATCAGCGCACCGTCGATGACGACATCAGAAAAAGCGATTGCCAGCTCGCCCGCCGTCATCAGCAGGAGAGCCGGCAGCGGCGCCGCCGGCAGCGCGCTCAGCAGCGCAAATGCAGCTGTGCCTGCAACAGGCAACAGGTGTCGGAGAATGCAAAAATAAAATGGTGCCTTTTTGGCATTGTGATCTCTTGTGCTGCCATTCAGATATACACTGACCCATGCAGATGTCCTTTGCAACATGTAGACCCCTGCAGCTTTGCTTTGGTACCTCGACAGATACTAACGCTTCTGACAGTGCTACTGGTCATGACCATAAGCCTTGCTGCAATACAGATTCACCAAAAATGCAAGCCGAATCAGCACAAATCGCTGTACTGTTGCTGCACACAAAGGTTTGGGTTGCTTAAAAAACTTAACAGCAATTTAATAAATGGTGAAGTCCCACCCGTGAGGCCACATATGATGATGTAGGGCTGCCGGCGCAGCCCATTGATGGGGAAACTGTCAGTGACAAAGCCATAGAGTGGCTTGATCATCCAGGGAATGTGCGCTATTGCCTTCCAGGTCTCAGCCTGCATGCACGCATGACATATGCCAGTGTTATGGCACGCTGTCTTAACATTTATGGTCCCTTGCACTGCCGTATAGATAGAATCTCTCCCTCTGGAAGTCCTTCTGAAGAAATCTGCTCTGTCAAGTACGTGCGCTGTAGAAGACAGCAACAGGATAACATGGCACCCTTTGACGTGCAGCATAGACGTCTGAGACAAAGAAACGGTGTACAATATATGTCATTGAAAATCATTGACGGCATCACTAACAGGGAGTGGACATGTCACCTGGGCAGGGTCAAATTGCAGATCGTCTTTTAGGTAGAACTGCTCTGTGAGTGTGCCCAGGCTCATCTTCACACCCTGCACAAAGTATGCTGCGCAAACAGGACACACAAGCATCAGTAGTGATCCTGACTCCAACACCTAAGGCGATCTATGCTCTGACATTGCAGGGCTCACAACATGGGCTGGTTTCAGCAAGTAACAACTGTAGCTACTCCTAATCAGCGGTGCTCTTAGGCCTCATGCATGGCCATTCAGACAGCTGTCTTTGAGCAAGAGAATCCATAAAAAGGGCAGCTATGCATGCAAATTTTGAGGGGGGTTGAGTCGGGAAAGATCTCATATTCGCCCACCGACTGCAACTGCTGCCAGCTCAGGAGTTGGCTCCAATCCCATCGGCCTGAAGCGCCATTCCCTGATGCGCTGGCCCCATGACTTGGACAGCGACGCCAAAGCAGGCTCATGGTCGGAGCTGGAGGCAGCTGCCTCGGGCCTCTCCACTTGGAATGCTTCTGTTCTGCCGCGGTGCGCAAGGGACCTACAATCGGCGCAAGAGCGTTGGCATAGAGACTTGATGTCTAGACACAATTTCTTCATGAAATGTTCTACAACAATCCATCCATTTAAGTATCGATCGTGACAGACGCGTGATCAAAAGATAGCAGATCACCCCAACGTTGGAGAATGCTGGGCCCTCTCCTTGTCCTCAGAGATGGTCCTGAGCAGTGCGTGCCTCTCCTCTGGAGGAGACTTGGGGCTCACCATGGTCTGCTGCTAGCTATTAGACTAGAAACCGTCCTACAAATGCCCTGATATCAGAGCGTCTTGGGCTAAAGCCCCAACATCTCTGAATTGCCTTCCTCCGCTCGTGTTTTTTCACCGAAGACAAGATATTGCTGGATTCGTTTGTCGCAAAATTGCTCTTTGATGCTGTCTCAAGCACAAAGAAGTGGTTACAGATGCATCGACACGATGAGGATCTGCAAAACCATGAGTGAGCATTAGCTTTGCAAAATCTGCACCTGAGCCTTTGAAAGCTTCACAATTGCTGTCGTGCATTGTTCCTCGGCAATGGGCAGCATATAAAGATCGAAAATTTCCAGCATGTGAATGCACGTGTGATGACGTCGACAATTTCCGAGGAGACTTGTTGCTGTGCATCAATGTGCGAACAAGCGACCAGTTTCGATTATATACTGCAACTTATCTTCGGAAGAAATCCTTCCCAAGATTTCTGAGTGTTAAGCTTTTGATCTGGAAGGACGCAGTCACTGAACCATTTCACCCTACTTCACGGCAAAACACAATTCTCCCCTTGTTTGGGCGCATACAAAGCAGAAAAGTTTTTTTACTACAATGTTGTAGACGTGCAGTCGATTAACGGCTGAACTTCGTGAAGTGACCACATTTTTTAGAGGGCCGATTCTTCCCACATGAGAGCAGCAAATGTGAGCTCTCTGCTGAGGCAGTTGCGATATCCGTATGCTACATGGCAATGCAGCGTTCCCGCTAGCCCATATGCTGCAGCCAAAAGGGATCTCACGAAGCAAGGTCTGCTAAACCATGATATGCTGAAACACTTGTATGCCATGCTTTGTGGTGGCTCGGCGTGCAGTGTGTGCGTTGCTTCATTGTCGTCCAGACCACACACAGCACTTACTTCAGCACACAGCCCGCGATTTTATGGCAGCAAATTGAGATTGTGACTTCCTCTGCAGGGCTAGCCAGCTTGCCTGGCAGCCAGGGATGGGAAAGAAGGTTTAGAATGGGGACCAGCAGCCAACAGGCTGCAGCATCGGCCTCCGCAGAGTCATATTCGACTGCAGAGATGTGCCGGGCCGTGGAAGCTGAATTAGGAAAGCTCAGCACAGCGCCGTCGGTGCTGCTCTGCGCATCCACTGCTCTGCCCATTCACTTCTCACTTGCTCGCATCATTACCCAAGCTTCTGTGCATACTGGGGAGACAAGAGCAATTGCTCTGCATAGAATTATTGCACGGCAGGACCGTGACTCTTGCCAGAAAGTACCCTTCTTTGCATCATGGGGTTGCCAGTGCACATCCTGTCAGATTGAGACGGCTTTCCTGCGCACGGTAATGCAGCTGCAATGCTCAGCATGTGCGTGTGATGCATGCACTGAACATTTTGCCATGCAGATTCCTGCGCTGGAGCCAGTGAAGGTGGTCATCAGTGGACCAAGCGGTGTGGGCAAGGACGCTGTCATAAAGGATCTCCAGGCCAAGCGGCCCGACCTGCACTTTGTGGTCACTGCAACTTCCAGGCACGCACTCTCTGGACATCATACAATTTTTATCAATGCCAAAGCTACCAGGGAGCTCCTGTAGCTAGGGGAGAAGACTTCAAGGCCACGCCTGTCTCTGTGGCAGCAGGCGGGGATGACTTGTGGCTATGGGAGGAAGCCAATCAAGCTTGCAGATAGCTGGGTTTTGGAATCATGCGTGAACATTACTTGTCGTGCCTGTGTGCCGCATCAATCAAGGTGCTCAGCATCCTGCATTTCAGCAACAAAGTCGGCTGGTAGTAATGCAGACTTGTACTGTGCAGGCCGAAGCGGCCAGGGGAGGTGGAGGGCGTTGATTACTTCTTTGTGAGCAAGGAGCAGTTTGAGGAGTGGATCCGCTCGGATGAGCTGCTGGAGTGGGCTCTGGTCTATGGCGAGTACAAGGGCATCCCCAAGACACAGGTGGGATTGTTACCCCTCCCTTAGGCAATCTTTCAGCCCTTCCAAGATGCGATCCAAGCCATCTGGCGAACGCGCATTGTGGCAGCCTGCAGATGGGATCCGTGATCGGGAATAACACCTTCAACATTCTGAAAGACCACTTGTTGGGTGTTCTGTCTGTGGCATCCCTGATGCCTGTGAGCAACTCGAGAGGCAGTGTCAGCAGCTGCATAATGAGCAACACTTGTCAATCCACCCAAGCATCCCGTCGCATGCATGCAGTCGGTGTGGCGAGGATGTCAGTGGCCACTTTAAGTATTCTTCTGCATGTGGGTGGAAAGTTGATTGACCTTCTGTGGCTGACCCAAAGGTTTTGGAGGCGCTCGCGCGGGGCACGAATGTGATCTTCCGGCTCGACATCCAGGGCGCCCAGACTGTGCGCCGGAAATTCCCAGACGCGGTCTCCATCTTCCTGGTGGGTTGTTGATGCCGAGTGTGACAGCTTCAGGCTGTCACCATCTGAGCCCCAAACGGCAAAGTTCAATGCATGGCATTGTTCTGGGACAAATCTGCATCAGCAAAGTGGTGGAGGTCAGGGTCCAATTGATTGGGCGCTCTCTGCTGCAAGGAAGGATTGGCAATACGTGTCTGCATTGCTACTCTGAAGATTGACCAGAAAGAATTCGAGTATCAATAAATTGGAAAGGCCGAGTCTGGCTGTGTGCAGGTGGCTGAGTCAGAGGCTGCGCTGGTCAAACGTTTGATCGACCGAAAGACAGAGCCAATGGTAAGAGAGCGGTTTAATTACCTGGAAGAATCTGTGATGCATTTTTTGGTGTGTGTCATGACATGTAGCTCATGGCATGTACTCCCTTCAGCAGCAAGGTGGCACTCAATTATATACATGCTCCACACAAATTGTGTTGTGAATGTATTTCACTGAAGAATTGTCAATGATCTCCTCTCCTCATTGTAACAGGACAAGATGATCACGCGTGTGGAGACTGCCCGGCAGGAGATGCAGCACATAGGGGAGTTTGACTATGGTGAGTCATGTTCCTGATCACTCTCCAAGGTGTCCCTCATCACATTAGACCAAGCATGTGCTTCTTTTGAACCCCTTTGGGGTCGTGCTGGCATGTGTTTTGGCTTGCCCTAAGAACGCAATAGGCGCCTAGAATCTATTCTCAATTTGACCTTGCATGGCCTGACAAGAGTGAGAATGCTCTCCAAGGCTTGTTCTATGCCTGTTGCACCGCTCGTGTCTGATTAACGGGACAATTTTTGTGTTGCGTAGTGGTGCTGAACAAAGATGGGGATCTGGAAGGGGCGGTGCAGCAGCTCGATGCCATCATCACTGCAGAGCGACAGCGCACACACAGGATCCGATGGCATGACTCAGCGCCCAGTCAGCTCCCCAGCCGCGTAGCCGCTCCCGAGAAGCTGCCAGAGATGCAGAAGTGCTGACACCCGCTGCAGGCCTTTGCATATCCGTGTACAGTAGTATATAGTGCCCCAATGCCTCAGTTGGACGTGTGCTTGTACACCAGTAAAATTGCTGCATTGAGAAGGTTCCTCGAGAGATAGTTGGCTTAGATTTTCTTGACAGCTTCGTTTGCACCAGCTCTGAGATAGCCAGTCTGACTGACTATTGCAGGATGCAACATCCTCTAAAATACAACAATTGCTTGGATTACTTTACATTGCATTCATGAGTACTCTCATGCAAACTCAAGGTGGACTTGTTGCAATCAATTGGCAGCTTCAGCTATCCTGCGGAGCACATTGCAACGTATGCAAAAAATGGAGCTAAAGGCATTTCTCAAGTCAATATGTCAATGGCCATGGCACCACGGCAAAGCTTTCACAGCAGAACATATTGTAGCAGATCTGCAACATAAAAATTACATCTGCCCGCGAGCGAGACTTTGCCGAGCAGCCGCCACAGCAAGCGCAGCTGCTTCGTTGGCAGTGTTCTTGCCAACCGCCATGATGCGGGCAAACTCTGCGCGCACTGCTGCCTCAAAAGCCGCCTTCTGTGCTGCCTTTGCCTGCAGGCATGCAATTACAGTGTGATTAGTAATTATTACAAATGCATGCAGGCCTACACGCGCAATGCGGTCTTTTTAAAGCTCCGAGCAACGACTGCCAGGCAGCCAGCTGAAATGCACTATCCAACATCTGGCTTCGCAAAGTGTACAGCACTAACGTATTTGCTCTTTGTACTGGTTTGATTGCGAAAACTTGTCTGTACTTACTCTGTCCAAAACCCCATCCAAAGGATTCTGCTGCAGTCGCGGATCAGCTCTATTGCTGCGAAGAAAATAGCGACCAGATGGATATTTGATACCTACCTGATCCGAGTCATTTATAGAATATCCCCGGCTAGGCCCTGCTGCCTCCTGCTTCTCTACTGCCGGAGCTCGACTGGCCCCTGCTGACTCCTTGACTGGCGCAGCAACTGGATCTGCACCATCAAACATCCTCATCAGCATTGCAGAAACCTCCAAATGATGCTCTCATTGATGGGCCAATCATCATTGAGCGAAGCGTAGCTGCATGGCTTTTGTTGTGGCATAAGCTTATGAACAATGAAGGCGATGCATTAGCTCCTGCCCAAGAGAGGAAGAGGCACAGCTGTATAAATCCACAATAAACTGTAGCAGGGGAAATATTTGTTAGTGTGCATCACTTGCAAGGAAGATTGTTTCTGACGATGCACACTCAAAGCAAGTTTCTCGAGTGCCCAGCGTATATTTGCACTCAGTCAATCACAGGAATAAACATGTCATAATTGGAGGTGTTGGTTGAGCTGGAGCGGCGCTGCTGCTTGCAGAGGGGCCCGTCTGCGCAGGAGTTCCCTGCTGCAGCTGCGGCAGCATAAAGCCTGGAATGGGCGAATTGAGCTGTAGGGGTGAGTCGCCCGCCTGCACATTGCCTAACTGAGACTCCACACCTGCAACAGAAACCACTCCTTGTCCTTGTGAAAACGTAAATGACATTGCAAAACGCTCTCTATTATGCAGAACATTCAAAGTTCAAATTTGAAAGAATGCTGCAGGACCCAGATGGCGATGAGCAAGTCTGAGTTGCATGTCTTGCTGCTCATGCATGTGAGCAGATACAGGAGAGACAACTAAAACATGTCATCTTGGTAGTAATACATTAAGGCAATGTCAATACCCCACCTGAGAGCATGGGAGCTAGCATGCGGCCCATGGGAGTCGAGAGGACTTCTGATGGCAAGCTGGTGATGTGCTCCTGCATTTTACCACCTCGATTACAGACTTGTCAATTGAAAGCAGATGTGTTTTTCACTCGTTGGGATCCCCTAACTTCGTCCATGGAGTCGGGTTCCAGCAGATGGTGCCCACTTGATCTGGGAGCCCGCCTGTGCTCGAAGGACAACTCAAAAGATGCACTACTGAGGCAGACTTGTCAAGGGCAGAGAAGACCCCTGAGAAATCAATCTGTACAGGAACAAATTCCTTTTCAGTAAAGGCAGAGCTGAGGTGCTCACCGGGATGGGCTGCCCTGTGAGGAAGGTGGCAAGCTCATTGCTGAAGTTGTTGCAGTTGTTGGTGAAAAGGTTGTAAGCCTGTGGCGTGAACACCTGGCTCAGCTCGTTGACGTAGTCATTCAACACCTCCTGGGGGATCTGCGTGTGCCTGTAAACCAAGCACAACATACTAATATCAGCTAAACTCATCACACGATGAGGTTTTTGCGACTTAAAGTTGCCGCAGTTCTGAAGACTGTCTCCTTGTGCCAGGCATCCGATGCATGGCATAGGAGCAAGGCTTGATCACGAGGTGTCCCCTGATAGCACCACACTTGTACAACAAAGGCAACTGTGTCCAAGAAGACACCCTCTATTAACAGCAGAGGCAGACCGAGAAACAGTGCCTTGAACTCATACTAATTGCTTCCATACCACTCCTGCTAGTCCAGAGAACACGAGGTAGGTCAGCCACTCACCCCAGGTTTACTATCTCGACAGGATGCCCATACGGTGTGCTGCCAGCTAGAGCCTTCTGCACTCCTCCACCATAAAAGTACTCGAAACCACCGACCACTACTGATGTGTGCCAAATGCCAGCAATCTGCGGAGAGCACAAGTAGTTTGAGCTGCTTGATCCAATAACAGAGGAGAAAGGACCAGCACTTTGCATATAAATCAGATAAACATGAGCTGCATCACACTTCACAAGGCTGTGTCAGGAGTATTCATCTGAGCTGCTTACGTGTTTGCCCAGCACAGCTTGTGACACTTGAGCGGCGAATCCTTGACTGAGGTCATACACGTACAACAAAACCTTCTGACCCTCGTCATCGGCCATCGAGATTGACTGCACCGGTTCTTCTGGGGCGTCAAATAGTAGGAGGATCACTACAAGCCTTCCTTTATGCTGTCACGCCCAGATGCCTTGCAGAAGACGCCGTCCAAGTATATTGTTATCAACGAAGTTCGATTGCATGGAAACTGTCGCTGAAACTTTCTCCCCCGAGGAAGCTGGTGTCGGAGGGGAGTTGAGACTATATATAGTGATCGCGTGATGTCTACGTGAGGTGTCGTGGAATTCCATATGGTACATTGCCCGATCGGGAATTTCAAGTTCGTTGCAATGCTTTCTTAAAACAGCAACTTTGCAAGCTTTGTTTGATTGTGTAGCGATTGTCAAGTCTGGGTCCAAGGTGCGAGCCGTTATGCCAAAGTCCATGTGTTCATGTCCAATCGTTTTATGTCTCTAATATTTGCTCTAATCTTCCGAGAAACTGTGCGAAAATGTTGGAATGTCTAAAAAGAAGCATGATATGGCTGAGAGTAAGGCTCATGCCCGCAGGCCTCCATACTGTACCGCCTCAGATGGTCTCTCCAGCTATATGTGCGCATCTCCTCCTTGTCAGCAGAGCCACACCTCCCAGGACATTGTCTCTGTTTGTTCCCATGACAATCTGCTGATCCATTGCGTGCTGAAGACACCCTGTGTTTGTCCTCCAGTGCAAGCATTGAAGCGGTCAGCCCTGGTCATTGTTGGCTTCAACACTGCTGGATTCGCCGTCACAGCCGTCACCCGCTCGCACAAAATCACCGATCTTACGGTACGGCCAATCTATCTGCTTTGCCCTGCTACTTCCTGACTGCTGACCCAGGTTCCAGTGCAGTGGCCTGCTTTTCCGCTTGCGGCCTATCTGACAGGGCCAAGCCATTCAAACATGCATGCTGCAAAGAGCTCCTGTTGAAAACATGTCGAACGGCTGCTGCATGCAGAAGCAATGCCCTGCTTGTCTACTGGTGTACATGCGCCTATATGCATACAGACAACATCTGCTGAGCGCGCCACTCACATTATGACCTAGCATTGGGTGGCCGTGCCTCTAGCACGAAAAGTGTGATATAAAAACAATAGTTATAGGGGTTGTCCATATGCAGGGCACGACAGCATTCATAGCCTCTGCATGGGCGACGCATGCGGCGGCATGCCACATGCACAACCTGCGCCTGTTTCAGCCGTCCAAGAGCCTCTTCCTGGCGGGAGCAGTGACGCTGTGGGGCACGCGGCTGGCTGGGTACCTGTTCTGGCGCGTGCTGCAGACCGGGAAGGACGCGCGGCTGAACTTCCTGTTCCCCCGGGATGAGTCGGAGCCGCTGCTGACTGGACGCAGCATGTGAGAGGCCTCCAGGGTGTTGGCAGTAATCGAAGCCATTTTAAAAGAGAACCTTTTTTTATTTTAAGAGCTGGGCTGCACTGGAATCCGGCTGAGCAAGCATCTGGCCATGTTTTATTTCCCTGCAGGTGCTCACTTATCTAGGGCACTGGGGTAAATGCCAAATACAAGCGGAGACTGAGCGAGGAGCATGTGCAGGTACCCAATAAAGCTGGCAGGGTTCTGGACTGCTCAGAGCCTTTGGGGATGGATTGTGCTGCTGCCCATAACCGTCAGCCAGGTCAGCCTTAATCAGATTCTATCATGCATGCAACACTCCTGGCAATGGGAGGAGACAACTGGAGAGCTGAGGTGTTTTGGCTTGGGTCTGCCTGCAATGTGCTCTTCAGTCGTGCTGTCTTATTTTCTGTGAGTGCTGGCAGTCCCATGCATAAAGTGCAGGGAGGTTGGTGCTCTGGTATCTAATGCAGAAGCTGATGTGAAAATTGCTCCGGGTGCAGACATTGACTCCTGCAGCACCTCTTGGGCCACTGGGCTGGATAGCTGCCGCCGGCTTCCTTGCTGGCTTCGCCATTGAGACGGTTGCTGACCTGCAGAAGTTCTACTTCAAGTCTGCACATCCAGACAAGTGCGGCTCTACTGAACCCAAGTATCTGCACCATACTTAAATGACGCTAGTTGATGCGATTGATCATTTATCATTGTGTGGGCAACAAACAGCTGATGTGCAAAGGAGAGAATTTGCCGTTGACAAAAAATGTGATCCATTTGAGCGAATGGAGACTATATGATCATGGCGCGACAGATCGTCTCACAGTTGGCTCGAATGTCTGAGGACGAGTGGTTCATATGTGCAGGTTCATGGACAGCGGTCTGTTTGCGCTCTGCCGCCACCCAAACTACTTTGGAGAGATCTTGCTGTGGACTTCTTTGACAGTGCTGGCTGGCACGCACGGGGTTTTTGCCAAGCACCCCTGGATCATTGCCAGTCCTGCCTTCACCATCTTCCTGCTGCTTTATGTTTCCGGTGAGCTGTACGAGAAGCTGGATATGTTTCTCACAGATTTAATGCAAATGATCTGCAATATTTTCACTGTGCCCTTGGTCTTCTCCAGTCTGGAATGGAACTCTTGCAGCGTATTTGGGTACTTTTTGGGCCAATGTTATGTTGTTGCCACAGGCATCCCCACTCTGGAGAAGTCACATGAGAAGCGCTATGGCAAAGATGCAGCCTACAAAGACTACAAGGCTAGCACCAATCTCCTTCTGCCCTGGTGCAAGAGCAAGACTTCCCCATGATATTGATGCAGGCTTCTTGGCAGCTATGGCATCAAACATCTGCACCTGGTAATAGCGCTATGACCCTACCAGTGGTTCTTGCAGACAGATCACCGTCAGTATAAGGCGTGCCTGAGTGAGCATAAATGTGGTTTGTTGAGCAGCCATCGCTCATGAGAGCTCAAGACAGTGTAGATCCTATCTAGATCTGATTTTGCACAACTTGTAAATTATTATTGTATGTAGGACTGTGGGAGGTTTTCACTTCTTGAGATGACCTTCAGATCTCCTGTTGTACTATCGAACTGAAAAAATTTCCCTGCATATGCATGCGTGCGCAGTCAAATGCCCCTGGTATTTGTCGCACAATATTGTGAAATCCCGCGGTGCGCCAAGACTGGCCTATTGAGCTTGCAAGGCCATGAGCTCGCGAGGGCCTTGATTAAAGCGCAGATCTGTAAAATGGTGAGCCTTCCATTGTTTCAATTGTGATCATTCGATCGTCTTGCATGCCCAAAGTAGAACTCATTAGTAACGGTACACATGGCCTGTCGTTGACTTCCCACAGCTACCGCGTATCGGTGATACTCTCTGTGAATCCTGTGATGCTGATAAAGACAATATCTCATCTCGACACACAATCGGGTTTGGGAATGCAGCCCGGAAAGTTCTCACGTAGGTTCATCTGATTGCGATCAGTGCCATCGAAACACCAAATAAGATTCCTTGATGAGATTCAGAATATTCACAGTATCTTCAGAATTGTAAAAGCATAGAAACAGGCGCATCTGTCTTTTTGATGGCCACCAGCTTCATCTGGAAGGTGGCAAGGCGAGGCCTGGTTGCTGTCGGAGTGGTCACTGTTGCCAGCACTGCAGCGTCAGCTTATGCTGTGCGACAGGCCAGAAAGGCAAGTAATCTTTATATCGTGCATGCTGTTGCTCCAGAACGTCTCTCGGTAATGTTGCACCTGCTAGGGATCATGGACCCAGGCATCGGAATATTCACACACTGCACATTGCATGCCTGCAGAATGCCATGAAGCTGCCGCCAGAATTTATACTGGAGATAGATTTGGAGGGCATCGATCTGGTCGAACAGGCTGCCCCATTGAATCCCTTCTTTCAGGTAAGTCACGACATGGCACATGCACTTCCCCAATGCCTCCAAAGTGAAGCTTATTCTTCACCGTCTTACTGTTTCCATTCACTCAGTATTTTGCTGAGTACTGGGTTTCTGAGATGAATTGCATGATGGCTGCAGTTCACAGGACGCTTTCGCAAGCAACTAGAGCTCAGACAGGTGCGTCTACGTGCTGGGTCTGAGTCTCACATGATGCTTTTTCACGTCTCGACAACGTACAACAAATAATACTAGCCCAACACCTGAATTTTTGAAATCTCTTGGGTGGATCTGCCAGGCGGTGGAGGCATTGAGGCTGGCCAGCACGGATGAGAGGGTGAAGGGTGTGATTGCAACGTTTGGGGCAAATCAGCAGTACCAGGGGCTCGCACAGATACAGGAGCTGCGAAATGCTGTCACAGATTTCAGGTGCGACCCGGATTCACATTTATTGGGACATGAAATGGACTGATACTAATAAATGTGGCTACCTGTACCAAACTGAAGGGGGTGGAAGTGGCCCCGGCTGGCGGGGGGTCGGTATAATTTCTGAGCACCGTGCTCACGTTTGATTGGGTCTTGCTTGGATGTGGCGAGTCCATCAAGGGGTAGGATGGCAGCCTTTGCCTGCAGCTTGTCTGCAGGCGCACCTTGCCTCAGGCAGGAAAATAGCGTGTGATAATGATGGTAGGAATAACAGTCATTGAATGGAGTAAAACACTTGCAGGGAACGGGCTCAGGGGCGGGTGCTGACCATGGCATACGCGGATGCGTTTGGCGAAGCAGGCATCGGTGGCACATTGTCTTACTACCTAGCATCAGCCTTTGACAAGGTCAGCCGGGAGACCACTCCAATGCCTTCTGTCGAGAGGCTCCCGAGTCTAAGGGATTACTAATCGGATGATCGGGTCCTGAGGAGATCCTTCCTTTTGTCAAAACAGCATCAGTCGGGCATGAAATTGTCGTGGTCTTTTACAGTGAGATTGGCTTGATCAGCCCCACATGGCCAATGTAATGCTGTCAAATCTTGAAGGACTCAGTCGACATGAGCTAAGTGACTGAGCTGTGACTGTGCCTGATCAGGTGTACATGCAGCCGAGCGGTCTGCTAAGCATGAGTGGGCTGGCATCGAGCACCCCCTTCCTGCGCAAATTCTTTGACTCGTGGAAGGTCAAGCCGCACTTTGTCGCCCGGGAGGAGTACAAAAACATAATCAACCAATTCACCCAGGCAAGCCAGCCTTCCTCTACTTGTTCCCCTTACCTGCTCATGCACGTAGCCCCAAATTTGGCCACCCACAACACCCTTTTCAGCCCAGCTATGGTGTTCTACATCAGTAGTATCAGTGTAGTACGGGAGTATGAGGCTTCAGGATTGCTGACTAATCGGATTTGGCTTGTCGAACACAGGACAACTACACAAAGGAGCATCGGCACGCGACAGAGACACTGCTGCGCGGCTTTGTTAATGACGTCATCGATGGCATTGCAGCAGCTAGGGGCCTGGACCACAAAGAGGTGCGCACCATTATCCTTTCCCTGCGTTTATGTACGTGATTCAGTGTATTCTACACACCAGAGCTTGACATTTGCTCTCAGTTGCAGATTCACCCCTGAATGATGCCTTCTCATGCTAAGCAGACTTTTCCCAGGAGTACTGCTTTGGTCAAGCTGAACCAATCTCTGACATCTATATCTGGCAGGCACGGGCTGCCATCGATGCAGCACCCTTCAACAGTGACGAGGCGCTGGAGCATAAGCTGATTGATGACTTCAAGTACAGGTGACCTCACAACACATTTTGTCCACAATCTGAAGACTAGACTCTCCCAATTGGGTCCTGCGCATCCTTTCTCCATTCTCCTTGTTTGTGCTTTCTTGAAATGCACAGAGGTAACCTCCTGGGAAATGTACTATCATCTCGAGGGGTACTAAATACCATCCCCTGTGGTAATTGTTACCCCATGCCCTTTTGCTAAGGGATGGATATGAGCAAAAATTGAAGGCAAGCAGTCCTGCACAAAACGAAGCAGTGGGCATGTCAAACACTCATTTCTAAAGTCTCATAGGGCTAGTGCCACGGATCAGTGAGAACCCATATCAGACTAGGCGCACTTCTACAATGATGTCCCTTTTGGGGTCTTAAACCGCAGCATCTATGATAGCTAGCTTGGTTTGCAGGGATGAGGCAGAGGGAGTATTCGGCCTAGAGAAAAGGACCCGCCGCATCCCAATTGCCAAATACCTGCGAGCTCGCGCAGCCGCCGATGGCAAAAATCAAGAGGACCCTGTGCGACTTGTGCCCCTCAAAACTGCCCTCAAAATTTGCCTATAGCTTTCATTTTTTGTCTTTTATGCGCCAGGTAGCACTGTGCATCCCTGAAACAAGTGCAAAGACATTTTCTGCAACAGTCGTTCTGCCATTTGTTGAAAGCTAGATCATGGAGCAGCAGTTGCTGGCATGCAATTGACACCAAAATTCGTGATGCGCCCACTCTTAATTGAGTCTTGCATGCGATTGGCAAGTCCATTGAAGGATGGGATTTGTGGCAGCCTTTACCTGCAACTTGTCTCCAGACGCACCTTGCCTCTGGCAGGAAAATCGTGTGACAATAATTATTGTAAACATATACTCACTAATGATTCTCTGCATGCAGATGACGGCAGCGTTTCAGGCGATGATGGCACCGCCGGGGGAGTCGATAGATGGGACGCAGCAGGACGCGGCGGCGGAGGCGGCCGGGGCAAAGCGCGCGCAGCGTGAGAAGCCGGCCATCGCGCTGATCACCGCGGTCGGCGCCATCGTGACCGGGAAGGGAGCCGTGGGGGAGCTGCAGCAGGTTTTGATTAGGGGTTTGTCTGGCAAACTTGAAAATTAGGGTTTGCCTGAATTCGAATATGCATGCAGAAGGCCTGTGAGGCTTCATCCTGTGGCCAGATGAGCAATTAATACTGCTCTCAGAAGGGGTTGTGATCCTTGTTGTGAAGTTTATCTGAATCTGTCAATGTTCCACTTTATTGGAGGATATATGCGTGATGATCTGAGTGTCTTCTTTGTGCTGGACAGATGCAGGAGATTGCCAGCACGCCCATGTGCAAGAAGCTGATAGAGGCCAGGCTGGACCCCTGCATAAAGGCCGTCGTCATCCGCATCGACAGCCCAGGTGCACTCTTTCCCCTCACATTTGGCGGCATCGTTTGGCGAGAATCCCTGAGCATAATTGTACCAAGTGTCTTCATGACACAGAATGCACGCAGCTCTGCGCCCAAGGGGTGCTTGCCCTCTGTATGTGTCACTGGATGCGTGTGCTGGCTTCGAAAGTGGATTGTGATTGCATTGATGGAGAAAGTGCCATTACCCCACAGGATGGGCAAACCTGACGCACATGTTGCTGCACTTATCTAGATCATAGGATCCCTAGGAACTAAAAATGGTGGAAAACTAATAAACCTTGCCTTGGCCATGACATCACAAGCCTTGAGGATCTCTAAGCCGTCCTAAGAATGCTTTCACGCGTGCACTTCCTTCTCTAAACTCTGATGAAGTGCACAGGTGGATCGGCAGTGGCGTCTGACACAATATACCGGGAAGTGCTGCGCCTGAAGGAGGCAGGCAAGCCAGTGATCGTGAGCATGGGCAACGTGGCGGCCAGCGGCGGTTACTACATCTCTGCGCCCGCCACAAAAATTGTCGCGCAGCCATCCACTGTGACCGGCAGCATCGGCGTGGTGAGTCCTGGCCAATGGTTTTGTGGCACGTGGTTGAAGTCTGGAGTGGAAAGTCCTGAGTCCTCCAGGTTTGGTGCTGCTCTCAGTGCCTGTCAGGTATCCTGCCTTTGGATGCTTCAAAGGAAACGGTTTGCTTGAAGTTTAAAACTCGCTTGCATACCAGGCATCTGTACATTGCTTGCCTTCCTGTCCAGAACTGCAAACTTTCCAGATCCTGCTTCGTGCAGGTATATTAGACAATTCGATGCAGCTGTCCTTGCAAATTCATCCTCACGGGAGTGCTGCGTATCAGGTGCACCCAGAATATTGAGTGTGGAAGTGCTGCATTGCAGGTATTTGGCAAGTTCAACATAGCGGAGACGCTGCGGCAGCAGGGTATCAACCCCTGCACTATAGCAGAGGGGAAGAACGCGGATGCGCAATTCCCCTTCTCTGACTGGACGCCTGAACAGGAGCGCCTTGTCAACAGCCTCGTTGACCACATCTACGCTGGCTTCATCCGCAAGGTAAAGGCTCTCTTGTCATCATTAGCATTATTCTCACATGCTTTTCCTGCCAAGAGGCAATGTGCGTCTGCAGACAAGCTGCAATTAAAGGCTGCCACAGATCCTACCCATTGATGGACTCGCCAGAATCATCTTAATGGCTTTATAAATCTGCTGAATGCACGTGGACTCATAATCGTAGTCTAGCCCGACAGGATTTATCATGATTTCTTGCTTTGACACTGGCTGAATGGTCGGGAATTGCATAAAATCAAGCATCGCACACTCGCTTCATCTTGTGTTTTTACAAAATGACCCCTGTTTCGACTGTTCAGCTGTGCGCATCGCGACGTACCGTCCCTAGATCAGCTTTAAAGGTGATTGCCCGTGAGAAGGAGCCCGTGGCCTATCCGCACCTGGGGGGATTCAGTAGGTCATCATCGATGCATGCGTGGATTTTAGGGTTCAGGGTTTTGTCCCCTCCAGGTGGCGGCGGGCAGGGGAATGAGCGAGGCGCAGGTACGCAAGATTGCCAAGGGGCGCGTATGGAATGGCAAGGATGCTCTCGCGCATGGGCTCGTGGACTGCCTGGGAGGACTGCAGGACGCCATCGCACTCGCCAAGACAGAGGCCGGGCTTCCCTTGGAGGTCAGTAAACTCCAGAAGTGAAGTTTTAGAAGTGGGTTAAACCAAGGGTTCGGAGCGTGCGATACAGGCTACCTGGATAATAAGCACCAAAGTAATCGTCAGTAGAGCAAAGAAGGATGGGAGGGCCATATAGCTGTCCTTCTCCTGTCGGTGCATTTGCGCTCGATCTAGCAAGAGATATATGAGCAGTGCACACTTACTCCTCAGATCCCTTGAAAGGCTGCTTTGGCTGAGAAGGGTACTTTTGTGCATAGGATGATGCGGTGGTGATAAAGGACATGGCGCGGCCGCTACCGCCACTGGTACAAATAGTAAAGGCGCTGAAAGGCGGCGAGGCCAGCCTGGCAGCCTGCGCAGCTGCCCTGCTGCTGGAAGCTGGCCTGCTGCCAGCTGCCGCGCAGCTGCAGCAGCAGCTGGTGCTCCAGGTTGGCAGCGCGATCGCCGCAGAAGCTGGCCTGAATCTACAGTCTCTTGGGTCCGGGCCGCAATTGATTGCACCAACAGTCACCGTCAGATAGCTTCAAGTGTTTTGCTCTCCAGATATTTGCACCATTGCTCAAGGGGATGCAAGAGCAACAACGCCCGCAGCTTCTGTGCTGTTACTGAAGTTCATTGCATTCTTTGCAAAGTCATGCTATTAAGTAGATGTATTCTAGTCAAGTGACTTGATGACGTTAGAAAGAGATATAGAGATATCATCGATGTTCTTACTGATACTAGCTGTGTTGTTGGCCATTCAGTAGGCAGCATGTTGATGTAAGACAAGATCGTTCCATTCTATAGACCACTACGGCAAGTGGATCCTGGTGACTAAGGCCTCGAGCATGCTTAGCAAATTGAGTCCCAGTCTCGGTTGAGTGGGCTCACTCGGTGGCCACCATGATTCTGCATTGAGAAGATTTAGATCTGTATCAATTGGATTAGTGCAATGTCGTGAAAAACAATCCACTGATTGATACGGAAAGAGGATCTGCCAACCTTGGCATCAGTGAGCTCAAAATCAGAATCGCGCAGATTCCCATGAGCAGGAAGCTGTGACGTGGCGTCGTGCTTGTGGCATGGGTCTTTAAACAGCCCGAATTCGAATCAAATCCTGCTTTTTATGTATGATATCTCGCTTTTGTCTTGACTTTATTGTTGCTGCGTGCGATTCCTGCGATACCAGCAACAGAATTGATCTCGACTCCTTGTTTGCAAACTCACCATGTGCTCATGATCTGGATACGCAGATGTCGAATAGTACGCTCAGAACTTTGTGAAACCTATTGCATGTTGATCCAAAATTAGTTGCTGTACCTTCATGGTTCTAGACGCAGCAATTAGCATATTTCCTTCAGCTCAGCATTCCACCTCGATCAGCTCGTTTCAGCTGACTTACAGACGAGCTGGTGTGCTCAATTGGCCGGGTATGCAAATGATACGAGTGAGGATATTTGGAACATGATTGAAATTTGGCAATCTTGTCGATCAGGCTCCTTACATGCACCATTTAGGTTTCGGCGTGTGAACACAAGGCATTGACTTCGTACACAGGTGGTCTAGCGAAAACAGCATGCCATCTCAGATATCAATCGAGAAGGCCTCACTATGTGGAACGTGGTTCTCACGGCTATGCCCTCACCCATCGAAACTGCAGGCCTCACTTGCCAGAATTCCAGTGGCGAGGATGCAGGAGTTCACCAGCGAGAGCACAGAAGGTCAGTATTGCGCGCAGATTACCTCTTTTACATTTTAAGCAAGTAATCCAGCATATGTTGCAAGAGTGCTGTCTGGAATGCCTGCAAGGAGCTTACAAAGCAGCTCTGCTCTGCTCTGCTCGGTCTTAGGACTCCTGTACTTGCATTCCAATCAGGGCGAGGGGACGTTGGAGCGCACAAGACCAGGCACGGGGTTGCAGGGCAAGGATGTGATCCTAGAGTACTACAAAAGATACAATGCTGGGGATGTTGATGGTGTGATGGAGCTCATGGCGCCCGACTGTCAATGTGAGCTGGCACCCCCCCTCTCTACCCTGCATAGTTGATGGGGCAGTGTACATGCAAGGGTATAGAAGTGTCTGAACCGGCATTGCCTCAGGCCCTTTGGCACCATGTCTAGGAACCCTGCTGGTTAACAAACCAAGTATCATGTGCATGGCAATTACTGATGCCCTGTAGATTGCAGGGAGTGCTATGTCGGCTGGCATCTCTGCTGTACCTGCCACATATTTATATTATCAGGTTATCGAGTTACACATCATTACTTAATCGTCATGTGCATGCAGACCATGACATGATCTACCTGGAGCCATTCAGGGGCCACAAAGAGATCCGGCAGTACTTTGAGAAGGTGGTGTCCATTGTTCCACCGGACCTCAAATTCACAGTAGAGGACATCACCAACGGAGACCCCCACAAAGTGGGCGTCAAATGGTGTGCACTAGGCCTTTCCTGTTCTTTTGTGAACTTGATGACAAATTCCATGCAGTTCTGCATTCCCTTTACATGCCCTTGATTGGTTCCTGATAGTGTGCCCGAATTTGCCCACTTGGCAAGCACGGTTGCCACAGAAGCTGGCCTGATATCCATCCTCGGACACTGAAATTCCTTTTTCTGAAAGTCCTGGCCCGGAGGGGTCTTGCATGTTGGATACATTACATTTTAACTGCAAGGCTGCACTTTCTCCCCCACTTAAGGCTCGCACTGCCAGATATGTCTTGCTTTGAATTTTCTGTTACAGGCCACTTTGCATGCTGGTGGGAAAATTCAGATATTGATGCATCGCGCTTAGCCCTGAGGGCTGGAACAAGAATGTAGCTCTAACAATAGAAAAACTCCTTTGCATGCCCAGGCATGTGGAGGTTGATGGGAACGAGTTCCCTTTCTCTCGTGGCGCCAGTTTCTATGAGGTGAATGAGGATGGGCAGATTGTGTACGGGCGCGACCTGGTAGAGCCTGCCCTCAAGCCCGGCAGCTCGGCCCTGCTGGTGCGCTGCAGGAGCATACCTTTTAGATAAGAATTCAAATAAGAATTCAAAGAAGAAAAGAAATCAAGCATAGGAGGGCCTGAGAGGTATGTGTGGTGTTCATGGAAGCAAATTATAAAGAAAATGGCTAAATTGCCTGCAGACCAGTTTGTCAAGGAAAAGACGGAGCCAGCAAAGACAGTGAAAAGTGCTTGGCTGAGAAGACGATTTCGTGCCTGCTTTAGCGTGATAGTATTGCTTGCCTTCCTGAGGGTGATTCAGCAACAGTCCAGTCCTGTAATAATTTGTCACAGGGCTGCTGACTTCAGGGGTAGTTCAGGGCATAACTTCCTCTAGCTTTGGCCTGCAGGGGTTGAAGCTGCTGGCGCCTGTTGTGAGGAAGCTGGGCCCCAATGCCAACCCAGCCAAGCTCAAGGAGCTGCCTCTCAAAAGTTTTCTCGTCTGGGCGTTCTATGCAGGTAAGGCTGTCTGCACTCGAGTACTGCATGATTTGCAAACACCTTTATGAAACCATCACTTGTGCGTGTCTGCACTGTGCACCCTGTCTGTTGAAAAATGTCGTGATTTGGGGTGAATGTGAATGACTGCCAGCTGTCCAACTCCCCGATGGGCATTTATTAATCCTCAGGCGCCATCTGATGGCACTGAGTCTGAGTCTGAGCAGTGATTGGCTGGGTTATGTACCACTGCTGTGTCTGGGGTTGCCCTTAGCGACACAGAGAGGTTGCTAGCTCTCATTTGGTGACACAACTTCACTACTCCAATGTGTTGTTTGTAAAAGGTAATGTATGCTTATAGGAAGTGATTTGCGCAGGCTACATGGCGCTGATTTTCGGCAGCAGCAGCCTGCCGGGCGTGCCTGTGTGGCAGACGCAGCCAGAGGTGCTGCAGGAAGTTCTACTGGAGAGCCTCAACTTCTTCTATGTCAACAGCGGCCTCAATGCCCTGGGCCTCTCTTTCATCCCTGATGTCCCTGTGAGCTGCCTCCTCGATGCACAAACTCACCTGAGACGCTGCAAGCTGTGGAAATGTGCTCTTCTTGCAAGTTTACTTTGATGCCATCAAGTATCTATGTTTGCACCTCACTGTTCAGTTAAACACTACCTCTCCTTTGCACCCTGACCTTCCTCTAAGCTGCCTGCCCCCAATATGACGTCAGCTAGAAAATTCTAAGGCTAAGGATCTCTGCACCTGTTTTCGAATAGAACTTTATACAAGGAAAATGCATGCTGTAACTCCGTGTTGAGAGTCGCAAACTCTGCCAGGTGTCCAGGATCGTGTGGCAGTATTTTAGCACTGGGACCAGCACTGAACTACCAGCAGTAGCGTTTGGGAACAGACAAATGCAGGTGGCTTGGTGAGGGTACATTATCCGGGAGTAGGGTGGTTTTCAGTGTTGCCCTTTTCTGCAGGTGCATCCGGTGTCCCAGGGGCTCTTCAACTTTGTGATTGCATGGAGCCTGATGCTGTGGCCGCTGATGCTGGCCGACAGAAAGGGGGCCGCAGTGAAGAACCGATTCCCCCTCTGGGTCAGCACTATGGTGCGTTGCTCACTGCCTTGAGCAAGCTTCATTATGGTGCATCGCTTGTGAAGGCAAGTAAAACTGCATTCTGAGACCTTTCCACATGATGAAGCTTGGCTCAAGCGCATGCATCAGAGTGTATAGAGCAGGTAGTGTTGGCATTGATCAACATCTTTCACATGATGAAATCAATTGATTTCACATGCAAAGAGAGGAGTCCAATTATCAGGTACTTCTCTATTGATCAGATAACGGGAGGAATATGTTTCCCTGTGCTTCTGTGAGGGGCATGAGCAGTTGCAACATGCCGTCAAAAAGTCTTTGCAAGGGGCAGCCAATGTGGAGAAAGTATCTCTTGAGATGTATATTTTACTACTTACGGTTTTGAGAGGGTGTTTGTCCACCTGCAGTTCCTGACCAACGTCTTCTTCATTCCGTACATGGCACTGCGCGAGACAGATGGGGGCAAGCCAAATCAGGCGCCTGACGGCTGCGAACCCTCTTCGCTTCCCCCATACAGCGCAACCCTAGGG